GGTACACAAGTGCATTCACTGTACTGTTTGATTAGTTTCCTACATTTACTTTCCTTCATATTACAAACAAAAGTTACATTTAATCAAGCTGTGGAATACAGGGTATATGTGACATGGTGAGTGTATTTTGTTCTTTAAGGTTAATGTGAGGAACGTTTTGCGTGTCCACTTTTGGCGCCCCCCTGTGGTTATGTATGTCTTTGTAAAGCTTATTCTCTAACACAGACATCTTCACCCTGTCGTTTCAAGACTAAGACATCTTTATCAACCTTACAACCTCCACGAAAGCTGAAGCATCAAGCAGTAAGTACAATGTATATTTTGAAGATGATTTATGTGTACAATGCAACACATACATTTGTCCTTAAGAGGGCAAAGTTTTTCTCACTGATAGACTTTATTTTCTGACCAAAATCAAGATAGTTAGAAGCACCACCACTACTGCGCAAATGACTACAGCAAAGATGAGCACCGTCCTGATATTGTTCCTGAGCCCTGCAATGAAGAAAAAGAGGATTAAGAGATATTTAAAAACATTCAGAACTAAAATACTAAACTTAAAATCAGATAGACATAAATGTTTACAAATCACTCAAACTATCTCAATGAAATATAAGAGTGAACTCAAACTTACAGTTAGTAATGGTGGGTCTCTGCAAGACAGACTTGAATAAAAAAAAACAGATTTAACGTTATTAAACTGCAAAATTTCATGATATTAGTGCTTGTTAGTTTGGTTTAGTTAGGCTTGTTAATGCAGCTTTACCTGGACAGTATCCCTGACTCCGAGGAATTTCTTGATGTCATCCAATGCAATGTTATTACGGTCACACTGCAGCAGTTGTCCCTCATGGAACAAACAGTCAACAACCAGTACGACATTTGGGTCTTCCACCAATCTTCTGCTCTCAGCTGTGATGTAATCAGGATCATAGGTGTGATGCATCACCACCAGTATCACTTTTTTGCCACCTGTAAACACAGAGATTTTACATCTGAAATTAGTCTGTACAGGATAAAATTTAAGTCAGGGGGCTGAGTGATTCTTATTGATCTGTAGCTCATAGGAGCACTTGGGAGTGGCAGAACAATTTAAAGCACAAAAATATTCAACATCCTGGATACAAAAATCCATCAACTAATTCAAATTACTCTTTAGTTCAAAGGTAAGATACAGATGCATAAAGAGATGGTGAAATAACCATAATTTGACGGTCACTCCTGAATTCAATTGTTTGCTCCATGAGCATCAACCAAACCTGTCACCTACGTGGAGCGTTTTCCAGAGCCTCGCCGACATCAGTTCCAACTCGTGATGAGATCACACAGAACAGCAGAATGTAGTCGCTGTCTTCAGGAATGAACACCTCATGTTGGCCCCGTCTTTTCAAATCGGTAACCATGGGAAGATGGGCCCCGCTGGGTTTCCCTGACACGTGTAGATAGAACTTTTCCCACTTCACTAAAGACAGAAAAGGAAAGTTTTTGTTCCATTGAAACCAACATTAGAGAGATAATCTTGCAAAATGACTGATCAGAACATGAAGTGTGCCTAAAAGTAGCTTGCAGGTGAGCTCAGCTAAAAAAAGTGAACGTGAATTAGTTCATTTAAACCTTGTTAACTGTACTTTGGGCTCACTAACTTTAAGTGTGAACTTACACAGCCCTGCACATTCAGCCTTCAACAGTGGCTGGCTTGTTTGCTTAGCTACAGAAACTTGTCATTTTAATCTAAAGCAGCTATACATATAAAGAGTAGAGGCTGCAGAACTAACTACTCTGCCCATTTCTCTGCATTATGTAGGCCACCTTTCCATATCGAAATGTCTTTCAAATGCAGCTCAATACTACCACACTGTCAACACTTTCTGACATATTTTACCATTAAAACAAACAAGAAATATGACTTTTTTATGTCTTTGCATCAGCTCCAAATGTCTTATGGAGTTGATTTTAATTTAGATTCTGGATCCTGCTGTCAAAAAGCACCCCTGTAATCACCAAGACCATCAAGTTAAACATCAACATACTCTTATTGAGATAAGTGACACATATAGATTAACTCGTAAAACAGGAACAGAAAGTAAAAAGAGGGCAGAAAAAAAACATTGTTGTGTTGTGTAATAGTACAGTTTCAGTTAAGTTGCTGTGTAATTTGGTTAACAAACTAATAAAAAACCTGCAGTCTGTTGTCGAGGTTGTTATATTTGACTAAATATCTGCACAACTGTGATCTTTAAACTCCTGATTTTATCATTCACGCTGATGTGCCAAATCATCAAACATACAACACAACTCCATTTCTAAAAACACATCATATAATCTCACCAGCTGGTGCTTCCTGGTCCATGTTCCTGCAGAAATAAAAAATATAAACAGATTAACCTTGAATCATTTAACAGAGCCGAAAAAGTGGCAACAATTTGCTTTACAAGCTGCTTCGTCACTGCTTCTCCACAGACACTCTCAGCCAGCAGAGAAACACAGTTACAAATACCTCAAGAGAATATAATCTCTATGATTCCGCTGCATTGTAGAGATTCCCCAGTTATTAATCACTTGAAATAACTTCTACTTACGGAAACGATTGATAATTTTGTAAAGTCTCTGGCATGTCTCTCCAAGCCTGACCTGCTGCCTGTCTGTCTGTGCAACACTTGAAACACTTTCACTTTTCTTTTCACTCGACGCAACGTCAACTCAATGACACAGGAAAAGGATGTGCGACTGAGTAAACCTGCCGGTATGAACCAAGAGACAAGAAAGACACACAGAGTCAGAAATTAGCGTAACATGACATTTATAGATCTTCTGCAGTCGATAAAAGTGTGATGTTTCTGAAAAATAACGGGGAAAGCGTAGTTGTTTCACACTCCCTCTAGTGTTGGCAGGAGGAAGTGAAAGCACTGAGGGGAAACAGGGTCTCTCACTCTGGATTTAACCCCTTACACAAAACACAAATGCATCAAATAACACTTTCCTGAGCTCGTCCTGTTCATGTGCAAGTCATGTCTCCTAACTAATAATCTCGCACTGATATCAATGCTACTGTTTAGAGTCACCCTGGCTGAGTAACTCACATTCACAGGTGTTAATATGTCCATGTAGCAGTATATGAAAGAGCTACACACCTGCACACAAACTGTATATGGATGGGGGGAATGGAAGTGCTCACAAAGGAAGATACTGCTTTCTCTTATTCACTTCGAGCCCCACAATAACGGACAACTAAAAAAGTCCTTTAAATTCATCTGAGAGGCGAAAATTCAAAATATTAAGTGGAAGTTATTATGGAGTATGAATAAAAAAATATTATGTCACCAATAAGATAAGAGAAGTCTCCTTTAGTATTGTTCATTTGATTTATCCAGTCAAAAAAAATAATACTTGCTAGATTTATAGAAATTGAGGAAATGTTTGTTTTTGTACACACAAATATAAATATAATATAAAAAAATATACATTTTTCTGTATGTTAAAAAAAGCTTTGAAGGCAGAGAAATGTTTTTGTTGAACCTTTTTATTTTATTTGGAAGATTCCACATACATAAATCCAAATGGACTGGGAGGAAACCATGTATTTAGCAATTTAAAATGGAATTTGGACATTATCGTGGGATACTGGAAGGAATTAGGAATCAAAAGGTAAAGAAAAGAGTGAAAATATGTGAAGCCTTAGGAGTTACATGATTTATGAACTGAACTTAATTGAGATATCCTTGGATATACTTTGTATATATGTAAGTGTATATTTGTAAATATGGTGTGCTTTGTTGTTATTTGTGATGTTATAGTGCGTAATATGTAAAATAAAATATTAAATGATGGGGTGCAGACCCAGAATTGAGACACAGCCATGGAGGCTAAGCGTCTTTGCAGAAGGGGTCATTCCATGTCATTCCATTTTGAAGTATAAAGGAAACGTTGAAAGGGCTCAGGATAAATAGCCTGGAATACTTCACAGGGAAACCTGCAACAAAATTTCAGGGTGCATAGGTAGAAGTTATTTGTCAACCATAGGTACCAGGACATGCAGGTATGTCCAAATGATTCTCCCATGAAGCTACGATCATTTATATTCTGGATATAGGTGCAAATGGAAATTAAATGCGATGGAAAACTGAGCAAAAATAAGCTGTTCTATTCTTTGCACTATGAGGAGGTAATATTTTACACAAGCAGGCAAGTGGGGCTGACTCCAGATGAGGTCAGGACTGTATAATGTGCCAAATATGGCGATTTTCCACCTAACATACCACACATTTTGATTTATTACTCAAAAAGTTATGGGATGCCCATCCTGAAACTTGCAGGGATGCTAGTGGACATGATAGTCTTTCTTTAGTGTGAATATGAAGAAAATTGAAGGATGCGCGTTTTTTGCTATTTCCAATTTAATTTTTTGGTCTTTTATAATTTTTTTCTGGTCCAATTTGGGGAAAAAAGTTATGAACAAAAAGACAGAACTTGAAGAGAGCTTTAAAATGACACCTGAATGTGACGTAAGTGGAGATTCTTGGTTGAATTGACATGGAATGACCCGAAGGAGTGAGCTGTGGGTCGGAAGGCTCTCACACTTTCTCTCTCTCTCCCCACCTCTCTCCCTCTCTCACCCTTCCTCTCTCACATTTCTTCCTCCGTTAAGAAACAATGAAAAGTTTCTTAAATAATTGTAGTTTTTATAAACCAGCACGAATCCAGCGCAAATGACTCCAGCGATGAGTATCTTCCTGTTCTTCCAGAGCCCTACAATGAAGAAAAGGAGGATTATGAGTTATTTTTAAAACATTGAGAACAAAAAAAAACCTTCGAATCAGATAGACATAAATGTTTTCATATCGCTCAAACTATGACATGAAATATACAAGTGACCTCAGACTTACAGTCAATAATGGTGGGTTTCTGTAAGACAGACATGAATAAAAAAAAACAGATGTAATTTTATTAAACTGCATAATTTCATGATATAGGTGCTTTTAAGTTCGGTTTAGTTAGGCCAGTTAATGCAGCTTTACCCAGACAGGATCCCTGGGTCTGAGGAATTTCTTGATGTCAGACAATGCGTTGTCATTTCGGTCACACTGCAGCAGTTGTCCCTCATGGAAGTAACAGTCCACAACCAGGAGGACATTTGGGTTTTCCACCAATCTTCTGCTCTCAGCTGTGATGTAATCAGGATCATAGGTGTGATGCATCACCACCAGTATCACCTCTTTGCCACCTGTAAACACAGAGATTTTACATCTGAAATTAGTCTGTACAGGATGAAATTTAAGTTGGGGGGTCTGAGTGATTCTTACTGATCTGTAGCTCATATGATCACGTGGGGGCTGCAGGACAGTCTTAAAGCACAAAAATATTCAACATCCTGGTTCAAAAATCTATCAACTGATTCAATTTACTCTTTAGTTCAAAGGTAAGACACAGATGCATAAAGAGATGGTGAAATAACCATCATTTGACGGTCACTCCTGAGTTGAATTCAGCTTGTTTGCCCCATGAGCATCAACCAAACCTGTCACCTACGTGGAGCGTTTTCCAGAGCCTCGCCAACATCAGTTCCAACTCGTGATGAGATTACACAGAACAGCAGAATGTAGTCGCTGTCTTCAGGAATGGACACCTCACGTTGGCCACATCTTTTCAAATCGTCAACCATGGGAAGATGGGCCCCGCTGGGTTTCCCTGACACGTGTACATAGAACTTTTTCAAGTTCACTAAAGACAAAAGGAAAGTTTTTGTTTCATTGAAACCAACATTAGTGAGAATAATCTTGCAAAGTAACTGATCAGTACATGAAGTGTGCCTAATAGTAGCTTGCAGGTGAGTTCTTATCTTTGATAAGAGGACGTATATGTGCAGCTAAAAAAAGTGAACGTAAATTAGTTCATTTTAAATCATGCTGACTGGACTTTGGGCTCACTGACTTAAATGTCTTTCAAATGCAGCTCAATACTACCACACTGTCAACATTTTCTGACATATTTTACCATTAAAACAAACAAATAAGAAATGTGACTTTTTTATGTCTTTGCATCAGCTCTGAGTTTTATTTAGAGTTGATTTTAATTTAGATCCTGGATCCTGCTGTCAAAAAGCACCCCTGTTATCACCAAGACCATTAAGTTAAACATCAACAGACTCTTATTGAGATAAGTGACACATACAGATTAACTCTTGAAACAGGAACAGAAAGTAAAAAGAGGGCAGAAAAAAACATTGTTGTGTTGTGATATAGTGCAGTTTCAGTTAAGATGCTGTGTAATTTGGTTAACAATCTAATAAAACACCTGCAGTCTGTTGTCGAGGTTGTTATATTTGACTAAATATCTGCACAACTGTGATCTTTAAGCTCCTGATTTTATCATTCACTCTGATGTGCCAAATCATCAAACATAAAACATAACTCACCAGCTGGTCCTTCCTGGTCCATGTTCCTGCAAAAGGGGGGGCACAGAGATTTTACATCTGAAATTAGTCTGTACAGGATGAAATTTAAGTCGGGGGGCTGAGTGATTCTTATTGATCTGTAGCTCATAGGAGCACTTGGGAGTGGCAGAACAATCTTAAAGCACAAAATATTCAACATCCTGGATACAAAAATCCATCAACTAATCTATCAACTGATTCAATTTACTCTTCAGTTTAAAGGTAAGATACAGATGCATAAAAAGATGGTGAAATAACCATCATTTGACGGTCACTCCTGAATTCAATTGTTTGCCCCATGAGCATCAACCAAACCTTTCACCTTCGTGGAGCGTTTTCCAGAGCCTCGCCGACATCAGTTCCAACTCGTGATGAGATTACACAGAACAGCAGAATGTAGTCGCTGTCTTCAGGAATGGACACCTCACGTTGGCCCCGTCTTTTCAAATCGGTAACCATGGGAAGATGGGCCCCGCTGGGTTTCCCTGACAGGTGTACATAGAACTTTTTCCACTTCACTAAAGATAGAAAAGGGAAGTTTTTGTTTAATTGAAACCATCATTAGAGAGAATAATCTTGCAAAATAACTGATCAGTGCATGAAGTGTACCTGAAAGTAGCTTGCAGGTGAGCTCAGCTAAAAAAAGTGAACGTGAATTAGTTCATTTAAACCTTGTTAACTGTACTTCGGGCTCACTAACTTTAAGTGTGAACTTACACAGCACTGCACATTCAGCCTTCAACAGTGGCTGGCTTGTTTGCTTAGCTACAGAAACTTGTCTTTTTAATCTAAAGCAGTTATACATATAAAGAGTAGAGGCTGCAGAACTAACTACTCTGCCCATTTCTCTGCATTATGTAACGTTGCGGTCACAGTCCAGCAGGCGTCCATCATGGAAGAGACAGTCCACAACCAGGTGGACGTTTTGGTTGTTTACCAGTTTCTCTCTCTTATCCACACTGTAGTTATGATTTAAGGTGTGATGCAGCACCACCAGTACTACTGGTTTATTACCTGTAAAACAGCGACATCACAATGAAAACGTAAATGTACAGCTGTTTGTTTTTTCTCAACCTGTAGTCCATATAACTGGCAAATGGTGGTTAAATGTGAATTATTCATAACTTTGGCCAATCAAGCAAAGCAAAGCAATGTGAATCCAGAAAACCATTTGGCAGTAAATTCTGGCGCTGTGGACAGGTGCTAAAAGTTTAAAAGAGAAGACTTAAAATGACTTGTAAAAGTAAACAACAAAGTAGCTTGAGCCGTTTGATTGATATGCCTTGTTTTGGATAAATCTATTGCCTACCTGGAACACTCTTCAGGGCCTCACTGATGTCCGTTTTTGCTTTCGTAGTGACTGGACAGAACAACAGAACGTAGTCGCTCTCCTCAAGAGAAAACACCTCCGTTTGGCCGATCGATTTCAGTTTTTCCACCAGAGAAGAATGAGCCCCATCAGTTCTTCCTGACAGGTTGACAAAGAATTTCCTCCAGGATGCTGCGGAGAGGAAGGAATATCTGAGATATCATGACGTGATGTTTTTAAAACCACAACACTGGACCGAGGCTAAGGTGTGAATATGGAGCACAGCCACCCCACTTAACCAAAGTCTGGCTCTCTGCTTCTGATAGAACTCACATTCTGAATGTACGGATATCACAAGGGCTAACAGGTATGTCAGAGAGGCTTTTTAACCATGATATAAATGACAGAGTGCAGCAACCAAGCTGCATATTACGTCTGAAGGAGAGGTTAAGGTTTACATGTGTCATGTTCCAGCCTATCCACCTTATTCCTGAGGTTGCTAATGTATTTACGATTATGGATGAAACTTCCAGTGGTTTCTCACAGTGGCTAATCTTAGTGGCTGAGTATCGTTAGAAGTTGCTTCAAATCTAAAATACCTCATACCACCTCGTTTTAAACGTACTCTAAGTTCTACTGAGTGTAACAAATTTGGAAATGTCTTTATGTAGTTCTGGTACATACAGCACCGTCCGCGGTTGTACTAACAACCAGACAAAGTAGAGTTTATGGCTTGAGGAGCACTCAAATCAAAGAAGGAGTGTTCCTGTGAGCCTTGCAACTAATTTCATCATCTGTCTTCCGAGGAAGAAAAAAAAGGACAGGCTGAAAAACCCAAACCAGAAGAAACAACCAAGGACTCTGTATGCCTGTTTATTTCATTTGGTCAATAAAAGGCAGATGGATGAAAACCCATATAGTACACCTACATTAGAAAACTACCCATGATTTAAAAAAAAAACAGTCACAGTGATTTAAATTTGTTATTTAATAATTTTGTTATTAAAACGTGAGAAAATCTGACCAAATACCAACACACCTTCCTCAGTATTTCAGCTGCATGGCTGCAGGACCGTCCTGGTCCTTCAATACATGAGCAGCCAGCTGTGTGTATTTCACTTGGAGTTGATGCTAAAACCTGGGCACAATGATGTGGGATAGTGAGGCTCTGACTCACCTCTACATTTGCTTTCAAGAACATAAGACAGTGTCCAACCTCTATTATCGAAAGACAATCAACCTTGTAACTCTACAAGTACTGAAAAGCCTCAGCCACCTCATCTACAGCAACAGAGCTAACAAAGTAGCTAAAAATGCTGGTTTACATTATTTGAGGCCTCTTCTTTATATCATCCTCCCACCCCAGGATAGAGGGGGACAGCAGAATGATACCATTGTCCCGTTTAAGGTATGACAGACGATGTTACCACATTTTTTTAATCTTCGATCGCTCTCATAATCACAGTTTGTGTACAGTTACCATGGAAAATGCTGGTTACATGTCCAGTGATAGAATGCAGCAGAAGATGCACCCAAAATTCATGCAAGGCATCATGAGGGCTGGGAATAAGGTGGATAGGGAAACCTAGACACAGCACTACATGTGAACTGGATTTTTTCCATTTCTAAGAAAGCCATAAAAATAGTTGACATCAATCAGTTTGTTAAGTTACAGTTCGATCAGTCCTTGTTGGAGTTAAAAAGCACAGATTTAAAGATTATAAGGCAAAAACAAGTCGTCTGTTGGTTAAGATCATTTTCATAACCTTATCCCGCTTTGAAATTACTGTATTAAATGACGGCTGTGAATTTCTATCTCTGAGCCTAAACCCCATGACTGAAAAACAGCCAAGCTGATATTCATTTTATCTCTCCTATTGTAATTATCTTTAAACATCGCAGACAACTTCAGGAAACATTTATCGTCTTACCTGGGACCATTTTCTGGTTTGTATCTCTGGAGCGTGGATTAGATAAGAGAATTAACATATGTCAGTGACAATAAAGCTTGTAAAGTAAAGCTGCTCTACATACAGCCTAAGAGACATACAGTTAGAAAATATATCATAATCTCTATAATTCTGTGAAGAGGAATTACAGGAGTTACCAACCTTATCAGGATTGTATAAAATTTGTCCTTATAATATAACAGATTGAAAACCTGTCTCTTAAATCTCTCCCAGCCTGAGCTTCTGCTTATCTCTGCAACACCTTCACTTCTGTTTGATCAAAGGGACATCATCTCAGGCTGATGGGCAACAAGGAAGTGCAAAGGTTATTATGAAGCAAGAGATAAGCAAGAAGTAAAGCAGGGGGGGTCACTGTAACATCAGTGGATTACTTAAGACGGCATGGATTATACTCGGTTAAAAATCACAGTTTCCCCACTTGAGAGCATCTTTAAGACCACCACGTTACATTTTTTCCACTGAGAGGGTTGCTGATGGAAACTCAGTGACTTTTTCTCCACTAAAGGTATGTCACATTTTCTCAGGATAAAGACAAATTTAGATTGTACATTTTTTCCCCGAAAGGGTACTTCAGATTATTGTCATCACAAAATGTGCACTGTAGAAAACTTCAGTAAGTTTTCTCTGATGGACGGTACCCAAGAGTTTGATTCACTACATTTTTGCCCTTAGATCCCCCCGTCTAGAGGCTACGTCATTAAGTAATTTGCCACTGTAGGCAGCCCTACGGTGCGCATAAAGGAAAAGTGGCTCATCTGAACACGCTGGGTAAATTTTAAAGAAGATAAGAATGTGGAAAAGACAAAAAAGACAGACATGGGTACACAAGTGCATTCACTGTACTGTTTTATTAGTTTCCTACAATTACTTTCCTTCATATTACAAATAAAACTCACATTTAATCAAGCTGTGGAATACAGGGTATATGTGACATGGTGAGTGTATTTTGTTCTTTAAGGTTAATGTGAGGAACGTTTTGCATGTCGACCTTTGGCGCCCCCCTGTGGTTATGTATGTCTGTGTAAAGCATATTCTCTAACAAAGACATCTTAACCCTGTCGTTTCAAGACTAAGACATCTTTATCAACCTTACAACCTCCACTGAGGCTGAAGCATCAAGCAGAAAGTACAATTTGTCCTAAATAGGGCAAAGTTTTTCTCACTGATAGACTTTATGGATCTTAATGTATCTTGTTGGCCTCAACAGCCCAGATAATTACAGCCACCACCACCACTCCTGCGCAAATGAAACCAGCAGAGATGAGCACCGTCTTCATATTGTTCCTGAAACCTGCAATGAAGAAAAGGAGGATTAAGAGTTTTTTTAAAACATTCAGAACTAAAATACAAAACTTAAAATCAGATAGACATAAATGTTTACAAATCACTCAAACTATCTCAATGAAATATACGAGTGAACTCAAACTTACAGTTAGTACTGGTGGGTCTCTGCAAGACAGACTTGAATAAAAAAAACAAAACAGATTTAACGTTATTAAACTGCAAAATTTCATGATATTAGTGCTTGTTAGTTTGGTTTAGTTAGGCCAATGAATGCAGCATTACCTGGACAGTATCCCTCACTCCGAGGAATTTCTTGATGTCATCCAATGCAATGTTATTGCGGTCACACTGCAGCAGTCGTCCCTCATGGAACAAACAGTCCACAACCATTTATAGATCATCTGCAGTCGATAAAAGTGTGATGTTTCTGAAAAATAACGGGGAAAGCGTAGTTGTTTCACACTCCCTCTAGTGTTGGCAAGAGGAAGTGAAAGCACTGAGGGGAAACAGGGTCTCTCACTCTGGATTTAACCCCTTACACAAAACACAAATGCATCAAATAACACTTTCCTGATATCAATGCTACTGTTAAGAGTCACCCTGGCTGAGTAACTCACATTCACAGGTGTTAATATGTCCATGTAGCAGTATATGAAAGAGCTACACACCTGCACACAAACTGTATATGGATGGGGGGAATGGAAGTGCTCACAAAGGAAGATACTGCTTTCTCTTATTCACTTCGAGCCCCACAATAACGGACAACTAAAAAAGTCCTTTAAATTCATCTGAGAGGCGAAAATTCAAAATATTAAGTGGAAGTTATTATGGAGTATGAATAAAAAAATATTATGTCACCAATAAGATAAGAGAAGTCTCCTTTAGTATTGTTCATTTGATTTATCCAGTCAAAAAAAATAATACTTGCTAGATTTATAGAAATTGAGGAAATGTTTGTTTTTGTACACACAAATATAAATATAATATAAAAAAATATACATTTTTCTGTATGTTAAAAAAAGCTTTGAAGGCAGAGAAATGTTTTTGTTGAACCTTTTTATTTTATTTGGAAGATTCCACATACATAAATCCAAATGGACTGGGAGGAAACCATGTATTTAGCAATTTAAAATGGAATTTGGACATTATCGTGGGATACTGGAAGGAATTAGGAATCAAAAGGTAAAGAAAAGAGTGAAAATATGTGAAGCCTTAGGAGTTACATGATTTATGAACTGAACTTAATTGAGATATCCTTGGATATACTTTGTATATATGTAAGTGTATATTTGTAAATATGGTGTGCTTTGTTGTTATTTGTAATGTTATAGTGCGTAATATGTAAAATAAAATATTAAATGATGGGGTGCAGACCCAGAATTGAGACACAGCCATGGAGGCTAAGCGTCTTTGCAGAAGGGGTCATTCCATGTCATTCCATTTTGAAGTATAAAGGAAATGTTGAAAGGGCTCAGGATAAATAGCCTGGAATACTTCACAGGGAAACCTGCAACAAAATTTCAGGGTGCATAGGTAGAAGTTATTTGTCAACCATAGGTACCAGGACATGCAGGTATGTCCAAATGATTCTCCCATGAAGCTACGATCATTTATATTCTGGATATAGGTGCAAATGGAAATTAAATGCGATGGAAAACTGAGCAAAAATAAGCTGTTCTATTCTTTGCAATATGAGGAAGTAATATTTTACACAAGCAGGCAAGTGGGGCTGACTCCAGATGAGGTCAGGACTGTATAATGTGCCAAATATGGCGATTTTCCACCTAACATACCACACATTTTGACTTATTACTCAAAAAGTTATGGGATGCCCATCCTGAAACTTGCAGGGATGCTAGTGGAAATGATAGTCTTTCTTTAGTGTGAATATGAAGAAAATTGAAGGATGCGCGTTTTTTGCTATTTCCAATTTAATTTTTTGGTCTTTTATAATTTTTTTCTGGTCCAATTTGGGGAAAAAAGTTATGAACAAAAAGAGAGAACTTGAAGAGAGCTTTAAAATGACACCTGAATGTGACGTAAGTGGAGATTCTTGGTTGAATTGACATGGAATGACCCGAAGGAGTGAGCTGTGGGTCGGAAGGCTCTCACACTTTCTCTCTCTCTCCCCCCACCTCTCTCCCTCTCTCACCCTTCCTCTCTCACATTTCTTCCTCCGTTAAGAAACAATGAAAAGTTTCTTAAATAATTGTAGTTTTTATAAACCAGCACGAATCCAGCGCAAATGACTCCAGCGATGAGTATCTTCCTGTTCTTCCAGAGCCCTACAATGAAGAAAAGGAGGATTATGAGTTATTTTTAAAACATTTAGAACAAAAAAAAACCTTCGAATCAGATAGACATAAATGTTTTCATATCGCTCAAACTATGACATGAAATATACAAGTGATCTCAGACTTACAGTCAATAATGGTGGGTTTCTGTAAGACAGACATGAATAAAAAAAAAAAACAGATGTAATTTTATTAAACTGCATAATTTCATGATATAGGTGCTTTTAAGTTCGGTTTAGTTAGGCCAATGAATGCAGCATTACCTGGACAGTATCCCTCACTCCGAGGAATTTCTTGATGTCATCCAATGCAATGTTATTGCGGTCACACTGCAGCAGTCGTCCCTCATGGAACAAACAGTCCACAACCAGTACGACATTTGGGTCTTCCACCAATCTTCTGCTCTCAGCTGTGATGTAATCACAATCAAAGGTGTGATGCATCACCACCAGTATCACTTTTTTGCCACCTGTAAGCACAGAGATTTTACATCTGAAATTAGTCTGTACAGGATGAAATTTAAGTCAGGGGGCTGAGTGATTCTTACTGATCTGTAGCTCATATGATCACATGGGGGCTGCAGAACAATTTTAAAGCACAAAATATTCAACATCCTGGTTACAAAAATCTATCAACTGATTCAATTTACTCTTTAGTTCAAAGGAAAGATACAGATGCATAAAGAGATGGTGAAATAACCATTATTTGACGGTCACTCCTGAGTTGAATTCAGCTTGTTTGCCCCATGAACATCAACCAAACCTGTCACCTACGTGGAACGTTTTCCAGAGCCTCGCCGACATCAGTTCCAACTCGTGATGAGATCACACAGAACAGCAGAATGTAGTCGCTGTCTTCAGGAATGAACACCTCACGTTGGCCACATTTTTTCAAATCTTTAACCATGGGAAGATGGGCCCCGCTGGGTTTCCCTGACACGTGTAGATAGAACGTTTTCCACTTCACTAAAGACAAAAGGAAAGTTTTTGTTTCATTGAAACCAACATTAGAGAGAATAATCTTGCATAATAACTGATCAGAACATTAAGTGTGCCTAAAAGTAGCTTGCAGGTGAGTTCTTATCTTTGAGAGAGGACATATATGTGCAGCTATAAAAAAGTGAACGTAAATTAGTTCATTTTAAATCATGCTGACTGAACTTTGGGCTAACTGACTTGAATGTCTTTCAAAATGCAGCTCAATACTACCACACTGTCAACATTTTCTGGATATTTTACCATTAAAACAAACAAATAAGAAATATGACTTTTTTATGTCTTTGCATCAGCTCTGAGTTTTATTTAGAGTTGATTTTAATTTAGATCCTGGATCCTGCTGTCAAAAAGCACCCCTGTAATCACCCAGACCATTAAGTTAAACATCAACAGACTCTTATTGAGATAAGTGACACATACAGATTAACTCGTGAAACAGGAACAGAAAGTAAAAAGAGGGCAGAAAAAAACATTGTTGTGTTGTGATATTGTGCAGTTTCAGTTAAATTGCTGTGTAATTTGGTTAACAAACTAATAAAACACCTGTAGTCTGTTGTCGAGGTTGTTATATTTGACTAAATATCTGCACAACTGTGATCTTTAAACTCCTGATTTTATCATTCACTCTGATGTGCCAAATCATCAAACATAAAACACAACTCCATTTCTAAAAACACATCATATAAGTCTCACCAGCTGGTCCTTCTTGGTCCATGTTCCTGCAAAAGAAAATTAAAGAAAAGCAGATTAACCTCGAATCATTTCACAGAGCCGAAAAAGTGGCAACGATTTGCTTCACATGCTGCTTCGTCACTGCTTCTCCACAGACACTCTCAGCCAGCAGAGAAAAACAGTTACAAATACCTCATGAGAGTATAATCTCTATGATTCCGCTGCATTGTGGAGATTCCGCAGATATTAATCACTTGAAATAACTTCTACTTACGGAAACGATTGATAATTCTTTTGTAAAGTCTCTGGCATGCCTTTCCAAGCCTGAGCTGCTGTCTGTGTAACACTTGAAACACTTTCACTTTCCTTTTCACTCGACGCAACGTCAACTCAATGACAAAGGAAAAGGATGTGAGACTGAGTAAACCTGCCGGTATGAACCGAGAGACAAGAAAGACACACAGAGTCAGAAATTAGCGTAACACGACATTTATGGATCATCTGCAGATGATTAAAGTGTGATGTTTCTGAAAAATAACGGGGAAAGCGTAGTTGTTTCACACTCCCTCTAGTGTTGGCAGGAGGAAGTGAAAGCACTGAGGGGAAACAGGGTCTCTCACTCTGGATTTAACCCCTTACACAAAACACAAATGCATCAAATAACACTTTCCTGAGCTCGTCCTGTACATGTGCAAGTCATGTCTCCTAACAAATAATCTCGCACTGATATCAATGCTACTGTTAAGAGTCACCCTGGCTGAGTAACTCACATTCACAGGTGTTAATATGTCCATGTAGCAGTATATAAAAGAGCTACACATCTGCACACAAACTGTATATGGATGGGGGTAATGGAAGTCCTCACAAAGGTAGACACTGCTTTCTCTTATTCACTTAGAGCCCCACAAAAACGGACAATTAAATTAGTCTTTTAAATTTGTCTGGGAGGCAAAAATTCAAAATATTAAGTGGAAGTTATTATGGAGTATTAATAAAAGATATTGTGTCACCAATAAGATAAGAGAAGTCTCTTTTTTTTTTGTTCATTTGATTTATCCAGTCAAAAAAAAATACTTGCTAGATTTAGAGAAATTGACAAAATGGTTTTTTTGTTGTTTTTTTTTTTTTGTGCACACAAATATAAAGGACATTTTTCTGTATGTTGAAAAAAGCTTTGAAGGCAGAGAAATGTTCTGGTTGAACCTTTTTATTTTATTTGGAAGATTCCACATACATAAATCCAAATGGACTGGGAGGAAACCACGTATTCAGCAATTTAAAATGGAATTTGGACATTATCGTGGGACACTGGAAGGACTCAAGGATCAAAAGGGGAAAAAAACACTGCAAATATGTGAAGCCTTAAGACTTATATAACTTATGAACTGAACTTAATTGAGATATCCCCAGTCTGATATATATATATATATATATATATATATATATATATTGTATGTAAGTGTACAACTGTTAATATGGTGTGCTGTGTTGTGTGCTTTGTTTTTCTATGTGTTGTTGTAGTGCATAATATGTATAATAAATTTAGAAAAAAAGAAAAAGCGTGCAGACCCTGCATGGAGACACAGCCATGGAGGCTAAGCGTCTTTGCAGAGGGAGTGAGCTGTAGGATGATAGGCTCTCACCCTCCCTCTCTCTCCCCCCAACTCTCTCCCTCTTACTCTCCATCTCTCTCTCACCCTGCCTCTCTTGCATTTCTTCCTCTGTTATGAAACCATAAAAGGTTTCTTAACCAGTTAAAAGATTTCTGAAACAGCAATCCAGCAATGACACAAGCAGAGATGAGCACCTTCTTCATTTTGTTCCAGAGCCCTACAATTGAGAAAAAGAGGATTAAGAGTTTTTTTAAAACATTCAGTACTAAAAAAAAAAGGAAAAAAATTCAAATCAGATAAGCATTAATGTTTTCATATCACTAAAACTATGAAATGAAATATACGAGTGAACCCAAACTTACAGTTAATAACGGTGCATATCTGTAAGACAGACATGATGAGTATCCACTTCATGTTCTTCCAGAGCCCTACAATTAAGAAAAAGACGATTAAGAGTTTTTTTAAAACATTTAGAACAACAAAAAAAAACCTTCAAATCAGATAAACATTAATGTTTTCATATCGCTAAAACTATTACATGAAATAATCAAGTGAACTCAAACTTACAGGCAATAATGGTGGATATCTGTAAGAAAGACTTGAATAAAAAAAAAAAAACAGATGTAACTTTATTAAACTGCAAGATTTCATGATATTAGTTCTTGTTAGTTTGGTTTAGTTAGGCCAGTGATGGCAGCATTACCTGGACAGTATCACTGACTCCGAGGAATTTCTTGATGTCATACAATGCAATGTCATTGCGGTCACACTGCAGCAGTCGTCCCTCATGGAAGTAACAGTCAACAACCAGTACGACATTTGGGTCTTCCACCAATCTCCTGCTTTCAACTGTGATGTAATCAGGATCAAAGGTGTGATGCATCACCACCAGTATCACCTCTTTGCCACCTGTAAGCACAGAGATTTTACATCTGAAATTAGTCTGTACAGGATGAAATTTAAGTCGGGGGGCTGAGTGATTCTTACTGATCTGTAGCTCATATGATCACGTGGGGGCTGCAGGACAATCTTAAATCACAAAATATTCAACATCCTGGTTACAAAAATCTATCAACTGATTCAAATCACTTTTTGGTTCAAAGGTAAGATACAGGTGCGTAAATAGATGGTGAAATTAACATAACTTGACGGTCACTCCTGAATTGAATTCAGCTTGTTTGCCCCATGAGCATCAACCAAACCTGTCACCTACGTGGAGCGTTTTCCAGAGCCTCGCCAACATCAGTTCCAACTCGTGATGAGATCACACAGAACAGCAGAATGTAGTCGCTGTCTTCAGGAATGGACACCTCACGTTGGCCACATCTTTTCAAATCGTTAACCATGGGAAGATGGGCTCCGCTTGGTTTCCCTGACACGTGTAGATAGAACTTTTTCCGCTTCACTGAGGACAGAAAGGTAAAGTTTTGTTATGTTGAGAGCAAGACAAGAGAGAATAATCCTGCAAAATAACTGATCAGTACATGGAGTGTGCCTAATAGTAGCTTGCAGGTGAGCTCTTATCTTTGAGGATGTGTGTGCAGCTAAAACAAAGTGAATGTAAATTAGTTCATTGTTAATCATGTTGACTGGACTTTGGGCTCACTGACTTGAATGTCTTTCAAATGCAGCTCAATACTACCACACTGTCAACATTTTCTGACATATTTTACCATTAAAACAAACAAATAAGAAATATGACTTTTTTATGTCTTTGCATCAGCTCCAAATGTCTTTTGGTCTTGATTTTAATTTAGATCCTGGATCCTGCTGTCAAAAAGCACCCCTGTAATCACCAAGACCATTAAGTTAAACATCAACAGACTCTTATTGAGATAAATGACACATACAGATTAACTCGTAAAACAGGAACTGAAAGTAAAATGAGGGCAGAAAAAAAACATTTTTTTGTGTCGTGTAATAGTGCAGTTTCAATTAAGTTGCTGTGTAATTTGGTTAACAAACTAATAAAGCACCTGCAATCTGTTGTCGAGGTTGTCATATTTGACTAAATATCTGCACAACTGTGATCTTCAAGCTCTCGATCACATGTACACAAACAAAATCATCAAACATGAAACACAACTCCCTCTCTAAAACATATCATATAAGTCTCACCAGCGGGTCCTTTCTGGTCCATTTTCCTGCAAAAATAGAAACAGATTAACCTCACATCATTTCACCAAAAAAAAAAGGAATACAACCGAAAAAGTGGCAACAGCTCTAACTAATGCAGACAGGAGGAGGACCCGCCCCCTTACCCAGAGAGCTGCTGACTGCTGCTGCCTTCACGGTCTTCAAGTAATTTTCTGTAACAGAGTGGTCCAATCCTTTTTGGAGAAAACAAGAGATACCAAGAGATGCAAATGCAGTAAAACATAGGATGCTTGTATTTCATTTGACACATAAAATATGAGCTAGTAAACATGTTTCTTGGTTGAACAGCAGTTCCTGACATGATAAGCTGACATAGTTTTATTACCTTTTGCAGTATTGAAGTAGATTTTCATGCTCATGGTGACTCACACTAAACACTGAGAGAAATTCATACTTCCATCTGTGCTTCAGCCACCAAAGTATGAGGTTTTATTTGTCTAGACTACAGATTTTCCTGCTTGGAAATGACTCAGTTACTATGGCAAGCTGAACCTGACCGCTCTGTCACTGTAGCTGGTGTTTCTGAAAAATGGTCCCTTCAGTCAAAATCTCACCTACAAACAGTGAACACTGACACTCTTCTGGAAAGGAGAAAATCGTGAAACTGACATTATGCCTGCACTACACAGACAGGTTTTCATGATTTAGATAATGAACGACAACAATAGTCCAGCAGCCAAGTACAATTTTTAGCCAGAGTCGTTCAGTTGGTGATACAAGCATGAAAACTGGCATGAACATTCTCCATGGGTCACTTGACTACAAAAGTGTCCCAGCCATTTGAAATTTCAAGATGGCGGCCATTTTTCAAGATGGCCGCCACCTAGGTGGAACCATAGACATAATACACGTAGACGCCTCAAAGCCTGATGCTGCCTACTGGAGTTTAGGTATCAGCGTCGTCCCCCATGCACCTTCAGTGCACTAAGATAGATGGGAGTGCCCAACCATATCAATTATAACTCACCGAATCTCTGCCCGATTTTCACACTATTTGGTTTGTTAAAATGTCAGGGATGTAGCCATTATACAGAACAATGTCACACATTAAAAATAAACCAAATTATTTTTCAATCCTATTTGTAAAATGTAATGGTACACGATCTGGTTTCAATACTGTGTTGGGTTTTTCAACCATGGAGTGCAAACATACGGGCGTAGTTGCTCGTTCTCCATTTGCCCCGTTTGGCTCTTGAGTGAGCCTGTAGTAGGGGAGACCCATCCAATATGGCAGGGGCGCTGGATTACGATCCAGCACGAAATGAGGCGTCGACGCGTATAATGTTAATGGGTGGAACAATTTAAGTTCATGATATAGGCATGAAAACTGGTATGAACAGTCTTCATGAGTCACTCAACATGAAAATGCCCCAAGTTGCTTGGAATTTCAAGATGGCAGCCATTTAAAAGATGGCAGCCATTTAAAAGATGGCAGCCATCTCATTACAGCAGTGATATCATGTAAAGATGGTGATATAAATATGAAAATTGGAAAGACCATTCTCCATAAGTCAGTTCACAAGAAATTGCTTGACTGAAAGTCAAGTGACCCGTGGAGAATGCTCATGCCAATTTTCATGCTTGTATCACCAACTTAACCAATTATGTCACTTATCTGCTCCACAACAATGGGAGGCTACAACTTAATGCATGCATCAAGTTTTCTCAATTTTGCATTTGCACATGAGCTTCATTTTACAGAACTAATGTTGCATGATACTAAAGGTAGTCATTCCTCTTTGAGTCAAGTAGACACTGGACGATTGTAGCCGAGTAAAAGTGAATATTTCTCCAACACAAACAGTACATGCTGCCACTCAGGTCAAGCAAAAATACTATAAACTGGATCAGAGCACCTTAGAAAAGTTACTATTATTATTATTATCATTAATCAATTAATCAAACTTTATTTTTGAAGCACTTTTCAAACATATAATGTAGCACAAAATGCTGTCCATTCAAGCAGGATATTAAAAACACTGAAATAAAATAAATAAAAATACAAATACAAACCCCCATGCACCCTCCTAACCCACATTTAACACATCCAGCACTCACGCGCTCACACACACAGATGCATACGCAGACCAGGTGAGGACTCTTCGACTTGCCACAGATGACTGAGGAAACGCTATCTTGAATTAAAAGAAAAGAGGAAACTCTGGATCTTAGAATAAAACGATAAAACCATTATAAAATATAATAAAGGTGATAAAGCATTAAAAGTTAATTGAATAAAACAGTCTTCAAATCAAACAATAAAAGAAAGCAAATTAAAAAAAGAGATAAAACTTAAAGTAGTCACTCTACAGCTAAAAAAGGGTAAAGTCATGTAATGCAGATTAAAAGATTGAAACAAAATTTAACTAAAAGCCAGACTAAAAAGGTAGGTCTTGAGTTTACCTTTAACATTATTATTATTATTAATAATAATAATAATGAGGAAGAGGTACCTACAGTCATAGTTTTTCATTTTTCTGCATGTAACACACTGAAGTGATACATTTCCGACAGACAGTGAAGGCATCAGCAGATGCGGGTCTTATTTGTTCTCTCCAGCAGGAGGGCGTTCCGCTGTTGAAGACACAAATACAGTGTGCTGAATTATGCCGGCGTACGTGCGTGTGGCTTCATACGTAGATGCTGTCAAAGCTTCGGGTTTGTCTTAGAGGCTCAGTGACACCCGGATCAGGCCTTCCTAGATGTTAGCCTTCCTGGTGGTTTCACTGCCGGGGAAAAGGCGACAGAGGAGGCCGGGCTCGAAGACATGGAGGCTAAGCGTCCTTGCAGAGGGAGTGAGCTGTAGGACGGTAGGCTCTCTCGCTCTCTCTCTCTCTCTCCCTCTCCACCTCTATCCCTCTCTCTCCCTCTCCCTCGCATTTCTTCCTCCGTTAAGAAACAATGAAAGGTGGACAGGTCAGGTAAACCCCCTTGTAGAGCCTTGTAGCTGTAGTTTTGGTTGTAGCTGCAGTTTTCTGATGTCTTTTCCTCTTCTTGACTGCCGTGGTTGAAACCAAAATCTTATTTTTATCCACACAGACAATGATGATGGTGGTTTTGAGTCTTTTCGCCTCAGTCCTGGAATGGCCGTTATTAGGGGTCTGCTGGACCCAGAAAAACAGGAAAAACATCATGTCCCTCTTCGGTACTTTCACCGTGTATCTTTTTTTCAGCGCTTTGTGCAGTTTTCGACTATAAAAGCAGAACACAGTAGCCTTAAACGCGCCATGAGAGGGACTCCTTCACATGCAAACACTGATCAGATGATGGAAATACACACACACACACTGTAAACACAACAGTGCTGCAGAAAACACTGAACCTCAACTACTCAGTGCATGTCAGCTAAACAGATAGTTGCTTCTTTACAGGGGCTTTTTGGGGCAATCTCTGCAGAATCTAAAATATTAACGACCTTTATTATGCTGCAGAGACATTTGAGATCATATGCACAGATAGATCCAACAGTGTAGTGTGTGAAAAGTGAAAATAGTTCAAACTTGATTGTTACAGCAGGCAGATTTGTGTTGGATAGTTCTCATCGGGCATAAAGAGACAAAATAATAGGGGAGAGTGGGGTAAGATGAGCCATTTTTCATATTTCTGACCACTACATCAAGGCAATCATAGTTTTGTCTCTAACTAGTGTATCTGCATATATTTCAAGATGTTGTTCATCCCTGCAAACCAACAGAATGAGTGTAAACATAACTGTCTTGATAATATAGCATGTCAAAAAAAGTGGTCTCCTATGGTCAACTTACCCCGTGTATGGGGTAAGTTGACCATAGGAGCGGGGTAAGTTGAGCCGTATATCTACTGCCCCCCAACTCTCCACCCCAGCTCTCCCTCACCTTCTCTCTCCCTAAATAACACTCACTTCTTCACATTCATGTGTATTTTTATTTATTATACGCTATTCAACTGCTACAATAATTCTTTTTATTATTAAAATGGCTTTTGTAAAAAGCCATTTTAACACGAGAATGTCTTTAAGTGATTCAGAACATTCACAGCTGTATTCTTGAAAAGAAAAAGTAACACATTTCAACAATCTGAACTGAAACTTTGATCCTTTGATCAGACTTCTTTACTTTCTCAGTTGAGCCACTGGATCAGTGACTTTATTAGTCCTCTAAGGTAAAATGGTGGACTTTTATGCCAGGTTTATGACCTCATGTTGCAGCTCATAGATACCACAATTGATGTATAAAACAAATTTAAAATTATCTTAAAATGATTCTAATAAAACTTATGACAGACTAAATTCACTTTCAAGAGTGAAAAATGTTTTTTTTTTTAGAAATAAATGTCTAACCCCTTCCCCCATGTGCTTCTAACCTTCACAGACTCCATGAATTGATGCCCATCTCCTAAATATTTGGTCACATGATCAATTTCTTTTACCATTTCAAAGCAACAGGGGGTGGCTCAACTTACCCCACTCTCCCCTACAAGTAAAACGCAGAGAATAAAATGAAAAATAAAAACACTGATTCCCTGAATAGCCTCAAAGATCCAATACTACAATGCACCTGTTTGTTTTTATTATGAACAGTGTATTTGACTTGAATTTGCCTATGAAGTGCTAACCTGTTGTCCACTCCACCTCACTCACACACACACATTCACAATCTCTTCACTACAAAGTACTGCTGCTGTCCAGTGTTTGTTTACACCGTATCACATTGCATTTTGAGGCTGCTGTAAACTGCATTTAAATCTGAAATGATTGTAAATTTTAGAGGATATTAAAAAGTTGAACTCTCACCATCATGATTTTGTTGTGTTGTTGTCTTTGGTATCAGTATAATAAGATCACAGCTCTGCAACTATAAACAAGAGTAAATGTCATAGCAGCGGTTTTACATCAGATGAGTCCAAAATGTGACAGGTTGAAAGGTGTTCTAAATGGATATGAACAATGAGTTTAATAATTACTTTTTAATCTGGAAACACACTTTATCATTGGTTTCTAAAAGTTCATATTTGGAGTGTGATGAGCTGTTTGAAGTCATAATAATACAGTGTACCAGTGCTTGAGGCTGCCTGAAGTAGTTTGCTGTATGGTCCAGCAGAGGGCGCTCTCATCATAGCCTGGCCAGTCTATGACTCTTGACCTCAGTGAACTAACACAGTGATTATGTTTTCAAAAAATGGTCATGGAAAGCCACATTGAGTTGACGTTGTACACATTGTACAAAGCAGCAACAACAGATTTTCGGGCTCACCTGATGGTTCGCTGCCATGGCAACTAAAGATGCACCATCATCGATTGGTACAAATGCAAGACTTTAACTTCGTATGACAGCCTTTTAACGGCAAGTAGCTCGGAAACAGGCCGTCACCCATAAGACAGCAAAATTCAAAAGTATCCAAACATTTGCGCGGTCTGGTATGACGGTCGGGGTCTTCATTCATTTGAAATTGATATTTTGAAGAAAAAAAAATCAGCTGATACTGCACTACAGCCAGTCACCAGGGGGCGCGCAAATGTTTTGGCTTCACTCAAGGTAGCTGCTGTGCTGTCCCTGATTTAGCGATTTACAGCAGTGGCTCATAGCATTAAAATAAAACACAGTTATGATTATAAAACAAAGTGAACCAAAGAAAAACATCCTCAAACTTTTATGTTTTTACCTGAAACCACGCTTGTCTCTCTTGTGTGTTTTTGCAGTGGTGATTTCTACAGAGTGACAGCTCTCATGTTATCAACCCTGCCCACATTGGAGGGGATATGTCACCTTTGTATGTGCCACGAAAGAGAAAATCTGTCCAGTCACAACCGAAAAGTGGAGTGCCATGTCCAGGTAAAAAAAAAATCCATACATTCAGTCTTTGTGAACAGGGCACAGCTGACTTTGGTGTCACTTTTGTTTCTGGAGATCAGATACCTTCATGTCTCACTGTGTGTGTTTCTATGATTTTAAATGTCAAATCCTCCACAGTTGTTCAACGAATGCCAGAGAAGAGCTGTGATTCAAATTCAGTTGGATATCCCAAGGTGAGTAATTTTATGGTTTACTCAGTAAGATGACATACTCAAGGTTTGATCTCTGCTTCACAGTCCTGCTCTGAAATGTTTCAGGATGATGAGTCTGAAGAACAAGAGGCAGTAAAGATGAAGAGAACATACGGCAGAAAAAGGTGAGACACGCAGGAGGTACAGAGGCCAGAATTGTTTTCTGTTCAGGTATTTCAATATGAGCTCCAACGACAAATTCTTGGGTTTTGGTGTCTGCCTCAAGTGGACACTTAAGAAACTGCAGTTTTTTGGACTTTTGACTCCAGGAGTGTTTAGTGGTGAAAAAGTGAGAGTTCACATTTATTTGAAGGAATAGTAAGAGTGGAACTTTTTTCCAACAGGTACGAAGAACTCCAGAGCGTTTCCATGGGAACAGTCGACTACCCAACCACCAGCTGCTTAGTCATGTCATCAGGTGGTCTTTCAAATGGGGCAGATCCTGGTTCCATGGCTCCCCCCACTGCCAGGTTGCCTCAAGACCAGAGCTGGAACTCCAACAGGGACCGTGGTCCCGACGCCTGGGCTCCAGGTAGAGACCGAGGGCAGGACCAGGTCTGGAACTCTGGCAGAGACCGAGCGGGACACTCCAGTCAGGACCAGACATGGATTCCAGGCAGGGACAGGGCCCATCCAGGACCAGACCAGGCGTGGATGTCAGGCAGGGATAGAGGTCCGGAGCAAGGCTGGGCAGCCGGCAGGGATCGAGGTCAGGATCAGACCTGGAATGTAGGCAGGGATCCTGAGAGAGACCGGGCTTCATCAGGGCCAGAGCAGGCATGGGGAACCGGTCAGAACCAAGACCAAGACTGGAGCAGAGACAGGGGACACGTCTGGAGACCAGGTACACATTCATCACCGCTGCACACCTGATTTCTAGTTCTAGAGTTTTAGTTTTGTTCTGTCCGTTTATTTGGTATCAGTTTAGTTAAAAGTTGTGTGTTTGAAGTTTGGGTCTGATGTACAAACCAAATCAAGTTTGTCCTGAACTTTGTGCATGTCGAAAACTTGTGAGTTATAGTTTTGAAAACGTTCAACTTTGACATATTTGTTGACAGGAGTGTTTTACTTTTTTTTTTTTTTTTTTTTTGCTGTTTTGAATAAAAACACAATATTTGAGTTCAATAGACTCTAATTTTTCTTGATTTTGGAGACTGACTTCTTTCTGCCCATCTTTCTCTCGAGACTTGAACATGAAGAAAGTCCACAGAGGGGAGATGGAGCGAAACCAACCTGCCAATAACTTCACACAGCCAGCAGAGGGCAGAGATTCGTGTAAGTAACTGTCCCGCCTGTATATGACAGGCTGAAAGTGAGAGACACAGATCTAGACTTACTTCTAGTCTCTGGAAACTAACTTACATTACAGGATCACAATGAGCATTTTGTAGTCTATTGATGAGCACAGAATAATGAGCTTAATCAATCTGAAGGGGTTTGCTAGCTTCCATATTCAATACCACAGATGTGACATGTGTCTGCAGTCTGGTAACACATTTCTCAGACATATTAAAACAAACATCTTCATCACAGGTGGCAATGCTTTATGTATCAGTGACAGGAAAAACCTCTATGACTGTCAGAATATGTGGTGAGTCAGAAGGAAAATTGAATGAAACAGTGAATATTACAGGTTCAAATGCAGCCATTGTTGGAGAAGCCTCAACAGCCCATTCCAGCGAGGACCAGAAACCCCCCATCATCTCCACCAAGAAGGAGCCTCCTACCTACCCACCAGGTGAGACTAAATGACCCAAAGAGCGTCAATAAGAGGAGCGAATTCCCTCTACCTTTGGATGTTTAACCTTTTCTCTTTGGTTCATTGACATGACCAGGAAGTCAAGAAGAGCGTTGGCAGCTCCAGATTGTGGCCAAAGGCAGAGTCACATGTCCAAAATGTAAAAGTGTGAGCAGGAAGACCGTGGAGGGGCTGAAGAAACACATGGAGAACTGCAGACTGGTGAGAACTCTGGGCTTAGTGTAAATGACGAACCTCCTCGTGATGAAATGATGCTAATTTAGTAGAGTGAAAAAAAATCTGCTTCTTGGATTTATTTGGATTTGCCAATGTAGGTACTGTGTAAAACAAAAATCAACGGATAGGCCTAGAAAAGTTATAATTTTGAATATGCACAATAAGTACTTCTCTCATGTTGTGCTTCTGCTCCTCCTATTTCTGCTGTCTGATTTTACAAGAGTCATATTCAGTATCTTTGCTGATGCTCTCCCTGCCTTGACTTTTCATGTATGCCAATGAAACAGTGTGCTCTCCCAGTCTCAGGTTTTGGCCTTCCTCATATGTAGACAGAAAGGCAGGGAGCTCCTAGAACAGAGCTGTACCTAGGCCTAGGATGATAATCAATGAACAAATTAACTAACAATAAATGGAAATGAACTCAGTAGTTTTTCCGGCCTGGATTTGTCGCCATGTGCATGAGTGTATTTGTTTTCCCCGTCCCGTGCCTCCAAACACGCTGGATGACAAGAGGGTTCACTCTGTGCATCAGTCTCAGCAGCTGGGCGTGTTTTTGCCTTTGTGGAATAAAATGAAGGGAGTGAACCATCTTGTCAGTCATTCAGGATCTTTGTATTTGTGGGGGGAGGCGGAGCTGATACAAACTGACTTTCGACTGACAAGAAGTATCGCCCTCCAGAAAATATGTGATACATTAGCATTACACAAGTGGTTATTTTGGTCTCAATAATGTCAACAATAATATCACTTATCATCAATATTTTGTGGGACAATATATCGTCCTGCAAAATTTGTTATTGTCCCAGGCCAACTAAGAAATAACTACTGCAACTACTGTGATCATTAATTGGTGGTATTTAATTGGTCCTGGCTGAACTGAGGTTTATGTTGACTAGTATTATTGGCAAAAAGTGCTGTTTTCAATGTCACTTTTTCATGTACGCAGCAACCCTTTACTTGTCAACACTGTGGGAAACAGCTCAAGTCCTCAACAGGGATGAAGTATCACGTCATGGCTGACCACAGTCACCTGGTGAGATGATTTGACACTTAATTACAAACTTCCTTCATTTCTTAAATTTCCGCTTTGTTTTGTTTTCTGTAACTTTTACACATAGTTTGCCAGATTTATATTTCTTGACTTCTTGATGCTTTGGGTACACTTTTCTAGTTTGTTTCCTTGTCTGTTCTCAGCCATCAGCTGATGATGCCAAGGACCTGGATGATCGAGTCATCAAAGACAAACTTCGGAAAATCCTGAAAAGACTGGGCAAATTAAAATGCTCCAAAGAGGTTAGTCTTGGGCGTTTAGATTCTCAATCTAATTTTTCAGATCCAGGGTAAATCTTTTCTCCTCTTTCTAATTCAGGGCTGTAATGCTGCATTCACCAGCATCATGGGCTATGTGTACCACATGAAAAAATGTGGGAAGGAGGAATCTGAGCTGGAGAAGATGCTGCTGAACTGTTCCCACTGTGGGAAAACATATAAGTCCAAGGCTGGCCTGGAGTATCACCTGAAATCAGAGCACGCTCCTGTTAGTCAAGTAAAACAAAGTACATCAGCATGCATTTACCTCAGACAGGGTGTTTTTAAGCATCCGTTTTTTCACCTCTAGACACCCCTAAAGAGTGAAGAAGATGATGCCCTGAAGGCCCAGAGAGAAGCCAACCCAGAGAGGACGGCCAGCGGCAGAGTGCAGCGAGCATCGGCTCAGGTGGCAAACTTCCATCTGGCTGAGATTGCCAACAATGAACTGCCCAAAGACTGGCCCAAGAGGAAGTTCCAGTCTGACCTAGTGCCGGATGACAAAAAGGTGAAGAAAGTTTGAAGTGCTATGTTGCAGCAGCTGTCGTTACTAGTATGTATTGTTTGATGATTGAGGAACAGGTTTAGGTCAGGTTGTAAAGAAGACACACATAAATGGGTTATGTTTTCTCTCCCTCTGACCTTCTCTAAGTGACTGTGTTTGTTTTACAGCTGAAATACTCTCGACCAGGTCTGCCGGCCTTCAGCCAGGAGGTGCTGAGGAAGTGGAAGAATGAGGTGAAGCTGCAGAGGAAAGTTCACTGTCCCAACCAGGTAGGAAACATCTCACAGTGTCAGCTCATGTTTAGGTTTGAGTGGATGGATACAGTTTTATACTTTTCAGTTTATTCCAGGATTTGTCCTGAAAAGACCTTGAACATTTACATAATTTCTAACTTTCTAACTTGTTTCATGTCCTCATTAGGGTTGTGGCTGCACCTACACCAGTGTGTCTGGACTGAAAGCTCATCTGGGACTCTGCACAAGAGTAAGACTCTTTCCCTTAAATTGACTTTTTCTTTTTTTTTTTTTTTGATGAAATGTTTTTATATTTAAGCATTTGAGCTCGTGATGGTCATTTTTTTCTTGTTGTCAGGGTGACTTTGAAGCCGGCAAATACAGATGTCTGATCTGCAACAAGGAGTTCAACTCTGAAAGTGGAGTGAAATACCACATCAACTCTGTTCATTCACAGGTAATCACACGTTTTAAAAACTGTCTTTAATCTTCTATGAAATTATGTTCTGTCTGGAGATGCGACTGCATGTGAAGTTTAAGTTCAGGAACCTTTGTAAGGTCACGTTTTACTCCCGTTTTCCTGACAGGACTGGTTTGTGACCAACAAAAAAGCCTCCAAGAAATTCGAAAAGTTCCTTAAAAGCCAACCCAAGGAGTTTACCCAAAACGTGAACAAGCAGAACATGGATCAGTACCACCACAATCACCTCCAGCACCATCAGCAGCACCACCAACACCACCACCATCATCATCATCATCAGCAGCAGCAGTTTCAGCACCAACCCCAACACCTGCAGCACCCTCTGCAGCCTCTGCACCACCTCCAGCACCAAACCCAGTTCCTCCATCCAGAGCACCAGAACCTCCCCCCACAAGTGAACACTCAGCTGCAGCAGCCCATGCTGCACTACACCTCTTTAGAGCCTCCGCCTGCACCCATGTGGGTGGACATGGACCGAGGGGAGGACGTGCCGGGTTCAGAGCAGGCGCCGATTGAGATGGACATGGATGAAAAACCAGTGGAGGACAACATCGAGGAGGTGGAGGAGAAAAGGAGCGAGAAGGTGGAGAGAAGGAAGGGTGACGGGAAGCAGAAGGACTGCTTTTCCTTTGGGAGCGGTGGCAGCTCATGTGGTGAATCAGAGGTGGAGCAGCAGGACAGGCAGAGACAGATGGACCAGTGGAGCCTGAAACGGCCAGGCGTCATGGAAGCTCACTCTGAGGCTGGAAAACGACCAAGAAACACCTAAAAACATTTTTTCTACATTCAGACACAGAGGAAGAAAGTGTTTGTCCAGCTTTATTAGATATGAAGAAAACAAACCTGTGTCTTTGTTTGCCACAGGAAAACAAAAACCCTCAAGAAGGCAGCAGAAGCTACAACCTGTAACTTTTGACAGTTGATGAAGCATTTATACAACAATGGAAACCTTCAGAAGAACCTCAATGTGGGAATAAAACTGTGTAAACTTCTGGTTTAGAAGCTGTTTGTCTTCAAATGGTGGTCAGTGTATAGTTTTGAGAAATGTAGTATACCGTTAATCTGTGTGTTTATGTGTAACAGATTCTCTCCACCAACGTTACGTGTCTTAATCTGTTTGATAAACCTTGTCGTCTTTCATGTTTACCTTAAAGGGAAAAAAGTTCCTGAAACCTGAGGAGAGGATGCTACTCTGTAGTATTTTGTTAGACATGTTTAGTCGCTTTCTTTCTCTATAAAACAGATTTTGTGCCTCTAAGTGTGATCTGTAGGACTTCATACTGTTCTTCAACAAACTTTTCTGGTATAATATGAAAGAAAAGTGTTTGGGTTCTGCTCAGACCAGCGTTTCCTGGAACATATTTTCAAAAAATATGGATCAGAAAAAAGTTAAATGCCTCTTGGTTCATGGTTAGCGTAAAGTATGATCTTGTTTTCCACGATAGAAGCACTTTGTTCGGCTGTCATGGTCATAGTTTGAGGCAGAGATCAAATAATCTTACTATCATTTAAGGGTTGATGATGGATAGTACCTATATTCTCAGAAAGACACTAAGCAGAAAACATATAAACAACATCTTTCATCCAAAAAGTTCCACCAACAGCACATTAGTTCTGAGTGATCTGAAATACTGTCAACACTATGACTAAAGCATTTAACATTTTATTTCTGTTCATTTTTGATCCACTTGTCTGTTTTTGTCTCACAGGTGATTTATCTAATAGCATGTAGCTCTGTGATTATGCACTCTGCATTTTGTACCTGAAATAGTGTCGTAAGGAAAAAGTTTGTCTTTCTTTTTGTAAAGACCTTTGGTAACTTCTTTTTGTATTCATGAATGTATTTGTTTCATTTTGTTCCCTTCTATGTTTAGCACTTTGGTGGTCTTGACAAAAAGACTGTTTATCATTTTTCTTAATCCGTCTTTAACAAATGATTGGCTGGTTCTGACTCTGTTTAAAGTGCTTTACAGTTATTTTCCTTCAGATGCCTTTAAGAAAAGCAACCTTTGCTTGCTTGAAAACAATCTCCAAACACATGGGAAGTGTTTCAAAAAGCAGAGTTTTAATGGGTTAATTAGTTTAAAAAAAAAAAGGCAATGACATGTAAAATCTTCCAAGAACTGGTTTGAACTTTCTCTGCTGCTGAGAGTCTTCCCTTGCCTACATTCGCTTGTAACCAAACTGTGCGTGCAGGATGACCCAGAGGAGAGCATCACTAAGCATTTAGACACTTTACAAGTGTCGCATAAAAAAGGAAGAGTGACCCAGGTCCCAACAATCAAACTTCTCATTTAACCCTTTAACCAGAAGTACAGTGGCCCTGAGGTAAAAAAAAAAAAAAAAAAAATGTTTATGAACACAGAAAACTAAAAAACTATATTTTTTGAATCGTTTTTCTCCAGAAATGCAAAAAACCCCACAAATACAAATTTATCAATCAAAAAATATGACACAAAGGATAGAAATGTTTCACAAATTGCAGAAAAATGTTGTGATATTCAAAATATCTATGACAAAAAATATTTCATGAAATAAAAACAAATTGCAAAATTATTAAAGAAATGCAACATGCCAAAAATGAACAACAAAAAAATTGTACAACACACGAGAACGATCACCATAAGACAGATACATTTCACACAACTCAAAAAAATTTGATGAAACATAAATTTTGTTGCATAGGCAAAAAATTTGAACTGAATGCCAAAATTATCAGAAATTAAAAAGAATTTAAGGAATCAATTTTTTTTATTTTTAAGGAATGTTGTAATTATTCAAGAAATAGTTTTACATCTAGTTCAATATTTTTTTTAGTTTTTTTGCGTTTTATGAACTGTTTGATGTCTCAGTCAGTATTTTCATTTCATGAAATATTTATGAATATTTTTCCATTTCAAGAAATATTTTTGAGTTTTGTGTAAGTTTGTTTGTTTTCACAACGGGTTTTTGTAGTCGTCCTTCAGGGCCACTGTACACAGTTCATCTCCTTGGTCATTTGCACCTCGGTCTTCCTGCTGCTGCTTTCTCTACTGTAGCATTTCTGCATCTTAGAGCACATTGAAGTTATTCAGATATAAATTAAATAAGAAGCCTGAATTGTTGGTATTTTGTTTCTAAATGCCAATAAACATGTTTTTACCTACCTTAGGAAATAGAACCAAAATTACTTCACTTTGTCATTGAATGTTATTAAGAAAAGTCCAACTTTTCAGGTGGGGATCTGAGAGGAAACAAATATTTTGTCTTAAACACTTGGAGTTTTGAAAACCAGGAACCATTTGTAAAACATGGTGGAAAACTTTGAGTTGTCCCTCTTCTTCTGAAGGAAAAAAAAAAGATGACTTTCAGAGAAAAGTGAAACTTGATGTGTTTTTGTTGAACATGGAAACTGTCAAAGTAAAGAGGCACTGTAAACTGAATGAAGGATGAAGCTAATGTAAAAGTCTTCTTATGTTTTGTTCCCTTTAACATTAATACCAAACTACAAACTCACAGCACACTTGTTGTAGGCCAGATCTGAATAAAGGTTCACTTTGTAATTTGTATCATTTGTAAACACATTTAAAAAGCACTTAATTTTAACATTTGTGGGACATATTTTTTATCAAGTGGAAATAGTTTTGGTTTCAGCTCCGCATTAAGAATCTGTACATTTAATATGATGTTTTTTTAGGAGTTATGTGCTGCTATTTCATAGTACCAGCAGTTAACCACAAATAATTAAAGTTTAATTCCTGGACATTTTGAGTGCTTTGTCTTTAATAATTAAACTCACCTGGTTCAGTTTGTATAAAACATTTGATCAACAAGACCCTGTAAAATGTTGGGAACAAAGACATTCCCTCACCCAATACAGATATCACAATACTGGCTCCAAACTGTGGTATTTTAATTTGAAGGTAACTAAGCTCCAAAATCAGATTTTGATTCCACTTTGACTAACCCCATTACAGATTTAAGAGTCCTCATGGTGGCGCTAATGGTTCATCCTGCACTTTTCCTTTTAGGGGAAACTTTATATCATCAAATGCCTTTATTCATCATTTTAGTTATCTGTAATTTAACAATCATTTAAAGTAGAGATTTTTCATTAATGAAAATCATGCATCTAGTATTTTGTCACTTCCTTATATTGTGTGGTATCAAGCCAGTAAGTAAAAGATTGTATCATATATTATTATATCGCATAGAACTGTATCTTATCTTATTCTAATGTATTGTGTCATATGTAGTCATATTGTACCATATATTGTACAGTATTATATTGTATCATTTAATTGCATTTTAAATAATCTAGTATCACATCTAATCATATAATACTGTATTTTACCATATTGTAGTGTATTTTGTCTTATCCTTTTGTATCGTATCATGTTGTATCATGTTGTATCGCAACGTATCGTATGATATTGTATTATATCGTGTTGTATCATGATGATCCGAAGAGTAGATGATATAGAAAACTGTACTGTTGGACTACCAAAGTTCTTCTTCATCCATCACCTGGATTTCTTCTATTTTAACCTGCTGTAATTATTGCCCTGTTATTAGTCTTGCCTTAATATGAAACTTTAGTCTTACCCTGCCCTGTTTTTGAGCAAGGTAACAACATTTTGACACCATCCAAACTTGGCCTCAGTCTAATTTTAGTTCATTTTAAAGCCAAAAACATGTGCAAAGGTTGGTCACTATACGGCAGGGCCTCATTCAGCACAATATCCTTTCTTTTTCTGCTTTTGACACCTTGAACTTAAACTAAACCTCAAAGTGAAATCACCCCAAGAGCTTACAGTCCACGTTAGGCAGTTGGGGGGTTCTAGAGGCCCAAGTTGGTGCAAGAAATTTTAAGCCAAACATAAAAAAAATTAGGCTCAGTTTATTTTAGCATTGTATGTTTAACAGAGCTATAATTTCGTGTTGAGCCGATAGGGGGCGGTGTGGCTCTCTGTGCTTGTACAGTAACATGGCGGGCTGATGTAAGCGGAATGTGACTTTCAGGAACCTAAATCATTGGATCCAACGCGGGTGGTGTTTACATTTTACCGCTCAAGAAAGTATAAGGATTCAATCTACAGTACGGGAATGTCTGAAAGACTCCGGTAACTGTCAGTAGTAGACGCTTGGGTGGTAGAGTTTGGGACTCGATCTCGTGTGGTCAGATTCGAGCTTTTCACAATCGGTACGCGGCTATTCAGCCTTTGCCACCGAGGAAGAAGCCTTCAGATCTCGCAGGGTGAGTTTTTAACGGTACTGGTTCTTATCACGATATTTACTGGCGGTTACAGGCCGGTTTAGGGTGCTAAAGTTTTTAACTGCTGCTGTAAACATGACTCAACTGCCACTTTAGCGAGTTAGCTTTAGCTAGCTGTGTGGTGTTAGCTTATAGCGTGGATATGTCACCGGGAAACAAACCAGTAATTTAAGTGTGTTATTTTGATATTTAAGCATGAGTGATGAAAGAAAGATGTGCCGAATTCATTTGTAGTTTGGTAAAAACCCAGGTTTGTAAGTCACAGCTTCTCTATTTGCAATACTACATCCTTATGCTAAGAATAGTCGAAATATTGAACAGGGTTTGGTTCGCCCGGCTCTGTCAGCGGTTACCGCATGTCACTTTGACTTCACTGTAATAACTTTAAACCTATGTTATCCACGTAGCAAGGTGTCATAATATATAAACTAAACTGGAAACTTCTCTCTTTTATGTCGTGATATCTGCTGTTCATAATGAGGTATAATGAGTTGACAGTCCAAGACTAAAGGAGGAAACACGGACTTATACGATGAAGCATTCTTTCCTGCAATTGTATATTTCTAGATGCTTTGTTTTACAGATATTAAGATGCTCTTCATTAAAGGTTCTTTTTTTTCTCTCTTTATATTTTGGTATAAAGAAAAGCTGAGGCCAACGGGAGGAGACACCTTTTCCACACATGAGGAGGCACCTGACCAGACATCTACAACAACAGAAACCCTATGGATCCCAGTGACTCTGGACAAGGTTGGACTGTCTTGACTTGCTGTAACATTTACCTGCCGTTTCCTCTCAACTGCAAAAGTGTCACAAGGGAATAATAATGCTACACTGGATCAAAAAAAGGCAACAATATTTGTCAAATCTTTATAAAAACAGGTTTTGAAATTATTAGTTGCCTATTTTGAGTAAAAATAGTGCAAAGACAAAATATCAAATACAGAAGCATAAAATAATTTTAATGAAAATGAAATGCCCTTTTGCAATTTGACACTAGTAACACATTGTAAACATTGAAAAGATTATGCATTGCCAATTGAAATTACTCGCCCAGAAGAACATCTCCCAACTTTTATACTGGATTTTAGACCAGCTACAAAAAAAAAACAACAACTTTATAATCTGGAGAACTTTATGTACAAAAGGGACAAGGTCAAAAAACAATATTAGCCAGCCATGATCGTCGGGCCTTCAGGTTGCACTGCAATAGATACATATGACTCTGTAGCGGAAGCCACTGCATGGGCCCAAAATCACTTCCTAAAAATGACTGCCTTTGAGCACAGTTCATCACTAAATCCACAAATGTAGGTTTACTGTATAATTGACGGCTGGGATTTCAGGAGTAATCAGTGTTCATTGTCTTGCTCAAGAGACCACGGCAGCTGCTGACTGAACTTTTAACTTCTCCCAATCCTTATCATTCAGCCAAGATAGCAGAGATTGAACAGGACCATGATCAGATGCAATAGTGTCACTTATGAAGTTATGACTTAGTGCTCACTTTCTTTCTGTTTTTAACACTTGCTTTGTTTCTCATGACTTGGTTTTGAAAAATAAATGTAAAATAGATGTTTTCTGAATTAAAGAATCTGTAGAGTGATAATCTTCCTGTCCTTTTAGGGCAAGAAACGCCATCAGAGCAGAATTCTGAATTAACTTTGAGCTCCAGAGGAAGGCAACGGAAGCCAAACTCCAGATATAAAGATTTTGAAACTGAGGACACATGTGATGTGGAGAAAAAATCACCTAGAAGGAGCTCAGAAGGGGGGAGAAGAGCGGCTGCTAAAAGGACTCCAACAAAGAGGGCAAAAGCTGATGATGACACACAGCAAACTGCAGATGAGGTAAAGGAAACAAACGATACGACACTTCAAGTGTCAGATGGAATAACAGCAGAAGAAACTCCTATAAAGACAAAAAGAGCCAGACAGACAAAAAGGACTCCTGTGAGAAAAACTCCTGCTAAAAAGACTCCAGCAAAGAGAGCAAAAGTCGATAATGACGCACAGCAAACTGCAGATGAGGTAAAGGAAACAAACGATACAACACTTCAGGAGTCTGACGGAATAGCAGCAGAAGAAACTCCTCTAAAGACAAAAAAAGCCAGACAGACAAAAAGGACTCCTGTGAGAAAAACTCCTGCTAAAAAGACTCCAGCAAAGAGCGCAAAAGTCGATAATGACGCACAGCAAACTGCAGACGAGGTAAAGGAAACAGACGATACAACACTTCAGGAGTCTGACGGAATAGCAGCAAGAGAAACTCCTCTAAAGACAAAAAAAGCCAGACAGACAAAAAGGACTCCTGTGAGAAAAACTCCTGCTAAAAAAACTCCTGTCACTGATGGGGACCTCCAGACTGTGGAGGGTGGAGTCACTGACGCAGCGCAGCAGGAGAATGGGACACCCAAGCCAAAGAGAAAAAATGTGGAGAAGCAGCATGTGCAGGAAGTGGAGCCTGCGCCAGAACCGACACCATGTGAGGAAGAGGAGGAGGTTCAGACTGGGGGTCGACGCAGAAGAGGGGCTGCTAAAGCGTGAGTTAAATGTAGTCTTTATTTAGATCTAACAAAAACTGAACCTCAAGGTACTTCTGTATTATAATGACTGAAATACATTTTTAGGGCTTTGAAGTATCTCCACAGTTTGGCTCAAGAAGAGTTCAACTCACCCAGTGATGACGCAGCCTCTCATCCAAGGAGAAAAAATGATTCCACCCCAACAGAAGCATCTACACTTGCAGCACAGAAAACTCCAAAAGGTACTGTGTCAGAAAATTTCAGGACACTCCAGTGCTGAAATTTTCCAGAACTGCATTTCACACAACCTTTAGCAGGATATTGTTGAGGTGATGGGCACAGTCTGGTGGAGCATCATAGAGACTGTTTCATCCTTAATATTACCAGGATATGTCTGAAGACACATTACAAACAAGAGTAGACAACAAAACTCATAACAGAGCTGAGCAGTGAGGAGTGAGGAGTAAAACACAGAATCTCAGCTCAGCATAAACAATGTAGTCGTGAATGTTGCAGATCATAACCTGCTGGATTGACACATTCACTCTTATGATTTTGAATGGCTTGAGAGTCATAATACAGAGTCGTAGCTCCATTGATTGCACCAATCATAGTTCTCCAACACTCACGTCCTGCTATCATAAGTGAACTCTAACAGGATCATCTTTTTACATCCCTGAAGGGCGGAAAGGACAGAAGAGGAAACATCAAGCCAGTGACGCCTCAGATGATGAAGACTTTGTTCCAGATGCTAAAGAAATGGAGGAAGAGGAGGAGGTTGATGGTGAAGATGAGGAATGTGAGGAAGAGGCTGAGGACTCAGACTCAGAGATGTGGATGGGTAGAAGACGTTCCACAGCTTGTCACGGCAACAGTATATATGTCAGTAACTTCTTTGTTGTTTTTTAATTCAGTGAAGAGAAAGTCCCTTTAAAGTTATGATATAGAGACTCAGATGATCCTTTTGAACACAAATTTAGTCATAAAATTAACTCATAAATCAATGAGTTTGAATATTGAAGTGTATTTTACCAAAGAAGAAGAAGAAGAGGAAGAAGGAGCTTTAGTGGCTGCAGAAATTTCAGGTTTTGAGAATAATTCGACTCAGTCAGTCTCTCTGTCCTGCAGCCCTCCATCAATACCACGGGCAGAGGCACCAACGGGCTTCCTAACAACATGATGCTCCCCGTGTGGACGTGCACTGAGACCACCAAAAAATTGTGAGTAACTGAAGATTATTTTTATAGTGAATCATTGATCGAAATCAAATCAAAGAAAGTCAGTCCAGCTCTGATGACACTAAGGGCTCTATTTTCGTGTCCGCCAGGGACGCGGCGAAGGGTGGCGGACCCCTGCAGTGGTATTTTCGTCCAGCAGGGCCCGGCGTACAGCCAGTTTGGTATTTTCATGGACTGAGGCGCATCACAGTGACATTTTCGTGCTCGCCGCTGGCGTCTAAAGTGTGCTGAAAGCTCACCCGATTCAAACCTGGTCAGCTTTCAGCGCAGGCGGAGCGCAGCTGGTGTAGAGGTATTTTGGTAGACCGGTGGCATATCCGCATATGTCACCGATGCCTCACCGGCAGGTTTCCACATTGTCAGGCACATTTCCGTGCAATAAATAATCAACAACAACTAATAATCTGAGTCAGCACATACATTTGGATCTATAGATTTATTCTGATCTATATCTGATCTGATGAGCGTGTTTGGCACGCGTTTGGACACACAACCTGACAGATTCAACACAGCTGAAACCGCATTAAATTAAATTAAATATCTAGTAAATAGACTCACATGATGAAGTTAACAACATATGTAATTCGTCTCCCTCCTTTTCTTTCTTCCTCTTATTTCTCACGCAGCTCGACCTGGACATGTCTCCATGTCCTCTTCTTGTCCTGCTGCAGCTGCGGCGGCTGAACAGATGATTTGTTTCAGTGATCAGATGAGTTTTTTACTTTAAGCCTACATACGAATATTATAATATCCAGTTTTGTAAGCCAAATTTATTTTATATGCCAACATCTATGAAAGAAAGAGCCAGGCCATGGAGTGCAATGCATCATTACGTACAGATGGTTCCGATTTTAATGCCATTACTGGAGTTAATGTTGTGATCTGTGCGCACAACCCACCTTTGTCACGTGAGGTTTGAAAATGTGCAACTTGATGTGAGTGTCTTTATTTGTGGAAATGTGGGTACAACCTTACACACACCAAATCAATCTGTGCTTATATGAGGGAGTGTGCAGGACTCCCTCTGCAGCGACACTTGTTGAGGAGCTGCCTTCTGTCACCATCGTGTGGCATTGCTGTCTTCAGACATCTCTTGATCTCTTTGACTGCTGCACAAAAATTGTAATACGCCTCGCCGGTGACGGATTTAAAGGCGAGGAGAGGAGCTTATGTTATTGGTCAATACAGGTCTCGGCTGTGTTAAACCCACTCCACGCCCTCTCTCCTCCCTCGCTACGACTTATGCCGCTGGGAGGAGCTGAGTTAGGGAGGGGGGATACTTACACTGGGCTGTGCCGCTCACCAAAATGCAAAATTGTGCTTGGGAACGCCTTGTCAGAGCGGCGGACCTGATTTACGCCGCGCCTGCGCCACGTCTCTGGCAAAGCACGAAAATAGAGCCCTTAGTAATTACAGTGAAACTGAGACTCTCTGGAAACAGAGGCAGGGTGTAATTCAGTTGAAACAAACTAACAGTAGAAATCTTCAATTGAAAAATGAAAGTTCTTGTTACAGTTACATTTGGTGGGGCAGTTTTTTTCCCCATTACTTCTGATCTGAACTACGTGGTGGCCAACAAGAGCAAATATCTACTATTGCCTGAATCAGTTATTAGTTATTAAATTTCTTCTTATTTTTTCCCACTTATCTTTAAATGTGTGTCTTTTTTCAGCCGGGAGGAACACCACAGCAGCTGGGTGTTTCCAGAGTGGGTACCCTCTGTCAGCCACTGGCACCCCGTACCTGAGAGGTACTTCACCTTTTACCTTTGCTTCCAATCCAGTTGTTTCTACCAAAGGGATAGCATCAAAATAAAAATATCATTACATTACAATCCTGATGGCTTGATTATGAAATCTGTTGAAGAATACCTAGCTAACAAACTCAAACTTTTTGTGTGAATGTTGTGTTTTTCAGTGATTTGGAGAAGTATCTTCCTCAGGAGCTCCAGTCAGCGGCTTTTAAAGTGTCCAGAGAAGGACTCAAACAGGAGTCCCCTCTGCAGAGACTCAACAGGTTTGACAGGACATAACAGTCCTCTACCAGTTCACAGTGTAAACACTCACAACAAAGACATGTATTCATGTTAAATCCTCTGTGGTTGGGGTATTCCTCTGAGCTTAAATGCACCACATATATGAAGATGGAGTCTCCTTTAACAAGTCCTGAAATAATAAAGTGTCTAAGTCCCCGCTGTCTGTGTCTCTGTGTCCGACAGGTTCACGGCACTGCCTCCTCATCCGGACCGTTGGGACATGGTCCTATTTACAGGGGGACCAGTCTGGACCATAGAGTGGTGTCCAACACCTGATGGAGCTCCTGTATCTCAGTACATAGCTCTGGCCTGCCATCGAGAGATGGACGAGAAGCACCATGTCAACAAGATCTACAGTGGACATGGACTTGTGCAGCTGTGGGAGATTGGCAAACTGGATATAAGCAGCAGGTGCTTCGGACTGGGACACACTGGGGGTGTTTTTATCATTTCTGCCCCGGAAATTTGCTGATCCTGTCTTCATAAGTTTATCCTGTCTTTAACCTCAGATATTTTTACTCATCCTCACCCGACTTCTGGCAGGAAAATTTCGGGGTAAAATTGGCCCCAAAAAATTAGCAAACATACAAATATATATAATGCTGAAGTAATTCATCTACATGTACTGTTAGTTCCTCTTGTTTTTATCACATATTTTATTCGGTGTCTTTTCTCCGCCCCTGTCTTTGCAGACCAGACTTCACACCAGCCTTATCCTACGGTTTAGCCCAGGACAAAGGCTTCATCTGGAAACTCAAGTGGTGTCCTGCAGGCGGCTGGGAGCCTCCAAACTGTGACAAAGAGGTAAGGCACTTCCAACAGCACCAAGTCTTTGAAACTTCATCTGGACCCCCATTTTTTTTGTCAAAATCAAGATTCCAGTGTATCATAAACAAAATCCCCCTCTCACTGAATTACCATGCAGCATGTTATTCCTGAAAATAAAGACACATTTTAGTCAAAGGAGCAGCTTAATATATCTGTGCATGTGCATGTTTTACTTTCAGCAGCAGGATACATATTAGGCATTTAGAGTTTCCTGCACATAAGAGTAGAATAACGTGAAACCCTCTCTTCCAAAGGCTCCCCTCTTGCCCAGACTGGGTCTTCTGGCAGTTGCGACCTCCACCAGTGTGGTCACCATTTACAGTCTGCCCCACCCTGAAGCTCTGCTCTCCAACAAGAAGCCAACTCACTCCGGTAAGACTCTATAGACAACACCCTAACAGTATGAACCATCCAAAAGATGTTAAAGTCGTAGATATGCTGAACTCATCAGAGCTTGGCTTGACCTGGAACATGAAGTGTTTAGTCAGCAGAGGGCAGTGTTGCCTTTCTGAAGCTGTTAGTGTCTCTGGACTTTCTCCCTCCTAGGCTCTGAGGACATAGGACTGCAGTAAAGCAGTCCCTTTGTGTGCAGGTTTTTACATCATGGCAGCACTGTAAAAATTAACAGCTAGACTATAGATTTGTTCACATCCCCCTGAATCCAACCCCAGAATGCTTTGCTGCAGTGTTTCACACCCAATAAGCTCCATTTCTTCCTACACCACAGCAAAAAGGACACATTAAATGAAACAGATGGAAAAATACAGAGAAATTGACCAATAATGTGTAAATCTACCAGCTTACAGATAAATCTTTCTGTCTTATATAACAAGAGTATCAAATGTAGTCTCTCCTCATGTTATAACCAGAGAAAGGCAGAAGGGGGGCTGAAAATAGGTGCTTTTTCAGCAGACACCATGGTCCCTTTGAAGCATTGCACATCTGTTTGAGTAATTTGGGATGATTGGGATCCATTTGGTGACTCGGGCGTTTCAGAGTTGCTGGGTAACACATTTGATATCAAACAGTTTCTGCATATGGAGCATAAAAGGAGTCAAAAAAACTGGCCTAGCCTAGCTGAAGATGTGGAGGGAGACCAGTACAGTTTAATTTAAGAAAAACTGTTTTTTTAGCATGATTTTTTAAATCACATATTGGAAAATTTGAAGGAGTGATTGGTAGAGTGAAAGCTCCAACAATTACGGTATCCATCATTAACCATGTACAGGCTTAAAATTTGAAATGCTGAATTTGTGAAGACAGAAGTGGCTATAATAAAGAGATGAGAAGGTGGAGCCGTAGAGAAGGCTTAAAAAAGCAATGTCCAACCTCAAGGATAATTTACTAGCTGGTTTTATAATTAGTAAAATATCCGGCAAAATGTAGATTCCACATGTGGAGAAGGCTGCTTTGCGTTCTCAAGACTCACAAAGCCATTGAAGGAGCATTGGTTTGACCTAGTGGTGAAAGAAGACCAATTATGCTGACTTTAATACATACATATACTGTATATGATGGTACAATTTTGACCATACTATACTAAACCCTGTTAAAGCTCTATAACATGATTATAAAACCGAGCCAGATTGCAGTGTTATCCCTGGACAAGAGTGCCAGAAATTAGTGGGACATCAGTGTAGCTGTTTGTGCTCCCCACTTCACAGATGATTCCAGTATAAACAAAGGCTGGTAGGAGCTTGATTTGCATCCTAGCATCTATCAAGAGCTCCTATGAAGGCTGGGAACTGCAAACTAAGTAAGAGCGGCTAACAGGCCACAGAAGTTTTCTGATAACTTCAAGGTAGGGCTGGGCGATATGGCCTCAAATCAATATCACCATATATTGAGCAGTTCACCTCGTCAATGATAAATGGACGATAACTCCTCAACAAGCTTCTCACCCCTTCCCACATTAACTTTGTCTACTTCAGACGCTGCTCCAGCTGCTAAAACCTTTAAACCGTCCTCCATCTCCTCACCTGTCTTTCCCTCTTTGTTATGGACTGGATGGGGTGGAGTCACGTCTCAGAAGTAGGACAGCGTCTTAAAGGGACATGAGACCATAGCCACTGACACCAAATATATTGAGATGGGCAAAATGACGTTGGTTATTGTCGCAAATTCCTGTATCGGTAAATTTTCGGTTTATCGCCCAGCCCTACTTCCAGGTCACCCACAAGCTGTTGATTAGCTTGATGTCAGTGCAAAAGCAGCCACAATGTCAATATTATGATTTTATTTTCTAGTAAAGACACCAAAACCCAAATCTCCTCATAAACTGTTTTAGATTATAGAGAAAAACATCACACCCAGTGAGTGAATGGCAAACTCTTTAAAAAAGTCAGAAACAACTCAAATATTAGTGCAACAGCTGAATGTTATTGCTTTAGATCATCCAGTGATTGATCTACTTTAAGTTGAACTTATAATACATAACTTGTCGGCTCATCAGCAGGTATTTAATCAGTCAGGCGACCACAGTATCAATCAAATCAGACATGGACATCATGAGGTCTAACTTGGCAGACAGCGGAGTCACTCACTCTCCTGGTGTGACTCTGACTGTTTGGAGCTGGAGGGTCTATCAGACTGTTTAATGCAGCTTTAACTACAGGGACAGTTCATCACCGCCTGGACAGACTTCACATACACATACATGTACATGCAGACTTAGGCCTGTCGCGATAATCAATAAATCGCCTTATCGCTCGATAAATAAAAACGAGGTCGATAACTTTGCCAGCCTCGATAATTGACGTGCGTTTGTTTTCCTCCTCTCTCGCTACCAAACACGCTGGATGAGAGAAGAGGTCTCACTCTGCGCATTTTTCTCAGCACCTGGGGGCGTTGGCTCTATAGCGGAATGAACGGAGTTAGTGAACCCTCCTGTCAGTCATTCAGTGTCTTTGTCACGAGGGGGCTGGCGCGCACAGGCACACAGACACAGACTTTTTGGATACAGTGCTGCAAGTGAGCGTCGTGAGTGAAAAGCAAGCTAACATAATGAACACGACAGCTTTGGTGTCTAAACCGAACGCAACAGCCCAAGTGTGGGAATATTTCGGCTTTAAACCAGTTTTGTTTTCGTCAACCACAAAACTCCACGTGTGTGTGTGTGTGCGCGCGCGCGTGCGTGTGTGTTGTGTGTTTGCAGGGTTAGAATGAGGCTGATGAGAGCTTACAGGGATACTATCCAAGAATTTGTATGCTCTGTGGTTGCTTCTATAGTTTCTGTTTTTGCAGGTTGGCAGGTTTAGCTGCACTGACATCCAGGTGCTTCTTTTGATCAAAACAGAGATTTAATTCCCGAATAAAACTACGAGACTCCTCAAAAACTACACTGGTTATTAGAGGTGGGAATCAAAGCAGCCCCACGATACGGTATTATCACAATACTTGGGCCATGATACGATATTATTGCGATTTTTCACATTTTGCAATGCAATTGGTATTACGATACAAAATATTGCGATTCATACAATATTTTCAACTGTTTAGCTAATTTAGCATTTGGCTGTCCTCTATGTTTGTCTTATTTACGCTGTATTTTATTATCATGGAGCACATCTTACAAACCTTATTTGTTATCGTGACAGGCCTATGCAGACTGCTCTCCAGGAGTGTGAGTACATGCTGACATTATAGATGCTGCAGCCTGTGGGCGAGTCTATTCAGATCAGTGCATCAGCTGCCTGTGGGACTCCGCTGATGAAAAACTGAATGAATGAGATTAATGTGCGGTTTATCTGACACATCCATCATACACAGAAACCTGGTAATATCTGCTGGTGTGTGTGTGTGAGCGTGTGTGTTTATCTGTCTATGGCTGCCCCGCCACTACAGGCTTGTCTGATTAAACACCACAGCAGACCGATGTTGCAGCATTTCAGGACAGCACACGTCGGGGAAACTACGTACTCATACACTTTACACGCATTATATCACAGTCGATACAAGCTCTTTACATCCCGTTAAAGCGCCCTGTGACAGAACGAATTTCCTCTGTACATGAGGTCGGCTGTGGTTTGTGTTTGCAGGGTTAGAATGAGGTCTATATGGTGAAGGTTACAGGGATACTATCCAAGAATTTGTATGCTCTGTGGTTGCTTCTATAGTTTCTGTTTTTGCAGGTTGGCAGGTTTAGCTGCACTGACATCCAGGTGCTTCTTTTGATCAAAACAGAGATTTAATTCCCGAATAAAACTACGAGACTCCTCAAAAACTACACCGGTTATTAGAGGTGGGAATCAAAGCAGCCCCACGATACGGTATTATCACAATACTTGGGCCATGATACGATATTATTGCGATTTTTCACATTTTGCAATGCAATTGGTATTACGATACAATATAGTGCGATTCATACAATTTTTTCAACTGTTTAGCTAATTTAGCATTTGGCTGTCCTCTATATTTGTCTTATTTACGCTGTATTTTATTATCATGGAGCACATCTTACAAACCTTATATGTATTTGTTGTACAAACTTTCTCCTGCTCTATGATGTCACCTCTGCCAACCTCACTGGACAAACAGTTGATTTTATTTTTCCATTATCATAGATTTGACTTCATATTGGCAATTAATTTGAAAAAAATCAATACTTGGTAAATTAGACAATACGATATCTCACCAGACAAAATATCTCAATATTATGCTATATTGATTTCTTCTCCCACCCCTTACTGGTTATAGTGTGTTTTCCTTGTCTAGCTTCTTGTGTTGTCTGAGGCAGACACTCATGATTAAGGAAAAGCCAACAACTGTTGTGCCAATGACTTTTCTTGTCATGCTAATCTGCTGCACACAGCTGCAGGAGCTACATGTATGAACAGAACTGTCAATCACAGTGTTACACCCCTTTTAACAGCATCTAATAACATAAGGTGCTTATACCAGAATCATACATTGGATCATAATTTGGATTTTTTAGTGTATTTCCTGCTCTTAAAATCACACTTACATCACGCTGTGTCCATCCCTCTGACAGCAGCTCTGACACTACAAGTAGTCACTGTCCCTCCATCCCACATCTGTGTCCATCACCGAGGGGAACAGCCCCACACTGAAGATGAGGCATAACAGGCAGAGAGATATCCAGCCTTGCAGCAACAGTATGTGAAAGCCTGCAGGCTCCAAATGTTCCAGCTTCACTTTTAAGAGCTTTTAGGTCATACAACTTTAGATACAGTCTGTAGGCTGATTTCCGCTTAATGCCTGATGTGCATTTCAATTTATTGACGAGACAAGAAATATTTATGAGACCAGTTTTTGTAAAGATCATCTTGCACATGTATGTTTAACGTCTATCTCAACTTGAAGGATGCAAGGGAGTGTGTGGGCAGTGATGGTTCTAATGCTTAAAGATGTGATTTCCATGTACAAACTGAGCATAAATCAGCCTCATTGCTGTGGTTCAACTTGAGTCAGGAAAGTGAGCCGCAGTCTAACCAAAATAATTCAGTCCCTGGATGTCTAATACTCTACTTGACTCCTTGTTCCAGCATCCCATACAGATAGTTTTAGTGTTTTTATGCTCAGGGGAGCTTCTCCCTCATCATTTAAACTGCAAATGTTATAGATGCAGGTAATTTTCTTTTTTCTCATCACTATGAAATTTCCTGCCTCAAAAAGGAGCCTGAAAAGTTTGCATTAAGGATAAAGTTACCATAGGAAATGATAGATTATCTCATCTTTCTGTTTTTTTGTTACCCTCCTGAGGATCAGAATATAACACTGCTCCACTCCCTGCTTTGCTCTGTACTATTAGAGTCTTTTCTGCTGCTCTCCCTGCTGTGTCTTTACATATATGCACCTGAAAGGGGACGGAAGAGGAGATGTGCTCTACCCACCTCTGGCTTTTACACATTCCACACTCACACGAGGAAACAAACAAAACCATAAAACCACTAAATATGACTTGCTGCTCAATAATAAGTGGTCCTAATTCAAACAGTTTAAAAGACAAATGAAAACATTCACATGTAAGAAGCTTCAGTCTGAGGTTTTATTGTAGGAAAATAGTTTGGTTTATTTTAAACAGTGACAATTATCTGAAATATCTTGGATGTTTTCCTTAAAAAAAACTGCAGATGACTGGGGTGCAGTGCTGGATTTTGTTCTTCCAAGAGTCTCACACAACCAAATGACTCCACTGAATACCATCAAATTAAATTTTTCTTCATTAACTTCCCCGGATGAGTATTTAAGTTTCATCAAACGCTACCATCAGCTTCATTATTCATCTAATTGTATGTCTCACAGCAGAGGAACTTGGAATAGGAATAGGCACAATAGTCCTAACATTGATTTAAGGGCATCATTAAAAAGGAGCTGGAGCACAGTCATTCGTGTGTAAATATTGGAATAAAACAGAGTATATTAGGTGACAACAGTCTCCACTGTACCACACTTGGCTAGGTTTTACAATTAAGACAAATTTCCAGTGCAGTTTGGACATAAAATGCTGTATAAAACCTGACATTTCCATTCTTTTTTTCGCCTTTCCCTGGTGTTTCATGGCCCATGGTTTCCATTTTATTTCGCAGCTACGGGTCATTGGGTCCAGCTCCAAAGAGCTGCTCCATCAGCCCCCCTGCCATGCTACCATAGGTTAGAGTTATTGAATAGAAAGGTTGCAGAGCGCTCACATTTGAAGATGCCGCTGCCTAAACACACACCGAAATTCATACTAATGAGATTCTGAGCGGAGAAAAACTGAGGTCTCGAGTCTTAGTTTGCTTGAGCACAAACAAAATAGTCCCATTTAAATTTCCCCGACACTCAGACTTCCTTTACTCTGTATCACAAAATGGATATCTGTCGGCATCTTCTTCCTGCATGTGTAGTAGTGTGTATTTTAGTGCAACTGACCTGCAGTTTCAACTCTTGACTGCTCAACAAGAGGCAGAAAAATGTATTTTAAATGTATTTGCCCTTGAAAGCTTGGGGGTAAAGACAGTAAAGGTTCATTTAATCAAGAGAAAAGTGACCAGTGAACTGCTTTACTGCCCCGCTGTACTTCAGCCTGACATGATGAGCTCTAATTGAATTCAGATTAGCTATCTTACATGAACATGGGTAGAAATAATTTACCAGTATCAGCAGAAAGGGTCAAAGGTGAAATTGGCTTGAATGGGGTTAAACTGAGTGTGTGGGTGTGTGCGCCTGTGCGTGTTTGTGTGTGTTTCTATCCCGGCCTCCTTCTGCCAGCCCAGCGCTGTTTTGCGACAGATAATTATAAATGGCTTTTGTCCGTCCACTCTCCAGAATGAATGAGCTCGTGAATGAAAAGAGGAGGCTGTTAAAGCTGCAGAATTGGAGGGCAGTTGAGGAGGGGGTGTGGAGGGTCCAGAGGAGGCGTGTGAAGTGGGGAAAAAAAGACAAAAGCGAGAATGTGAGATGGCGTAGCGAACACACATAATTTACAGCTCCGTTCTCCATCAGACAAGGATCTATAATTGAAATGACAAAGAAGATGCATCACCGAGCCAGTTGTTAGTGTTGGAAGCGATGAATTTTAGGTCTAGTAGCTGACACCTCTCCTATCCCCTTGCTGTCAGTCATCAGACGTGTACGCAGGAGAGGGCAGGGAAGGTAGTGGGGGAGGAAAGGGGGTGGGTCATGGGAAGTGAAAACATTCATAAAAACGTATGTTGCTTTTGAAAGACATGGTAGTTGCCTGTTGAGCTGTTTCATTTCTGGCATGATTTCTGCAGACTGAACCTTATCTTACCCCGTTTCCTTGGTGATGTATGATGAGGGTTGAGAGGTGGGAGCGCCTTGTGTTGTTTCATATTACACTTAAAAAAATACTGATTTGGCCAAATTTGATCAGTTTTGTAAAAGCAGTGACTGTACACTGATTTAAGCTTTTCTAGTCAGTATTTCTCCAAACTTGAAGCCTGTCAGTTATAAGAAAATGACGAGACAGTTTACATTTTGGGTTCAGATTTTTGAAGTTAAGGTTGTTAGCAAGATAGATACTTCAGTGACAGTCTTGAGAGTTTGACATGAAATGTGGTGTCCCTCAGGGATCAATGCTCGGTCCTCTGCAATTAATCCCGAGTCCAGTTGTTTAAAGGTGATCTAACCCGATTTAAACTTCTGATCTATATGCATGAATAGCTGATCATAAATTGTGTCTAAGCTGTACAGCAGCAGGTTAATTGCAGCGGTGGGTTTGCTTCACTTTTGATCTTATCACAATGTTGCTTTTCAGAGTAACGACTAGACTGTAGACAGTGTAGCACACAGAAAAGGAAACTCTTGACTGAAGTTGTTTTCTGGCTTCAGGCTTCACCTGAACGCCTGAAAAGTTCTTTGAGACCTGTCTTGCGATGGTAACTGAGAAGAAAAAAGAGTGAAATGTACTTCCTTTAGTGCTTCAGCCTGTTAACAGTGTATTTTTGTCCTGAAAAATGGTTGGTTTCATCACTTTACTAACCCGTGTTGACCTATTTCAAACCCATCAAGGTGTCAGCCCTCCCGAAGACTTACTTCAGGATCATGAAGTCATGCTGGATAACCTGACTTGATGTATTCCCACTGAGTGCAGGCTCAGGTTCAGTCGCGGCCTGAACACCAGTCTGGACTTGATTTAGTACAGAAGAGGTTAATATGAAAGTATGAGTGTGTGTTTTTCTGAGGCCGAGGTGAGCTGATGGAAGGTGTGGCTGAGTGAGGAGGACGGTGTATTGATCCGGACTCGCAGTGATCTAAACTGGAGGAGGAGAGGAAACTAATGATGGGGAACAGTCTGATGCCATTTTTTGTTATTGGATTTTACATCTTTTAAACATAACAGTGATTGTCAGGCCAGACACAGGAGGATTACTTCTGAAGTGGGGCTCAACACCATCCCAGAGTGTTATTAGATGGCGTTTTGGCTGGGATGTCCGGTGGTTTAGTCTTAAGCTTTTGGATAAATTCCTTTTAAACTTGGCACAGTTGTATTTCCTTTAAGTAGAATTTTGTCTGTATGCATGTTATGCATTTTGAATCTCACACCACAAAGAGTTATTTTACCCAGAGTAACAATCCAACAAAAGATTTGGTAACACTTTACTTGACACCTATCTCTATAACACATTATAAATATATGTATAATCTGTTATAATCACATTTTAGCACTGTATAACTATAGTTATAAACACTCATATATCAGGTATTATAATGTGTTATAACTGTTAACAACTCACTGACAATGCCCACATAGATAATGCAGTGCAACTGTTGTTAACAGTTATAACACATTATAATACGTGACCTTGTAAGTCATGATGAAATGCTTTATAATGTGTTATCATTATTGTTAATAAGCATTACGATTATTTATGAGTGTTTATAACTACAGTTATACAGTGCTGTAACGTGATTATACCACATAATACATTTATTTATAATGTGTTATATAGATAGGTGTCCAGTAAAGTGTTACCAAAGATTTCTTTAAATGTTAATCCTTATCGCATCAATACCATTTCTTTGTAGCTTAAAGGTCTATAACCAGCACTTACTTTGTGACTGATTTTTCATTGCAGGAAAACACAACCAGCAGATGCCGATATACCAGGTAGGCCCCTCTTAAAAATGAGTTTCTGCCATTCTTTAAAATAAGTTGAGTTCTGCCTCACTCTGGTTTGTAATATCAGTAAATAGAGAATAAAGCAAACTTCACTGTTGATTTTTTGCACAGTAGTGTCATTTTATCCCCCTCCTCTCGTTCTGCAGGCAGAGGGAGTGTTAACGCTAAAGCTGGGCTCCTTCAAGGCTCCTCGCCAGGAGCAGAGCGGGCAGGTCCTGTCCATGGATTGGTTGCCTGTGAAACCGCACAATATAATGGCTATTGGATTCTATGATGGTATGAATTGATTTCTCTGGGATGTGCATGATTAAAAGCTTCACTTTGAGTCAGGAAAAACAAATGCTCAGTGTGGATCCCCTCAGGTTTTTATCAGTCTGAATCTGAACTCTGAATGATAAATGTTCCTTTCTTTTCATCTCTTCTCTGTTTTCAAGTGTCCTTGGTTGATCCTAAAGGATTCAAATTTGAGCCGATGTTTTCTACAAATTAACCTTCTGGTGATAAACACCTGTTTTATCCTCTCAGGTGTTGTAGGTCTGTGGGATTTGTCCTCCAAGACTGGATTATTGCGAGTGCGAGAGTCCGACACGTCGCTCAGCTTGCTGCCCTATCGATGCTTACTGGCTCACAACCACGCTGTCCGGGCTCTGTCCTTCTTCCCTGCCTCCAGGTAAAGACTTGCAACTTAGTAGATTTTAACTTGAGCTCAAAATTAGTCGTATGAACTGGTATCATTTATACGGTAAATGATGAGCTCAACTCTGTGCAGGAAGGAAAACATTCAAGAGAGGAAACTGCACAAGACCGAGTTTTATTTTTCCCTCAGTTTCCTCCAGTACTGCAGTTTTATTAAAGCCATGTAGGTGATCACTCTTACACAGTATGTGGAGCCTGAGAGGTAAATATTGTCTAAAAAAGCTCCAGTATCTGATTCAAAATGCAGCGTTGAAGGCCAGGAGTCCAGGCATGTCCTCTCCAGACTGTCACTATGCAGATGAGGGAGCCGCCTTTTTTCTCTCTAGTTCAACAACCACTGACCTTCAACCTCTCTGAGCCACTCTGCCTTGAATAAGACCATTACAATATTACTCTCAGGTGTAACCGTCCTACTGATATGAGAATATTTATTGAATCAAAGGGCCTCTGGGAATTCAGTCCAAAAAGTGGCGCCAATTCAAGGAAAAGGAGGTTGACTTTTGAAGCTACTTTCGGTCTTTAAGGGCCCTTTTAGACCTCATTCAGGTCTTGTTCATCTGTATTATAATGTAAGAAATTCGCAGCACAAACTAACAAACAAGTCACAGAAATCCAGTAATCTTTGAAGCTTTTTTTTTGGACTCCCTACCCCTAACTTTAAAAACACTGACTAAACACTAATACTTAAAAAACACACAAAAAACTTTTTTCTTATATTTATTTATTTATTTATTTATGTATTTATAGAGCACATTGAAGCCTAATAGTACATATCGTGGCAGAATGGCCTTGAAGGATTTTGTCTATGCCACTGAGTCAAGGGAGCTTGGATTAAACTGCCAACCCTCTGACAGAGAAACGACAAAGGAAATGCTGAAATGGTCGGCAAATAAACTTATATTTGTGAAAAACTTTGCCCTCTCAAACGCCTCAGATGCTAAGCTTCTTATATCAAGGTTCCTCCTCTTGGTTTGAAACTTCACATTTATCCTGCTCTGTGATCGTTGGACGTTTAATTAATTGATGAAGTTGTCTAAGATGACTTTGTTGGAGGTTTTTTTTGGCAAATTTTACAAACTTAACCTCAGAGTCACTCCTCAAAACTTCTGTGCTGTAAGAAATTCTAGATTCTGACACTGAACAGAACCGGCTGTGCGCTGAGGCGACCTTCTTCTGATCTGTAATAAAAGGTCATCACTCAACATTTTACTTCAACCCTCAGCTCAGCTTAAGTGTTTCTCTGCTTCACTGCTCAACTGATGAATGTGAGGATGAAGAGGGAAGACAGAGGGTCATTTACATCTCATGAGTCTGCTACAGGAGTTCACTGATAGCCTGTACAAGTCAGCACAAGGGCTGGAGTAATATCCGGAGCCAAAATTGGCTTTTTATTCACACAGTATTGGTCAGTCAGGGTATCATCCACCCTGAGAGTCTTCTTTTCGCTTCTGTAAATCTGCTCCTGATATGCAGCAAGAGGAAAATCTATGCCTGACATTTAAAGATGCTGACAGTCACATTGAAAAATAGTTCCTACAGCTTCCTGACACTCACATGCCTCTCTACCTTGGTGAAACGAGTGTATTTTGAGTAATGCCGACATTACAGCACTCAGAGGAATGTAAAGGATAGTGTTCATATCATTTTGAAAAGTTACATGTAGTAATATTGAAGGGTCGAATGCCTCAACTCTGTATTCTAAGAGCTTTGACTTAAATGTGATGATAATACTCACCAAAATAAAGTACAAAGAAAACTATCCAAAGAGGAGCTGCTCTCATCACAGACTAACAATGATTGTTTCAGTTCACATTCTTAGTGAATTTGAGGTTTATTTGGGCTCCTTTTGGGGACGTTTCATGCTCCATGTTTTAGTGTAAGAAAAAGCATAGTTTGATTAAAATAAAGAGTTAGACTTTGACAACTTTGAGTTATTTATTTATTTATTTATTTTCTCAGGCACTTGTTGGTGACGGCAGGAGACGATCGTTATTTGAAGACCTGGGACTTACGGAGGCTCCAAGACCCGATCACTGTTCTGAAACGTCATCTGACCAATGAGGTCTACTGGCCTCTGAACTCAATTGGCATCCTTTGGGCCCAGGATAATGCTTATTCAGCGTAAGACTCCTTTTTTTTTTTTTTTTTTTTAGCTTTTTTTTGTCCCTTCAATCAAAAACATTCATAGAAGACTCAGAACTTTAGTGACATTTGATTTCATTTTAAATACACTAGCAAGCAAGTGTAATCCTCATTTTTGTGCCCTATCACGGCCCAAAATCTCTAATTTAGGCATAATCCAGAATGTAACACATATCTGTGAGGATCAGGGACTCATGCTGCGTTCCAGTTGTCTCAGAAGTCGGTATTTCTGAGCTCAGAGTCAGAAATTCATCTGGAATGCCCCCCTGAAGTTGGATGTCCAACTCGGAAAGTCAACCGGGTCAGAACCCCGACTTGACGACAACATCACATTTCAAGATGGCAGCGCAGTGCATCAACAATAAAGAGTAACAGTGAAAGCTCTCATAATGTATTATTTATTAGCACTTCTGTTTTGTTTTTGTGAAATTAAAAAAGTGGTATATGTTGTACTGCCCGACGTCTAACTGTAAACACAGTGCTATGGTGTTTGTAAGAGTAAAATACTGTGTTGTGGGTTGTTTACAACTGGTATCACTAACAACTGACAACAGCTAATGACAGCTGACAATTGTAAAGAACAGCTAACAACGGTTAACTGTAGGTGTCCATCTTGGTTAACTGAAACGCTGTAAACTCAGGTATAACGTCATTCCCAGCTCTGACATCTGACTTCCGGGGTAACTGGAACGTAGCATTAGTCATTATTTTATGACATACTTGTATCCCAATCCTGTGGTTATGGAGATGATATAACTTGACTTACTTAAGTTTTTCTCAAAGATTAAAAAGTCTATCTTTGTCTTTATTCACACAGGAGTGGCTTACACGGAGTTCATTACGCCGACCATTTCGTGCGCACCCTCTTCCCAATTCCAAGGACGAGCTCTTTGTGGGTGAGTCTCTAACAGTGGATCATCATCTTCTGAGTCAGCTGTGGATCAAAAGATAGATTAATGTTGCGCTTTAGAAAGTCCCTGAATCACTGGCATGTTGTTTTTTTTTATGTTAGGAGTGTAAACATAAAATGAAAGTTTGGCTGTTTGGGGAATTTCCTTTAAAAAGTCCCTGTCCACCTTTTGTAACAGACTTCCATGGCACAGAGGGAAAATACTCATCAGTTTTCACATACGTATTTTTCGTACATATTTTGTCAGAAAATGGTTGAAAACTGTTATTAAGAAGGAATAATGCTGATTGGTCTTGTTTGTGTCATTGCAGTCGATATCCTTCTCTGATTGGATGAACAGTGTGGTAACAGCAGACGGCTTCGGTGAGGTGATACTCTCCATGTTACCTCGCATAAATGACGTTCCATACGTCAAACGGAGTAAAGACAGACGATTTGTAAGTTTAATATCACATGGTTTATTTTATTCACTCCCACTGTTGTAGATTTTTTCATTTTTTACCAATTTGTCTTCACTTTTACTCAAATGTGTCACCTACTCAACACAAGTCCTTTACGTGAGTGTGTTTTAACTCTCCTCAGCCCGTCTACCTCACATCTATGGTGCCTTATGAAAAAGAGGGTGAACAAGAGATGAGAGGAGTGGAAGAAGAGGATAAAAAAGGACATGCTGTTGAAGAGCAGGAAGAAGGAGAGACAGAGGGACTGAATGGGTCTGAAGGAGGGAATAATAATGAAAACGGAGAAGGTGGAGGGATAGCCAGGAAGGATAAAACTCCTTCTCTGTGTGTCCATAAATACAAAGAGACTGCAAAGAAATACTTCCTCCACCACACAGACAACAATATGGTGGGTAGATCCTGAAGATACAGTGATTCACTCTGAAGTTTGTTTAAATCAGAGTCATCAAAGACAGACAATAGACAAATGTGGGTTAAAAAAAATCAATAAAAACAGAGAGAATAAAAATATAAAGCATAACAATTAACTCGCAGGAGCTTGTTTACTTAAAATCAGTGTTTAGCTAAAATATTTTTGCAAACGTTATAATGAATTGTGGATCTGTTTTTAATTACCTTTTAGATAGATAGATAGATAGATAGATAGATAGATAGATAGATAGATAGATAGATAGATAGAACTTCTCTATTCAGATGTCAGGATTTAATAATTAGCATAGCTTACCTGCTGCCGATATGATTGATGCCAACTTTTCATTCCATGCAAGCCCCCCCCCCCCCCCTTTTTTTTTTTTTTTTTTTTTAACCAAGTAAACCTTCAGACACAGCTTCAGAATGAAAGCGCTAAGTGAATATAAGGGGAGTGTATCCACAAAGAGAACAGATTTGGCTTGTTCTTTCAAATTCCTTAAAATGCATCTTTTTAGTGTATTTTCTATGTTTGTTTTCTAAACACTACTGATACTAAACCAATACAGCGGTTAACTTGTGATTTTTTAGATATAGATAAAGAAATAGATTTTTTTTTATTTATTTTTTTTATTTTAAGTTAAACCAAAAAAGGAATAGGCTGAAGCAATGCTTACATGTCGCCCATACTGTTTACACCTACGAATAATGCTGTACAGCTTCACATTACAGTTTCATATACAATCAAACATAATATAGACTAAAGTTCAGTTTGACAAGGATGTACATAATTTATATTCTTCATCAAGTCCATTCCATAACTTTACACCAATAACAGAAACACATATTGATTTAACATTTGTTCTTACCTTACTATATTCAAAATGATCCAAACCTCTTAAATTATAATTACTAACTCTTAATTTTTGACGCAGCATCTTGTGTGAAGCTGACTTTAGAGATGCTCTCAGCAGCTCTGCTGCCGTTGCACAGATTGCAGGACAGGATGTCGTTTCACTTTCCCTATTAAAGATGGTTTGAGTCCAGTAGCTCCTGAGGCTGCTCTCATATCTGTCATTATTTCCACACTCTTAAGACCAGCCTGAGACAGAAACCAACAGTTTTTGCACTGATGTTTATTGACTGCTCATGGGAGACACCAGTTTTGCCACAGTGTCAACAGACAGAGGTGAAATATGTCTGTTCAAATAGCATTTATTTTGACTAAACTGATTGATATCAGCTGACAAAACAAAGTACCTCATTTTGCGACTAAAGTAACTCATGAAAAAAATGTAATATATATTTCATCTACTGGTAATGTAATTTAGGAAATGGAGTCTTGAAAGTGATGATTTAAATGATTAATGAGATTAAAAGTGACAATCTTTACACTTGTGTATTTTACATTTGACAGTTTAATGATGATGTTTTTTCCATCGCCAGATGACATTTTTCAAAGCCGAGAAGCGAGCTGTGTGGAAACGCATGATTGACACCGAGCAAAAGGCAAAGCTGAACCTGGACGAGGTGACACTGGGTGCACTGCACAAGGTATTTACACACACACACACACACACACGGTAGGGTTCATGGGACTCCTGTGGTGGCTCAACATGTAGTGGGAGGGGTGTAAAAAATAAACACAAGAATGGAAACAGAGGTGAGAGATGGCGGGAGAGCATCTTCCTCCTTCTTCTTCTTTCTCCTCCTGTGATGGGCAGCTATAAAGACGGGCTGAATGTAATGATGTGTAAAATGAGAAAAATGTCACCCTCAGTTGAAGGAGGGAGGGGGAGATGAAAAGCAGCCATTTGAGGATTTGATGTGTTTAATTTTAAGAGAGGCTGAGAGGGAGCTGCAGCGTTGCCCTCTGGGATGAGATGATGGACGGGCACTTCACGGGACTGCTCAAAAACAAAACACCATCAGCTCCTTGACTGGCTTTTTTTCTGAGGGGGATAAATGGATTAGAGAGGGGGAAGAGAGTAACTCAAGAGGAGGAAAAAATAAGAGAACACGCTCACTAGGTGGATTTATAGTGATGAAAAGAGGGATAAATGAGCGCTGGTAGAGATGGGAATGAGGGGCTGTAATATTGACTCACTGAGAGCTACAGCTGAGTCATTCACAGAGAGGGGGAGGATGGGTAAATAATAATGTATATAAAAGTATTTCTGAGTGATAGCGACTCTAAATCAAGTCAAAACAAAGGTAGGAATCAAGATAAATACTTCAATAATAGTCCAGCAAGGTCGACATGAAATGAGGAGTCCCGCATGGATCAATACTCGGTCCACTGCAGTCAACCCTGAGCCCAGCTGTTTAAAGGTGATCGAACCTTGTGTACGTTTCTGATTTTTATGTCAAATCTCTACTTAGAGATCAAGGATGTTTGTGTGTTTAAATAAATAGATGATCAAACGTTGCCAGTTTTAACTCCTGACACAAATTCCTCACCTTTTTTCCTGCAGCTGCACTGTGAAAAATTCTGTCAATTGAAGCGGTCTGTTCAAGTGTCCTCAGGATTAGAAATGAAGCCGACCTCTGATTGCACATATCTGTTACTCTCCTCCTTCTCTCCTCAGGTGTGTTTTAACCCTAACATGCTCTGCCACACCTGGCTGGCATCCGGGGGGCAGAGTGGGCTAGTCAGGCTGAACTGTCTGAGCGGTTTGACCACTCCTGAAACCAGGGAGCTGATAAATCCGAGCCAGGCCGAGTATAGAGATCTGTGCTCTGCGGAGGACAAGAATAACGCCGTCCAAACTGTGACAGAAGAGCTACAGCAAGACATCAACGTCAGCACAGCGTCAGAGTGTGGACTGTAGGTAGGACTGAAAAAACACAGAACTGCAAAAAAAAGTATTTTTAAGAGTTATTCAAAGATATTTTATTGACTCATTCTTCATAATGCGTTTGTTTGCTGTCTATCATTTAGTTATTCCTGTTTCAAAGGGACAAAGTCGTGGAATGATACTGTTGCTCCAAAACTCTTTAAAACTGTTTATTCCATACAAAAATCTCATAAAATCTAAATAGTGAGTGTTTATTTTTGCATCCTAGAAAATTGAGCTGTCAACAGTGGAGTGCCTTACTACAAACATGAAATTATCAGCTTTCACCTCTTGCTTAATGATGAAAGTCAGGTTTTTGGTTGCTTTAGTGTCTATAAATTCACCAAAGAGGGTCAGGAAAAATAAAAACTTAACGGTTTTTTTTTTTTTTTTTTTGGACTGTTCCTCATAATTATTTAAGATTAAGACTTTTGACTTTTCTGAAGTTCTCAGATAAACAACCGAATTCCGACTTTGTATTCTTATTACTCTGAGATTAATCATGAAATTGAAAGTCTTGGCTGAATTGCAGAAAACTAAGAAGAAGGAGGTTCAAAGTTTTTAAAAAAAGTTCCGAATTATGACTTTGAAGAAACATTTTCCCCACAAGACAGAATTCTAAGGATTTTTGCTTTTGTCACAGAATTTTAACTTTTCTTGGAATTATGTTGCCTTTTTTCCTCTTTTTTATGTTTTGTCTTTTTTTTTTTTTATCTGAAAAATCTCGAAAAAATTTACTTGAATGTCTGCATTAAAAATTGAAATTATAACTGAAAACTCAACTCATTCAAAAGCATATATTTTTTCCAATGTTTTGTCCTTTTAATTAAGAATTCTACGTAAAACTTGACCGTCTTGGGAGTCAAAAAGATATGATTTAATATTCTGAGAAAAAGCTTCAAGATGAAAACCTTTGGAAAATCATCCATGGAGTGTATCCCTTTTTTATTTCAATCACTCAGCAGCCGTTTAAGGTAATAGAATCAAATGATGAGCTGCTCTTCTGTTAATGAAACTCAGGGAGAGTGATCAATACCTGCAGCTGTTTGTGTGGATGATAAAAAGTAACTGAAAAAGTTATTTTGTTACTTTGTAGATGTCACTGTCAGCTGGTGCTATGGGTGAGACGGACTTTACACATGACAAATATTCTCAAGAATTCAGAATTCAAATTTTCAATCAATTCATCAATCAGTAAGACATTCTTATGCACTTGATGTGATTTCTGACCTTAGAAGCCTCACAGTTATTCTTCTGGAGTGTCAGTAAAAAGAAAAAGTGGTCTTCGGTCATGTCTTGAGGCCTTTTCTGTCCTTTATTGTTAGTCTCTTGCGTACACGTCTTTAATATTGTTTTTAACAGAATTTTGAAGACGCCCTGAGCCCTCGAGCTTTTCTGTTTGTGTCCCAAAAATGATCTTTTCCAGTTTTTAAAACATAATCAGTGGGCTGGAAACACCAGAATGTATTTTTTTAGATCATATCAGCTGCTTAATTCTGGAGATTTTTTTTCTTTTTATCACGTCAAAAACAGCTCAGGATATAAGCGAGGGAATACTTGAATTTTTTTATTGTAAATGTTGAATGTAAAGTTTGTAAATGACAGATTTTAAGTCTTTTCTTTCATTGTTTTTTTCTTTGTCAAATTGATAAATGACAAGTTTTGTTATTGTTGTTTTTTTTTACATTTAATTTTCATGTTCTGCAAAACAAACGGGGATATGTTTTGTCATATTTTATGGGGTTATCTCAAATTTTTCTTTTAAGTTATTTCATGGTTTTTCAAATCTTTTAAATAGTCTATTTACGAACGTTGTAGACAACATTATTTGAACATTGTTATTCATCTATGACAATTTTCATTTACTTTGAAGTCAAATAATTGATTTAAACAAACTGTATAACATATGCTCTTTTGTGTTTTGCGCTTCTGCTATTTTTGAAATGTAATATGTAATAAATACTTTTGTAGTAAAAATTTATTCAAATAAACATCAGTGAAATATCTCAAAGCTCAGATTGAAAGTTTGACGCCACAACAGGGGTGGCCAAACTTTGAAGGATCATAACAATGTGTAGTAAACTCATGGTACTCGTGCTGTAATGAAATCAGTAAGCCCTCAGTGAATGAGGTCTTTGATGCTCCTTATGACCCAGTCATGTAGATAGACAGGGATTTGTGGAAAGCGAAGATCCAGGGTTACAAACTGGATTCCTCCTTCTCCACTGAGATGAAGAAAGCTCGACATCAAGCTCTGGCATCCTAAGTCCACCCACTCCATCCTGGGTGAACTAATCTCACATCATTCCCACACAAGATAAAGAAAAAAACAAAGCAAAGGGAGGAGTCTGTGTAGAAGAAGATAAGGAAGGTCTTAGCTATGGAAGGGTAGAGCTAGACCAGCCAGGTTGCACTGTACGCTCTACCTCTCCCTTATTCCCAGTATCCATGTAAGCAGAAAAGACAGAGAGAGTCTGTTTAGAGGTGTCAGAAAAAGGACAAAGCAAGAGCTCACCCCCACTGGATTAAGCTGTACACTCTGCCTCCCCCTATCCTTTAATTTTCATAAGCAAGAGAGGACAGAAAAATAGAGACCCTGGTGAATTCTGGCAGAGAAAGAACAGAGCCAGAACAAGAATCCTGTCTGGGTTTGAGCTCCACCCCACTAAGCTGGGCTGTACGCTCTACCTCCCCCTATTCCCCAGTTTTTATGGCGGCGCAGAGGGCAGAAAAACAGCATCTATCAAGAGATGTTGAAAAAGACAAGACAAGGCAGCGAGGAAGATGCCTGTTTAGGCTAGAAACTAGGCTTTCAGGTTGGACTATACGCTCTGCCTCCCCCATCACCCGATATTATCAAGCGAAGACAGAGCAACAGAGAGAGTCTGTAAAGAGATGTCAGAAATAGGACAGAGCCTGATTAAGTCACCCATTTGGGTTAGACATTGACCCCATTTGATTGGGCAGTACACTCTGCCTCCCCCTACTCATGTCCATGAGGCTGATGGAAAGAGAAGGAAGGAGACAGGTTTTCTCTGAACTTTTTTTTTACCCTCAACAGGTATGATTTCTTTTCACCCAGATCCACTGACTTGTGTAACTGCTTTGTTTGGTGTCCTCTTAACCCTTTTTGTAGACTTTGGCAGTGGTTTGATTTCAGACCTGAGGGTAGGATCTCTATTGTCATTGGGGACCCCAAGATTAAGACAAACCAAAAGTTCCTCACTCTGACTTTTTAGAAACATCTGATACTAAAAGAACATCTTAAAAAATCCAGACACTTTACATCTTCTGCGCTCTTTTATTCCACTTTACAGAAAGAAAGAAAGAAAAAGCTCTTCCCACGCTTAAAAATGAAATATCAAACACCACAGATGTGACATGTGGATTTATGCGACATTACCAGAACACATAGACAAATAGGACTCTTAATAGATTGTACAAGTGAGATAAATCATATTAGTATTTACACATGTACACACAAATCATACACAGAAAATACACAATATTTGACATATTTACAAAAGTCACACAAAGTAAAACTGTCACAGACACCAACAGCACAACACAGAGCATTCTCCAACATAACACCTCCATAGTGACCAAAAAGAAAACAGTGTTTCCTGGAAATTAATCGACGTTTTTTTGGACGGTAAAGAAACTTTGGTTCCGGTTTAAACTGCACCCTGTGTGTGTGTACATGTGTTTGTATAAAAACTAGTCCAGTAAAATGCATTGGTCTTTACATTCACTTTGTTTTCAAAGCTGTAATATTTTAAAAAGAAAGATGTACTTAAATGTACAGGATCTCCTTATAAAGTGGTGAAAATATAGAATTTTACAGAACAAATCTTTGATTCATCCTCCGCATGGTAGAACATCAACAATTACTTGGCAGTTGAACAAGGAACTTCTTACTGTACATGATGTGAACAACACCTAACAACCATGCAAGTATTTGGACCAGGATGGATGTCATTTGGCGTTTACGATGCACAAATTTGCCGTTCTTTAAGAGTAGCTGAAAACATCCACACTCACAGACTTACAGTAGCTGCAGTACATTACAGGCATGTCAACAGGCTTATTGGCTTTTCTTTTTGATGCACAATGTTGATTTGTAATGAGAAAAACTACCCAAAGCTGAGTGAAACAATCTGAATATTTGTGGTCCCTAGAAATCCTGATGTCTGCGATTTGATAATCATCCCACTAGCACCACCATCAACCCAAATCTGCTTCAAAATCAAACTTGTTCCAACTTCACAGGAGATGAAATTTGTACAAAAAAAAAAGGTTTTCTCCAGAGCATCTCTGCTATCACATTAAGCTACTTTGCTTAAGAGCACTTGCTTCCCTTCAAACAGAGATTAGTCACACTTTTTTTCCTTTACCGGCTGGTGTTGATTCGACTCCGACAGTGTGATCAAACTGCACAGAAACTGGATATTTCATGAATACAAGAATAATCAACAGGAACATCAAAAAAAATCAGAGGCAGGATTCATATTTTCAACTAGGAATGTCAATTAGGACAATTAGGAGTATTTAATTTAACACAAATGTGAATGCTTGTCATTCACTTATCGGTGTCAGGTCGATGTTTCAAGCTTGAGGGACAAATCTGCTGGATATGTGACATAAAAGTGGATCTTAGTTTGGATTTTCTGATTCCTTGAAATGCACCTGGAATGATAAAGTTGACCTCGAGGATGGGCCTGACAAGGCTTGACTTTTTACTTTCACTGTTAAATACATTAACATTATATATGTACGCCTCATAGACAGATGCTGCCTATTGGAGTTCAAGTAGTAGCGTGGCCACCATCTTGGATGGGTCCCCAATGCGGCCCCAGTGCATTTATTTCTAAAGAGGAAGGAAGGAATGCCTAACATTAATCATAACGCCCCCCAATTTTTTACCTAATTGTCACACGGTTTGGTTTGTTACAAACGGCAGAGATGTAGCTATGATACGAGATGCTATCACACATTAAAAATAACCCAAATAATTTTTTAGTCTTACTTGTGAAATGTAATCCTATGCAATCTGGTTTCAAAACTGTGTTGGTTTTTGCCACCTTAGAGTACACAAATACGGGCATAGCTGCTCGTTCTCCTTTGACTCCATTTGGCTCTAGTGCGAACCAAGACTGAGAAGACCAATCCAATATGGCAGCGATACTGGGTTACGCTTCAGCACGTAGTTAGGTGTCTTTGTATATTATATCTATGCTCAAATCGGCATCATGGTGCCATTTTGGCAAACTTGAGGCTCGTCAATTGCAAATAAGTTTCTGTATGACTCACTATTTACAAAACTCATTAGAAACTAGGGCTGACTCTTTTTTTAAAAATCAAGCGCAAGAATATCAAACATGGCATGCTGAACCCCTGCACATACACTAAACATTAAAAAAGAAAAATTCAATAAATTATTGTTAAACTCTTGTTGTCATTGAAGCATAAGCATTGTGGGACTGTCTGTGATATAAGACCCAAAATACTTTCACAAGGTTCTCAAATTAAGATGTGATGACTCTCTGCTTGGGACAGCTTCGATCGCGGCACACGCTTGTCATTTTTGGAGGAATTCATCGCTGTATTCTTTTACTGAAGTCAAAAATGCTAAAATAAATGTAATTTTTGATAATAAAAAAATTACAGCCCCAACAGAAAGAGGTAAATATAACATAAATCAAGAAATGGCAAGCTTATTTTGCAGACCTGGGAAAGGGAGTCTGAGCTGGAAGTCATGTAGTCTCGTACATATGCTGAAGCTTGTGCATTTAGCCCTACGTGGCGTTGGCCCTGTGATCAGTACACCAAGTAGCATCACAGAGTCCCTCATCCTCTGCCTAAACTGATTCAGCTGCTGAGTTTCTGTGTACAGACGGGGTACTAAAGTGTCATTCAGTTGTCTGGTAACACTTAAGCTGCAGGAAAAAAGACAGTTTGGGGAGATGGATCACAGCGCAAAGCTGCCGGACTAAATCGTTTCTTCCCTCAGACCTGAAAGTCTGCTCTGAAAACGGCTGAATCTTTTTTCAGTCTGACACTTGCTCGTTTTCTCTCTGCTCAATCAATACAGCCTCCGCTCATAGATTAACTGCTCTGAAGACAATACAGAGTGAACTTTTTGTGCAACTCCAACAATGTCTACATCACAACACAACTGTCATAAGGACTTCCTCTGTAAAAAGCCCTGAAGGTGTTCAGATTTGAAGCAGTTGGTGTCTTCAGAAACATAAATCACCAGATCTCCAGAGACGAACCTTCATCTTTGGCATGAAAACGCAGAGATCTTGGCTGAGTCCAAAATGAGCTGAAGTACTAGATTTAAGACAGACACTTGAGCGGGATGAAGTACAGTACATAAAATGTTGAAAGGGGGTGATAAAGAACCATTTAGGACAGGATGATGAAGGCTATAAGACCATGAAAAAGATGCAGACATTATGACTACCAGTTATCTAGACCTGCCATTGAAGGCCCACTGGAGGTGTTAAAAAAGAAAGAAAGTCTGTAAATGATTAATCTTACAATCCTTATCGTACCTTTTTTTAAACACTTTTGCAAAATGTTTATTCAGATATCGACCAATTTCTTGGATTAAAAGTCCTTAAAAACTTGTCTGTGATTTTTTTAAAGGCAACAACCAGCAGAGCTAGTATTTATAACAGACTTCAGAGACATTTGTATCAGAAAGTAGAGAACTTTAGGTGCTTAAACTTTAGTGTGGGCAGGTTTTAAAAACAGAGTTGAAACCCAGTATGTGTACTTTATTTACCAAAGATAGATATAAAGTTTTTGTTTTCATCATTTGACCCACATTCCATTCGCCTCTTATCAGCTGTTTTGGTAACAGACCAACTGGGAGATAGCCAAGCAGTACGGAGCTGAATTAGGGCCATCTAATGCCATCTATCGAGATGTACTCACTTTGGACAAGGACAGGAGTGCAGTGAAATTGCCTAATCGAGCTGTAACTTTACTTAACTGTGCATGTAAACATACTGAATGAGCTGGAGAGTGAGAGTCCGATAAAATCTGCTGTTTGGAAAGGTAAGTGTTGTATAAACAGACACCAGATTCATCCATGTGTTGATGGTGAAACTTTACATCTGGTACTCCACACTAACAGCTTTAAACCAAGGACAACCTGTATGTCTAAACTGTTGTTTGCCGTACCTTTTGTCACTTGTTTTGCACGAATGAAGGTGTGTTGATCATTTCACCCAGCTCCTCACGTGTTTTAGAGACCACAAATCAACTGATAGTGGTGGGAAAAACAAGGGGTAAAAGTGTTTTAAAAATTAGTGCTGCTAGCTTGGTCCAAGACATCAAATACCCCAGGATGCTTTGATTCAAGTGGTTGAATCAGCAATTTAATAAACTCAATGAATAGGAGCAGTTTCCGTGGTGACATTAAACATTCGTTATGTTAAAGGGCGCACTCATGCTGGGCAATCTGTACCACATACAGGCATGTTTGACCCCTAAAATCCATCATAGGACAGGACTGTTCCTTGGTCCTTGCACGGTTAAAAAGATGGACCGCAGCCTGGTATGGTTGCTCATGCATGCACATGACAACAAGGCTGTGAAGCACCTGATACTTTTTGCTATACAGCAGGATGGTGAAAATAGAAGGACCTAAAAGCTGCAGGCTGTCAACAAAAGAAGCAGAAAAAGAACTTCTCCCTTCATTAAAAAAACGAGAGTAAAGACGGTAAACAGACGACTCTTGTCCTGCCAAAAGAAAGGGAACTAATGGTTTAGATGGGATTTAGGATGCAAGTTAGACTGTGACATTAGCCAATCTTAGTAAAGGATTTTAGGGTGGCCAACCCAAACTAAGGGGTGGCTTTGACCCTCCTCGGCCACTCCATCGCATCATCCTTACAGTACTTGATATCTTCCATGTTAGCTTAGAGCTCCAGCATGACCACGCTACCATCAACACATGGATGACTTCACTGCAGAAATTTCTTGATATGTTGGCAAACTCAGCAAACTAGCAACCAAAATTGACTTTGAGAGGAAGCTGTGTCATGAGTACAGCTCACCCAGAGAGAATGAAAATGTGCCTGAGTCCTGTTCCACGTTCTGTTGGGTCCAGTCTGGTTGGGTCCAGTCTCAGTATCAGTCACAGGGGTCCTGGCAGTTGGAGCAGTGACTCATGTCTTCAGAATAAAGCTCCACCTGGATGGTGACACTGTAGAAACCAAACTTTGTGTTGAGCAGATCGGTGGCCTCCTGCAGCACCAACTGAGCGTCAGCACCCTCCTCTGATGAGACAAAAGAAAACAGCGAGGTGAGTATGTTGTCGGTTCTGCTTTCCTGCATTGTTTTGATTCTCCACTCTATTATATCAAAGCTTAAGAAGAAATATGACACAGCTCTCTGGAGTTGCATTTCCTTGTAAATCCATCACTATTGACGTTTGAGAGCAGGATAAATTTTTGTCTCTACAAAAAACTCTTCAAGTACACATCCCCAATTCCTCAAACCTTTATTTGCTAAAAAGGAAAATGTTGCACTGATCAACTACTCAACTGTTTTTTTTAGCTTCCCAGGCCTCATGAGTTAGTGTAGGTTATAGATTTGTGTATTTTGCATTACCTATGGCCAGGTGAACAGAGACCAGGGCCTGACCCAGAGTCAGAGCCCAAAGGTGCAGACAGTGCATTGACTTCACGGCCTTCACCGACAGCAGCACCTCCTTCACCGAGTTAAACTCTATTCCTTTAGGAGACCCTGAAAAACAACACACTGCTGATTAAAACGCTGTACAGTTAGTATGTGATGCTTTTTTGTAGGACTCTGGTTTTGCATCCTATAAGTTCTTGTAATAAGCATTAAAGGAAAGTTTATAAGACCCTATAATGTGCTTATGAACATCAAAATTTTTCTAATAACAACCTATAAGTTTCTTATTGTTCATGTGTAACAAGCTAAGTTTGTGGACGTGTGTTGCTAAGCTAGTGGAAATATTTGTCTCTGATTTCAACTCTAAGAAAAAGTTTTTAAAGCATTTGGAAAAACGTAATAGCATGACAAAAAAATATTATGATCATGTTTAAAGGCAACAAACAGCTGACAACAAACAGTTTTAATCGAGTTATGGCACAATCAGGAGGTTTTACTTGAAGGTAAACTGCAGATTTTTTTTTTGTTCAACTACACAAAATTGTACATTTATTTAATATTCTCATAAATCAACATGCCCTTGATATGATTCTAGAAATAGACATTATGTTTTTTTCTTTTTTGTTTTTGAATGGGAGGGAGCATGTAAAAAATAATTCATCACCCTATTAAAATAATGGCCTCAGTCATTTTTTGACAAAAATTAGTTTTTGACCTAAATCATCTCGAAATTATCTCAAGAGCTGATTTAGGCCAAAAACTCATTTTAGTCAAAAAATGACTGAGGCTATTATTTTAATATGGTGTCGAATTGTAAGTGGCTCCAGGTTGGAGCCTTGAGGAACACCATGTCGTTTTGTAAGCCTACGTTTGACTGTGGTAGTTTTTGGATGTCTGAACTGAAGTCGCTGTGAGGAAGTGGATTTCAGACCTGATGATCATCAGCGGGCTGTAGAAATAGACTTTTTAAAAATTTCCAGGCCGAATACAGTCAGTGTTTTAATCCACTGTTTGAAGACAACAGGGAGGAAAAGAAAAGTTCTTAACAGAAGCTTTAAGCAGTCTATGTTGTTCAAAAAGTATTTCAGTTCAGCCTTATTTAATTCCCTGCCAATGCACCTAAAAATCTGAGAAGACCATGCCCTAAAGTAGCAGACACTCTGTACCATGTATGTTCTTTTTCTACATGTTCCTGTTAAAGCAGACATCTTTGGTTGAATATATTACACATATGTCGTGTGCATGATTGGTCTTAAAAACGCCTCAGGATCTGACCATCTGTTCCTTTCTGAAGACCTTATTCCAGTTCAGAGATAGAACAGCCAACTGAGTTGTCACCAACTCAGTGTCACCACAGCAGTCTGATCTGAGAGCTGAGAGAAAATCCTCATGCCAGTCTGGGCTCCACGCCGTGAGGCTTGTGTATGAAATTTGACAGCTTCTGTCTAAAACCATCTTTAAAGATTAAATCAACCAAAGCATGACGGCCTTCATCACACTGAGAATATGTTTTGGATCGACTCATGAGGTCAAAGAACACGACAGCTCTGAGAGTCATGTGACACAGAAGTTGTCAGATCATTAGGAGACTTGATGGCCTGATCATGGCTGGCTGCAGACATGAAATAACTGAGTGTTTGCCATAAATACAACCAATGATGTGCAATTATAAAGAAATACTTCCACATTCCCGTCTGACAGGGAAAACTTTAAGCTTTCCAGAGTGCAAGTGTGGTTAAATACCTTCTAAGAGTATCCTAAAGACGTCTCTGAGGATGGTGACTGTGGTACAAAGGACGAAGACGGAGAACAGGAACGTACAGATTGGATCTGCAACTTTATACTCTGGCTGAAAAAGAGAAAAGGAACTTCAGAGAGGGAGCCCAAGGGTGTCAGATGGTGTCAGAGGATATTAAAAAACTCAAGGCCAAAACAAAGACAACACCTTGCAATATGGCAGAAGTATTTTAGACTTTAAGAATAATTCAATATGGATAGTCTGCTTCTCCTCAACCTTAATTACAACAAACCACTCCAAATCTTTTCGCTCCTGAAACTATTTAAATATTGAAACATCTTCAGTTTCAGCAGTTTTTACAGAGGAGCTTTTACAGCTGCATTTAAACCATAACAAATCTGCTCAAACATGACCTTAAATTCATGTCAACCAACATTTTGGTCTCACCCTAACATGAATGTGATCTATATCTGACCCGAAAGTAGATGATTGTCGCGGCCACCATGACGCCGACGCTCTGCAGCAGATCCCCAACCACGTGGATGAATGCAGCTCGGACGCTTGTGTTGCCATGGCCACCGAGGAGCGAATGGGAGTGGCCGTGAGAGACGGGACTGCGGCCATCCTCGTCTATCTGGTGGTAGCCGCTACCATGGGCGTGGAAAGTGGTGGAGTGATGGAGGATGTAGGCCATACTGCAGAGAAGCACCAAGCAGATTGTGACTGTCGTCTCTGGAGCCTTCCTGAGACAATAAAACTACCACCGTGCCACATGAAATTCTCCTCCTCACACAATGTCATTTGTTACTCTTATCACACTGGCATACAGTAATGTAGCACATTAACAGCCATTATGCTGAGCAGCACTCACATTATATTGACGATGACGGCACACCCGGAGGTGACTAACATTACATGACCATCAATCTCATAGTCGTTGCGTACAATCCTCTCAATGGCTAAATAGACCAGAGCGCCTGTCACAATCCAGATGGAGATGACTGAGATGAACGCCCCGAGGATCTCTGAAGAGAGAGAGGGGGGAATCATAATCACTTTAACATGGTTAGACCATTTATCATACCCAAAACAGCAGCCAGCCATCTGAGAATCACAGCAGGACGTGGAGTTAGACATCAGAAGACATCGCTCAGACTAGCCTCAGCTTGTCTTAACTTTTTCCATCAGGATGCAGGTTTTCAAAAAGCCAAAGAAAGTCATTATATATATATATAGTGGTTTATAATGCCTCGAAAAAAAAAAATGCAACTCAAAAATGTTGCATTCACTGTCCTGAACCCTTCATTTTAGCTACCGAGAGGCCTCGAAGCCTCTTCCACTGCTGCCATGCAACAAAGTCCCATTTCTCGATTTAAAGTTAGGTCAAATTTATTCCTACAGCATCATGTCATGTACAAATGTTTTTTTGTTTTTTTTAAATAAGTTAAACTTTTCAGTATAATAATGATCTCATCTTGAGGAGAAGGCAAAAGAAAAGAGATGAGTCTTCAAAACTGATTTAAAACAATATGGAGGGTGGATTTTATTCACAGCGGTCTGCTGTTCCACAGGTGAAGGCCAACCAATGTGAGGGCTCAGCCTCCACTTTAGTTAGCCCATACTTTTCATTTTTAAAAGTAATGCAGATCATCAGCAAAGATGTGAAAATAAATATTGTATTGAAGGAAAATAAACTCAAGCGCAGCTTATAAAGAGAAAACAGGGTCGGGCCCAAAACAGACCCTTGAGGGACACCACAAGTTAGAAGAAGTAATTAAGTTGATGGACAGAGAAAGCTGCACCCATAAGGTGTGATGGTGAATTTGGCTAATCAAGTGTGGCTCTGACAAAGTCTTCTGAGACTTTCTGAGCAACTCCAACACAGGCTGACCTCTTCATTTGAACCTGCGCCTGCATTTCCCAAACTTTTAACTTATTTTTTCTTAAAATATCAAACATAACACCAGCTCTTAAGATCTGATTTTAAATCTTAACATCCCGCAGACATTCGTGCATCTTCTCATCTTCACCTCACTCCATCCTTCCACTCATAAGTCCTGACCTGATCTGTGCCAGCCATAGTTCATGGTTTTGGTGGGCGGTCTGGAGGAGATCCACAGTGAGAACAGGCTCACCATCATGCTGCCAAAATCTGTCAGGAGGTGGGCTGCATCTGTCATAATGGCCAGGCTGTGAGCCAGGTAGCCTCCTGCAGAGAAACCATAAAATACATGATAGTTTTTAAACGGCTGTTACACTTTGATGTGAACTTTGAAAGAAGTTACACGAAAGATTTGAAAGTACGACTGAGATGTAGTTTTGTGAAACTGTCTTTAAAAACTGTCTTTAAAAAGTTGCTGATTAGCAATGTGTCTCCAACTGATCAATCGCAACCTTTGATTACACTTTCTGTAGCCATTTAAAGGTTTATAAAACCTGTGATTTAATGCAGCCATCGTGGTCTGCATTAAATACTAGAGGCTCTTTTTTTAGTGTAATGCCTCAGAGAAAAGAAGGGCATTATTCTTTAATATCATCATAAACATCCAGGCATTTGGCCAATGAATGTGAGCCACTGTTTTATAGTCTCAGCAGTAAAAAGTTTTCAGCTGTGGTCTTTGTTTCAGAGAAAAATTTACTGTTATCAGATATCAGAGCTATCACCAATGCAGATACTGACAATATACACATCTTTTCACCCAGATATAGATGAAATTTAAATCTGAGAGCAGTATAATATCTTATAAAAGAACTTCCTACAAACATTTCCCTCTAATGCCTGATTGAAGTCCTGCTGTAGAGAATATTATAAGTGGTTATGCAAATTTTAATCATGACAGGGTGAGCAGGACCACTCCATTTTCCATCAGGATGAATTCTGATTTGCATAACAACCATCTCTGCAGCCACTGCTGGTTTTCAGCTTTAGTCTTAGAAGCAGCCAATCAGCGGACCTCGAGGACTGTGAGGGGGTGAGGCCAGATGGTGTAAATCCAGACACATTAAGCCTCCATCACTCCTGTCTGTGGTACCAGCCTTCCTGACAGTCCCAAAGCTTTCTCTGACAACCCAGTGATGGTGGACAGATTGGCTGTTGCTCTACTCGATTTCAGCGGGGACAAGCTGTCAGTGCTGATAAAACTTTACAGGGAACTGAAAAACTGCTGAAAGATCCCAACTGAATCATGAACTTTTTTTTTTAAGGTTTTTTTTTCTTTAAATCAAATAATCTCTTAGCCCTCTGTGTTTGAGAACTGGGTTCAACATTTTACAGATCCCTTTTAAAGCTTGATCTTGCACTAAGCTACTTTTTAGAAATGCTGACATCTTTCAAGGATCAAAGATCATTAATAAAGATATCCTTGATCCTTGATCATTCAGGTATTTTCGCAGACTGGGATCCTTCTGGTCATTCAAAAGTTGAGGCTCAAATCCTAGGTAGATCATACTATTTCCACCAGGACCCCTCCACTTTTGAACAACCTCCCCGGAGAGATGCAGCATGTAGAATCAGCTATTTATTATTTTTTTTAAAGTATTGTGCTAAAAGTTTTTTGAGAAGACACAAAGGTTTGTTTTCTGAATGTCTGTTTTTCTTCTACAGCTGAGTTTTGAGCCCCTAAACTCTCACCTATCACCTCTCCGATCATGAAGACGAGGCACACAGCTGAAGCGATGTACAGTTTCTTCTTGGCCAACAGTTTATCCACGCTGTCCTCACACGTCACGGCTTTGATACCGTGGCAGTGGGCGCCAACGGGTCGTTTCAGCTCAATGGCTCCAGCAACTCCTCCATTCTTGAAAGGGAAGTCTGGATACTGTTCTTTGGAGTCTGGAAAAGAGCTGCAGGGATACAAAAGGTGACCCTGTAATAACCCTTTACCTTCATTTTTACTATTTTCAATGCACCTACATATTGTTACACATTGCTGTTAAACCGTATAAGATAATTCAGTCATATACTCACCCAACTGTACCCTTTACTATATTGAAACATGCAACACATGCATAGGCAGTTTGTTGGTGGCAACGTGAAAACAGACAACAGGAAAAACACAAGTGCCTGAGCTGCTTATGCTCCAGTCTCTGCAGTAATCAGAAACAGGGATACAAGAACTTATCATGTATGCCAGGGTATTAGTAATCAGGTTTCAGTGTTCATGTAAACACCATATCTAAAAGTGGGATAACCAGGATGCCCAGGCTCATTCTAACACACTTATTAGCAATTATTTAATGTTTTTACAAATGCAGGAAACAGCAGCACTTGTATGAGGTCCAATAACTTTTTAATTTGCCTTTTCTTCTAATTTAATCAGTTCTGTGACGCTGCCAAAACCCATACCGTGTTCTGGTTTGTGGTTACTTTCTGTCTGTTTTCTTCAGTTTGGCAGATGTCCTATTCCCGCGCTCATCTCCTTTTGATTTTTAACATCCTTCACAGGCTACTGTGTGCTTTTTTCTTTTTTTTCTACTAATGACTTATCAGCCATCACCTTCATAATCACCTTCATAAGTTAATCAGTCTATTTTAACCTTAATAAATGCATTCAGTTTGCTCTCTGAGCCATTCAAATTCAGTAACTCAAAGTTACTGTGTAGTGACTGACTTATCTATGATTTACTTTGTTTATCAAGCTACATAAATACAACTCAGACATGTTTTGTTGGTATCTTAAATGCTTTTCCTCCAACACAATAAACACAATGAGCTGAATTTTTGACATGAGAAGAAAACAAAATGCTGACTTCTCCATTTTCATCCAACAAACACACACACATACACACACTCAGGTTGCTGTTCTTTCCATGTGCAGTGAGGCAGTGAGCGAGAGCTGCGATGATGTGGCTAATGAGGTGGAAAAAAACTAATTTGGCCTCACTTGAGATAACCACACACACACACACTTACTGTCACACACTTCAGATCGGAGATTGCAAGTGTTTCATGATTAGCCTTTATCTCACACAGACACACACACGCACATTTATATACACACACACATGCACACAGGCGTCTTATGGGATGTGTGAGCTGAATAGAGGCGGCCGAGTGGAAAACAGATTTTGTTCAATTGTACCATTGGGACATGAGAGGGACCACTCCCCCAACACACACACACACACACACACACACACACACACACAGTATATGAACATACAACACACAGAGAAAAACAGCTTCCATACATACACAAAATGCTGTACAGCTGTGAAGCCTTAGGGCAACATAATGTCCAAATGTTGTCATGCAGATGAAACTGATTAACAGTCTGAACAAAATAAACTCAGTGGCACGAGGACATACACCAAATAAAGACAAGCTGGAGTGGCAAAAACACACTCTAAATATTACCAGAATAAAGACTAGTTTTGTAGTCAGTGAGGATGTGATTTGTTAGCTTAAAAAGAGGCAAACAAGCTAGCATCTGGGCTGCAAGCTCAACTAGGTTTCAACAAAAATGTTTTTTAAACTAGTTTTTACACAGAGTTTATTTTCTGTTATTTTTTTAAGAAATAAAATTATCTTAAAATTTAGTCAGTTCATAATGACTCAGCATAATAAGCAAAATGCTAACTGCGGCTTTAGCTTGCTAGCTTTAAGCAGCATCAATAACTACACTAGTAGGGATGCAATATTAAAAGGACAGGAAAAAGGGTATGATGCCCAAAAAATGTCCAAAAGCATGTGCAAATTTTCAAAAAAAAAGATAAAATTGATGTCTGAAAAATACCTTGGCAAATATAATAGAAAATCCAACATTCCCTGAAGATATATTCCAAATATTCCAAAAGAAATATAAGAGAAATATCCAAAGTCTATATACAGTTGTGGCTAAAATTATTAGCCCCCCTTTGAAATTTTGAGTTTTTTTTCCAAAATTTTCCAAGTGCTGTTCAACAGATTCATGATTTTTTACACAGCCTTCCAAACATCCTAGTTTTTTTTTTTTTTTTTTTTGGATCCTTACATTATTTTACTTTGCACACAGAAATTAAATTATTTCACAAAAACCAAAAACGACCAGGGTTAAAATTATTAGCCCCCCTGAGGCTAATAGTCAATTGTTTGTCCTTTTTGCTGGATAATAGCATGCAGTAGTTTGTAACAAGGCTCTGGCAAATCTCCAGAGGAATCCCAGCCCAGTCCTCTTTGGCAAATCTTTCAAGCTCCTCCAGATTTGATGGTCTTCTAGCATGGACCCTGGTCTTCAATGCGGCCCACATATTTTCAATAGGATTTAAGTCAGGGCTTTGTGCAGGCCAGTCAATAACGTTCAGTTTGGTTTCCTGGAGGCAGCTCCTCACCAGGAGCACTGTATGTTTTGGGTCGTCATGTTGAAAGACAAAGCGACAGCCCAGACCCAGTTTTGCTGCTGACTGCTTGATGTTTTCTTTCAAAATCTTTACATATCCTTCTTTCTTTGTCATTCCTTCAACCTCTACAAGATTCACAGTTGCAGATGCGCTTAAACATCCCCACAGTGGGACAGTGTTCTTGGGGTTATACGCCTCGCCCTTCTTTCTCCAAACATAAGCAATGTCTCTGTGACTAAAGAGCTCTAGTTTGGTCTCATCTGACCAAAGAACACGTCTCCAGTTTGAACAATCTTTCTCCAGATTGTCCTTAGTATACCTCAGTCTGGCTTGAAGGTGTCTTTTTTCTTAGAAGTGGAGTTTTTCTTGGCCGGCATCCTTCCAGTCCATTTCTGTACAGGGCTCTAGAGACTGTCTTGTTTGACACCACAATTCCTGACTTGGTTAAGTCAGCAACTACTGTTTTGGTAGTTGTTCTAGGGTGTTTAGACACATCTCTCACCAGTTTTTTTTAACAGTCTCTTTGAAATGTTTTGCTTCCTACCTCTCCCAGACTTGTTCTGTGCTGTGTGGCTCTCCTTGAATTTCTTGATGATACTTCTCACTCCACTTCTTGACACTTGGAAACACTGTGATAACTTTTAATATCCTTCTCCTGCTTTGTAAACATCAACAATTCTTTTTCTTAAGTCTAAACTTAATTCTTTTGTTTTTGCCATGATGCCTTCTCAAGTGACAGCTCAAACGTGTAACAAGTTTTTTTATACTTTGTGTAAAGTGTAGGGCAGCCCTTTGTTTTCACTTAATTGATTGATTGAATACAAGCTGTGAACACTTGAAAGTGAAAGCACAATTGCACTAAAGCGGTTTTTGTTTTGGCTCAATAAAAACGTCAACTCTTAAGGGGGCTAATAATTTTGACCCTGGTAGTTTTGGGGTTTTGTGAAATAATTTTGTTTCTGTGTGCAAAGTACAATACTGTAAGGATCCAAAATCAAACTAGGATGTTTGGGAAAGCTGTGTAAAAAAAAATCATTAATCTGTTGAAGGGCACTTGGGAAATTTTTGAAAAAAAACTTTTTATAGGGGGGCTAATAATTTTGGCCACAACAGTATAAATTTCTGCCTTAATGGCTGTGATTGTTCTTCCTTTTTTAATATCAAATCTCTAAAAAGTGAAAGTGTTGCGTATCTTTCTGTTGCAAACATCCACCCTACGCAGTAAGAATCAAATTTGTGTTAAAATAACAAAACACAAGCTGTTTCCTCTTAATACTCAATTTCATGTGTTTGTCAATATAACACAGGGCAGGTGGGCTGTGTTTGCTCAGCAGTGCTGAGACCTGAGGGGGTATTCAGTGATCTGTGAAATGGTATTATATGAAGAGACCTCAGAAGAGCAATACACACTGAAAAAATAACATCAAGCGTTTAATTACAGCTGCAGTCTGCTTTCTTAGAGTGCAGCACAGTATCTCCTGTAGCTGACAAAACAAAGCCTGCAGCAAATAAAGATGAACAAAGAGCAGAAATAAACACTGTTTCATCTTTCTGTTTTAACAGATTAGTCAAAGTGATGACGACTTTAGTAATGATGGAAACTTAATGGTAATTTTACAGCCTAAATGTTAGACCATTTGAAGGCAGTTCATTGTTCAGGGTGACACCCATTTACAAATACTGTGTCCACTGGGGAGGATTCTCACAGTTATTCTGTCACCAATTTATATAAAATGTGCTAATTTTATGGACTAAGTTGACAAAAATCATATCAATCATCACATGTTTTCATTTGTTGTCTAATCTAATCCAACATTTTTCCTTAAAAGATCATCCATGCATTAAAAGTACCACTTCCATTTCTCTGCAACTGTGGAGTGCCTCAAGGCTCTATATTAGGGCCTGTCATGTTTCAAAAAAAGAACTACTTATTTAGGCCAGTGTGGATAAATGGAGAGCTAAATGGGCACTACTGACAAGCCTCAGACATTTTCTGTAGACATAATTCTGAGGTTAATTCATGATCACAAATCTGTGTAAAAAGGTACACTCACAAGCTGTGTCTAACAGCATTACTTGAAAGCAGCTAAATGTAGCATTTCAGGGCAAGGCCAAACAGAGCCAAAATAAGGACAGACACCAGCATAAGTTTTTTTTTTTTTTTTTTTAAGGATCCTTCAAAGACACTCTTGAACTACAGTATGCTTTCTGTTTTTGTTTACTGTCCTTTAAGCTTTGTTAGATATTAGCATGACTATTATCATTGTGACCAAAACCTCTTACATGAGCATCCTGATTACTTGAGCTTGTGGGGTTGACATGATTACAAAGAAAACAGTCCATCCGGAGACTACAAGAGGCAGAACATGTTACATTCTTAAAGCAAATCAGCAAAATCTTATAACATTTGAGCTTTAAAGCTTCTGTGAGGAACTTTCTGGTTTGTGCCAATTTTGGCGCCCCCTGTGGACAACCCTGGCTTTGCTTGTCTAATCCTCAATATGCCTGAGCCATGTCATTTGTTGGGAATATTTCATGTAGAAATTTTAGGGCCATTTATCTAGCTCCTTCCCCCCTCACACCAGTTTCCGTTGTCAAAAATTACAATACAAAATTTGTCACTTGAACGCAAATGGTCTTGCTTGCTTTTGGATGCACTGAAAAGGCATTAATGTGAATTTTAGTCAAGTTCATATATGTTTAAGAAACTCCTCACAGGAGCTTTGATTAGTATCTTTTATCAGAGTTTGCATACTAGTACAATCTGCACGTTGACCTTCTCTCAAATTCAAATTAATTGTCAATTTTCAAGTTGCTAATCTAACTTTAAAAGGAAGCTAAGGCCAGAGATTGTTTACCTTTAACTGGTGATTACTCAGGATGTAGCAGATGCCTTATATTTACATTAATTAAAACTTAAGTTACTGCAGTACAACAATAGAATAACAGCCACTCTGTGTGAGACTCTACTAAAAAGCAGCAGCTGTGTGAATGTGCTGAATCACTTTTTCAAGCAAAGGTTCTTTTCCAATCGTTCTGATAGATAAACCATTATTTGACCTTTAATTTGAAGTCAAGAGGGCCATTAAGTCTCCCTTTTTCTGAGGGATACACATCAAGGGCTCCAAGAGACCAGGCAGCTGACCAAAACCCATGAAAATCCAGACTGGCTTCACTGGTCTTTATCTGGAGTTTTCTGGAAGCTGCTGCAGCAGCAGTGACAGCCCCAGCATCTCCTGCCAGACTCCCATTAACACTCAACCAATTATGCTGCCTTCATGTGCAGCCAGAAATATCACAATTACCAGTGAGTAAATGACCCTACAAAAAGGGTTTGGTAAATACAGCCGAGAGACATCATAAAGAGTCAGTCATGAATTAGGGGACAGTGTTAGTCGAGGGAATTTGTTGGTTTCCTGTGTGTAGAACATTGAGCTCAAAAGCTTTTTCATGATTGATATTTTTCCTCACTTTTCATATAATAAGCTAAGTTCATCTTTTTTAATAATATTTGTGTCAAAATAAGTCATTTTCTGACAGCTTTAACAAAACTTTTCAAAGAGCATATCGTAATGTGTCAGATTGTTATAACGAGTAGTTTGAGTATCAGCCACACTAAAAAAAAGCTCCTGTCAGGATTTTACACTGTAGTAGAGTTTGGTGCCCCCGTGGACAAACTAGTACATTTCATCGTATTGCCAAACTGAACCAGAAGTTTTAGGCATTTAGGCATAAACAGAAATAGTCGTATTTATTTGTAATGTCTCCTTTGTTATTATAGGTCGTAAAGTTTTTTAATTTTAAAAAGCATTCATTTTAAAGCTCTTGTGAGCAACTTTCAGTTTGTTGAGTTTAGCGCCCCCCTGTGGACAGAGGGGTATCTTCTGTTTTTGCTGGATTTGTCCTTTTTGGGTTGACATTTCTGTCCTGTGCATTTTTTAACAAAAAAAAAACAAAAAAACTGATCCTGTCGCATTTTAACCATTATAGGAAGTAGTTATTGAGAATCTTTGCTGTGGAAAATTTAAAAACGCTGTTTTAGCTGAGTGGAGTCAATTACTTTGTGTGACCTCTGCCCCACACCCACAGCTTTAGATCCTAAAAGTACTGACATAGAGATTATCAATTTATTATACTGATGGTCTTTTTTTTTTGGCCCTGAAGAAGCATCAGTATTAATTTCAGTGTATTTCTTTACTACCTAAAAACTCTTTATAGGAGCTTTAACATACCAATAGATTGATTAGTATAACAGGTATTGATAAATTATTTAATTTTAATACTGGGATTGCCAAAGGGTGGTCATTTTCACATAAAAAACTGTAAAGATACTGTTATTATTGTAAAAAAAAATTTTGATTTCCACTATTTTACTGTACATTTGAACAGTTAGTTTATAAACTATGTGCGATAGATAGATAGATAGATAGATAGATAGATAGATAGATAGATAGATAGATAGATAGATAGATAGATAGTGTTATCAGATGCGTTCTATGGCTATTTGTTGCTGTTATTTATTATTTGTTTGAGTTATGTAATATGACCTCCCTTCTGAACATAGCAGATTTCACAAATACTTGATCAAATTTACAAATTTACATGTGATTCTGTTTTTTTTTTGTTTTGTTTTGTTTTTTAAAAAGACTTCCTGACACAAGAAACACATGGTTCTCTATGTTAGATATCAGCATGACATGAGAAATAATAATAATAGACCTTTCACAGCCTTCCTCGTAATTATGAAGCTGTGGCCTTTCCAGTGTTTGTCCATCATTAACCTTTAACAAAGTTGATCACTTGGAGTACAAGTTATTTTAATAGTTTAGGGAGTAATCTTACCTTTTTATATGAAGTTGTGGAAATTATCTGTTTTTAAGATAGTATGACTATTTTTGAAGTTGGTGAAATACTGTAGACGTACTTTCTTTAGGCCTACTACAAAAAAAGGGAGCACAGAACCTTCAGTGAGGTAAACCTTAATTAATACCTTATGAAGACAATTAAGGTATTTTAATCAACATTTTGGCTTTTTCTTTAAGTGAACTATTTTAAAAAATTGCATTGATCTCATTTTATCTCTCATCTTAAACTCCACTGGTGCAAACCCTTTATTTTGCCATCCAGATGTTGCCCTTTGTCCAGGGTTTTGGCTCCTGCTACCAATAGCCCCCTACTTGTTTGGCCCCTGAATCCTGCTTCTTCTCAACATGCTATTTTAACCTAATTTGTAAACATTTTGACTTTATTTTTCTCTGAGTACAAACTGAAAAAAAAATCTGTTATTTTTTTCTCATCTCATCTTTGGCCCCAATACTCCACCATAATTTCTCTAATTTAATTTTTTTTTCTTTTCACAGAACTAAGCTTCTGTGTGTCTTGGCATGCTCTCCAGTAGTCCATTATATATCTGCCTGCTGATTTTGACCACTTTAGAAGCTGAAATCTGCTTTTTTATGGCTCATTGATCACCTAATCAATATCTGTCTATGAATGAGGTCTGTCTGCAAATACTGGGATTTAATGGTAAAATTTCTTATTTGTATTTTTTCCTTTTTTGGGGGGTAACAGCAAATAAATTCTCACATTTATGAAACAAACTCTGCTTTTGAGGCCTGTTACTTGTTAAATGGATTAACCAGTGAATTAGTCAGCTCCCCTGTTTTATCCCTCATTTAAACAAGCCTGAACTAATTGCTAATAAGCATCTGCAGTAACCAGAGATATAGCTAATGATCTTTCAAAGCATTGAAAAACGATTTATTTCCCATGAATACAGACTTTTAAAACGTGCTGATTCTGCAGGTTCTGCATATTAATTTCACAGATCTGCATTTTCTCCGTTATTGTATTAAAATCTTAAATATTTGGGCCTAAACAAGAACAAAAGATGAGGTCACTTCCTCATACACCACTTTGTTGCCAGCTGGGGAAAACGCTGAGATGACACACTCAAACACATTCACACAGGAGTGCAGCAAATGGTGCATGAAATCTCAGATGTGGTGCCATATGCATTACTCTCCCCCCCACGCACATACACAAGCAGAAGTCAACACACAGCAGCACCTGCACACACCAAATCTAATAATAATTTCTTTGATTTTTGGGGGGATTTTTAATCTGCATGACTGGGACTCTTTAGAATGGTTCTTTGAAGGACATGTTTTATTAGTCTGCAGCTTTTCTCCTTCCTGCGTAAAAAAACGTAAAGTCCAGTTAAATCCTTGAAGTGAGGAGGAGGAGGAAAGGTGAGAGCAGCTGACGCACAGGTGTCAGGGAGTGAGTCAGAGGGATCGAGTCAACTTTTAGATCCGGTTAAAGTTATTGATTGAAGATAGGCATCAAGAGGCCTAAAACTCACGATGGAGACAGAGATGAAGAAGCTATGACATCCATACAATTTTTATTTTACGCACAATGGTCGATCCTGATGGTATTAAAATTTCTTCACAGAAAAACATATTTCTGCAACAAAAGTAAATAAATAAATAAATAAAGCCTGGACATCTGTTGCAGATTTTCCTCTCATTCACGCAGGTGGAAAAGGCATTTTTCTGCGTCATGTCGTGGCGCAACGACTGAAATTTTCCCCAAAACCAAAACCAAATCTTGATTTGATTTTCTCTTCAAACTTTCCGGCCTTTTTACAGTTATTATAATTTTATCTGCACAAGCCAGTCAGTATTATTTAAAACCTGCTCTTAGTTCTCTAAATAAATCCCCTGAGACTGGTTTGCACATCTTTGCGCCAAGTTCGACATTCAATCTGCTTTCCTTGAGCCTCAACTTTTGTCTTTAAATAATATTTGCATTAAAAGGTCATTTTTATTTAAAACTATTTCTTAGTAACATATTTTTTTTTTAAATCTAAAATACACCAAAGCTGATAAATCTCCCCGGGTCCATATGTGTCGCCCCCTCTTGCAGGTTTTCACCCCTCCGTGTATTTACCGTGTTCTAAATCCCGCTGATTTCCGTCCACGCAGCTTTCCCGTGCGCAGAGCTGCTGCTTCCTGCCTCTCTAATGACAGATGATGAGTTTTTAGCATTGCTCAGTGAACTGGCCCCGGGGCCATTTGTCACAGGCTGTCCAGAAACAAGCCAAGCATGGAAATGAATTTGTTCATTCACATAAAACAGCCTGCAAGAGCAGCAGCCTGCTTAACATGCACCACGGTAACAACTGCTCCCACCGTGGACGTTACACACCAAGCTTCACATCACACACACTGACACGACACGACATGGGATGAGACCTGCAGAAATCAGCATGTGAAGTGTCCACTTTAACACCCGAACATACGGATTCTCCAAGAAAAAGCCCCGACGTGTAAACATTTTGCTTTTTTATTTGCTACTTTCTTTAAACTTTAAACATGAAATGATATTTTCCCTTTATTAATCCCATGCATGCCAAATTTAACATGTGCACATAACTTCATGCAGCATTCTTCTCCATGCATCTGCAGCAAAATGAAACATGTTCCCACCTTTGCAGCTTTAAAGAATACATTTTGGCACTCTTCTCGTGCACCAGGTGAGATTTCTCCGAATTTGCAGCGTTATTATCCATGTTTCAGCCTAAAGCTGCTCGCAGTCCCGTCTGGATCAAAATTTTAAAAAAAAAGTGGAGCTGTTTCAGTGTCTTCCTTTTTTTTTTTGCTTTAGGGTGATGTAGCTGCAGGAGTTGCCGGTAAGAATCGACAGGTCCGGGTCCCTCTGAGCTTCAGTCGTCTTGGGGGAAAGTCAGCGGAGACCTCATGATGAAGTGAGACTTGAGAACAAACGGAGAAATTCCTTCATTGCGGTGCAGAAGGGAGCAGGAGGGAGGAAACCACATGCGGGCTTTTTTGGAGGGAGGTTTTAATTGTAGCCTTGAACATGCAGCAGCAGCAGCAGCAGTGGTGTCCGGGCTGCAGCAGCACAGAAGAGAGGTACCTGACTGATCACACACAGCTGCTCTGCTTGGTGAATCCTAATGGGACAGACGTCAATATGAACGACCATCAATGTTTTCACTCAAGCACGCCAATTGCCAAAATAAAAAAATTACAAATGCATAATTTAATATGAATATTTATATACTGATTATTGCCAGTAATAATGAACTTTTCTGCACAGATTTGGCTACACATAAGGCCAGTTTGCAGCCTTTTTTACACCCTGATTTATATTCATGTGATGTAGTCAAAATTAGTGCAGCACTGAAAATATAGCTACAGGTCTTCAGAGCAAAATCTACCACAGATTCAACCTTTAAGGAGAAAACTATTAAGACAAATGCTCTAACTGGGATTTTATGAAATCAAACCACTTGAAAAATTCGTTTAAACTAGTGAAATGTTATTTTAAAAGAGTGGAAAATTCCTCTTTCACAAAAGTCTTAGCATAAAATTAGTTAAAATTATTGTATAATAAAATCAACAAAAAGAGGAAGTTGGTGTTTTTCCTATATCTGTAAATGAAAAAAACAATCTTGCATGCTATCGGTTCTGCTTTAGCCTAGTGTAGCTATGAACATAAAAAATGCCTCGGTGTACTTGATGAATAAAATAAAAAAGATAAGACCAACAATGAATAATTGAATTTTGTTTTAAGTTAGGTTAGATTGCGATGTTTTATAGTTCACATAAGAATAAGGAGCTTTAACTGATCTGCTGTTGTGGAGGATCATCATTCATTCATATGGGACACATGCTGCGTTCAAGTTCGGCCGGGACACGTCCAGTCGCCGAGTCAGGTTAGACGGCTTTTTTGTGTGTCTTAAATTAGAATAATTAAACATTTATTATGTTTTAGCAACATGTTCACAGTAGTGGAGATAGATCCCTTCATTACCATATTGGAAGTATAGATACTAAAGGTGAGATATGATTCAGATACAAGTGAAAACTGCTCAAACAAAGGATATTTGAGTCACACTATTATTTTTAAACTGCTTACAAACATCTTGAAATATTGTCGTATTTGTACATTACGTTTATATGGAAAACGCGGATTTTTGCTATTTCACATGATTTCCAGTTATAAAAGAGCAATAGCTTAATAATATTTATAACAATAAAAGCAGCTAAAGATATGTTGAATGAATGTATGTCGCTGGGTATTGGGTCTTATTCCTGCTTATTTTGTTGTTTGAGTTTGTCTTACTCATATGTTAAAGGAAAAAAAATCCAAATTAACCAGCCCTGTGGTACAAACTGTCATTGGTGAAAAGCACTATACTTAAAGTTAATGTCCACAGTTTAATGACAGAAAACAGGACGTTCAATAAAACAACAAAGCTCTTTTAAAGTTTTAGAAATACGTTTTACTAAAAAATGATATTTGTGCGACGAAAAATCGAAAAATATCCGATTATCTTAAACGTCGCAGCAGTTTACGCGCCTCCTGACGTCATGACGCTTCCTGTGTTTGGTTTCCGCGCCGCGCCGAGCTGAGCCGACATGGAAACAACAAGCAGCACCAGCAGCGACAGTAAACCAGACGAGCAGCAGACAGATGAGGGAATGGATGCGGACAGGTCCATGTCGAGGTCCGACAGGTAAAGATGTTCAAGGAGAACGTCTAAGGCACGAAACAGTGAACTGTGGAGGAATAAACCACGAAACGAGCTCGTTTTTGTGAGCTAACACCGCTAGCTGGCTAGCTTTTACTGTCATACCCACGCATTGTGTTCGAGTGGTCTCAGTACACATGGAATAGGGGATGGTTTTAAAGCACTTTGAGGAAATGATGAGGGGATATTTTTAAGCTCAAATACGTATATGACTGAATTTCGTTAGCAGTGTTATTCCTTGCTTTCGTTGTGTTAACAGTAACACTTGCTCATTCACTGACACGTAGCTCTAATGACGCTCAGGATGTGCAGGGACCAGGTTTCTGCTCATCTGTCTGTAGACCTGTGAACGTGTCCGTGTGAACCGGGATGTCATGCAACTGATCCCAAAGCTGTCCTTTAAGGTTGTTTTTGATATAAGACCATGATATTCATCTTTAGAGGGGCTCCTTTTGCATAATTTACTGCACCAGTGTGACGTGTCCTTGAGGTGATCAGTCTGTCTCAGTGGGGTCTTATTGAAGTCCACGTCTCTCTAAAATGCCCTTCAGCCCCTCTGTGTTGTTGCTCTGGTGTCTTTCATCTTCTCCTTGATGATACTCCAGAGGTCCTCTGTGGGGTTCAGGTCAGAGCAGTTGATTGGCCGATCAAGCTCAGCAATATCATGGTCAGCAAACCAGGTTCTGGTGGTTTTGGCGCTGTGGGCAGGTGCCAAAGAAAACCTGTATCTCCATTAGGGCTGCACGATGTGGGAAAAAGTTTATCACAATATTTTTTTTTCATGTCAGTTGATATCGATGTATATTGTGATATAAAAAATGAAATTAAACAGTGTTTATTGGTACCATGTCTTTTACAATACAATAAGCTTCTGCATCTATGAGGTCTTTGTGTCTCTTCAACATTTTGTCATAAGGAGTTGCGCTACAGAGAGCAATTGGCGTGCTCTGCCGCATGGCACTGCTTCAGGTGGTGAAAAAGATTTGAGGTATTCCCCGACTTTGTGAGAACATGTTCTCGACATAATTTGCAGTGCACACCACTCTGCTTTAGGGTTGGGTATTGTGAATCGAGCAGCGATGGGGACCGGGACTAACATTTAGATTCTCACTGAATCGTTCAAATTTTAAAATTTCGATTCCAAGTTTTGATGCCGGAGTCTGCCGACCGGAAGAAATAGCTGCCAAACACCAATGAGGAAGACGCGCTAAACACCAACGAGGCCTATATCTGCATTTTTGACGGAAAAACACCCTCTGCCTCATTTTCTATTTAGCTCTGTCGGCTTCATGTGTTAAAGTGCTATGGTTGCGTGTAGCTGCAGCCAGTTGTTTGCTACTTGGTTCTAATTCAGCACGATTGATTCAGCGCAAAGCAGATCCGGAGAAACTCCCCTTTTCATTGGCTATTTGTATCATCTACCAAAACATGCTGACTATTGAAAAGGATATTGCCATGTTTTATATCGATATTGAGGGAAATTAATTTTCGATATATATTGTTATCATTTTATCGCCCAGCCCTAATTTCCATTCTCTCCAATGTAAGAAAATCTAAGTAAACTACATGAAAACCTTCACTGTAAATGCAACAAATATGACAGAATATGTGAGAATTTACTGTTTTGATTTCATTTATGGCAGAAAAAAAACTCATTGTGGATTATCAGGACTCTCTGAGGTGCAGCCAAATGATGACAGCCTTACTCATGTGAATGTTGACCCCACTCTGTTCCATGCTGCGTTCAGGGGCAGCGGTGTGATTTCCTGGGAAGGGTTTGGTTAGTTCTTCCTCCCTTCCCCTCAGCCACACCGACAGCATCACTGTAGAGAGAAGAGAGATGGACTCTGGAGAGCTCTGACCACCTCTCATATCTCTGCAGGACAATGGAGCATCTGCAGACCCACAGAAGTTGAAAGTTTTTAAACTTTTCTGAGCCTGCAGATACTACAGAAGGACTTAAATGCCTGTATCTGAGCCGCAGCAGGGGGGCAACTATGAGCTGATGAGGCATCTCTGATGGCAGCCAGTATTTACAGAGTATTCAACACATACAAGTAGAGCTGGGCAGTAAACCCAGAATTTACAGATACCGAAATTTACGACAATAACCAACGTCATTTTGCCCATGTCAGTGTATTTGGTGTGAAAAAAAAAAATAAAAGTTAGTTTTGGATGTGTGTAGGCAGGCTATGGTCTAATGTCCCTTTTAAGACGCTGTCCTACATCAGAGACGTGACTCCACACCTGATTCAAATGATCAGCTTGTTATCAAGCTCTGTAATGGCTTACTAACGAGCTGATCATTTAAATCAGGTGTGTTGGAGCAGGGAAACATCCAAAACATGCAGGACAGTGGACCTTGAGGACTGGACTTGAGAACCACTGGTCTTGAGGGACATCTTGTGTGTAAAATCCTTAATTAGGTAGCCACTGCCACATTTTGATGGCACATATTGTCAGTGCAACCACATTTTAAAGAGTTAGCTTTTCCAGATTTTTAATATTTAGTGAATTACTGCAATTGGGAATTCACTTTATGTCAGCAACAGTTAGAGCTGGTCAAAATAAGAGGGTGGTAAACAAATGTCATAGGCCAACTTGACTAAAAGAAGCTCTGAAGTGACAGAATCTGACCAATGTTTCAAAGTTTATGGGTCATTTAGATGTTGAAGGCACAAGAAGGAGAGGTAGGGTCTTGGGGTCCTCCTGCAAGACATTAGGGGTGTCAAACAGCATGCAGGGGTGGGGCTAACATGGATGGACACTTGCCTCATGCTTGTATTGACATAAAGCAGAGGCAAGTGTTAATCGAGCTATCGGAAAAGCAGGTTTCAACTTAAATTCAAAATACTTTATTGAAGTCAGGGATAGAGACATTAGCTAGTCATCAATAAGAGACGAGTCAGCCTCAGACCTCAGAGACCAGGAGCTAAACCCATGAAAAAAGCCAGTTTGGGGATACTGATTCTGCCATTTGTTGTCCTCTGTCATTTTCTCCAGTGGGAGTGGAGAGGACTCCCTGGACAGCATCCCTGACTGTATCCCCCGGTGCCCTTTGACCCCGTCTCTATCCCCACAAAAAAGGACTACGAGCCGGTCTAAGACTGAACCTCCTCTGCTGAGGACCAACAAGCGGACCATCTACACTGCTGGGAGACCCCCCTGGTACAACGTCACCGGGACTACCTTCAAAGAGGCCTTTGTGATTGGTGAGAGACCGAACAACCATCTGCGACACCTGTCAGTCCTGTACTGCAGAGAGTTCACACTACAGTCACTTATTACTGTGTAAATGTTCCTCAAAGCATCCAACTCATTCAACCCCACTTCAGAATGACTGGAATATCCCTTTAATGCTTTAAAAAGAGACAAAAATCAAACCTTTCTTTTGTTTTTATTTTATTTGTGTGACTTATAGATCAAATCTGGACTCTTGAAGTGTTCATGATGACTTTACCGTTTTCACAATCCTGTCCATCCACACAGGAAAATATCTCTGCAGCAGCTTTAAATTGAGCCATACCTGAAAATGTGTGTGTGTGTGTGTGTGTGTGTGTGTGTGTGTCTGCATGTGTGTCTGCATGGGTGTAGTTAGACATTCGTGAAGCCAGTGTTGTGTAGCTAAACTCTGCAGATTGGCATGAGCAGGAGTACACAGAGGGAGAGGTGGACGTTGTCTGTAGCAGGTAATCTGTTATTGTCAGCGGACCGCAGTGGCTGCTTACAATTTCACACTCTACTGTACTGTGGTCGATGTGGTTCAGGTTCAGGTTGTGTAACTGCAGGGAACTGGAGAGACGGAGCAAGTACAGAGAGAAGAAACCAACCTGCAGGAAAGGTCAAGGAAAGGAAAGAAGAGGAGAGGAAAGAAAAGAAAAGGAAAGGAGAGGAGAAGCTGGCTACATTGACGTTAACATACTATTCCTTTTTTTGAAGTATGAAGTAAGAAATATGGATAATGGGGAAATATAGCTGACCAATCAACTTTGCAACAAGGGATCTAGGGTTTCCACCATTCTTAGTCAATGACTTCCAGAGTATATTTTTTGCATGACCTAAATTAGATATGCAATATTGTCTTACCAGGAGGAACGGCATGTATGTATTTTCAGCCAACGAGGAATGCAAACTCAAGCTGGCTGTATCTGCTGCAGAGATAGCGGAAGATGAATGATAAAAAGAGGAACAACAGAAGATATCCGGGGTTGTTTCCTTTCTCTCCAGCCCAGTTTTATTGCTAATAGAAAAGGCAGTTTTATCTGCTCCATTCAGTGACCAGGTTTCACTGCACCCAGAATTGGCCACCACTGCAGAATCTGAAGAAACACAATAAAAAGGGTTTTGTTCTTTTAATGCCCGTTTCTAAGTCAGAAGTGGTTTCAGTAACCTCTGTAGAGCCGTATAATCACACATAGAAATGAGCAGCTGCTGTGGTTTGTGTGTGTGTGTGTGTCATCAGCCTCTCAGTCAGCAGTTTTGACCTTGATGGGTCTTATCTGAGCACGAAAAAGCCCACTCCAACACTTCACCGAGAGTTGTTTATAACACAGAAGGAGCTCCGTAGGCTATTTCTGTTCTTGCACGCACACACACCAATAAATACACAACTGTCGGCAGCCCATGCATCCCGTTCTTTACCTCTTCAAAAGCCTGCAAGCGTGTAGTTCTGGCCCTCTTCCCGGGATTCTTATCCTGAAGGATTGCCATTTTGGTCTTTAACCCGGGGAGTCGACTGAGGTGAACCATGGATCCATACTTACTCTTCTTTTTTACATTGCGGGGACTGAAGCCAGTATTTCTAACATTTTTAAGCTTCTGACAGAAACTAAACATAGTTGCATCAATAACTTGTTGTCCCTGGTTGGCCTTTGGTGCAAACCTTTACTCCTGAACAGGAAAAGGCAAATAAAAATGACACACAATTTAGTGAGAAAGTGCTGTCATGATATGATTACTATGCAGTGCACCAGCAGGTACATGAACGGTATATTAAAGCACTTTTTTCCGAGAGCGTTCAGTCACCATCAAGGTTCCTGGGGTCCTGGACAGAAAATCAATCAGGATCATACAGCCATCAGAATCACATATAAAAACAAGGAGAGCTTTTCCAGTACCTTCTGCTGGCTTCTACTTTGAAAAAAGTATAGATGGATTCAGACGGGACTGCAAAGAATAACTGTTTTAATGATTAAATCAACCGGTTGATGAACCAGATAATTAACTGCACGATTACTAATGGCTCCTATTACAATAACAGCTTTTAAATCAAACAGTCCTCCTACAAACATCATTGATACTCAATGTGAGCCAAAGTTTTATCTTGGCTTAAAACATCATACAGCATAATTAGGGCTGTACAATAATGATAAAAAATGAAATATTGGTATTTTAGTGAATTTTGCTTGTTAATAAAAAATTATGATATATTGCACCCCTAAAAAATGCAACAACTAAAAAATTGTCTTGCATTAGGGCTGGGCGATAAACTGAAAATTTACCAAAACCAAAATATACGACAATCACTGATGTCATTTTTGCCATATCGGTATATTTGGTGTGAAAAAAATAAATGAATAAAAGTTGGTTTTGGATGTGTGTAGGTGGGCTATGGTCTCATGTCCCTATAAGACGCTGTCAGAGACTAACTCCAGTCCATAACAAAGAGGGAAAGACAGGTGAGGAGATGGAGTATGGTTCAAAAGTTGCAGAAACTAGAGCGGCGGCTGAAGTAGTGAGGGACGGAGTGAGCAGCTCGTAGAGTAGTTATCGTCTATTTACGCTTATCGAGGTGAACTGCTCAATATATCGCGATATTGATTTGAGGCCATATCGCCCAGCCCTATCTTGCGTTGTACCAGCTCTCATTTTATATTAGATGCTGTCAGTGAAATCAATCAAAAATCTTGATCCCAAAAAAGAGGACACTACTATGCGGGGCGGAGTCGCGCACAAAATTTTGAGCCACGCTTTAGATCATTTCTGCTACTTTTCATACTGTCTGCAATGTTTTTTTCCTCAAAGTCTCTGTTCTTGTTCGTGTAGACTGGTACTTGCGAAACCGTTTTTCAAGGCACCAGGAAGAAAGGAATCAGTAAGGGAATCATTAAGATAAAATGTAAACAAGGTCGATGGATTGAACCATTTGAAACCGATTCTCAACAAGAACCGGTTCTCAATTCCCATCCCCAACTTTAACTGATATTAGTGCTCAAGTCAAACTCTTAGAATTAGCTCTAAGAATTAGTCGACTTGGCTCCATCTGCAGGAATCTGTAGCCTAGCTTGCCTGCTGACTCTCCTTGCAGTTTTTCATGATATGGGCTAAGATGAACAGCATCCAACCATCCAGCCAATTAACTGACAATTAAACTCATCTGCAACTATTGTAATGAGATCGAAAAACCCAAAGCTGCTAATGTTTCTTGACTGCATTTTGCTCTGTGTTCTGCTCCTGAAGGTTTGTGTGGAGGAAGTGCTTCTGGGAAAACCACAGTGGCCAATAAGATCATTGAAGCGTTAGACGTCCCCTGGGTGGTCCTGCTGTCTATGGACTCTTTCTACAAGGTAAAGAATCCAATTACTGACCGGGTTTAATGTAAACTGGAGCAAAAATACGGCCTCTTTTGTAAGTATTTATGCAGCAGTGATTACAGCACAAACGGCTCCATTAAACAGCTGTAATCGCTGCTTTATCTATTAAATCAGCTCAGTGGTATTTCAGGGAACCATGTCAGCAATATAAACCCAGTCTTTGATTTTTAATTAATCAGGTTTTAATCAAGAAATGATTCCCTGTCAGTGGATATTAAATTCAAGCGTAAAAATCAGATCCTGGACTCGGTCATTAGTGCTGATTTCAGCGCAATAAGCAAAACCTCCTGACTGGTAAAGACCAGACTCAATAGCTCATATCAGTTAGACCGCCTGCTCCTCTGGGACTGGACTCTGATTGTTGTCCAGTTTGCTTTCCTCACAGAGTCATACACGGTCCATTATATCTGCACCTCTCTGTAGATTGATCAACCTCGCTGCTGTAATTGAACATTATTGAGTGAGTTTTGCTCTTTCAGGAAAACTCCACTCTGAGGCTTCGCAGTGTCGGGTTATGCAAGTCGGTGGTGTCGCTAACAGGCCGATTGCGCAGATTTTGCAGCTAAATTTGTGCAATGAAACAATTAAAAAACACAATAACAAACGTAATAGCTACTGGCAAGTGCATGTCTTTGGAGAAAGATTGAAATTTTGGCCAAATTTTTGCAGAAATGTGTGACGGTTTAAACACTAAATCAAATATGGACAGAGAGAGAGATAGAGAGAGTAGATAAAATCCACACTGGAGTCCGTCTCTGAGTTTGATCCATGGAGGAAAATATGAAGTTTTATCGGGTTTGATTAAGAATGTAATTACATTTTTTTTGCTGCACAGTAGAAAGATCTCCAGATGTTCAGTCATCCATCTCCTGAAGTAGATTAACCTAGATTTGATACAACTACAAATGATCAAATATTCATTAATATACTAAGATATAGTAGAAAGTCATTGGGCCTAATTTATTTTCCCATTTCTGCTCCACATAAAATGTTTTCACTCTCTTCTCTGCTGATAAAAAGATTTTATCTCTCTGTTTGAGATTGTAAATATTCAGTTTTTATGTACATTTTCTCTGCCCTTTATTTCTTCATCAAAGTGTTGCTTCTGTTGTGAATATCTAAAGTGATCCTGGTTGTAAAATCTCTTCACTCGAGCTTCATCTCCTCTGTCATCTGGTGTTTTAGGTGTTGAATAAAGACGAGCAGGAGCTCGCAGCCAAAAACGAGTATAACTTCGACCACCCCGACGCTTTCGACTTCGAGCTGCTGATCACCGTCCTCAGGAAGCTGAAGAAAGGGAAAAGTGTAAAAGTCCCCGTGTATGACTTCACAACTCACTGCAGAAGAAAGGAATGGGTGAGACCGTCACGCTGACTGAACCCTCACTGTGTCTCCTGATTTTCTTTTCAGCATGATTTATGGTCGGACAAAAATAGTTGACATAAATCTGAAAAACATAAAGATTTGACTTATGCTGTGCCACGTCGCCCTTGACCAATCACATCCCCGAATAATTTGGGTCCTCTGTTTATTCAATTCACCACATAAAGTAACCGTAGCTGTTACAAATCACCAAACACCTCCTGGGATGTTATGGAGCTGGTGCCAGTGGAGACGCCTGCTAATTAGCTAATTATTAAGGATTTAGTGAGCAGGACATTAACCCAAGCAGAGCCCACAATCCCCCTCCTGAAAGCGCTGTGAAGAATCAATCTGGTGTTGTAGTCCTCTGACAACTCCTCTCTATTTCTTTGCAATGTAATTTCATGGCTGAAAGGCACAACACCACGCAGGAAATCGCCTATCAGGACTCGTGCCAGTGAAATCCTTTTATAGGCCTTTTGTAGTGGAGTGAATGTAATTAAGCCCGAGGCCCCGACCAGGATGTATACTCTCTGTGTGTTTATGTTTGTCTGTTTTATACAAACCAAAGAGAACGAGGAAGAGAGTGTAGCAGCTCCTTCTTCTTCTTCTTCTCTGCTACAACTAGAGGTCACCTTTTCTCTCCCACCGCTAAATCGTCTCCTCCCAGAGAACGGGGAAATGAACGGATCGATAAACGCTCGTCTGTTTCTTTAAAATTCACTTTCCGCTTTTCTCACATGAACCTCGCCTGAACGCGCGCAGCCTCTCTCCCTTTGCTTCTCTCTCTCTCTGAATCGATACCCAAGTGTCCAGTCCATTGACTTCCGTGTGCAGCTGGTCAGTGGAAGGTAATAGGATTGTGACATACTCAGCACCATTTTGTCTTTGATTGAGACAGTGATTAATCTCTCTCTCTCTCGCACTCACACACAAACACACACATGTATGTCCCTCAGCGGTTATTTAGAAGTTTCATGGTGAGGTTTATCAGAAAACGGTTGTATATTCCCTTTACAGTATATCATAAACAATGAACAACATAAGAACCCACACAAAACGGCGCTTTAACTTCAGATGAACTTCTTCTTCTGCTTCTTTTTCGTCATCATGGTCAGGTGAAACACTGCATGCACATGTTTTGGTTGTAGCTCATATTTGTCTTATTTTCTACCTGTTTCTGACTTAAATCTTTGCATGTCTCTCACTCCTACTTGACTTCTTTGTGGAGTTATTTTTGTTTCTATTAAACTCACTAAAGTAAGCTCATCAGTTTGATTCGTTCTCCTCAGAAAACGGTGTACGGGGCCAATGTTGTCATCTTTGAGGGGATCCTGGCTTTTGCCAACAAGGAACTGCTGAAGGTAAGAAAAACTTCAACATATTATCGCCTCAGGTTGTGCGGTTTAATGATGGATTATTTGGATTCAGACTTTTCTCATTTCCTTCTTTTCTGTTCTGCGTCGGTCCTAATTAATGACTCTGTCTCCTCACAGAAGACCAACAGACTGATTAATGGTGAACCGCTCTTCTGATTCACCGCAGAGACGTTAAATAAGTTAATTTATCTGTGTGAAGAAATGCTTTGTAAGGACGAGGCTGACAGAGGAGTTTTTATGAAGTATTACTCAGTCGGTTTTCTTCGCTCACCTTTAATCTGCTCACTGATTCTGTACAAAAATGTTGAATTAATTCCTGCAGTTTGGCTCTGGTTGAAATGCATGACTAGTTTTTGTTTGTAGTTTGCTTTTACTCCAGGTAAGATCGACCAAATAGGCAGGATTAGTGTTTAGAGCATGTACAGGTGTATGGAGAGAAGGCTTGGGTGATTTGGCAAAAAAATCACGATGTATAAAGCATCTGTACTAAAAACTAAAGAAACTAGAGATTTGTTCAACATTTTATTAACATACAAAATAAATAACAAAGAATAAGATACACTAAGAAAAATATAAAAAACAGTTTTAACTCAAGAGTACAACAAATGTAGATAAATACTAAATAATACAGTGAACTAGATTACAGTCCTAAGTATTTATGCAGGTATGCAAGACCCAGAATAAACAAATCACCCTCTCAGGGATAATGAAGACGATTTAAAATCTAAACATTAGATGATGTAAATTTAGATGATATGATTGATTGCTGCTTTGGTCTGGTGGCTGCACTGCTAATGCTACTTAAGCCGTCAGCAGTGTCAGGCTGTACAGACTCCACTTGCATTTTATGCTTTCCGTATAATCACACGGGAAGAACTTCTTCAAATGATTAAACAGATCTGTTATGTTGCTGGTTTTTGAGGGCACCGACTGCCGACATACCTTGCACATCGGCTTATTTACTCTACGTCACTTTGGAGATACCCGAACCACCACCACACAACCGACATTGAAGGTTCATGGTTCAGGTTCATTGAAGATTAACATCTTCGGAGGATGAGTCAAAGTCACGGCTGACACCTCAGCTTCACCTTTAGCTCCATGTTCAGTCATTCTGTTTACTTCCCCTGTTTATTTCTCCGGCAACTTACATAACTGAGCAGGAAAAGCTCGATTGTGGTTGGCTGGTGCGATGCACATTTCCGTTATGTTTGATTGAGCAAAAATGCTCACAGCTGATCACCGTGATCGAACTGAATTTTATCACTATCATCAATCACGATCATATAATCGCCCAGTCCTAATGGAGAGCAAAAGCAGGTGGAACAACATCACAGCTCCCATGACTCATTTTTATCTTTTTTTAAAACAGTTATCTGTATGTAAGGTCGTGTTCACACCAAAAGGTCTGTTTTCTGATACGAACCAAGGCGAGGATGATACATTGATGATAGACTGTTGCAATTTCTCAGCTGGTCCAGCTTGTTCACAAAGGCCAAACTCAAACGGTCCAAACATTGTCACGTGACGGCAAAAGCTGTTCAGTGATTGGTTATACAGTTTAGGCAGGTAGACGACAAATCCTTCGCGATTTTTACTGTACATCATGAAGCATTGTCTGCTCATTTTGATGTTAGCGCTGATCTGGACTGCATATCAGCAGACTTTAACAGACGGCGCGTATGAACAGCTGGGAAGACTGCGGTGATTAAAAAATTTATTAATACACTCACATCGCAGGAGACGCTCTGCAATCGGACAGTCATATCACAGAAGAGGACAAGCAATAATGAGCAAATCTACCTCTGTTTTTTTTTGAGGCATGCTTCCTGTGATTGATGCGGATGGGGTTCACACCAGAATTAAACCGCTCTTGAGTTCACTTGATAGTGGTCTGAGACCACCCCTACCAGGCAGACCCAAAAGCGGTTGACTGGTCCGCACCAGAGGTCGAGGCCAGTGTTCACACCAACCAAAACGAACCACACCAAGGAGGTAAACACTCAGGGTTCAGTTCAACTGGACCAAACAAGGCTGGTGTGAACGTGACCTGAAATTAACAAACAGTTCAGACTAGATCAAACTCTTTAACTTGAGTTTAAAGTTTTCTTGATGCTGTTTCACTAAAAGCCAATCAGTGTTTTGAGCTCGAATTTACAGTGAAACTGAGACTCAGCAGAAACAGATTACAGACAGGATTCAACAGACTGAGACATGACGGTGTTTACTTTGACGTACATATCTGGAGGAGGCGGGAACCTAATCCGCATAATAATTAATTTAGTGTGGAGCTAAAATTAAGGTCATCAGCAGCTTGGATTTTTGTGTGTGTGACGAGGAGACCGGGTCAGTGAGGGGGAAATTAATTCAGCAGACTTTACAGCTGTTGAGGGTGTGAGCTGGTCCGTGGTGATAAGACTCCAGGCCTCCTGTGAGACCTCAGCTGTGTTGTTGATTAGCCTCTGATTCTCCGTATAACAGCCACTGTCCACTGTGATTAATTACGTTTAAAGTCCTTGTGGTTGGAGTTGATTATTGCTGCAGATCTGTTATGCTAATGGAGAGGTCCATGGAGAGGTCTGCTTTGAGGGAGATGAACATGTTAGTCACCAGGACAGGGAGATGATTTATCTGTTAATGATTGTACAAAACTGCAGAGACCACAGTGGTCGTCGTTGAACCGTTAAATTTATCTATGCATACCCCCAAAAAGTGAAACCAAAACAGGAGGGGGTAACTTGTTAAAGTAAAGGTCACACTTTCCACCTCTGCTAAGCTAACAGATAGGACACGTGTCGAACATTTAGATCTAAAAAAAAAAAAAAAGGAAATTTTTCATTTCAGTATTGTAGCAGAAATTAATAATAAACACCTTTTTTTTGGTTTTGTTTTAGTGTAAAATTAAATAACTATTTGGTTTCATGGAAATGTGTGGTGTTAAAGGACATCAAAAGTCAGTATTGACACGAAGAATAAAGTTTTCAGGGTTTCCAATGACTTTAAACCTGTAACCATGAGGCACAAAGATGTTTAAGTACATATTACCCTCATTTATATCGTTTCATTTCATGTAATTTTTTTTCACCCTCTAATACACACACTTACCAGTTCTTCTTCTCTCAACACACTCCCTGCCCTTTTTGGTCGTGATTTTGAGCCCATGCAGGGAATTCCACTTAAGAGTCTGTTTTTTGTGTAGTCCTGTCCATGAACCCAAAGATCATAGCCGTCCAGTTCCGTCTCGGTTTCTCAGAGTGATATTCTGTCCTATAGATGATGAACCCCAAACTTCTTTGTAATTTAATTCTCGGAAATCACTGAACTTTTTCTACACCAAGTCTCTCACAGTGTTAAACCTCTTTCCATCTTCAATTTTAGAGACTCAGCCTCTCAGAAATGCTCTTCTTATACCCAGGCGTCTTACTAACCTGCCGCAGAATGATCTAATTTTCTCAGAGATATCTTTTGAAGTGTGTCACTGGCATCAATATTTTTCATAATCCAGTAAACTTTTCAGTGTTAGGATTTCATATGTCGGCTTTGCTCTTGCCACAATTAAAAGATTTGTAAATCCTTAAACTCAACATTTTAAACAGCCTGCTTTGTGAAAGCAAAAGGTACAATCCGTCAACATTTACCCAGCGTGACTATAATAATGCTTGGGTGGCCTGCACAGATACAAAGTGGTTTTACTGAAATGTGAATCATGCAGCGCCAGTTCATCCTTTGTAATTTGGACTAAATCAGTGGTTCTCAAGTCCAGTCCTTGAGCCCTCCCCCCAACACACCTGATTCAAATGATTAGCTCGTTATTAAGCCATTCCAAAGCTTGATAACGGGCTGATAATTTGAATCAGGTGTGCTGGAGCAGGGAAACATCCAAAACATGCAGGGGGGGGGGCTCGAGGACTGGACTTGAGAACCACTGGACTAAATCTTTTGAAATCGGCCTTTAAACCGAGAGATGTATGTGGAAAGCGTTTGTTAAAGATAAGGATCATCTACTTTTTTTTCTGTTGTGACAAAAAGCCACTTTGTGTGTTCCTGATGGAGCAGGTTAGGAAATGATCTACAGACCCGGCCCTGCTCTCTAACCTTTGGGATCAACCCACTCCTCATTCCTCGCCCCACAGTAGGCTGACAGTCGTGCTTATCCAGCAACATGCTGTCATTTGGTCTTTCAGATTTACAGCAGACTGAATCCTCTGGCTTGTTGTGCATCTGAGTTATACCTTTCACATCCCTCCGCCATCATCATTTAAATCACTCACAAACTTCTTTTCATCTCCGCAGTCGTCGATAGTTCTTTTGGTGAGCGCCGCTGAGGCCTCTTTTGTTGTTGCGGCTGTGTCGTGATGCCGCCTCATTGATTTTTCCTGGTTTTGCTGAGTTGGGCTTCAGTGTAATGGAGCTTGCTGGACAGATGAACGGCTGACTGACTCTGGAAAGCGACAAAGATAACTAATGTCTCTTCGGTTTACACTTTTGATCCCTCAACCCGTCCTAACCTCAGACGTCACATCTCGGCTGTAAAAATGTCAAATCATGGAAGCAACTCTGAAAATATTTCTTCAGTGTGCAGCAAAGCAGCACAGCCTCCATTTTTTTTAGTCTTTCCTGAAGTCTCCCTCAGTCCAACACACATCGTACGTTTAGTTCAGTGTTGATTATCTAGACCAGGCCACAGAAACGCAGCTGAGTTCATACATTAATGAGTAAATACAGCTAACACGCTCAATTTATCCTTTCAGCTGCTAGACATGAAAGTGTTTGTGGACACTGACTCCGACATCCGCCTGATACGGAGGCTGAAGAGGGACATTTCCCAGCGTGGGCGGGACATCAGCGGCATCATCAAACAGTACAACAAGTTTGTAAAGCCGGCGTTCGAGCAGTACATCGAGCCCACGGTGCAGTCTGCTGACATCGTGGTGCCGAGAGGTGTGAAACTCATCCTCCTCCTTTTTCTAATTTCCTGTTATTTAAACTCATTTTCATCCATCAGAAGTTTCCCCTTCAGTGTTCAGATATTTTGTTTTGTTTTCTCAGGTGGAGAAAACTTTGTAGCGCTGGATTTGATTGTCCAGCATGTTCACAGTCAGCTGGAGAAGGTGAGAGTTTCTCTGCTTGTTTTTGTTTCTTTTCTTCCCGTTCAAGCCCAAACTGAGTCAGCTTGTTTTTTTGCTTTTTCCCCCTTTTATATATTCTGATCCTTTGTTGGACCAGTGTGTGTTTTGTTTTCTTGAAAATGTTTTCCCCAAACCTCAGCCTGTAAACTTCACTCTCTACTTTTGTGAGGAAGGAGTATTTCAGAGGAGAATCTGGGTTTTTTTGCCTCCTTTTCATTAGTTTTTCCCAAACCTAGAAAAAAAAGTCAAACACACCTAAAGAAAAAACACACGACACTTTGAAAGCAAAAATAGCAGGGGAATTTCTGGTAAAATTTCAGTGTCCTGTACAGTTTGTCTCTGAACACCTGCCTTCACTGCTGGTCAAACAACGTCAGTGTAATCTCCTCAGATCAAACCGTTTAGCTTCAAATTGTTACGACTAGACCCAGAATTTAAAGCTCCTGTCAGAGTTTTTAGCTCTTAATTAAAAGACTAAAATGACATCTGGTGCTTTTTTATGACCTTTTAAACCAAAGAAGACCATCAACAACAAGTTTGAAAATTTGTATATTGTATTTTTTGATGCGTAGAACCGTTGAAGCAGGGTAGGTGAAAACAAAGTGAGTGACAGCACATGTAGAAATGACACAATTTTTGTTTAGTAAAAATCACAACCAACAAATAAAGAGCAAAGACATTAGAGCTTTGGACTTAAGGGGCACCAAAACCAGCACAGAAAGTTCTTGATAGGTGCTTTAAAACATAACTTTTTTTTTTAATCTTAAAGGAAGATGCAGAATCAGATTAGAGTTGTATAAGAGTGGCATTACAGAGCATCGAAATTACGCAAAAACATTGTTTTAAAGCCACTTATATTGAAGTTGGTTTTAAAGCTCCTGTGAGGAGTTTTTAATTGGTGATTAAAAAAACACTGAAACTCACACTGATGCCTCTTTATGACCCACAAAGTCAGTTGAGACCATCAGCAACAAGATCCACCATCTTTGTATCCAAGTTTTTAATGCCTGTAGCTTTTGTGAGACGGTGAGTGTCAGACGAGATGATTGACAGCACATGCGGAAACAGCTATCCACTACTTTTTCGTGACTAATATTTATGATGACTGATATATTTTCACTGTTAAAGGCAGATAAGATGATATAGAAAAGTCTACAAAGGCAGAAGAGGGATAACTTTGTCCACAGGGGGCGCCAAAGTCACTCACAGGAGCTTTAAAACAGTAGCATTTACCATTCTGTAGGTTATGATACTAGACGGTGCAAACACATAACTAATGCAGCGATAACACCGGGTGTTGTAAATGTAATGGTACATGAGAGTGAGTTAAAGGTTTTATTGGCCTGTTAGTTACAGAATATCGCAGACTAAAGTGAAGATTAAAGAGGAAATCTGGGAATAAATCTGCACCCTGAGCTGCGGTTTTCCTCCAAATCCTGAAAGAATCTCAAAGAAACATAACATGAATACTTTGGTAGTTTTTAATTCTGTCATTTATAAAATTTTCAAGTCCCCCTCGGTCTCATTGTCCCCATTTCCACCCTTCTAAAAGCTGGTGAACCAATAAAGAACAAGGTCCAGTTACCTGAGACAAACGACCGCATAAAAACCTGGACAGGTGTCTTCTATCTTCCCTTGCTTCACTGTACTGTCAGGCACTTTATGAGCTGTACCAAACTATAATCTGCTCCGCCTTCAACATGTTCATCCATGACCACCGCTGAATATCTTTCACGCTCACATTTCTGACACCTGCAGAAAGTAAAAGGGGAATAATACTTTGTGTCTCAGCTGGTCCAGTCTCAGGACAGACCACCACCTTTTCAGAACAAACCCAGACCCAGATTAATCTGATGTTACAGTGGCAATATTGAATCAAAATTGAACAGTGCTTTAGATTATGCTGTTTTTTAGGGTGGGACACAACTTGGGATGTTCTACGGCAACTTATTTCCTCATCCTCTGAAATGACACATCAGTTGTTTTCCTCAAATCTCTGGCTGATCGGTTTATCTCATGTGTTTTTTTTTTCTTGTGTTTACTGTTTGCCCGCACAAACCTGTGTGTTTGTGTGCATCTGCTTGTGCGTGTACCGCCACCTCCCATCCTATGCCTGGTTGAATGCTGTGTAACCATTCCAGCGTGAGATCACTGTGAGGTATGACTGCTGCTTCTTTTGTCAATATCTCTTTTTTTATCTACCATTTACTCTTTTCTTTTTGCTGTTATCCTCTCCTCTCCATTTAAAAACAAAGACAAGTTTAATCTTGTCTTTTTATGTTTATGTTTCAATTTTTACTTCATTGTAAGTTTTGACTTAATTTTGATGAAAATACTCTTAACGACTGACTTTCACTTACACTGTTGTTAAAAACTGAAGGATCTGAGCTCCTACACGTCTTTTCACAGGCTGCAGATCCAACGTATCATTCAGCCTTTTCAAACCTGCATTTGTATCATGTCAGGAAGTAGGATAACATTTTATAATACATCACCTGTAGCCTGCCAGTCTTTCACCAATGTGATTGCTGCAGAAAATATTGCAGCCCCTGTCCTAGGGCTGGGCGATATGGCCTTAAATCAGTATCACAATATATTGAGCAGTTCACCTCGATAATGATAAATGGACGAAAACTACTCCACAAGCTGTTCACCCCCTCCCACATTTACTTCGTCTACTTCAGCCGCCGCTCCAAAACTACAACTTTCCTCTATCTCCTCACCTTCGAGATCTGAATGAGCCGTAAACTTTGAAACATTCTGTCACTTCTGGGCTTCTTATCGTCAAGTTGGCCTATGACATTTTTTCTACCAGCCTACCCTTATTTTGACCAGCTCTAACTGTTGCTGACATAAAAAGAATTCTCAATTGCAGTAATTCACTAAATATTTAAAATCTGGAAAGCAAACTCTTCAAAATGTGGTTGTACTGACAAATGTGGCATTAAAATGTGGCCATGGCTACCTAATTAGGGATTTTACACACAAGATGTCCCTCTAGACCACCCCACTGGGCTACCGTCCTTCCCTGACTGACTTCTCCTTATATGTAGGGCTGGGCGATATGGCCTCAAATGAATATCACGATATATTGAGCAGTTCACCTCGATAACGATAAATGGACGAAAACTACTCCATAAGCTGCTCACCCCCTCCCACATTTACTTCGTCTACTTCAGCTGCCGCTCCAGCTGCTACAACTTTTAAAATGTCCTCCATCTCCTCACCTGTCTTTCCCTCTTTGTTACAAACTGGATGGGGTGGAGTCACATCTCCGACATAGGACAGCGTCTTAAAGGGACATGAGACCATAGCCTACCTAAACACATTCAAAACCAACTTTTATTGATTGATTTATTCTGACACAGAATATATTGACATGGGCAAAATGACGTTGGTTATTGTCGGAAACATTGAGTATCAGTAAATTTTCGGTTTATCGCCCAGCCCTACCCTGTCCCGAAGCTTTCCAGACACACAGATACATTATGCACAAATCTGCCCCTTCCTTTTCCTCTCCCTCCTCTCCCCTCTCTCCTCTCTTCTCCTAATGATATTAAAATAAGAGCTCTTGCAGTCTTTATCCTTGCGCTGATCAACATATTCTACCTGCTCAGCTCAAGATTATTCGCAGAGTGAGCAGCTGAAGAGCCATATACTGTATATGTCCCTGAGATATTGGTTGATAGCCTAAAAGAGGACCAGAGATCGACTACTTTGGCACTCACACTGTGCAGAAACACACTCTGAACAAACACCTGTATGAAACACTCACAGGTGTGTCAAATAGCACATCCTCATAAAAAGTAATGACTTTAAAATTTCACATCAGTTCTTCTGTCTGGTCAGGTAGCTCACACTGGTCCAAAAGCTGTTTGTTAGCTTCCTGCAGCGCACCTGTCTGAGCAGTAAAGAGTGACTAACCTGCACTTTCAGCTCCTAAAGTGGCCTGTTAGAGTGTGAATGAATGGAGCCACGTGAAGTGAACCCACTTTAAAAACAAATTGAATTGAGCTCACTCCTCCAAGTATTTGCTTAGTGTTGCACAGCGGTGATGTAGTGGAGCTGTTTCTCTGCTCTAATGCTGTTTCTCTCTCTCTCCTATTCTTTTTTTCTCCTCCTTCCTTTGTTTTTTAATTCCCCTCCTGTATTTTGTTTTTCATTTCCTCCCTCATTTTCTTCTTCACTTAAACTCAACAAATGAATATCTGTCACCTTCTTCAGAGGAAGCTCCGCTGGGATATGTGAGGCTCGCCTTGTGCATCCTCTTTTGTTGGAGTTTTGTAGATGTGATGATGCACTCTGCTCTGTGCTGTAGGCTGTGTCAAACAAAAAAGCTTACATGCTTGTTTGTTCGCTTTGATGCCTTTCAGGACCAAAATCACGGACACTCTTTAAACTTGATTCAGCAAAAAAAAGCATAAAAATGACTTGCAGCAGTAGCAAAACAAAAGCATGCTTTATTTATACATGTTGAGACAGAGCATGCAGAACAAAACAACATGCTCTGTTAATGATAAATGGCAGCAAAAGAACCGACTGAGTTTGTTTTACTGCTTCTTTACAATACGCATGTGTTTGAAAATGTGCAAATTTTCTGCATTACTTGTTTCGCATTAAGATGATTGCACAGACTGACTGAGTTGATCTGAAATGTAAAATGTTTGCCTGGCAAGAGTATCCCAGAATGCCTTGCTACTTGTGCTGTTATTTTTTTTTGGCAACAAGTTCTGCAGACACCAGCTATCGTCAGCTTTACAAGCAGCAGTGAAATTTAAAGGGATATTCTGGCGTAAAATTAATTTAGGGTCAAAACACACTGTAACACCAAGTTAGACGCCCCGTTGAGAGATAAATGTTGCCGACTGCTTGCTTCTCTAGTTGTACCTAGTTTAGTAACGACCAAACGATAGTGATACAGAGAGCCACGCGCTCAACCAAAAAGCCTCTATAGCCACAAATGATGCTCAGAACAGCACCTAACTTCATCAACATATAGGGTCCAAGCCACAGTACTAGCCAGCAAAAATATTTTTAACTTTGCCTGATTTCTTTAGCAAAGAGACTAAACACAACTCATCCACGCTCCTCCAGCAGCCGCTTGTTTGTAGTGAGACCTCAAACAGTCCGTTACCGATTGCAGCGGGGTGACGCAGCTCAAGGAAGAACATTTATGATAATTTCTTCATGGAAATGCAATCAGACTGAGACGCTAAGGCAGAAGAACTACCACGTCTGCAGTGCAAAATGATTAATATGGTGTTTATTACTTCAAGGAAATGATAAAGTAATGATCAGAAATGTTCTTTCTTGAGCTGCGTCACCCTGCTGCAGTCGATGGACTCGCCCAGAGGGCTCCATACAAACAAGCAGCTGCTGGGAGAGAGTGGTTAAGTTGTGTTTAGTCTCTTTGACTAAAGAAATCAGGCAAAGTTAAAAAGATGTTAGGTGGTTAGTGCTGTGGATGGGACCCTACATGTACTGTTGATGAAGATATGTGCTGTTCTGAGCATTATTTGTGGCTATAGAGTGGCTTTTTGGTTGAGGTTTGTGCGTGGAGACATAGACCGCTGTGTATCGCTATCATGCAGTTGTTACTAAAGTTGGTCTAACTAGAGAAGCAAGCAGTCGGCAACAGTCATCTCTCGAGGGGGTGTCTAACTCTGTGTTACGGTGTGTTTGACCCTAAATTAATTTTACGCCAGAATATCCCTTTAAGCTAACAGCAGATGATCTAACATCAGAGCCCAGAACCCGTTCAAGGAAAAACTACAAAACCATATCTACAAATGTGTATAAATGTCAGTGGCAATTTGTTAAAATAGGAATATTAGTAATAAGTAAAAAGAACTGGGCCAAAAGCAGACCCTTGTGGTACACCTTTGATTATAATCTCATTTTGTAGTGAATGGACACTACTTCTTCAAACTAATACATGTATTTTCATGAGTCACAATTGTCTGGATGTTGGTAGACAGTTGTCCAGTAAGATCAAATAAAGTCATTTTCTAAAAAGGCTCATTAGATATTTAACAAACTCAGGAAGATACTTGATAACAAAGATCGACTAGAAATCTACTCCCTGCTGTTAGATTATGTAGGTGTCATTCTTTCACTGGTCCCTCTGAATCTGTATCTTTGCATGTTTGATGTTGGCAGGTCAGCTCTGGCCTCAGCTCATCAAGGTCAGCCTTTACCCAAAACCCTCAGCGTGATGGAGAGCACGCCACAGGTCCGCGGCATGCACACTATCATCAGGTCAGAATTCACACTCATGAGCATCCGCACCCAGACTTGATCTAAAGCGGCAGAGGTGGAGTTATTATCCTGTAATAGTTACTCCTTATTATGACTGGAGCGCTGTCAGTGACACAATCTCTATCACGTTTCCTCCTGACCTCTGTGTGTCCGTGTAGGAACAAGGAGACGAACAGGGATGAGTTTATCTTCTACTCCAAAAGATTAATGAGGCTACTGATTGAACATGCCCTCTCCTTCTTGCCTCTCAAGGTGAGTTTTTTACTATGACAGAGCCATGATAAAATGGATCACTGCTTCCATTTTGGACTAATTACCAGGTGTGAAAAGGATTTTCTTCACTTTTTAAGAAATATCTTTAAGTTTCTTTTGCAAACACCAGGTGTAATTATTGCTCTACGTCCTTTCTTCTCCAGCCCGTGTCCGTGGAGACGCCTCAAGGTGGCATCTATAACGGCAAGAGGCTGAGCGGCAAAAGAGTAAGTCTGTGTCCTTGATTTGGGTTTTTACCATCAAGGTCCAGTCCATGTTTAATTTATGAGCATCTATTACCAAGCTCCCCTCATGAATGGATGGTATATGGTGACGTAGGGCTTCTGCAGATGACCGCATTGATCAAAATAAACTGTAAACATGGTGAAAACATTGAATTCCATTTGTGTGCGGTTTTCAGATCACAGGTGTGTCCATCCTGAGAGCAGGAGAGACCATGGAGCAAGCTCTGATGGCCGTGTGTAAGGACATCAGGCTGGGAAAGATCCTCATCCAGACTAATCATGATACAGGGGAACCAGAGGCATGTCGGACTTAGTACTATAATCTGTTCTTGTGTTAACTTATTAACATACAGCCATGAAATTTCTAATGAAGTAGTCAAATCAGGCAGATCTGCTCATACAGTCTAAGAACAACTCTCCTTGACTGAAGAGACTCAACTAAAGTCCTGATAAGAAGAACACTAACAAGATAAAATACAAGATAAAATATGAGAATAAGACAAAATAAGACTGTCCTCTCTCCTTCCTCTAGCTTCACTACCTCCGCCTGCCTAAAGACATCACTGAAGACTACGTCATCCTGATGGACAGCACTGTGTCCACTGGAGCTGCAGCTCTCATGGCCGTCAGAGTGCTGCTGGTACGTCCACACAATCATGTAAAAACACTGTCTGATGGATGTCTGTTAGTTGACGTAGTTTCCTGTTAGTTTGCTGGAAAACTCCACATTTGCATCAACAAATTTAACGACTCAGAGTACATTTTCTCATTTAACTCCAGTAGAGACGATTGGATTTAAACTTGGATCTGGTTTTGTGATGGTATTCTGATGCTTCCTGCAACCTGTGACCACAGATACTTGATTAGTTAATTAATCAATGTCTGTGTTTATCTTTCAGCTTCTAGATAACACAACTTTGGTTTTTGTTCACTTTAACAAAACCTTAATTTAAACCAACACCTCAGATTGTGGATTTCCTTTCTGATCCCCCTTTAAAATCTGCTCCAGGTCATTCCCAAAACATCGAATTTTAGTGTCCTCGGTAAGACAGTGAATCTCAGAAAATGAGACACAGACTAAATATCATTCATGTTTCAAAAAGAACAATTCAGGTCCCAAGACTGACCCCTGTGGAATACCACAGATCACTTTTTTATACTGTAGTGACACCAAATTTAAAACTGATCTACTTTTGACAGTTTATATGTGGCTTTGATTTTTGATTTGAACAGTCAAACTTTAACAAACATCCAAAAGACAGTGATATGTAGGAGAGAAAAAAATCATCACATCATCGTGTTTGATTAGCTTGAACCTCTACAAAAACAAATCCTTTACTCCATCCTCAATTTTCCCCTTTAGGATCATGATGTAGCAGAGGACAAGATCTTCCTGTTGTCCCTCTTGATGGCGGAGATGGGGGTCCACTCGGTGGCGTACGCCTTCCCTAAAGTACGCATCATCACCACCGCCGTGGACAAGGAGGTCAATGACCAGTTCCACATTATTCCAGGAATCGGTGAGGGAGAAACATTACGTCTCTTTGGTTAATAAAGAGATGTGTTTTATGTTAGAGGAGGAGTGTTTCCAGTAAACCAAAGCAATGACACCTCTGAGTTTAAAAGAGAAATAAGTGAACATCTCGCCAACCGACCTTGCAGAGCTGTTAGAGCTAAACAGCTCGGTTATGTACGCCAGAGTCAGCCAGGACAAAACTTTATGTATTATCCTCCTGAACCTTTATTGGCAGGCTGTGAAGGGCAATAAGAAAATGTGATGCATGAATCTATCAGAGGAGGTGATAAATGATAAATCAACACTGAATCACACTGAGCAGGAAGATGCTGCTGCTGCGGCTCCTCTCTGTGGGTCTTAAATGTTCAACATGCTGCAACGGCTGAAAGGATTAGACATGCGCTGGTTCATCTCACTTTAAAAGATTCAGCCATCAACCATAAGTTTTGGATGAAGATTTAGCTTCAAAAACCCTTTTTTAGAAACCAGTGAGAGACAGTTATATTAGCAAAGCTGTCAGAGCGTCACAGAAGTCACAATGCTGCCTCCCAAATCTGACAGAAACGGTGTAAAATTATAAATAAATAGACAACAAGCTGATTGTTTTTATCAAGAAGAATATGAGCAGATAGTGTTCTGGTGAAAGACGCTCAGTTCAGGCAGCTTTGAGTGGAGAAGTTTAAACCAGGAGAAGGGGAACAGGACACATGGAAACAAAGTAGTGATCAGCAGAGTGATGCTAGGACAAAAGATGTAAAAGGTCAGCCTGACACCTACATAGCTCAGTGATTTCCCATTACACTACATCCATTTATTAAACACTCTGTACTTCCTCTTGTAAAGGAATGAATTCGTGTTTCAGATTTAATTAAATAGCTCCCAAGATTCAAAGGTTGGTAACTTTATCTGTTAGTCTCCCGGTGGAATTGAGCATTAGTGATGTTAAACTAGATATTTTCATTCAGGGTAAAGTCAAAGCACTTGTATTTTTTCTGTTTGTAGTTCGAGTTGCTACATTAAACAGACCCTGATTTGGGTCTATTGCTCTCTAACTTCTCAAGTCTGTTGACCTTTTACTTCCCGCTGCCAGAGCCCACATTATGTTCTGTTTTGTTCAATTCAGCTGATGTCTCCTTCAATTTGCTTCTTTTTATTCCTGTGTCCTCTCTTCTCCCCCTGCTCACCCTGTTTTTAAAGCCCCATCCTGTTCAGTCACTTGGAGAGAAGAAGCACCATATATTCACCTGTTATCTTTCTGTTTACGAAGGTAATTTTGGAGATCGTTACTTTGGCACCGATGCTCCGTCAGACTGGTGCGAGAGCGATGAGGGGATGGACTTCTGAGGAGAGAGTTCTTCGCGGGATGTGCGGGACTGTTACAAAAAGTACTTAGAGCTGTGAAAGCAGTGAAAACAGACACTCCTCGCAGGATTCAAACGCTCCATCAACATCCTCCTGATCAAAAAGGTGATCCTGTAATCGCTGCTACCTGCTCACCTGAGAGGGACGAGTGTGTGGTTACATGAGCGCAAGTTACCCACTATTATTCTGAATATGGAAGAGGTCAAGTACGCAGCAGATTGCATTTGGATATCCTGAATTTGACTAGATTTAGATCAAAATATTCCAGATATTTGCCTAATCGAAGCATTATGCACACATCAGTTTGGGGCTGAAGCAAACTTTGCAACACAAGACCTCTTGCTTCTATGCAAAGCCAGAAAACCAACTGAAGGTATTGGAGAGTTCATGGCTGCATAGAATCGTTTTTTTACAAGCCATGAACTTTGTGGATTGGGGATAAAGTTTTCTTCAGGGTGAGGGCTTCACCAAAATAGCTGGTTTGTGTATGAGAGTGCTTTCACACACGTGCAAGCTCATGAAGATTTTCCAAAAATGTGTAATGACGATATAGGTCTTTGTAACCTGGTAGTTAGAATTCATCCTTGGGCAAGCAATGTGAAAGAGGCTGAAGAGACCTCATCTGCTGCTACTGGGTGTTGTCATTATGTTTAAGCATGTCAGCCATATTGAGGTGTGTAGTATCAGCTTATAAACTTTTACAGTGTGTTTCTGAGGTGCAACATGCTTTGGAGATGTGGCTTAAAGCACTCATTTCGAGTTATCTTAATCCTCAGCTTTGGTGATATCCTCCAAGAGTGAAGATATCCTCATGTATAATATCATATCAAAGCAGCGTGCTCTTTTCAATGCACTGTTTTGTTTATTAAGCCTCAGACAGCACACGCTATGAGGTTTTAAAATCAATGATTTAATCCACTTGTTCATTTTCAGAAGGTTGTGCAGCTCAACTTAGATACTTGAATATGATTTGGATGATGCTGCTGTTGGTATGTTCTTGTCCCTGAGGTTTAGGAGGAAATGTTTTTGGGTCCTTTTACTGTCTTAATTTTTGAGTGTCCTTTCAGGAGTTTGCACAGTAAAGGCTCATTCTCTTCATAAAATAGACATTGTAGAAAAATAATAGTTGAGAAAGAAAATCTGAAGCTAAAGAGGAATGATCTTTTGTAATCCGTGCAATCAAGCCCTTATTTCATTCCTGATCAGTGCATCCAGACATTTCTTTTGCACAAAGGCGCAGCAGTAAAACTGAATAAAACCTGATTTTTCAAGTAGATTCTGTATAGATAATTCTAGGAGGAATCTAAGCTAACAGGTTGATGTTTTGTCATTTTTAGAGTTAGATGTATAGTTAGTTTGTATTGTCTTTTTTACGTTATATTTTTAGCTTGAAGTTTTCGTAAGAGTTATAGTTGTTACAGCTTTGCTTTGCCAATAAAGCTTCAGCTTTCTGTACTGTACAATAATTTAATCTCAGGCAAAGAACCAGGAATTATACTTGAAGAAGATTGAGCGATGAATGAGGGAAACAATCAAACATGGTAGCTTATTTTTATGTTATATTTGTCTTTTAAATGTCAGTGCTGTGTTTATGTGCTGCCATTGCTTAATCTGCACTTGTATTAATTCACCATCGTTCAAAGTTAAAGGACTAACCTGCAACATCTGGTCGTTGTGTTTGTTTATATCGTACCCTGTTGCTAGGTTACAAAGGTTGTCTCGAGCCACTTCAGCTTCTGGTTTTCGCATCGGCAACCGTTTCGTCCGGTTTAAAAAAACATGTACAGTAAATGTATGCTGAAATCGTCTTACACTGTACAAAAAAAGTTGTAAAAAGAAAAATGAAAATCCTCGAAAAAGCGAGTTTGGTTAGTCTGCAGTTCGCCGCCCCTGTCCACAATATTAATATACAAAGTCCCGCCCCCTTCTTGGTTTTGACTGGTCGGGTAGATGTGATGTAAGACATTTAGTTATTTAGATTTTTGATGAAAATAAACTTGAAACACGGTGTACACAATCCTTTAATTAAGATTGTTATGGTGTGGTCTGTTACAGGCTGTATTTAAACTGCTGTTGTATTGATCCGTGATTATAAACGATAATCTAATCAGGAAAAAAGACAAAACCAAATATCACCAGCTCCTCATGTTTGGGGTTTGACGAAAAAAAAACATAACTATAGAACAAGTATAATCACTCAAAGGTACACATAGATGTACTTTTTCAGTGGCTAACAGCAGTATTTCATTAACTGCATAACCTGTTGACAATATGCAGAAATTGTTCAGTTTTGAGGAGTTTACTCATAATGTTTTTTTGGTTTGTTTTTGATGCTTTTTGCAGCTATTTTTAAATAGTTTTATTTATTTATTCTGCTACATGTATTTTTTTTTTATTTGGCAAATTACAGCCAGCTGTCTTTGCCACTTAAAGTTTGATTATTAATTCACTGTAGTTCTGCAAACGTCCAAATCAGACGAGTCTTTTTCATTTAATTTTGTTTATCTGTCTTTAACAGGACAAGCCAAGTTGAACTGAGGATGTCCATTAAGGCCACTAGTTTAGACTTATCATGCTGTACAGCTGGATGTGTTCGATAGATCCACTTTTACTGCGTGTTTGTATGTGAAAGCCTACTATAATTACAGAGTACAATCTCAGACTGCTCTGTATGTGTCATCAGATAACTGTGGTTTTGATCTGGCGGTATATGAATAAAAATAACCTCTCGACTGCATTATTTGTCAGAAGTTTTATGAGTTATTTCTCAATCAAAGCTACAACTTCTTACCAGATTTAGTGAAAATTAGGCAGGAAGCTTTTCTATAAATCTGTTGCTACAAAATAGGAAGAAATCTCTGGATGTTTTTAATTTATTTTATTTATTTTTTACATTTTTTATGTTTTATTTTTACAGTGTGACTTTAATAGTCATTATGTAAAGAGTATATTAAATAGAATGTGTTCCTTTTGTCTCAAATGATTTGATTAATTTGAATGAATTAATATATTATATAAAGTTTGGGAAACATTATATAAGGTACAATTTTGTTATATCAGGAAAATTACAGGTTTAACTGGATACACTGTCACCTCTGAGCTGACACACCTAAGTGGTTTGCAGCTATAATTAGTGTGGCGAAGTTTGTTTTTCTTTGTCTTTGTGAGGAAAATTACGGTTAGACAATTCTGTTTATTAAGGCTAATTTTACATTTAAAAAAATATATACAATAAAAATTGAGTTAATTATTAGTTGGTTGGTTTTCCTCATGCTGTTAACATCGCGGGTTGTCCGCAAGAGGGCAGCAGACTATTTGTTTACCGCGGAAATGACGCACAATTCTGGTTCTTAAGCTGCCTTCAGGGGCTGTGGGGAAAAAACATCGCTTCGTTGTGCAAGGCGATACATGCCAAGACGCACCTGGAAAAAGTAAGTGATAACAGTTTCTCCATACACTTATTTAATTTAAAACCAGCGCCTGTATTTTATAGTTTGCAGATTCCTCTTTGTGTTTTCGACCACGTCTTAAAAAGAATACCACAACCCATCATTAAAGTCATCGTTATAAACAATTGTAGTTTATGATGATTAGAATGATGCAACAATGCAGTAATACTTTGATTAAGACTGGTAGACATTTTGTCTTTAGTCAATTTAACTCGAAGTTACAGGTTTTAACTTATCTGCTGAAAGCATACTCACAAAATTATGTGTTGGATTAAAACATTTCTGTCTGTCTTAATTTTAAAAAAAAAGTTTAAGTCCCTCAAAACCCCTTCCTTACACATTACAAAAACAGAAGTGAATGCGCTTTGGTAAGCTGTGAAACGTCTATTATTGTAGAACTCAAAATCCGGAGCCGATGGTGGGCCTTGAATGCAACATCAACGGCTTGCTCTGAAGAGCCGGGTCGGTTAACTGGTCGGTATCCTTCAGGTTCCGTTTAAATAGTGGGTTTTAAAGTGAGTGAGTGGGCGTACTGCCCTTAAGATGCATGCTTTTATGTTTGCGTTTGTGTAGAGGCTGTGGGGAGTAGCTTTGTTGTCTTAACAATCACATTTCTGAATAGCTGGGCACACACGGTGGTACTGTTGGAGTTCTTATGATAAGTGACTTTAAACTATTCGCTACTAACGTCGCTGTTTATACCCATTAACTTCGAAAAGACGCACCATTGTCAGTTACACAGGACGGAAGCTTCGCCAGGAAACCACTAAGCGCTACGCCAAACTGCATTCGAAAAACTTGCCAATATAAAGTTTTCGTGGATTTGCGTAAATATGCGCACTTATCAGAACTTGTTTAGTACTTTTTCCTACTATTTTACTTAGCTTTTTAATTCGGCATTTTATTTTTCCCTATGGAGAGCGACATTTAATTCAAGTTTATCTCTAATTTCACAATTTTCATTGTAGCTTTTCATCAGTTGATGGAGCTATAATGAAAAAAAAATCTTTGATGGTTTTAATTGGGTTCTGTCAAGTAACTTATTATTGAATAAAGTTGTTCTATATATGTATATAAGACAAGTTAAAAACTACCTCCAGCTTAGCCTGGAAGAAGCACAGCAGCTTTAATAGATAACACCATGGGATTTATTAGCTTGATTTGAGTCACATTGCCTGCTAATAGGCAGAGTAGGTCAGGAGACTTATTGAATGAAGCCACCCCCTTTTACACTATTATGTCTTTTTATTTCACACAGAAGGGAGAATGGCAGGCCTGTGGAGATCCTACCAGGCCTTGATGGGCAAATACCCCTGGACGGTGCAGATAGTGACCGCTGGTAGGGAAACTCTCTTTAATTGCATGATGCAAGTGTAGCTTTCACACCACAGGAAGCACAATTTATACTTGAAAAACTGAATTATCCCGACAGAGTATGTGGGATATATTGTGTTTTTCCCAGTCACCTCTTGGTTCAGATAAAGAGATCATGTGTGATGACAGAAACAGGGGCTCAAAATGACCTTTACCCCAGTGTACGGCCTCTGAATCAACAAAGGAGAATAAGGCCTTTGGCTCTGGTAACTTTTTGCCCTAGATTATGAGGCCTTCTCCAAAATACAGTTTTCTTTATAAATATTCATGCAACAGGATGATATCATTGCATTATAATCCAACATAGTTAATGTAAGTTTTGTGGTTTGATCAGAAAGTAAATGACTGTGATTATTGCCCATGATTTTCAAAGTCATTGTCGTCTAATTTTCACTTCTTTTTAACATGGTATCTGAAAAGTGCTTTTCAAATGGATATAACTGCAATTCTAGTTTTATCTTTTTCTTATGAGAAGCGAAGCAAACAAGTTTCGTTTTCATCTGTAGTGATTAACTGCATCAAGAGTTTATTAAAACACCAAAAGAGAAGCTACAAATCAGGAGTTTTCCAAACATCCTGTGGTGAGCACTTTCAGAGAATCATCTAACCTTTGACCTTTATTCCATAAATCAACAAAAAATCCCTTAAACTACATCCTGTTTAGAGTTGGTGATCTGTAGAGCAACATTTTCCTGTTTGGAGGACAATGGGAGGATTTTGTGTGTTTATGAATCTGGTTAAATCTGAACTGAGGATTTCTGTCAAATTTGACTCAGAGTAAAACTGTTGTGTCAATTTTGTGTTGAAGCTCAGGTCCTAACTTATAGTTTTGTTTCTCACCACAAGATGGAGCCATTAACCAACATTTGTGTGGTACAGATCAGAAGCCAGGCTGACACGCTGGCTATTTTTTTCTGGTTTTAAGAAGCAGCATCCTGAACTAAGACAGATTTAAGATTTCAAACTGGTGCTAGCATGAAGTTGAGGCTCCTGTGAGGAGTTTTTTCTGTGTTATGAAGAAGACTGAAATTGATAATGATGCCTTTTTATGACATCTAAAAGCAAACAAGACCAACAGCATCAAGATTGATGATTTGTTTGTTGTCATTTTAACGACTGAATGTGGTGTTGGGATGAACCAGATTCAGAGACTTCTACAACTGTCAGGAGTTCTGCAAGAAATAAAGTCAAGTTCAAATACATTTTCAGTTAAAAACTCCTCACTGTACCTTTAACTATTCCTATGTTCCAGTTTCAGACCGTAAAAATGACAATATAAAAATAGCCAGACTTGTCGCTGATGGTTTTGATTGTTGGTTCAGTATGAATTTCAGTCTATTTCTTGAGTGTGAACAAGCACCTATCGGAGCTTTAATGCAGTAAAGTTTCTAAAAGTTTGAATCTGACCTGAAAACAATGTCATAACTAGAAAATCAGTGAAACCTGAGGCTCTGATTCTCTGATTTGATACTAGTAAAAGACCAAAACTGTCGGAGCCTAGGTTCTTATTAAGTTCATCAATGTTTGGATATTAATTAAGTGTATGTATTAAGGTATATTCGTGTTGATTGTGGTAAAATTCTAGCTATTTACATTATTTACAGTTAGATGATTAATATTGATAAGTTCATTTGAGTTAAAAATGTGTATGGGTATTTATAGTTTTTAAAATCACCATAGAGTCTTTAATGTGTATTAATATCTGTTTGCATTGTTAACTTGGCAGTTCAGTCACGTCAGGCATCATGGAGTGGAGCCACGCAGTTTTTTGACCTCCCTCTCTAACTCTTTACTTAATATTTTCACCCACTCCTATGTTTTTATAGTCATGCTGGATTATTGTATCTTGCTTTGTTTTTTGAAGTAAATTATAAAAACCAACGAGAGGATCCCTTGGAGTTTTTTTGCATGCAAGAAGGATGACAAGGGATGAGAGCGTCAAGCCCTTGGCGTCATTGTTTAGGAACCTGCAGCTCGTGTTTGTCTGATACATCTTTATAAAGAGTTGAGTCAGCGTTGATGATGCAGCGGTGTAAACTGAGGGTTCAAGTTTGTTCAGTCCTCTCTCTGTTTTTACTGCCCGTCCGTGTCTCTGAGTTTGGGTGTTAAGAGGAAATGTTTGTGTTTATTGCCGTTAAAGTGAAGTATTGACATTTTCCATTGATGACGGCGTGTTTGTGTGTCCCTCTTTGTCACTTAAACCGTTTTTATTGGCTCTCTGTTGATATTTTAAAGGAAAGGTTACCTTGTGCTCAGCTGCGTCTTTACCATTAAACCGTGCTATCAGCTTTAATTTGGTCACTTTGAGGTGACAGTTTGATTTTTTCCCAGATTCAACAGGTTTTTAAGTGTCTTTTAAAGACTCCTGGAAATAAAAGCAGCACTTAGTGAGATCTTGAGAGTGGTGATAGTGATAGATGGGATCCGTTTAGTGCGTCATACTTTAGAAATTTGGTTCTAAGTTGCATTTACAGTTAATTTTATTTGCACCAACTTATTCTCAGAGTAGTTTTTATGTAATCAAGCTCTGAAAACCTGGAGAAAGTAGAAAACAGGAAAAGATGCTTAATGGAGCATTAAGCAGCCAAAGATTGGAGTCGGAGCGTTTGTGGAGACCAATTTAGAGTGAAAAGAGACATAATTCGGAACTGAAATTCATCAGGAGGTGAGAGGGGAGGTCTCTGTTTGCCTGATGGGTTTATAAATGGATGCTTTTAAGCTGTCACTGACATTTCAGTCATGAATGACGGTTTCCATCAACTATTTATCTGTTAAAGCTCAGAAATATCAGAAAATTTTGATTAGTGTTCCCCAGAGCCAAAGAAGATGTTCAACAGAAACAAAAAAAAAAGGTTAAAGTTAATCAAATTAAAGGAGTTTTCTGTGAAATAATTTACCTTTCCACAATGTGCCATACACTGCCACCTACTGGCAGGATGTTGTAAGTGTGGCAGAAACTTGTACAAATCTAGATGGTCAACAGGGTCAAAAATGCTGCACAGGTCAAAATGAACTTTAAAATTTGTCGTTTTTAGAAAAGATAAAAAAAACTTCAAATAGTTATCGTGGCATTGAGGAACAACTCAGAGGTTTTTAGATGTGATAAGTTCCTGAGTGTTGATTTTCAGGTTGGAGAAAATTATGATCAGCTGTCTTCTAAATTAAGCTGTTTTTCACAGATAAAAATTGTTAAACTGTCACTTGTCAGATGCTCTTAAAATTAACCTGCAGATGTTTGTAGAAAAAAGTTTTTTCAAGTTTTTACATCAATTCTGTTAAAAGTGTTTCTGTTAGTGGAGCTTAAGCCTGAACATGTTGCTCCACCCTTGTCACCTTTTCCTCAGTTTGACTGATTTTATAGTTTAATTTTTAATTTTTCCTTCAATATCATGACCCTCTCCTCATGGAGATACTTGATGACCTTGAAGATCGTAAGGTAGAAATCTGATATCATGATAGCTGTTGTCCAAAGTAGTTAAAAAGGGTTTGATTTCAGTGGTTTTAAAAAGTTTTGGGTGAAAGTTTAGTTTTTTATTACTCTGTTACAGTTTAAGTTTTCTGAGACGTGTCAGGCCAGACTAAGTAATTTGTCATAGAAAACTGAAGATATGACACCATTTAAAAAATATATACTCAGTTTCAAACAATGAACAACCTTAACCATCCGCCAAAGACAAACCAGAAAGGATTTGAAAAAGTATTTAATGAAGCGTTCATTCTGTCTGGGCTAAAAATAAACGAATGCCGTGTTGTAGATGTTGCTGGAATCTCAGTCAGGAAAAGGAAAAATGAATAAGGATGAGCTCTGTTTTACCTTGTTGAACATTTGTCGTGACTTCTTTAAAAATAATCCAAATTTAATCATCTTGGTTTCTCTGTCTGAATGAGCTGCAGTGATTGCTCCTAAAAAAGTACCCTAAATGTTTTTAAATGTACTCTTCTTCTTTGTTCTTATACCTTGTTTAGGGTTTGTTTGTTGGTTTTATTGACACTTTCAAGTAGGGAGTAATTTGCCTCATAGCTGAACACTTTTTCACTCCTCTGTGTCTATTTCTGTCTGATTTTTATGAGCAGTAATGTAAACTCAAATCTTTCAAGCAGCTGCAGTAAAAAGATAAGAAAATCTGAGTCTCCACACTTTGTCCAGTCATCCACAGGAACAATATCACCTGCATCAGCGGGCTGAGTGTCTGTCTGCTGTTTGTCCTTCAGGCTCTTTGGTGGGCGTCGGTGATGTCATCTCCCAACAGCTGATCGAGAGGAGAGGATTGGCTCATCACAACATGCAGCGGACAGCCAAGATGATGAGTATAGGCTTCTTCTTTGTGGTAAGAGAAGAGTCCTGTGGGCTCTAAAAGGTTCACGGTGGGATTATTTCAAAGGGATATTCCAGCGTAAAATTAATTTAGGGTCAAAGATACGTAACACCGAGTTAGACACCCCCGTCAAGAGATGGTTATACCAACTTTAGTTACGACCGCATGATAGCGATACACAGCGGTCTAAGGGGCCAGCACAAACCTCAACCAAAACGCCACTCTATAGCAACAAATAATGCTCAGAACAGCACCTAACTTCATCAACAGTACATATAGGGTCCCAGCCATAGTACTAGCCACCAAACATCTTTTTAACTTTGCCTAATTTCTTTAGCAAAGAGATCAAACACAACTTACCTACTATCTTCCAGCAGCTGCTTGTTTGTACGGAGACATCAGACGAGTCCATGCGGGGTGACGCAGCTCAAGGAAGAACATTTATGATTATTACTTTATCATTTCCTATAAGTAATAATCACAATATTAATCATTTTGCACTGCAGATGCGGTAGTTTATGATCATAAATGTTCTTCCTTGAGCTGCGTCACTCCACTGCAGTCAGTAATGGACTCGCCTGAATTCTCCATACAACCAAGTGGCTGCTGGAAGAGAGTAGGTGAGTGGTGTTTGGTCTCTTTGCTCAAGAAATCAGGCAAAGCTTAAAAAGTTGTTTGGTGGCTAGAACTATAGCTAGGAACCTATATGTACTGTTGATGAAGTTAGGTGCTGTTCTAATTGAGGTTCTGGTTGAGGTTATCCCTCTAAGTTTTATCCGCTGTAAAAATGTTAAAAAGACGTGTCAAAGTTTCTCAGAGCGTAAAGTGAAGTCTTCAAACTTTCCAGCTAAAATAACAAAGACAAAAGACCTTCACTTTATCAAAGAAAACAAAGAAAAATGACAAACCCTCACATGTTGGATGCTGGAAGAGGAAAATTTGAGTTAAAAAGCGACTCTGCAGCTGTGGTTTGATATAAATTCCTGCTGTTGCTCATTCAGTTCTCAATTACAGACTGGGGTTAAAGTGAACCTGCTATTCATCTAAGATAACAGGTTGTAATAAATGTGAGGATGTGAGGGATCTGATTATCTGCAAATGATTATGACTATTTGATTGAAAATAATTTGCGTTTAACAAAGTAAAAGCTTTTAAATGATTTTTCTCATCTGTTAAGGGTCCAGTTATCGGAAGCTGGTACAAAGTTTTGGACCGACTGGTGGTCGGAGGAACTAAAAGTGCTGCCATGAAGAAAATGCTGGTGGACCAGGTAAGAGGAGAACATGAGACCACCTCTTTGTCTGAAACTATCAGTTTCTCTTCTTTCCGGTCAAAGACGCTGAAGCTGAGCTGAAGTACTTCAGAAACAAAGTGGATTCAAGCTTTAAAAAAGCCGGTGCGTGTGTTTCCGCCGTCCACTCGGACTCATTATTTGTAGCTAACCAGGCAGAGAGACAATTTCTTCACATCAGGCCAACAGACAGAAAAGATGTCAAATTTGTTCAGGAGATGAGATTTGGCTTTTCCTCTGCGACCCCCGCCCCTCACAGCAGCTGGGACAGTCCAGAGCCTCGTCCTTCTCCTAAAGTTCTGTTACACTTTAATGTTTGTCATGGTGAAAGAAATCTAGGCCAAAGTTTGGAGAGAATAAGAATATGAGACCAATGTTTGCTTGATTTACCGATAACTCCTGAGGCAGTAAAATGTCTGAAAATAACCCTTATCTTTGATAGCACAGCTTTATGTTCTCAGACCAACAGAGCAAACCCCAACACAGATTTGTGAAGCTGGAGGCAGTGAGTGTCAACGATGTTTGTCACTGTGATCAACACTCCTGTGTAGGACTTTTTAACATGTTATGAAACAGACTGAAGTGCCTCTTTATAACCCCCCTGATCGTTTCTATCATTTCTGGTCAATTTAAATGTCTGTAACTGGTCGACAATTTGATAAGATTAGAAAAAGGAAAATGGCTTTATACCTGGATGGTTAAAAATATACCTGAGCAGCCCCTCTTACACCGTCTCTGTGTGGGAAACTGTGAGTTAAGATGAACACCACGTTCAAAAGGAGCGGCAAAATCGATAAACCAGAAGTTTTTCGCAGTAGTTTGGAAGAAAAATGAGGATTAAATGAATCTTGCAAAAAATAACAAAAGAGTAAGGAAATATCAGGATGGAGTAAATAATGACAAATGACCAAAAAAGGGACAAATTGAGAAGCTAATACAGAGTGAATACACAACAAGGTGCAAATTTAAAACCTAATGTAAAAACGTCTCACGCTTCACGCCGCTAACTTTCACTTAATTCTTCATCAGACGAGTGTAAACAAAAAAGTAGGAGGCAGAACAGCGCGGCAGAGCTTTCAATACACTTCCACTGAAATATTTATTCAAGCAAAGGGTCCGCTCCTCCGCTCGAATAACTCTGTGTCCACACTGAGCGCTGCTCCGTCTGCCTCACTGATAACTGCAGAGCCATTTGCCAAATTGAAAGATTAGATGTAGCTGCAGCTTCTCTCTACGTCAGAGCTGAAGATCTACAGACTGGAGGATGTTTTTATATTTTTCATATAAGAGGAGCTGCTTCCTTCACTGTGAACACAAACAAGAAAATGGAACACAGTCTAAGATAAGATTAACTTGATTGATCCAATAAAGGAAATTCAATAGCCTGGGTGTGTTCTTAGATTATCTGACTTAAAGCTGACTTAAGCTCTATTAGCTTTACCATCATTATTATCATTATTGTTCATTTTATATGAAACTGTAATAAACTCCCGACGACAGGCAAGTATATGTACAAATGATTTCCTGAACAGAGGCGTGTCTCATCTCTGTGTCTAATTGAGACCCACCTCCATTCAGGAAATCCATCGCGCAGTTAGCAGACTGACTGGCAAGAATCCCTTATACAGTCATTTCAGCAGACAAAGTTAAGGCAAAGACACACTTATGGATCGGAAATTTTCGCAGGTTGGATCGGAAATTATCGGAACCTGATACCGATACTGGATCGGGTCGGCCTCATCCCTAGTATATATAAAATATCAGGTTACAAAGACTGGGATAAGAAAGAGAAAAATCTATTGCCCTCATAATTTTGCTGAAAAGACAGAAAATGAACTTAAAGCCATTTTTGACTGTATTTGAAATCAAAAGTTGACTTCTTTTTTTAAATCATGGACGCAGTTTTCATGATATCCAAGCAGCATGTCACATATTTGCTTCCCCAGACCAAGCTGAATATTAGACAAACGTTTCTGAGCAACCTTTGCTGCCATTCAGACAGAGCTGTTTTCAGAAAAGACCTTCACCGTTCATCAACACAACGCCAAACTACATTCTGCACGTATTACAACAGCGTGGCTCTGTAGTAGAAGAGTCCAGGAGCTGAACTGACCTGCCTATAGTCCTGATTTATAACCCGTTGAAAACATGTGCTGCATCATGAAACCCAAAGTCTGACAAAGGAGACTGTTGAGAACATGTTACTGGCATCAAATATTAAACAAGAGTAAATTATTCATAAACTAATGGAATTTTTTAGTTTCAACATTTGACATTTGTCGTCTTTCAATGATTGTAAACCATCCAAATCAGATTGATCAACATTTTTCAGAAACAGGTTTATTCTTCCCTCTTTATTCTCAACGTAAATCTTCAGATCTAAACTAATGTCTTTTCTTCTCTTCTCTCCTCTCTGTGTTTGTAGCTGTGTTTTGCTCCCTGCTTCCTAGGAGCTTTCCTCTGTATCTCCAGCGCTCTAAACGGACTGACAGTGGAGGAAAACATCACCAAGCTGAAGAGGGTGAGTTTTCTTTATTTTCAAATCCACCTCACTTTGTATAAACAATATCATTACTTCTCTGCGTTTGTCTCTGGACATAATCTTTCTTTCCATCCTCAAAAATATACGTAAGTGTCACACATTTGTACTTTTAGTGCATTTTCTGATAAAATTGAATAAGTACAGTTTTAGATTAAGGACTCTTATTTGGAGGGAAATATTTAAAGGTATGATGTTCGCACTTAAACTCAAGTTAAGGACCTAAATATGTCTCCTGCTGCTGGAAATAGGCTGTGTGACGTACATTAGCTGAGCCAGCGAAACTCTCCCAAACTTTGGTTAAATTTGTCTCCACTTGAGGTGAAGATTGAGTATTCGCTCATTTTAATCCATGAATGAAGGATAAGGAAAAAGAGGAGTTTGTTTGAGAGGCCTAAGGACAAGTTTGGATTGTGCAATAAAATACTTGAACTAAGTACCGAGAAGATGACAAAATTGAGTGTTTTTATCAATTCTTGATGTTTACTCATCTTACTGGGCTCCAAAAACACATCCTTGTGTCTTCAGATCTAAAGTTCTGACTTGTGGTTCAACTTGACTTTGTGCTTTAAATTTAAACTGCACACTTGACACAAACCGGCCTTGGAGTGGTGTTTTTTTCTGAATGAACACAGTCCAGGTCAATGAGAGGAAGTTAGTTTTTCATGTAGGTATGGTACCTGACCTCCAGCGCTCACCTCTCATTATTATTAGAAACTATTTCCTGTGATGGAGGGAGAGACGAGAGAGGAGGGGGAGGAGGAGGGGGCTGTGGAAATAGCCGGAGTGACTCATACCTTCATATATAGACGTGTGTGTGTGTGTGTGTCCGTGTGTGTATTTGTATGCCAGGTCAGAGCTAACTGTCATCTTGTGCCAGCTGCTCAAACGTCGGTCGTCGCCTTGCTTACCCAACGTGGCGCTGGTCACCATCAATTATTTACAAACGAGGGCGCGCGGAGCTGAAAGGCCAACCTGCTAAATGTCAGAAAGGACAGAAAATAAATGACAAATCTGCTCATTACTGCTCAGACCTGACGCCACGGAAATGTGCGGTGAAAATTAATCGAGCCTCCGTGATTGAGAAAACCGGACAGCGGTCCAATCAAGACTTTGCCCTTCTTGTAGAGCTGTTACTCACCTGAGTCCTCTGATTTAACCTCATCATAACTTCGTGTGTGTGTCTGTGTGTGTGTTTGTTCATGCACAGTATATTACCTATGCACTAACTAGGTTATAAGATAAAGTGCATTCAAAGATATCAGGAAATGATGAATTGCTTGATTGGGGGGGGTTTAACTTGAGTGTTTAGGCAATTGATGCTCATATAGGTAACAGGTGCTTATGGGTATTAGAGTCCTGACAGGGTGAGAGAGACTCCAACATAAAGCAGAGATGTTTCGTCCCACATGCCCCCGTTTATCACCGAGCTTTAGGCCTAATCAGGACAACAGGGGACAAATCCTGGTGGCTCAGTGAAACTATAAAAGCAGCTCTTTCTGTGTTTTCTAGAGCTGAATCATTCGCAACCAACACATCACTAACTTAGACTGTAAAAGTCACAGGTTAGCAGGATTGGCCTTGCAGTTTTGCTCTAAATAGCAAGGTTGCAGAGAATAGTACTTTATTTCGGACAATATACCGGTAAGGCCAAAACCATCAAAGTCGAGTAAAGGTTTTGAGCTATAGTGGGCTGGTCTTAGCCATAAAACAAAAAAATGTTTTGCGATGTTAGCTATGCGTCTTCAAACACGTTTTCTCTCTGCTGATCATCCCTGTCCATAGTCATTGTGGTTTCTCATCAACCAGGAGGTTTTTAAGTGACCTCAGTTAAAGGGATATTCCGGCATACAATTAATTTAGGGTCAAACACACTGTAACACAGAGTTAGACACCCCGTCGAGAGATGAATGTTTCCAATCCCTTGCTTCTCTAGTTATACCAGCTTTAGTAACAACCGCGCGATAGCAATACAGAGAGCCACGCACTCAACAAAAAAGCCACTCTAAAGCCACAGATAATGCTCAGAACAGCACCTAACTTCATCAACAGTACATATAGGGTCACAGCCACAGTACTAGCCATCAAACATCTTTTTAACTTTGCCTAATTTCTTGCTTCACGCAACTCACCCTCTCTCTTCCGGCAGCCGCTTATTTGTACGGGCAAGTCCATCAACAGCAGCGGGGTGACGCAGCTCAAGGAAGAACATGTATGATCATTACTTTATCATTTCAAGAAGTAATAATCATTTTGCACTGCAGATGCAGTAGTTCTTCTGCCTTAGTGTCTCGGTCAGATTGCATTTCCATGAGGAAATGATCATATATGTTCTTCCTTGAGCTGCGTCACCCCGCAGCAGTCGATGGACTCGCCCAGAGGTCTCCGAACAATCAAGCGGCTGCTGGAAGAGCAGCCGGAATATCCCTTTAGTCAAAATACAAGTTTATTGGACTTATGACCTGCAACACCATAATAATACATAATGGGAGAGTACAAGTTTACCACCCTTAGTGTGACAGAAGGATGGCTGATATAGCAGCACTAGAGTTACAATAAAGTGTGTTGCGTAATATTGAATCGTATTGTATCGATTAATATTGTATCGATTTGTATTATATTGTATTGTACTGTTTCCTATTGATTGGCATTGTAATGTATTATATCATATTGTATTGATACGTAGAGTATTGTATGTTTTTTTTTTATTTTTTTATTTAAGAGTTTGGTCTAGACCAGCTCTTTTGAGTATCTTAAATTAACACTTGTTGTGAATTATTGATTGATTGATTCGTTACACATTTAATATATTGATAAATCAGTAATTTGACACTAAATGATATTTCCATTTGTTCAAAATTTGCATCAACTTTCTAAATTAACACTTTGATGAATCTCCAGCATTGAAACTTCGGGCTCAGTAGGTCCCCGTTCAAACAAAGTGTAAGAGGAAATATTTTGACGTGTCTTTGACGCAGCAGTCAGCACTGGGCCGAATTTCACCTCAGGTGGCAAAGACGCTTGTTTGGCGGTAATTAGAGTGAGTTTCACCTTCAAAAAAAAAAAGGCTATAACTGGAACATTGGCTCATTTTTTTATATGGTGGAACATGTTGAGGTGACCTTTAAGTGGATGTGAAAGGGAAGTTTCTGTGTGGTCAGATTGGCAACACACACACCTCTACCACTGTTTTTTGTCTCACCATTAGGTAAAAACCTCGTACTTCTGTTTTTTATTAAAGATAATTTAAGTCGAATAGAGACGTTCAAGGCAGTGAAAGCAATTAAAACCAAATGATGACATCAATAATCAAATGACTCATTAATGACCAATTACATTACCAATTACTCAACAATAACTTGGCCAGCCTTGGATCTTTCTGGCTCAAACTTCCCTCCTTCCTGCTTTGTTTTGGAATAAAACTCTCCACCAACTGGAGCTTGAACACATCATCATTTCTCACTTCGTCTCCCACTGCTGCTCCAAACTGTTATGTGCAGGGAAATGGTGGTGGGATGAATCCAATACCTGAGTAGGAAGTTGGAAGTTTAAAAAGTTTTTTTTTTTTTTTTTTTTTTAACGTTCGTTTCAATTAAAAAAAATAATAAAGAATTAAATCAAAACAACTTTTGGTTGAATATGTTTTGAAAGTCCTTGAAAAGTCATTTTAAAAGAGCTGCGGAAATCAACTTTTCAAGACCAGGTATGAAACACCAAAAGTGTCTTTTTGAGGTATAAAAAGACAACACTGCACAGTCAGGACTAAATCCCGTTTTTCCAGTTTTGCAGAAATATTTCTGCCGGTCATCTCTCCATATTTTCAGTATATGTCACAATATCCAAGCAGTCCAATCTTTTTTGCACAACAGGTTTTATACATTTTTATTTTCAGGATTATAAAATATATCAGTAACAAAAGTCCCTCCAAAGGCCTGAGAAAAACACATTTACCAAAATACAGCTAAATCTACAGCCAAACCATAATACATAATTCCATAATTTTTAGATAATCACTTTTTTAATCTCCTTTTTTTCAGGACTACACAGATGCACTGATCTCCAACTATTATGTAAGTTTTTTTTTCATATATTTTACCTCTCAGTCTCAAATTTTTACGTTAAAATGAGCATGCTGTGATTCAAATTAATGTCGTCATTAATGTCGAGTCCCTGTTTGTGTTGCAGTTATGGCCTCCGGTTCAGATCGCCAATTTCTACTTCATTCCACTGCACCACAGGTGAGTGTTTCATATTTTTTAGTCTTTCAGGCATTGATAAAGTTTGTGTCAAGTGCACGAGAATCAAACTTCAACTTTTATTTTGGATAAAAAATTGATGCTGCTGAATAAAAGTGATGTTTTTTTGTCAGTGCATGCATGCTGCAAATGTGAATGTAGGTCAGACTTCCAAATAAACATGTTTTAATGATGATGTCCTTGTAAATGTCATGAGAATCAGAGTCATTATAGCTGTTAAAAGCCTTGTCAGACGCTGTTATGAATAAATCTCCCTCCTGCAGGCTGGCGGTTGTCCAGATTGTTGCTGTCGGTTGGAACTCCTACCTGACCTGGAAGGCCAACAAGATGTGAAGACGATCACAGGACCGGCCTGTGCTGTTGTTGTTGCTGGTGATGAAGATGATAAAGTTCCACTCATTTGCAGTGTGTGTTGGGAATGGGCCGTACTAGTCTAACTCACTTTAGGCTGCAAAGTCTCCTGGTATTTAAAACGTGTAAAACTGTGACTGAGTCACCGTAAAGGTCGGGAGAAAGAGCTCGTCTACGCTGAGTGACAAATTCACACTTGAAAGTCAAACTTGCATTTGCAGAAAATGTCTGTGAAAGTTTGTTATTTATGGAAAATAGGGTTTGGATGTGGAGCCTTGCTGTAGCCACACATACGCACTAACACACACACTCATATTTTTACACCTGCAGACTGCACATCAAACTTTTATTATTGATGTAGCGTTTGTCACTCACTCACAATTATCCTGTTTTTAGGTCAGTTAAATGATGTTTGGTGTTACAACAAAGAAAAAAATGTACCTCACTCTCATCTTTTTGATATTTTCTAGAAAATGTTACCACGTATGTCAACTTGTTTATCATTTTAATTCATTTTTCTTTACCTGAACTAATTATGTGATTATTAACCTTCATTTCCAAAAAATGGGAATCTGTAATCTTTAATCCACATGCTGCATAAATCATGGGCATAGGCTCAGCGGTGTTCACCATATCCAAATCTTCAACTTCTCTTTCAATCAGCCTCAAAACAGATGAAGAGGTGGAGTTACAGCAAACTCTAAATCCCCTCGCGTACCACCTTGAAGCAGCACCTATAAGTCAGCTGAACTAGACTGCTAATAGCACAAATTGATATAAAACACTTTACTTTAATAGAATCAAAATCAATGAGTTGTAAAACAGTTCACTCTAAACAATCTGCATGGAGAAAAGCGAGAGACAAACACCCCAGAACTGTTCTGAAAGAGGCTGCAAACATGCTTTTAAACTGCGCATTTCAACATGGGACCTAATAGAGATTTCCTGCCTTTTGGAGTGAGCCTAGTGGCCACTTGAGGAACTGCATTTTTTTCCTTTTCACTCTACAGTATATTCAGAATTAAAAACAAGCTGTTTCCACAAACATTAAAGCAGTCATTTTAATCTGTAGTTACTGGAATGTCACCAAAGTTACAGAATCTAGATCTAGCGCTGACAATCACAGTTGAAACTATTATTTTTTCTTGTTGTCTTTCAATTTTAATAAGATTTATGTGCTAAAAATGTGAACATTTCTTATAACAAAAGTTGTCTCTGGCATATAAACTAATAAAGTTTTACTCCAGGTTGGCGTGGATGGTGTGTTTGACCTCACTAACTTTGTGTCCTGCTTGTTTCTGGCCCGGGTGGGGTTTGTTTGGAGGGTGATGTGGAGGCTGCTGAGCCGGCCCGTCAACCAAATAACCGCTCACATTTGTTCTCCACACAAACACACTCGGATGAGAAAAACAAGCGGAAACTGTCTGATGAAAGTGCTGAAAATCTTCCAAATAGCCTCTTTCCCCTCAGAGGGAATCCAGCCCTCCTCCCCCTCCCCAATTATTATTGTGCTTTTTTTTATTGACACAATAACGGCGTTACGGTTGTGATATTTTCCTTCATTTGAGACACAAAATTGTGGTTTTAATCCGTTTGTGTTTCCCCATAATTCAATTTGTTTAAGAGTGTGGAAAGAGGGATATTTAAGAACATATAGTGGTCAGATTCTGGGTTTAAAGGGTCCTTTGCTCACTTCTCATGTCAGGGAAGTGATGGTGGCCTTTAAGGACCAGAAGCTGCTGTGATTCATAATAAGTATAATCTTAAAACTGTCAGTTATTTACCATCAAAAATGTCTCTTGCACAAAGTCACCACTTTTTCTTCTTCTACTTCTTCTTTTAGACCATTAAAATGTGAAAAATAGACATAAGATTTAGACTTCATAGCTCATACAGAAACATTGTTTTCATGGCTTTTAACTGAAAGTTTGTGTGAATGGAGCGTTGCTATTTTTGCCAACAGGACTGCTGATGTAAAATTTTTGATTCTGCAATTAAAATCTCCCGTAATTACTATTATTAATTATTATTTTACCCAAATAGAGGCAGATGGGTGTTGCACTCTTTTTCATTAAGTAATAAAGTAGTCTCTTTTCAGGATGTGTCTCTCTTTATGGTTAGATCCCTGGTAAGGAAACATTTTTGACTTCTGCGAGTTCAGCACCACGGACAGCTCCTGGACTTCTTCTCTATGTTTGATAAAGCTGATCAGTTTGATGATTCCATGAAAATTCCCATTACTATTGTATAGATCAGTGATCTAAAGTGAACCCAAACAAGAATAAATCATGGTTTTCCTGTCTGTTGCTTCCTTTTAGCTTTGAAAGATTTATAGCACCATTATAAACCCCTAATATTTCTCTTCATCAAGCCCAATTGATTTAAAACGTGCCTTAAAGTGACTGTAAGACAGTTGTTAATCACATCAGGTGAATTAATGCAAGCTTAATTAAATCTAGATTATTAGACCCTTGAGGGGCAATTGGATCGTGGCAACACAAACACCTAATTAATTCACATTAATCATATGAAATTAGCTTTATGAGGCAGGAAAGAGTTACTCAGACACAGGTTCAATCAAAAATCATATGTTTTAAAGATCCTTTTAAACCTGAAGAGCACATGAACTTTAAGTAATCTCAACACTAGACACCCTCCATGTATGATCCTCCCTGTGGCTCCAGGTCACTCACTAATAAACACAATAAGTAAATATGGAAAATAGGAATATTTGAGATGCTCTTGTATTCTGTGTAGATCACAGCTGCCCCCCAGCTGTCTCTCAGGACTCTGCTACCTTGTTGTCTCGATCCTTGCCCACTTTCCAAACAGATCTGTGTGTGCTTGCATTGACGTCAAAGCAGCAGGCTGGATGTATAAAACCCTCCGTCCTCTCCAGACACTGCGCTCCTCACTGGGACTTCTCCAGACTCTGCTCCGACCTGACATCCGCAAAGTTCAGCTGCAGCTTCTGCAGAGAACAAAGTGAGTACCACAGTTTGCTTTCAGACTTGTGCTTTTAGATATTACAGTGTGAGATTTGGCGGGATTGGATGTATTTCTGCAGCAGATTATCACCATTTTAACACCTCTGGATGTTTGCGCATCTCTTGCTCAGTTGTGCACTTTTCAATCAGCTGATACAGATTGAAGACTTTCAGATGGTTGTGCGGTTTAGTCGAGTTTGGTCCTTTTGGAAATCCATGTTTTCTTTCTTGGGCAAGGCAGTGATCTGAAATGTTTTTTGACTTAATACCAAAGCAAACGTGAAACATTGTAACCTTCAAACCAATCAGGTTATTGTCATCTAAGGCCTGCGTAAAATTCGCAGGAATGAGGCTAAACAGTTTGGGGGGAAAAACGCCCTAAACGGACACTAAGTTTATAAGTATGTCTACTCTTTTTCTTGAGCTCTTATGCACAAGATATGCATGAAAGGAAGTTGTCCAAAAAAGCAAAAACAACAGATAAAATGTGATTTATTTGTCAACCTCACATTTGAGCTTATTTTGTGATCTATCGTCTCTTTATTCATGGACTGTCTGTCTCTGCAGGACATGAAGTCAGTCCCCCTGCTCCTGCTCCTCTCCTCGGTCCTCCTCTCGTCACACCTCCGCCTCGCCGCCGGCAGACCGCACTCCCTCCCCGGCTGGCTGGATGGCCGCCTCCAGACGCAGCAACTTGAAGAAGTGCTCCTCAGAGCGGCGGCAGCCGGGGACAGCACCGCCTCAGAGCTGCTGGGCGAAAACCTCCTGAAGTTAGTCCAAAGCAGAAACCAGGACCCCCTGAATCTGCTCACACCGGAGGAGGAGACCGAGGACGAGGCGGTGAGGGCGGCGGCAGCACAGCTTCTCAAGCGCAGCGAGGACCCGCCGCTGTCCATCGACCTGACCTTCCACTTGCTGAGGAATATGATCCAGATGGCCAAGATGGAGAGCCAGAGGGAGCAGGCTCAGCTCAACCGCAAAGTCCTCGACGAAGTCGGGAAGTAAAGTTCTTTTTGTCTTCGAAAAAATGCCTCATACAGCAGCCTGACCGCTGTCCAAGTATCCAAGACCTCTGACATTAGTTGTTGTTTGTGCGCCTGCCTTCCTCTCCTCGTCGTTTTACGCACACACAGTTGCCAAATTACGCATCAGAGCATCCGCGAGCAAAACGTCCATCCATAAGTTTGATTTAAAAACTTTGTTGGAAAACATGGAAACGGACTTCTCTGACCCCTCACCCTTCACCCCTCACCTTTACCTGGCTTCACCTCTCCTCTCCTTCTCTCCCACACTCACACCAATCTCTGCTCTGGACATTTGGAAAACTTTCCTACCCACCACTGGATCCCACATTTGGACACTTTTGAGCAGAGCTGTTGCTAATGTGTCTGTCTGATCTAATATTTTGACAACTGAGGAAAAAAATGCAGATAAAAAGTTCCCAAAATGAACCAAACAGGCCAGAACAAAACATTTTAAAGGTTAGACTTCTCTTTAAAACGACTCAGTTTAATCTTACACTACTTGTTGTCAACAAATTTGGTGAAATGATGTTTGACTTGCACTTGTCTGTGATTGCCATACGATTTGAATCCTTCATGGGCTTCCTGTATCAAATCAAATTCAAGGTTTCTTGTTGGCAACAAAATTGCTTTGATATAGTTTATTGTGATTGAAACAATCGGCCAAATTAAGTGGCTTAACTCAGAGAATCAGCCTTTAATAAAAACATCATATATCTTATCAATTTACAGGATAATGAGGTTGAAAGTTTGCACATCTCTCTGATCCCTGTTCCTTTCTGATTGATCAAACTTCATGTACTGAGATAGTCTGGATAAACACTTCATGTCTGATTAATTTTCCCTCCCCACCTGTCAGCTCTCACCTCCTGATTCCTTCTTCTCTGTCCTTTTGTTTGAGCGGGAGCACTATCACCTGTACTGTACCTACTGTAGCATGCTACTCTACAAAAAAAAGGAAGAAAAAAAAACTGCTTTATTTTACCGTGAACATTCATGTCTGACATCGATCAAATTGTCTTTGTTTTAGCAGAGGAAAGAGAAAAGCTTTTTGGCCATTTATATTTTGTAATAAAAAATGATCCGAGTGAAAAAAAATCACGTCTTTTGATTCTTTAATTTGTTTAAATCTCAACATATATCATTCAGTTATATATTTTTGTGATGTGTGTTTTAAGTGTATTGTCTCTAAATGCTGAAAAGAAACCAAACGTTTGCTCTATTCTCTGTATCCAGTCTGCAACAAGGGCAAAAGATCAAAAACTGGTCATCTGTCTTTTTTGGAAAGCATTGACAGCTAATCTTAACACTTACAGACCAGATTTACTTCAAATTAAAGTAACACATTTGTTTCTTTTAGAAAATGATTCTTTGTTATGATAGTGAGCCTGCTGACCTTTTTCCTAGCACCATCAACAGTTGTCAGCAGTCAAGTAAGGGGACAGCATCAACAGCAAACAAGCATCAAGGTTCTGTTCAATTAAAAATCTACAACCTGAAAAGAAATGAGGATTTCAACCAACAGTAAAGACTTAGTTTAGACAATGTGCTCACAGTATTTGTTTAACTACATAACATTTTGTTGTATTTGAGCTTAAAGCTCATGTAAGGAACTTTTTGCTTGTGTTGATTTTGGCGCCCCCTGTGGATAAATCCATCTCATCTCTCTGCTCATCTTGTCCTGTACATGCAAAAAGTGGTACGAACCCATGATTTAAAGGTACAGCTTTAAATACATCGCTTTCATTCCTTTAAGTCCCACTCTGATTGAATTTTTTTTTTACTATTTAAAGTGTTCTCAGTAGTCTTTAAATTATGATTATGAAGTTTTTAGCCAAAATCACATTGTTTGTGTCATTTTTAAGGGCTTTTCTTCTGCAGAGCTCTAGTCACTCAAAAGTAATTCGCCTCTGAGTTGTGGGCGGAGACAGCGCTGCTCTGCACACTCCTTGTTAGCCTAACATTGCCAATGTAGTAGAAGTGGCAGGTAATATCAAAGCAATTCACCTCTCGGACACTAATGTCTTTGGGGCATGATGAGAGTTAATATCATAATTAGCTTTCTTACGAGGATTGCAATCCGCAAACATACATGCTTGTTCCACAATCGTCTTCGCTATCTTTCAGAGCCTGGCAATTTTGCTCTTAGTTTTCTCTTGATATGTCCTGTAGCATCAGAAAAATACGATATGAACATGTAGACAACAAGAAAAAACATATTTTTTTATCTGAGTGGGTCTTTACAGGATAACACTCTCAAACATTAAGAAATCTATAGGAAAGCATGTGCTAAATATCCACACAGTGGGCAGGTGTTCATTTTGATTACTCACCGATGTCCGGAGATTCCTGGTTAATTCAACATTTGTACTTTTCAGGAATTTTCATTTTAGTTGCTTTCTTTGTTTCAAACAGGTCCTGCTACCCTGCAGATGTCATTGTCATTTGCAGGTCAGTTGTGATTCTCTCCAAAATAGTGGATCAGCACATAGATGAGGGAGACCGCTTTGGCCAGAGGGGGCGCCAAAGTCAACACAAACACAGACTACCTAATAGGAGCTTTAAATCTAACCGAGCTGTTCAGTTAGTTGTCTTTACTTTCAACTATCTAAGTCTTGATCCTTTCAACCATTTAAGAAAGACATATTCAAATGTGATGTGATTGTTGATGGTTTAATGTTGTCCAGTTTGTAGAAACGGATAAAAGAAAAGCGAGGAGAAACAAACACAGAAGTCCGAATGGCCCCTGAGCTCTTTGTTTGTATGAGTCAGTCCAAACTGTGGGTGTGTTGGTGATTCTTCTGCCTTAACACCTTCTGTTTGTTTGTGTCGCTGTGTGAGTGTGCGTATGTGTGCGTGTGTGTGTGTAAGTACGTTCAGTTTTGTAAAAAAAAAAAAAATAAAACGAAAAACAGGTGGGTCCCACTGTCCTTTTTGCTAAAAAATAAAATAAATAAATAAAAAACAGATGACTCTCAGTGTTACAAACTTTGTTCTTTTAATATTTGAATGCAAATCAAAATATATCACTGCAAACCCGTGGATGAGATCAATTTGCACATCTTTATTCCAAACAGTGACAATATTGTCAAATCTAAACTTTTTCCTTCATCAAATCTTAAAGCACAATTTAAAGTTGATGTTTATGCAGTTTTTTAAATTAGCATTTAGGATCCAGAAGCATCAGACATACTGTATGTTCTGTATTTTGTTTACTTTTGTACCTTAACTACATTGTTCTATCCAAAAGAAAAACTTGTTTCAGAGGTTACATTTAGTGAGCAGGTGAGAGTTTATCAACAGTGGGTGCTATTAAGGCTGCACCCTTCATGGCCTCACTTAACATATGATTCTTTGAGCGCCGGTACAACCGCGATATAGGACTGTCAAACTGCAATTGCCATAAAAGACAGGTGCATTGAAATCTGCCAGGTAAGTGACAATTGCTAAGCGACATGCGTGGTGCAACTTGACATCATTCTCAGGGACTGCTGCAAGGTGACGCAGCTCAAGGAAGAACATTTATGATAATCTCTTTATCATTTCCTTTAAGTAATAAACACCATATTAATCATTTTGCATTGCAGATGCGGTAGTTCTTCTGCCTTAGTGTCTCGGTCTGATTGCATTTCCATGAAGAAATGATCATAAATGTTCTTCCTTGAGCTGTGTCACCCCCCTATAGTCTGTAATGGACTCGCCTGATGTCTCGCTACAAACAAGTGGCTGCTGGAAGAGGGTGGGTGAGTTGTGTTTAGTCTCTTTGCCAAAGAAATCAGGCAAAGTTAAAAAGATGTTTGGTGGCTAGTGCTGTGGCTGGGACCCTATATGTACTGTTGATGAAGTTAGGTGCTGTTCTGAGCATTATTTGTGGCTATAGAGTGGCGTTTTGGTTGAGGTTTGTTTATGGCCCCTCAGACCGCTGTGTATTGCTATCCTGCAGTCGTTACTTAAGTTGGTATAACTAGAGAATCAAGCAGTCGGCAACATTCATCTCTTGAGGGGGTGTCTAACTTGGTGTTACAGTGTGTTAATTTTATGCCGGAATATCCCTTTAAGACTGCTGCCCCTGGATTGGGACACAGCTATAGACTGTGTGATAAAAGGACGTAGCGTCTGCGTCAGCTACATCACCCATTAGTTTGTTCAGCAAAGTCTTGAAGCCTGAATCTGCAGGAGTCACCATACTGCAAATGCTGACCCAACCAAACCCACTTGACCTACCAGAGTCTGATTTTTGGTAAACCCACTACGCCCTCAGGGTTGCACCAGCTCCTACAATAGTCAGTGTCATATGGAGGTTCATGGGGGTTCATTTCAACTTGTTTGCCTGTGTCTGGGTTGATTGAACGTCATGTTGAATGTGGACGTTTTGGACTGCATAAAACCTCTTCAGAAGTCAGTGGGTGATGTCACTGAGACGACATACAGCATGTTGTTGCAAACTGGTCCATTTTTCATGGGATTCGTTAACATTAAAAGAAATGCAGAATATCACATGTGCAAATCCAAAATCCCTCCAACAAAATTCAAGCATCCCTCCCATAAAGAGACAAATGATATGCATTACTAGAACAATGCGAAGCTTATCTGCCCACTGGTTCAGTTTAGCATCCTGCCCACTGGCATTGTCATTCTGCTGCATTTCATGTATTGAAAATAAGGAACTGCTCTTTGATTTCAAATTTGAGGAGGACAATATAGAGTTTGCTCCAGGAATTGATTTAACGGTGGTTAAAAAAGGATTACACTTTCAAAGAAACAGTCTCTATTTTTTTCAACTTTAATCCCCTCACTCTGTTTTTGTAATTTACATAACATCATCGCCTGAGAAACTGACGAAAATGGAGGAACAGGATCCACCTTTAAGTTTATCAAAGGGATTTAAATTTAGGAGAAATCGCAAAAAGCAGTGTTGAGCTTTACATTTGAGGCATTTTTACACGCAAACTTGAGTGTTTTTTGTAAAAGTGAGAGGCTAAAATTTGAAGGAGTTACTTTTTCCACAGCAGGAAGAAACACAGATGGATAATGTGTGTAAAGGTGTTACTTTCACTTTCTCTGTTGTCCATGTTGTCATTGTTATTTCCTGTCTATAGTGTCTGAATTCACTCCAGCGCTGTGTGGATATCCGGAGGATTACAGTCAACCTCCAATTTCCGCCCCTGTTTTACATTTCCACAGGACTGCAGTGGAGACCTGGAGTAAGAGAACAAAAGGCAAAATATCATGAGATCAGTGTCATCATCACCCACGCCTAAACAATCACCGGTGACTCTCAAGCTGCTCAGCCCTAATGTCCCCGCTCAAACACAGATACATAACAGCACAGCGGAGGAGGAGGACGCTGTTGTTGTTGTTGTCTTTGACTGAGTCAGCATGAAAACGCTGCTGCTGTCCCCTTCCTGAGTGGGTGAGGGGAATCCTTCTTCTGCTCTCCGCGGCTCTCTCTTTACGTAAGTGGTCTTGTTAGAGATGATATTTACACGTCCTCTCTCTACGATGCACAGTGAGCGGCTGCTGTTGCTGCTGACTTCAGACTCTGCACATTTACCAAATCTGACAGTTCATCAGCAGAGCAACAAGAACATCTATAATCAGACTCTGACACATTTGCACAACTACAGTTCCAGATCTTCAGTACAGCCCGTTGTTTCATCATTTAAAGGGTGAGGTTTTAATGCACTATGCTCACAATTTGCAGACAGTACAGAAACCTTTGTTTGCAAAGTTATTCAAGGGCAGATCCTTCATTTTTTTAACTGGGGTGGCCCAATGAGGGTGCTAACTCATGCAGGGATGGCACTTACCTCATGTGTGCGCACAAATGGAGAAACACCATTTATTTTCCTTTTCTGTCTTCAATTATAATAAATTTCTAACATTGAAGTATCACTAAGATCTTATATCCTTTTTTTTTTTTATTTAGACTAAACCTCTGCACCCCAAAGACTAGTCCCATGCATCTATCTTATAAAAGTACTTTTCTTCAATTTAAAGTAACACCAAACCAACAACCCCCTAGACGCAACTCTAAAACTCCAGTGGTGAGCTTATGTTTGACTACTGGGGCTGAATAATTCATGTGAGGGGTCTGACACTTTCTGATAGTGGTGCAACGGATCACAAAACTCACGGATCGGATCGTTCCTCGGATCAAGAGTCACGGATCGGATCATTTTTCGGATCAGCAAAAAGAAAAAAAAACAAGACAAATAAAATATATAAAAGTAGTGCACAGGGCATAATATCTTCTTTTTAACATAATTATTAATGAAAAACAACTTAAAGTACAATATACAGGCACATCTCCTTCCTTTAAAATGTAACAATGAACCAAAGATGAAGTGTGTGCGCGATGGGATGTCGTAACGTGGCTCAAGCACTTTCAGCATGTTTTTAAAGCCCTCGTTTTGCACAACTGAATACGGCCTCATGTCTGCAGCTATAAACACACCGATAGAGTTTGTGAAGGCTTTAGCCTGGTCGGATTGCGCAGGAAGAGGCTGCTTAAATGCTGCGGTGATGAGCGGTTGTTAGGGCTTTCGTTTTATCTCAGGTGTCATGCCAAAGAACGCACCCCTGCCGTATAGTGCACCCCCTAACGGGAGCGCGGTTGAAAGTACATAACAAGGCGAAATAATACAAGTTTTCCTTACGTTGGGTGTATTCAACAGCGTTTGCCTTTAATAATTTCATTCAGGCTATTCATATCAAATATGAGATCATTATCTCCACTTTAAGAAGCTAACTAGTGGAGGGGATGCAGGGGTGCGTTCTACGGCAGGGGTGCAATCTACGGCACAACACCTGTCTGTAAAACACCCGGGTGATGTCGCTTCAAATGCGTGAACATGCTCGATGTGTTTCCACTGTCATATGGCTTTCTTATGCCACAGTGCCTACACTCCGTCGCAGTTTTGTACACTGACCTCTTTCCTTCTTCGTCATAATTGACAGGGAGGCCAAAATGCTCCCATACAGGGGATTTAAGTGTCGCGGGGCGTTCGAGCTCCTCCTTTCTCCGCTTTCAGAAATCGATCCGCGGATCACATGTGTGCCGAACCGAATACGTCGATCCGAACGGATCACGGATCAATGATGATCCGTTGCACCACTACTTTCTGAAGCTAAATCAAACACACCACAAAGCCTCTGCTGAGCAAAATCCATTTCAAATAATCAATAAGTGTCAGAGAGGAGTTCAGGACATGAACAAACACTAGGACTCCCTGTCCCTGTTATGTTAAAATCGAATCATTAATTTGAAGTTACAAAACAACAAATACCTCTCCTTTGGTCTTAAAATTTGGGGTCAGGTTCTGAGTCCTCTTCACCCTTTTCAGCATCATCTTCGTCGTCATCTGCTACATGTTGAAGCACGCACGCACGCACGCACACACACACACACACACAGATAGAGAGAGAGAGAGAGAGAGAGAGAGAGAGAGAGAGAGTACACAAACTTGGTTAAGAAAACAATAACTTGACCTTTTATTTTGGAGGACCTATTTGTACTCAAGTTGGGTGAGTCCCCACATTATCATAAATACTGTGTACAAACACACACGCACGCACGCACGCACGCACGCACGCACACACACAAACACACACACACACACACACACACACACACACACACACACACACACACACACACATATACAGAGCAAATGAACTCGAGTTAGCTCCAAAAGCTCTGCTTTCACCTTAAACTCTGTGGGTACTGCTCGATCACCAATTGGACATTGGTCCTTTTTATCAAACCAGCACACACTCACACACTGTCTCGTTTTATAACTTAACAACAGAGCATATGAACACCTGTTATTTTGAGGATACTCACAGTGATTTTTATTTTACTTTAATTTTAATGTTATGTGTTTTTTACTTAGAAAACCACAAGTCAAAATTGTTTTAGGTACCAAATCATCTCTCTGAGCTCTACCTTTAAAGTTTGAGAACTCTTCACTTTCATTTTGTTCTGATGTGCATACCAGAGCAGAAGTCGATGTTCATCAGCATGACAGCGAGGTCGTCTGTGTCGATGGTGAAGTGGTTCATGCTCTCAAACCCGAGCTCTGGACGCTCCATGTGTGAAACTTGGGCTGAAGCTGCCATTCTGTCAAAACAGTTAATTGGGTTGATATGGTGGTACAAGGCAACATTTCTCAAGGGGACCTATTACACCAATTTCCACCTTTTGTCTTATACTTAGCTCAGAAAACCTGTTATTTACCCTTATGGTATCCACAAAAACCCCCATTCAAACCCTTTTCAGCCTCTGCCTCATTTCATCTGCTTTTCCACTAGAATTAGAGTTAGACACAGCTAGTGGGTGTTACTTTTTACACAGTAAATGAGTCACTAAGTGACCTGCAAGTTATGCGTTTCCATAAAAAGTCTGATGCTAGTTGTTATCACCCACTTAGCTCTCTACTCAACAGTGTTTGACTATGCTAGCTATCATTACATGACCTGCAATTATAATTGAACTTGTAGCTCATGGTTCTGAGCGTTTTTAGAGATCTTAATTGAAGGAAAAGCCCGAGGTTCAGTATAAGTTGCTCAAATGGCCTTTGTTCACAAAACATGACATCAGGTTTCACCTCCAATCTATGCATCTAATGTTATGATACTTTTTCCCGGTTTAGTGCAGACATTCAACATTTTAGCATGAATCAATTGAAAGAAATAAGAAAGTGGAATAACATTAAAATACTCAAATATCCTTGAGTCCTTATCCGTCTTGAGTTGTAGTGACACTTTGAAAAGTAAATATTTAATGAGGAAATCCTCTGTTTTTGGGGTTATCGATGTGGTGTTTAAATAACGGCCAACATTAGCTTGATCCATCTGCAAACAGTCACACACTCACTCACTCAGGGGTCTCTTCTTGCCCCCATGTGGCCGAGCAGTGACGGCAGCATTCAGAGCAGGTTTGTTTGGGTTATCGATGTCTGTGCACCTGGTGGATCAGCTGCTACATAATGTATGTGTACAAACTGACCAAATGTCACAGAGATGAGGGCTCTCAGCACAAAATGCAGCACAACACACGCTTTATTCAATTTTTATTCTGGTAAAATTAAAATTGAATAAAACAAAATTGAATTTTCCCTTCACCTTAAAAAGGTTTTTCAAGGTAAATTCATACAATCTGACCACATCACTGCATGCAGGATCAGAGCTTCACCACAAACATCTGACTTACTTTTCCAGGATGACTTGGGCGCTCTGTGAGAGAGAAAGAGAGAGAAGAAACAGAAAGAAGGAGAGAGACTAAACTAATCACATTGTGCTTCACCTCTCTGTGCCAGCGACATCTGTCTGAACTGTTTGTCAGATACTCCAGCGTGTGATACAAAAACACGATTTTAAGACACACTCTCAGCTGCCAGAAAGGCCTCATGGTGTAAACTACTGGCTTTCAATAGCTTAATCCAGTTTAACACCTGCTTCAGGGGAGAAAGTGACTTTAATATTAAAAAGTTACACTTGAGACTCACACTTTAGTCGAACACACACACTTCTCAGTTAAGATGCATTGACGCAGACATGTTGCATCAGCGTTATGGAGGCTGAATTTAGTAACACCGGCTTGTTTCTTTAGGGATGAGTGGGACAGAGCTGGAGCTGGACCCTCAAACTTCTGCTGTTGAGTTCAATAGTTATATTTTACTGTTTTTAGATTAGCAGAAGTTCACTGGAGTCAGCTTTTTTATCATCTTTGTGCTCTGTGACCTCTTTTTTATAACCATATTTTATTCAGTCTGTCATTTACCCAAACAGTAGTTTGAAGTTTAACAAATGACTCTCTTTTAATCAAGAGCCTTCTAGTGGTTGAAAACTATTGACGCTGAGCCTTTAAATGACTTTTTATATTTTCTGTCTTCAACCGTCAGATATGTCAAAACTTATTTTCCGTTCAAGAATAACCAAAGTATCAGCCGCTGTTATTAAAAGACTTTTAATTATTGTCGTCCGAGTAAGGCAAAAATCCACCAGAAAAAAAGTTTTCAGGAAATTTATTTTGTGAATTGAAAATAAAAAATAAAGCTGCAGCTAAAGAAACATTTTCCATCCCTTCTTTTAACTAAGAAATGCCATTTGTGGTCAATAAAAAGAGCTGATTCTTCATCTTTAACCTACTTGATTTATCTGGACACAAATCCAGAGTTTTACATTTGAAATAAATTTATTTGACTCCGATACAAAAACATCCATACAGCATCCATACATTTTATTTTTTAGGATAATGAGTCAATTTCAGCTGTTTTCAGAAGATCTGGACATATCCACAGTAATTTCAGATGGTTATCACTGATATCTTCAGAGTGTCAGGAGCACAAACAAACTCAGGATCAGGTGTGAGACAGTTGGCTCGAAAAACTCAAAGATTCACAGAATTGTAAACCCGTGATTCTCTGATTAAGAGAACAGTTAATTTAGAGATTGTAGCAACATAAAAACACAAATATGGATCATTTGACTTTAACTTTTACAAAAATGATAAATCAAGTTTGGTGTCATTAGAGACTGAATGTAAGCAGATATGGTTTTTGAAGAGCTGAAGAGTTCGGAGGTATGAAAACTCCTTTAAAAAAGTTCACTATCCCGACCTGTGTGATGCAACCCTGCTGTTTGTTTTCATCACAGTGTGCAGCAGCTCTGTGGATCTGAATTTGTCGGAGTAAATCCAGTAAAGTAAAAACTAAAATGAGTTTCCAGGATGTGAAATGTGATGTAATTTAAAATTTAGTGAAGCACCAAAGTTGCAGGGTGAGTCAGCCGAGCATGACGTGGAAACTTCCTGCAAAAGTCAAACCCTGTACCCCGCATCTCAGTTTTATTCTTAAACTGAAATTCATGTACTTGTCTGGAGTTAGGCAAACAACTAAGACAAACTACTTCATCAAAACAACCTGATCTCAAGATTTTATACAATCCAACAACTTTAACTGGATCAAATTCTAAAAATCTGGATTATGAGATCATGAGGTGAGTGGACAGGAAGTGTGTGTGCATGTTTTTTTTTTCCATCAAATTATGACAAAAAGGGATCAATCAGGTGATCAAGGTGACCCACTGTGTGAATTAATCATGTGTTTGTATGTCAAGATACTGTGTTGATGTATGCAGGTCCAGAGATCAGGCTGTCCTCTGGGGGGTATAGTAGGAGGTAGAGCTCCATCACATGATATTAAACATGGATTAACCTGCAGTATGAATCCTGTAGCATGAAATTTATTAGACTTTGACCGCAGCTTTAAGGTCCTAATATAAACATTTTTACACCAAATATGTTTCAGCAAAACTTAGCACCTGCTGCTTGGACAATTTCAGATCATGTGGTTCAGTCAAATCCTTCAAATTCTGCAGGAAATACTAAAGACGCTGTTGTCACTGTGTAACCCACCTGCTGGTGACCCCTGATCGACTCACCTGTATAAAGAGAGGCATGTGAGGCTCTTCCATTGACTGAATTGCTGACTCCACCAGCGTCACTGCAGCCTCCAGGTCGTCACTGTGCCGATGAATCAAAGACCGCACATATTTGAGTTTATCGTCCTGCTCTTTGGTGATAAGCCCCACCAGCTCCTGCTTCCTCTCCTCCAAGATGGCCACCAGACCGTCGAAACTGTCAGCAAGGTGTTCCCTCACCTGCTGTCCATTCTCCTTAAGAGGGGAGGTCAGACTCTTTACTTTTACATTGCAGAACATTAACACATAGACGCAACTGTATTGGTTTTATTGGACTTCAAACTATCTATATCTATAAGCTGTATATTTATATCTATAATGGTTGTGTGTTACCTCTATAGTGCAACAGGTGTCCTCCATCTGAGAGATCACTGCCTGGATGTGGTCGTTTGTTGCAACCAAGGTCGCTATGCCGTCGCTCAGCTCTGTCTGTAGACCATCACAACACAACACAACATCACATTAATGAACTTACTTTGGAAACAAGGTTTTCACTCATACTGTTATGTTGCTTTATATGGTCTGAAAAAGAAAGGAGAGTTATCAATTCATCAATAAATGACTCATAAACAGTTCACTTGTGGCTAAAATTAGGAATGTTTTGCAATGACTAATGTCTTAGTCATTTATACAGAAAGTTAATGTTTGTGTGACTGTTCTATATGAAGGCAAGAAAATACAGAAAAGAGTGAAAATTGAGCTGAATTGATTTAAAAGGGCTTCAAGAGTTTACAGAGTCTGCAGGTGAATTATGACGAATTTCTTTGGCGAACACTTGCAGAGCTCGCACCACCAGCCATTGCTGTTGTTGTGAATTTATCTGCCAGTTCAAAGAGGTGCAAAGTTGTGTTTCTTTATTAAAACAACAAACATGCCCTTTTTAAAGGGATATTATGGCATAAAATTAATTTATGGTCAAACACACTGCAACATCGAGTTAGACACCCCCTCAAGAGATGAATGTTGCCGACTGCTTGCTTCTCTACTTATATCTACTTTAGTCAGACTGCGGAAAGCAATACACAGTAGTCTGAGGAGCCAAACACAAACAACAACCAAAACGCCACTCTATAGCCACAAATAATGCTCAGAACAGCACCTAACTTCATCAACAGTACATATACATAGCACTGGCCACCAAACATCTTTTTAGCTTTGCATAATTTCTTTAGCAAAGAGACTAAACACAACTCACCTACTCTCTTCCAGCAGTTGCTTGTTTGTAGCGAGACCTCGAGCGAGTCCATTACGGACTATAGGGGGGTGACGCAGCTCAAGGAAGAACATTTATGATCATTTCTTCATGGAAATACAATCAGACTGAGACACTAAGGCAGAAGAACTACCGCGTCTGCAGTGCAAAATGATTAATATGGGGATTATTACTTCAAGGAAATGATAAAGAAATTATCATAAATGTTCTTCCTTGAGCTGCGTCACCCCGCTGCAGTCAGTAATGGACTAGTCTGAGGTCTCGCTACGAACAAGCGGCTGCTGGAAGAGAGTAGGTGAGTTGTGTTTAGTCTCTTTGCTAAAGAAATCAGGCAAAGTTAAAAAGATGTTTGGTGGTTAGTACTATGGCTGAAACCCCATATGTACTGTTGATAAAGTTAGGTGCTGTTCTGAGCATTATTTGTACATAGTTTCTCTTGATCAGTTTATTATGTGTATTTGGCTTGCTTTGATTTAATTAGATTACATCACCAGGTTTTTAAATGTCTCGTACAACTGCAGCCAAGTTTAGAGTACCGCTGCACCGTCACCTCCTCTACGTGTTGGTGTTTTGTTGACTTCCATTTCCTTCTAGTTAAATATAGTGTTGGTATTACTGAGACAAAATATAGCTTTACCCACAAATGATGACAACCTTGCACCATTACACTGTGGGCACTGTCCACTGAGTCAGTTTTATCACCTAAAGAACAATGACATGACTCAGAGTATCTCATGACATCATGTTCCTTAATTAGAGTTTGTCACAGCTTTTGTTCAAGTGTAATTTAAAGTGTTATCAGTCTAACAAAATCATCACCTCTACAACTCCAAAATAAACCAACTCCATTTTTCAGGTTAACCTTTTCACAAAGATGGAGGATCAACAACTTTCCTGGACCTCATCTGAATTTCAGATGAGTGAATCAGAGACAGAGTGAGAGATGGAGAGGCTGGTGCTGAAATGTCAACAAAGCCAACTGCTCAATAACAAACTGCCGCCGCAACCTGCATGACAAAACTGTGGCACTCTTTACAGGACTTTCTGTGTCCACATGTGTAAAAAAATTAAAGTGTTAATCCAGTTTTTAGGTGAGAGATTAGACGCTTAGATTTGACTCATATATACCATTCTGTTGCACCGTTTCTAACTCTGTAAATGTTTGTGAACCAAGGACTTTGCAAAGTGAAATGTTGTCCCATTTTGCCTGATATTGGATCCCAGCTGCTCAACAGCTCAGGTTTTCCTTTGTTGTGTTTTGTTTCATGATTTGCCAACAACTCAGTAACAAGTCTGGACAGCAGGGAGGCCAGTTTCTCAGCAGGACTCTTCTCCTACAGAGCCATGTTGTTGTAATCCCTGCAGAATATGGTTTGTCATTGTCTAGCTGAAATATTAAGGTCTTCCCTGAAAAAGAGTTGGGGTTAGGGTTAGGGTCAGGGCTCCTAAACCTGTAGATATTGCCTTCTCAGGTGTGTAAGCTACTCCTGCCATGATCTCCGTACCATCAGGGATGCTGGCTTTGACATGTGTACTAATAACAATTAAGTTAGGTGGTCTCTCTCGTCTAAGAAGTGAAGGAATTTGCATCCATGATTTCCAAGATAAATGTCAAATTCTGATTGACCAGACCAGAGGAAAGTTTTGGAAACTCCATGGGCTCTATTTTGGTGCCTCGCCGGAGACGTGCCGCAAGCGCAGCGTCAGTCAGATCCGCCGCGCTGACAAGGCGTTCCCAAGCACATTTTGGTATTTTGGTGAGCCGCGCAGCCTAGCGTAAGTATCCCCCCTCCCTAACTCAGCTCCTCCCAGCACCATAAGTCGTAGATGGGGAGGAGAAAGGGCGTGTAGTTGGTTTAACACAGCCGAGACCTGTTTTCACCAATCACATAGGCTCCTCTCCTTGCCTTTAAATCCGCCACAGGCGAGGCGTATTACTATTTTCATGGAGTAGTCAAAGAGATCAAGAGATGTCTTAAGACAGTAATGCCACAAGATGGCGACAGAGGGCAGCTCCTCAACAAGTGTCCTCCACACTCTCTCATATGAGCACAGATGGATTTAGTGTGCGTAATGTTGGACCCACTGGTAAGACAAACACCCGTTTCCACAAATAAAGACACTCACATAAAGTTGCTCATATTCAAACCTCACGTGACAAAGGTGGGTTTAGCGCACAGATCACAACATAAACTCCAAAAAGGCATTAAAATCGGAACCATCTGTGCGTAAATGACGCATCGCGCTCCGTGGCCTGGCTCTTTCTTTCATAGATGTTGGCATATAAAATAAATCTGACTCACAAAACTGAATATTATAATATCCGTATGTCGGCTTAAAGTAGATAACGCATCTGAGCATTGAAACAAATCATCTGTTCAGCCGCAGCAGCAGCAAGATGGACAGAGGACACGGAGACGTGTCCAGGTCGAGCTGTGCGAGAAATAAGAGGAAGAGGAAGAAAGAAAAGGAGGGAGACGAATTAAATATCTTGTTAACTTCATCATGTGTGTTTATTTACTAGATATTTAATTTAATTTGATGCGGTTTCAGCTGTGTTGATTCGGTCAGGTTGTGTGTCCAAACGCGTGCCAAACGCGCTCATCAGATCAGATATAGATCAGAATATATCGATATAGATCTAAATGTATGTGCTGACTCAGATTAATAGTTGATGATGATTATTTATTGCACTGAAATGTGCCTGACACTGTGGAAACCTGCCGGTGAGGCATCAGTGACGTATGTCGATATGCCGCCGGTCTACCAAAATACTACAAGACCGGCTGCGTTCCGCCTTGCGCTGAAAGCTGACCAGGTTTGAATCGGCGAGCTTTCAGCGCACTTTACACGCCGTTGGCGAGCACGAAAATGTCACTGCGCCTGCTGATTCAGTCGACACCTCCCCCTGCCACGCCACCACGCCCAGCTTGGCGGATCTCGGCTCGCCTCCGTGCGGCTCATGCCACGAAAATACCAAACTGGCCTTACGCTGGGACGAAAATACAACTGCGCGGGACTCGCCGCCCTCCGCCGCCTCACCAGCGCGCACGAAAATAGAGCCCCATGACTTCATCTAAGCAAATGAAATGCTCAAGTTTAAGGTGACCATTGACCAGTTCTGTCACCTCCAGGCTACCTTTTGGACAGCAGTGAATTTATTGCTGTTGGTTACAGTAACACTTTGGTAACTTAAGAATTAAACTTGTATGTCTTTTTTTTCACCTTTTGACTGGTGTAGACGGTGCTGAGCGGTGCCACTTCACAGTCTTTGTGTTTCCCGAACACTTTGCACATGGAGCAGGTCGGCGTCTGACAGGACAGGCAGTAGATATTGATCTTCTCTTCTTCATGGTCCTCACATGTCAGATGCTGCTGCTGCTGCTGCCCCGGCTTTATGCTTACAAGCCTGGAAGATAAAAATATAAAGATGGATTACTAAGTATGGATTTAACACCAGCAACAAGACAAGCTGCTGATCCTGCAAATTTATGTTGGTAAGACTTGAAGTGTCTCGTACTTTCCTATGCGTCTGTCTGAGAAGGAAGTAACTTCTTTTTCCCTTGAATATATGCACAGACTTGCCTTCATACTTCCTTCAGCTTTTGCATCCTCCAGTGAAAAATCAGAGCAAATACAGCATCTCATGTCAACATCTCAACTTCAGGAGGTATTCTATAATATGGAAACTAAATACAGGAGTCGACTGACAAATGAATGATATTTTGGCTATGGTTATAATAGTACCATAAACACAGCAACCCCTGAAGTTTGTGAAATATGTGGTACATGGATAGCTCATTTTTTTAAACTTAAACTTGTGTCATTGAATGCGCTGTGAGTGACAGCAAAAGCGAAAAGGTTATGAGTTTGCAGCATTGGAGGCGTAGCTTACTTTCTCCTTTCAAAGTTAACATTTCAGCTACTGTGAGGGGCAGACAAATGCAATGAAGTGTCTCGTGAGGTCAGTTGAGGACACCAAACTCTTGCTTTAAATTCATGAAAGAAGCTGCATCATCTAACTGCAAAACGAGCCAACAAAAAAATCCAAAGTTAAGATATTTATGAAGTAAAACTCAAAAACGCGATGTCTTTGCAACAACCAATCTTTTAACCCATGCATAACATACTTAAAATGCTCTCAGGGGATGATTTGATCAATATTCTATTTGATTTCCAGGCACCAGCTGCTCACTCGACTCGGCGACACTGTCTGCATAGTTTAAATGGTTTCTTCTTCTTCTGTTGTTGATGATGAATTTTGACGTCAATGGATGACAAAGAAAAGACTTTGGCTGTGACATCTCTGTTTTTCCCACTCAGGGGTGTCACTAGTAAAGCTCAGACTCATTCACAATCCAAAAATATAGATCCAAAAGTTGTAATTAAATTAATCGTAAGTATATTTTTTCTAATTTGTAAATGCAAATGTGCAACTACTATTACCCTTTCAACGCAAAACAATCAACAATCAAAAAGGCAGGAAAAATCAGTAATATTAACACGCCACTGCCCACCATGTTTGCCTCAAAAGACCTCACATGGGAGTCACAGTGGTGCATGTGGGCAGCTTGGACAGGGGAGGCATTAGCACTGGCACGGAGATCCTGAAAAGCAGCAAAAATCGAAACAAGCAATTATGCAACCCATGGTCCTTTGTCCTCTGACGTAGGTGTCTCTGATGATTAAGTAAGAAGAAATCCTTGCACACGTTAAAAAAAGATGAGAAACTACAAGTTATAAAACATTTGGGAGGTTCACTGCGAACAATCACGTCTATTTAATAACTTTAGCCCACACAGATAATAAGGGGAGCCCTGTCCTTTTCTTCTGTCTCTAATGAACGCCAACTTCTCCCTTCTTCACATGTGACTCACTGAGCATCTATTTTGGAGTGAAAAGTGACAAATCTGCTCTGAGGATGACTTAAATATCAGTTATAATGAGTGTGTAAACTTTTAAAACAGACAGATGGGCAGAAGAAGCTTCTTACGTTTTTACACACTTAACAGACTTTAGAAAACAATCTGGGTTTTACAGCCTCATTGGACTGATAAAACACTAACTGGGGAGAATAAAAGGTAAACCAGGAGTTATTAGCCATGACAGTCTATAGCATATACTGTATAATGAATCAATTTTTAATAAAACACAAAAACATTTATTTCCACTCAAAACTATCTGAAAACATTTCACAAGACACAAAATAATATACATAGAATAATAAGATGAAATAAAAACATTCTAAATAAAAACATGTTATATCTTGAAAAACGAATATATTAGAAAAACATCTATGACCTTTGAAACAAAATTTTTGAAAACAAAAATTTTGAGAACAGAAAATATTTAAAAATTTATTTGTTTTCCAAAATTTCTTTTTTAACTGAGATATTCCAAAAATTTACATGGTTTCAAAAATTGTTTGTGTTTTCTAAAATACGTTTTGTGTTTATCTGAGAGAGTTGTGTGTATTTTTTTTAATGCTTCATGTTTTATTGAATAATATTTGTCTTTTTTTCTCTGGTGCTCGGAAATGCCTCTTTTCTCATGTGAAGTTCCCCAGGGGTCTATCTTGGGTCCCCTTTCATTCACTGTATGGGTGCATGCTCTCCTCTGGGGCAAATCCTGTGTAGGCACATAGACTTTCACTGCTATGCAGATAACACCCAGCTCTATCCTTTCTTTGAACCTGACACCACTGATGTGTCTCATATTCTGTCCTGTCAGACTGAAATCAAGAATCAGATGTCTGAAACTTTTTTTCTCCACATTTCAAGTTATTGTCATTAACCCCCCAGCCCCAACCCCCACCTCTAGTTCCAGCTACATTAATCCTCTGTCCTCCAGTTTAGCTACCCTATCTAATCATGTAATCATTAATCTCAGATTATCACTGAATTTCTAGATAGTCCTCATTTGTAATCTGTTGTAATTCATTCTGAATTCTGAATTTGTATCATCCTTGCTTGGTGGTTAATTGTATTGAAAGTATGATTATTCAGTGGATTAGTAACCTTACTTTTACATTCACAGCACATCTTCAGCGTTATTACATTACAGGAGGATCAGCTTTGCAGGACAGCTTAAACTAAGTCAGAGACCTGAGGTTTGACAATTAAACACTTTGGGTACAATGACGCCCTCTGTTGGTTATAACCCATGATTACAACAACATGCATAAAGACTGACACCAGACTCTAAATAAAGACATCCCTGCAGGGCCAGTTTGGAAATGTGACATATTTCTTGCTCCTTTTTTCTGATAGGTAATATAATAAATAAAATATTCACATGGTACTCTTGCTGTCTACTCACCCTGAGGACTCCTGTTGTCTGTACAGGTCTATGATATTCTCCACCAGCAGGTTCCTCTGCAGACCGTAGACCCCATGGCGGTCCAGGACGACTTCATGGCGGCATGATGGACAGCGAAACCGCCCACCACTTGCAGTGATGCTGGAGGAGCCACGGGACTGCCACAGAGGGTTCGATGACTGGAGAAAGAGAGGATGGAAATATGAAGAGGCACAAATTTTATCCATTTAAATTTGATGACTGGTACCCTCTGTTGTCTTCTTTCCTGTTGCAATAAGGAAATATTAGTCATTATATCAGATAAGAAGACATCTGTGTCAATAATTACATTTGATAAGTTATGTTATAAATGTTTTCAGGGGTTTTAATCTTGAGGCAGTTTGGATGCTGTAGGTTTGAGCAAAAGTGACTTCCAGTTCTGCTTAATGTACTGAGGAGAAGGAAACCGAGTCTTGATTTAAGTACCCAAGATTATTTAAGATTAGGAGCCAAATTCTTTCCAAGTTAATGACAATAAGGATTTCTTTCCTCCACATTTCAACAAAAGAGGGGTCCGGCTTTTGTTTCCAAAACATTAAGGCTAGTTTTTGTCTACGATAACAGTATGGGGATTACTTTTTTGTTAGTGTAGAAGACTGGTCAGAGACTCCAACAGCAGCAGGAGAGACTCAGGTTTCAAAATTTCAGAATAACCTTTCAAGGATGGCTATTTGACTTAGAAAAGAGAGATTTGTGCTCAGATTAATTGAAACACCACCTCAGTGCAAACCTGAACATTGTTGGTATTCAAAAAGGTGAAATTTAAAAGTGTCAGAGTGACTGAGATCTACCTGGAAGATGTCGTTGGCACACTTGCGGCAGAGGTTGTGTTGGCAGGGCAGGATGACCACAGGCTTGGAGAACAATTCAAGGCAGACGGGGCAGATCAGCTGCTTCTCCAGGTTCTCCATGGTGGCTCCTCTTCCAGCACCGGGCCCAGGACTGCCTGCTGGTGGAGGCTTGAAGCCCAGAGCAAAGTTCATCACCTCCCTGTCCGGTTGGTAGAAAGTCAGAAGAGGGGAACAGGCAGAGAAACACAAGATGGGGATTATTCTAGCTCTCTCCTCTTAGATTCAGTATCCAAACAGGTTTGTGAGGATGTTGTTTCTTCCGTTTTTTGGTTGTATTTTCTCTTAGTCGACGGTTCTAAGTCTCACTGCGTCAGTAACCCCAGCTGTCCATCCTGTCTGCCCGTTGCAAGCTTGTCTAACCCCCATGTAAAGACCCACCCATGCCCCCTGTCTCAATCCCACAGCAGCCACACTGTTGACTCTGGATATTTTTAGCTCCTGGGTTTGTTCTGGCTTGGGTTACTGTTTAAACTGCGTTCCACAACCACACCATTGGAAAGTCATGGCAGGGCAGAGAGTCGGGGCAGAGCCAGGGTTTGAATGATAATGTGTTTACGCAGCCTGATACCCAGGAAGAGATGAAAGTGACATTATGCAACTACTGGCAGCTATCTTTGGGTCATTAACACACTGACACGAACAGCTAGCTTGGTGTATCACCTTAGACTTTGGATCTTAAGACCTAAAATCAGAAATCACTTATGAGCTTACCTCATTTTTAGCATTTCATCAGAAAACAACTGCATTTCTCTCTTAAAAATGAAGAGTGATGCCGTTTACAGTCAAAGAGAGTTTCATTGTGTTGTTAGCTAGCTGGCTAGTAGCACAAGTCTGGTCAGCTTAAAATGCGTTTTTTTCCACAACAGGATCAGGCATAAAAGAGAAAATTGGAACAGGTTTTATTTGAGTGCATTTTGTGAATTTTCCCCAGTGCCCCCGGTTAAAAACAGCCTGCCGGAGATCCTCAGGACCGTAGAGACTCGATGTTTTTAAGAAGAAGCTCAAGACTCACTTTTTTAACCAGGCATTTCACTGATTGCCTTTTCACATTTCTATTATTGCAAATGTTCATTTTAATCAAAGTTATCAATTTTTCTTTCATGTCATTTTATTAAACATCTCTGTTCTTAGTCTTTTTCTTAATTCCCGCCATAGAGGTTTTTACTTCTTTTACCCCTTTTACATGGTAAAGAGTTGCTTACTTATTTGTTCATTTTATATTATTTTCTTGTTTTAGTCCATCAGGTTTTTTTAACCATTTTTAAAAATCTTTTTATCTCTAGTGTTTCCCAAAGGTAGCTCTTTCCTCACATAATGTGGGTGTGTATCTTTTTGTGTGTGTGGGCCGGAGGGTTGAGTTTCAATGTTGTTTAATTTTTGTTTTTTTGTCTAAAAGGTGCCATAAAAATAAAGTTGAATTCGAATGACTGTTTCTGGTCCCTTTGGTTCCTGTTCCCCTGCAGTCCAGTCTTGTGAGTTTTCAGTTTGTGTTTGACCCTGTTTCCCTCCTGTTCTCTGGGTTTTATTCTTCAGATCAGTTTCCTGTTTTATTTTGCAGTTGTTGATTCCTTGTGTTTCCAGTCTGGTTTTACTTCCCTAGTTTTCCCTCTTTTCTTAATTGCCCATGATGAGTTTCACCTGTGTCTCGTTTGCCTCACCTGTTGCTCGTTAGCCAGTGTATATATATAGTCCCTGTCTTCCCCTCTCTTTGTTGGTTCACTGCGTGTTGTGGATCTTTGAGTCCCTAGTCTCCTTGTGATTTTTCCCCAGTGTCTTTTGTTGGGTTTTGCCTTTTTTGGTTAGGCATTTCAAAGTAAGTTTTTGTTGCTTTTCATTTAGTTGTTTTAAATAAATCTTTTTTTGTCTGCATTTTTGGGTCCTCGTCCTTTGTTTAACCCTGGCTTCATGACAAGCTCATCGGTTTAGCATTGCTTCTATTAACATAAATCTTTTCAGGAAGTTAAAGTTATTTATAAATTATTAAATTTGAGTAGTTTCCTCAACATGATTTATCTCACAGGTAGCTAAAGATGAGAAACTGATACAGCTTGTTATTTAGCACTGTTACACAAGCCAAAGTCTGGATAGTTGAGCCTTTCTAGTAAGACGCCTAAAAATTTAACTTTTATTTGCCTATGTTGCCCAGTTTTAAGGCACTTGTTAGCCATTCTTTGAAATAGACGTCTTAATACTGGAGGGCGAAACACACACACACAAAAAATCTCTAATAGGTATTATAACAGATGGTATTAATGACATGGCTATCAGCACCACCATCTACTTCCATGATCACCACACCACTTTTCTCTGTCACTGTGTCAAAATATTTTTACTTCTTTGTGTTGAATAACTTTCATGTATTCTTTATTGTCAACATCATTTTTGTTACCAGATGAAAAATGGTTCCTTTCTGTTATGAATATTTCTGTTTTCAAGATGTCGAACCAGCTGCTGTGATTAAAATGTATTTGTGAGTGAGTCACTATGCCAGGAGAGGATGTATGAAAATAAAACAGAGGAAGGGAGAGCCTGATAGTAACTGGATCCTGATATAAAGCTGGAAAAAAAGAAACACAAGGAACATTTATTTGAACCAAGAACGCCATCTGCTGTTTGCTGTTGAAGGTGAGAATAAATGTTTGTCCTCAGTGATAACGATATTCAATTTTTTGATGTTATAATACCCTTAGAGGCATTACCTGTCCTACTGAGAGGATTAAAGATGCATCTCAATAAAATAGGATATCATGAAATGGTTAAATTATTCAATACTATCTCTAATTTACTCATATCAGTCCAGTTTCTACAGACTGAAGGTTGGTTGAGGCCTCAAACAAGGAGAAAGACAAATATTACCCCCCTGGTGTTAAAATGTCAGGATGAGGTAAATCAGGACAGTCAGTGTTGTGATTTTAAATGTAGGATCCTCAGCCAGCTCCATGACACAGAGACACTCTCTCCCTGACCCTTGACCTTTGACCTCGGACACCCTGCAGATAAGTGAGTAGACAGCAGCGAGGTCAGTTCCTGGTGACCAAACACGCAAAGTATTTGCTACTAACAGAATGGAGCCGACTAAGTTAACTAAGCTATTAATGGGATTACCATGTTATTTATAGAGTCAGGGAGGGAGGGCTGCTGTAGAGCCAGCCAAACATACCAACACAGAGTCAGGCCTCGCCTTGACCAGGTTTCAGGTCATTATTGTGTATCAGTCCCTAGAAAACCCTGACCAGCTGAAGAAAATATAGGAAAAGGTCACACTTTATGATCAGGTCCTGGTAACAAGCATTAATTAATAGTTAAAAAGCCAATTCTAAGACCTTATAAGATGCTAATGAACATTAATATGTGTTAAAAGCTCTCTGTATTTCCGCATTCTTTCTCCACTTCCTGAAACCAACATTGCGCAGTAGCGTTGTATGCACTCCACTAGTGGCGCAGTAGTGTTGTACCCATTTGGCGGGAGAATTGCCGACAGTTGCTGTGATGACGCTCGGCTCAAACAGCGTATCCCCCAGGTGAGCTACACAATCTTCGTACACCCATAGGCTGTATCAAGTGTCAATCATAGAAAGACATGAACCCCCTAATAACTTTTAAAAATGGAGCTGTACAGAAAAAAAGAGGACTTGAGCACAAACCAGTCGTACAGTAACTACATGTCAACATCGCAAGCAGGGGGGAGAAAAATTTATATTCTGCCTCCTCCAGCCCCAAAAGGATGACTGGAGGAGGCGGGATTTATGACCTATACTGCAGCCCGTCACCAGAGGGTGCTGTTCTCGGGGTGGCTTCACCCAGCAAGGAGGCAGATGGCGTCCATTCTATATACAGTCTATGGTTATATACCAGACTTAAATATCAAGAGGTGATGTGGATGTTTTCCCACACAAGTCAGACTTTTGCTTGGAGATAAATAAACACAAATAACATTAATTGGATTTTACATAATATGAGTTAGATTAAAGCAGTTACTCGACTTTATGAGACACTGTTGAACCAGTAGCTGAAAAGAAGCATCTTTCTGTTAATAAGTAATTAACTGAGGATTTATTGGTCCTTATAATTCATTAATCTTAACCTTTCAGAGTCTTTTTCATGTAATGAACATGAATAAGTAATCTTTAAAATAAAATTCCGATAAGTACTTACAAGGGGGTTTCTAAGCAAGCAACAGACATTCTTTTTGCCTGAGTGTGTATGTGGTTTCTGGTGCTTCTGCAGTCAGCCTCAAGTGGACACTCAGGGAACTGCAGTTTCCGGCGCTTTCTCACATATAGAGGTTTTACTACTTAAATACAACCTAAATGGTTGATTTAAATGCAAGCACTGCCCTTCGTAAGAGAATTAGCCAACCATGGTTCAGAATTTCAGAGAGGCCGATGGAATTTCAGGGATGGCTTTGGCCCCTCTAGGCTCCGCCCCTGCATCACTTAAAGAGAAGGGTGAAAGAAGAAAAAACATGTTTATGATAATGACTGAACATGACAAATAATTTTAAAAACATATGAATATAATTAAAAATATAACTCTCATAGTTGTTTCCTCTTGACTGTGTTGTTCTTGTTCTGTCTAAAAAATGTATAGAACCACATTTGACTTTTAGAGTAAAAAGAGTAAACATTATGAATGAATAAATACACACTTACAGACAAGAGTTATAAAATCCCCCTTTTTTATTTGGTTGAATTTCATTAGAACTCATTTACAGATGGTCCTCAGGGAACGAGTTAAAACCAAAACAGAAAATTGCATAAATTAAACTTCCTTCGCATTTTGTCCAACTGTTTCTGTGTCTCTGTTTTTCTTGCACTTTTTCTTTTACAAAATATCCAACTGCTTAACTGAGCTGAAGCTTTAAACACCCAACTAAACCTCAAAATACCTAATATTAAATTAAAAGTACTTCTGTGTAGCAAAACAAATAGAAAATAAAAATGTATGTACACTGTTAAAACAGACACAACTTCATAAAAGTTAGTACTTCAGTAAGTTTTTGACCGTTTTGTGAGTCATTTGAAATTACAAAAATAATATATATAAGTCTGCTTTCAGGGCTCCATCCCCTCATGAGTTTAACACTCAGGGATTTCATTTTAGAAGATCTGACACAGACGAGAAAATGACCTTTTTTTTAGAAATTGTATGACACACTTGAAATGACACATTTGGGCTTTTTTGATGGTTGAAAGCTTGAAACAAAATGAGGACCTTCAAGTTTGTTGGCTGTTTCTCTGGGGAACCCACACACAGTCCAACAAAAAGTCAAAACGAAGCCAAAGAGAAGCTTTTGCTAGCTGGTTTAAGTGAAATAAAAAGGGGGTTAATGTGTCAGGCTACATCAGCTCACCAGGCAATGAGGAATTTTACTAAAGAGTTAAGTTTAACTGGCGGCACATTTAAGCTTCATCTGTATAAGGAGGAACATTCAAGCCTCAACTTATTAGAGGACAAAAGATTTAATGTTGCACTCCTGCAGGTAAAAGATATCATTTAGTTTGAAAAATCTAAAAAATCCTCCTCAAATCCTCCAGTATTATCTCCCCTGAAATTGTAGGTCTGAACTGAACATCGATCATTCAAGTAAACAAACGGTTCTCAGGCTTTCATTTCGGCCTTTTTTCTGTTTTCTGCCCTGTGATGCCTGATAGCGCACATATCGGTGCATCATTTTTTGCACTGTTTTTGCCGTTCATTTGCTGTTCATGCAAGCGTTTCCCATTTCTGCAGCACATTTCAGTTTTCACATAACATCTGTTCTAGATTTCGCATGCATTTTTGAATTTTTCTGAAGTTTTTGCATGCTTCTCCTGGTGAAAGATTTATGAGCCGCTGCAAAGGGGGTCGCCTCTGTCATCCACATAAGAATACAGACCTGTAGAAGCTGAATTCAGTGCTTGGCTTTACTAACTTAAATAGAAGTAAGAGGTCTCATGACTTTTGTGTAATTTTAAGGACACTATAGCTGCTTTAGCTTGTCAACAACTTTAACCCCAGTCTCAAAACTGTTGCGACGTTGTGTAAACTGTTCGTAAAAACAGAATTTGATAATTTGCGAATCACTTAAACCCCGTCTTGAATTGAATACAGTGCAAAGATAACAGTTAAAATGTTCGACCAAAGCTGGAGGAACTTCTCCCAACTAATTAGGTTAATTTCAACAGGTTAGTAATGTGACTGGGAATAAAAAGGGCACTGCAGAGAGGCTGAATCTCTCAGAAGTAAAAATGGGAGGAGGTTTAACCTTCTGTAAGAAACTGCAATGGAGCTTTAAAAGAATCAAAGAATCTGGAGAAGGTTCTGCACAAAAGGGACACTGCTGGTAATACTTGATGGCCATGATCTTGGGGCCGCATGGCATTAAAAACAGACAGGACTCTGTAGTTGAAGTCTTTGCATTGGCTCATAAACTCTAATGCAAAAAAGGAAACCACGTAAGGTCCAGAGTACTGTTCGCTCCTCTAGACTGAGGCAAAATGAAAAAACTGTTCACCCACGGAAAACACTTGGGCCATCATGAAATCAGAAATATCAGACTCCACTGTTGAGCAGCTAAAATCCTACAGAGGGCTGGGATGAAGAGGTTGTCTACTGCACTGTTTTCAATCAAATAAAGGGTTTTAATAATTGGCTACAGTTGCTATTCGACTTTGAACTGCCTGTCAAATTTAGGGTTAGACTAGCATGTGCATTTTGACATTAAACAAAGTAATAATGGATTAATTGAAAAAAATCAGTGCGAGCTACAGCTCTCATGCTGACTTTGTAGACAGCACAGCTTTTACAGGTGACTGCTATGTGACAGAGATCTAAACCAAAATGTCTGAGAAGAGCTAGCAGGCTGAAACCTTGTGAAAAAAAAAAGTTAAAAAAAGACTTAAAATGTGTTTTGTATCAGATTATAACCCTTTTACTAAAGTCAAGACCATTTCAAAGATCAACAGTAGTTACTAGAAACTTAAGAGAAGCTACAAAACCAAAAAACACTGATCCAGATTCACTAAAGGTTTGAAAGGAGATGAGCTTGAATCAGAAAGTGGGGGGACTTTACTACTAAAGGGAGTCAAAAGAATAATTCAGCAGTCATGGTCATGAACCTGCAGGTGTGGGATTTTTTCACGCTGTGCAAAATAGAAACACAGGAGTTGCACGATGAGTCTGCTGTTTGGTCACTTCTGCAGGTTTAGTCCAAGGCACATCTGTCATTAAGTCAAGAAGTCAGGAAGGTTGTTTTCTATCCTGAGAACTCAGGACAGAAAAGAAGATTTGAGGGGATACTTGTTCAATTATTACTCAAACTTGAGTGTCTAAAATTTGCAGTTCAGAGGTTAATTGTTTGCTCAGTGCTCTCACCAAGGGCTGCAAATTAGTTTAATATAATACTACGAAAGCACTAAAAGTGGAATAAAAATGATGGGGTCGTCTGTGACACGCAGTCTTAGTGAATCTGGACCTGAGTTTACAGATCATCAGTCAGTTTTAAGTGAATCTGTGTCTGTAGCGCTCAAATATGAGGTAAAACAAACAACCTGAACTGAGTCAAAGAACAAAAACAGACCCGCTTTTAAAGATGCATAGAGCCAAAAAGAGCGCTGAAGGTTTGGGTCCTAAAACCCCTACATTTTTTGCACTTTCACACCTTATTCCACACAATGTGTATCACACCAAAAACCCTTAGTTTTAAGCTTTAAGCATCCACAGGTGTCAATTTGCATTTCAGCTTCAAAAATGAAGAAAGTGGTGTTCATTTGTAAAGATTCCTTTGCTCAGTAAGAGTAAAAACTAGATTTCAAGCTCATTTTCTGCGGTTTTAAATTTCAGTCTTTCAATCGGCGTTCTAACAAGTTCACCATCTCCTGCAATACTTTACGCACGTATTATAAACATTCATGACAAATCGAGCAGAGGCCTGCTCATTGATTCCACATCAAGCATGTACACTGTGCTCTCCAGAGCTGATTCATGACCACTGTAGTTAATACCTGTTAGCTGAACTGTCTTCCTGTTTTGTGTTCAAGTGTTGGGGTGAGTTCAGTTTTGGCTCTGTTTACAAATGAAGGCTCCTCTTAAACCAGTGGTTCTCAAGTCCAGTCCTCAAGTCCCCCCATCCTGCATGTTTTGGATGTTTCCCTGCTCCAACACACCTGATTCAAATGATCAGCTCGTTATCAAGCTCTGTAATGGCTTAATAACGAGCTGATCATTTGAATCAGGTGTGTTGGAGCAGGGAAACATCCAAAACATGCAGGACGGGGGAACTCGAGGACTGGACTTGAGAACCACTGTCTTAAACAGAAATATTATTTAAAGCTTTGCCTCAAACCGATACAACAGTCTGTTCCACTGGATTGGACCCACCTGAGGGGTCTTTTGTGCATTTAATGGTAAAATATGTAATTCCATTTTGAGGGGTATCACGATAGCCATCCTCTATACAGTCAAGAGTCAAGCTGTATGGAGCAGATTAGAGGAACTCAGTAGTTCTAGGTCAACAGATTGACTAATAATAACTATGCTGACTAAAACAGCCACAAAACTTCGCTGCACACCAACTACAACAAGACTTTGAAGTATTTACTTTATCTCTGAGATTCAGTGCAACAAAGTAGAGCGTAGTTATGAGCATCAAACACATATGAATCCAAGAAAAGCAGGAACAGTTTAATTTTAAAATGTACTCACTCATGGAGAAAGCATTAAAACCACTGACTGATATCCAAATCAGCTGCAGACTTCAGTGGAGTGTCCAGACAGATTAAAAGCAGTAAACACGTTTGCTGTGGAATGAACGGCGTGGGTTGGCTTGGCTACATGGAGCTGTTGCTTTTGCTCAAACGAACCATTTCAAAAAAGGAGACCCTGATAATGCAGAACCAACGAAACAAACTCAAATAGAAGTATTTTTGAGTAAACATTTCAACGCTCCCGTAACTGTCACTTTTTTAGCTGTGGGTTTATCCCGGGGGTTGTATTTCTTTAAAAAAGGGTGGCACATGACACATGGGCTGGTACATTTAGTCTGTATATAGTGTGTGAGTAACCAGAGTCTGCATCGTCGGAGAGGTCAGGTGAGGCAGGTTTGATGTTCGTGTTGTAACAGAGGGTTTGTAGTGTAGTTCCAGTGCTGTACAGTAGGGGTGCGTGCATTCCAGGACAAAAAATGCATGCATGGTGGCGGGGTTAGCCTCGACTCTGCAGCTCTGGGTTTTGGCTCAGATATTCAACATCAACGTCAGAGTGTTCGCATGAATCTACAAGTCTTGCAGTCACTTTTTCTGCTTGCGTCACGTCTCCTTCGTGCGCATCCGTGTCAATTGTAGCTGTCTTGACTGAAATGCTTGGTGAAGCTGCGGTTAGTCCTCTTTAAAATGGTATTTATTAGGATTTTTTTTTTTCAACCACATGACTTGGCAGCGAGAGCTCGTCTGAAAAGTGGAAGGGTAGATGTTGGCAAAGCATTACGGCTGTTGTTCAAAACAGGACAATAGAGGGAGGAGGATGGAGAGAGGAAACATCCACCACTCATCCACAATAGCTGTACTGCTGGCGTCTGGTGATGTGTATACATAAGCGGTAATCCAATCCCACTGTTGAGTATATAAAGAGAAATCCTTGTTGGTTTTTCTCTTGAACAAGTCAAGACGGGAGAAATGTAAAAAAAGTGCTCCTGTTGGCGACCAGAATGAATTCCAGTCCTGATCTGGGTAGGAGATAATCAGAGGACCACCTTTTCATCGAGTCTTTCACTCTCATACTCTCCTCTTTTTGCCACATCCTCGCTGTTTGTAAAGGGATGAAAGTAAGAGATTAGTGAGGTCGGGCTGGGCATGATGCCAGACCAGCTCAGGTGAAGCTGTAGTACATGGCAGGCTTATAGGACGATGGCTGATGAGCAGCATTATCAAAACACAGCTTGTTTTCTTTTAATGCATGAATTCTCCTCCATTGTTTGAGTCCCATGGAGGAGAGCTGGTGAGAGCCCACCTTTACAGCTTACAGGTGTTGTCCAGGAGTGGGTGGGTGGGGTATCAGGTAATGAGGGGTCAGGATGATGGCGCTGGCCTGGGCTGGCTGGTGTCTGTGGACTGGTTGATCTCTGTGTTGCTGGCAGCAGTTGAATGTGGCTGAATCATAACAGGGGCACGACAGGCTGAGGAGGAGAAGGAGGAGAAGGAGAGGTTGAAATAAGATCAACAGTTTGGAAAGCTATTGTGTCTAAGAATGGGAATCAATAAGATTTTGTTGATATTATGGATCCCCTCATCAATTCCTGTCGATTCTCTGCAGTTTTTGGACCTTCACAGGTCAGATGATCGCAGATACAGTCTCTGATTTGTGGGATGCACAATACAGAATTTTGCTGATATCTAATACGCCGCTATTTTCCAAATCATTATTATATTCACACCTTTTTTCAACTAAGAAAAAACACTGAGCTTCTCCTGTAATGAAAGTTTCCTAACACAATCTAATCACACATTGTCTGTTTATTGATTTCTTTTTAATTGTTTTTATCTGGTCTGCTCTTGTACTGCGCTCAGTGTTGATTTTGTTTGTTTTTTAATGTCTATGTAAATCTATGTAGATCATTTTGGTCAACTTTTAAACATGCTCTACAAAAAAAATCTTTATTTGTGTCGGCCTCGGTGTGTAAGGACCTTTAGAAAAAAAAATAAATAAATAAAGGAATTTTTTTTTTTTTGTATGATTCTATGTTTATAGCCAAGGCTGCTCCCGTGGCCCAATACAGTGTTGTATTAACCAGAGTAAATTGAAATATGAGTAGTGTTTGGACACAGGATCTTCTGCCTGTTTGCATGTTCATTTCTATGTCCATATGGTCCCTGTGGAGGCCTGGGCATCGCAGTACACACCTGCTTCTTCTAGTCGAGACTCATCCAGGACATCGCTTCCCTGAGGGAGGAGATGAAGAAATTATTGCCTCTATGTTGGATAAAATTCAAAGCAGTGATTCAGACATGGCTCTTTCTCTTTCAGCCAACTTGAATAAAATTAACAGTGTTAGAGAGGGGAATCAGTGAGGTTGAAATAATAACCAGAAAATAACCAGAAAATTTAACATTCAAGTAGTGATAAAAAAACAAAAAACAAAAACAGACAGGTAACACCTTTAAACTGACAGCACAGTGATTCAATGTCACACTGGAAACAGGCAACAAACATAAAAAAATGAAACATGCAGGAATGAAACGACCAGGATGAAATGAAGACATCAAAATACACGACAGTGGTGATTAGAAAGCAGTCACACAGACAAACGTGAGAGCAGCATGGAGAGAAAGACGATTTCATACGAGACATATGAGCGGATGATGTGACATGGGAATCAGGCGGGCGGCTCTTACGAGTCATTTCGACTCCGGTAAGGTCTCCCCGGGGTTTTCTTCCCCGGCTGCGCTGGCTGAGCCCGGAGACTGGGGCCCAGGTGGAGGCATTGGCATGGGCAGGGGGATGGGCTGACTCTGGCTCTTTGGGCTTTCTGGATCGGGGTTAGAGGTAGGCTGGCCTATGATTACTGTGTAACCTGTAGGGTTGGAGCATGAAAACACGGATCCTTCACTGTGAGAGCAAGTGCATGTCCTCTTGTCAAGAAATAAACGGCTGAATGAAAAGGATGATGATCGAGTGGAGATGATTCTTTATCAATATTGTGACCGCAGTCTAATAGTGTGATCAAATATGATTTAATAATGTGGAATTATACAGTCTGAGTGAAAGTGTTTCACTCACAAGCACACACAGGATACTAACCTCCTAATGGCAGTGTACAACTGGCGAGGAGCCTGCAGCATTTGTTTAAGCCATGTCATCATATTTGATGTGCGTCAGCTGTAGTAACTAGAAATGTTGTTGTTTTCAGCTCCACTAATTCCCCTGTGCGGTTTTTGAGTTACTTTATGGATTTATGCTGTCAGACATTTCAGTCGCTGATCCCCGTTTGGTGGTTTTTGGCTCATCTGACAAACTGGGGTCAACATTTTAGCTTTGTTGTGTTTTCTAAGTGCAGATACAGATAAGCACCATCTCGGCGTCCTGCTCCTCTTTGACTCTTAAGTTTTTTGTATAATAGGTCAGAGTGTACCGGGAAAAGTTGTTGCTTCCTCCTCCAGCCAACTGCTTCCCTCTCACTTGCCTGTCACATGATCTCAGCCTTTAAGGTTAACAAATCTCCTTAATGTTGATCTTCTTCCTAAGTTTTTCTTGCTGCTCAAGATTTAGATCAAGAGAATAAACTAATAAAGGGGAAGATTATATTAACAAAGATATAAAAATGTAACACTTCATTTTCGTCTGGTTAACATTGAAAACTATATTTGTCAGTTTTTGTGTTAAAGCTCCTCATCATGTTGTGTATGTCGTGGAAAAAAGGGTCGTTGACAAGCATTTATCGTAATACATATCATTTAAAAAATCTACACTAGGGCTGAAACCATTTAGAAGCAGGTGTGGGGACACATATCATGTCTATGTATCTATGTAATTTGATTTGATTGACTGTTAAATCTGGTCAAAATCTGAAAAATTGTGTGTTTTGTTTTTGAAACCTGATCTACCTCTATATATGTCAATTTGAACCTTTTTGACGACAAACTGAATGTTTATTCAAGTATGAGCACGCACTGGTCTCCCCTATTTGTGGTGTTGTTGTTGTGAATATCTTAATGTTGTCTGTTTGTATTTGTCAATACACACACCTCGTGTATTGTTATCATATATAAATATTAAAACTTTGAATTAAAAAAAAGAAATCAGAAAATTAACATTGGTAGTTGATGCAGGTGGGACGCGAACATGCAGACATGCACATTGACAGCTTGGTGGATTAACAGGGTACTGTCCTAATCTGGAAAATATACAGATCCATGTCAACAGGAATTCTTGAATTGTTTGAATTTCTTGGTGGAAAACTGGGCGTCCCTGAACATGTGGAATCACTGTTTTTGTTGCCTATTAACCCAAATCCATTCAGGGTTTTTTTCTAAATCAATGCTACCAATAAGTTTCACTCAAGACAGTGTGAGTGTACTTCAAATAAAAACGTCCTTTTAAAGTTCATTTAAATGATCTAATAATAAACCCAGAGAGACAGAATATTGTAACATAATTTGCATCCTCAAGATCTGCAAAGGAACAAGTTTAACTGTCAAATAAAACACGAATCCTGTGATAAAGTCTCACCTCCATCCTGCTCTGCTTTGATTTGAGCCTCTAGGTCTTCAGGGTCCACGTACTGGTAGTTTTCGTCATCGTCTGGTGGTTTACATTTCCCACAGCAGAAACAGCAGCAGCAGCAACAGCAGCAGCAGGTGAACAACGTGCAGCATACAACAAGACCCTGCAGGGAATTAACAAGTGAAGGCTTTAAAAACATTGAAGACAAAATAACGCCGTCTTTTTACACGTTTATACAGGTCTGTGAAAAGTATAAGGACTATAAGCCAAACAGAAAAGGCACATCACCAACCTTGAACCACCATTTGGACATGAGGAAGTAATATTTGACGCTCTCCTCTCCAAACTGCTCGGACACGTAGAGGCCCATGGAGCCGTACTCGTCGTAGATCTTCCTCTTGGTCTCATCGTTCAAAATAGAGTTGGCGTTGTTGATCTCCTTGAACTTCTCTGCTGCCTCTGGGTTGTCTGGGTTTTTATCAGGGTGGTACTTTAGTGCTAGTTTCCTAAAAGAAGATGAGAACAAACAGAAATTCAGAAAAAGTAACACAATGAAAAGACAAAAGTGAAGAGGAGGGGTTCATCCATTCAAGGTTCTACATTTTGGCAGGAGTTTACACTCAAAATTATTTTGCATCATAAGTTATATTTCGCTTCATCCCTGTCTTCAGCTTTGCGGACTTTAAGACCTGTACCCAGTTTTTTAGACAGTTTAATAATGTGAGTACACCAATGATTAGACTAACGCAGTGGTTCTCAATCCAGTCCTCGAGCCCCCCCTGTCCTGCATGTTTTGAATGTTTCCCTGCTCCAACACACCTGATTCAAATGATCAGCTCGTTATCAAGCTCTGTAATGGCTTCATAACGAGCTGATCATTTGAATCAGGTGTGTTGAACAGGGAAACATCCAAAACATGCAGGACAGGGGGGGCTCGAGGACTGGATTGAGAACCAGTGGACGAACGTGATGTGACTGTCACTTCATGGGGCCTACGAGACTTGATAGCAGAATGGATTTACTTAAACTGTTGATTTTTGGGTTAAAAAAAATGCCAAACCAGGTACATGCCAAATCTTACCCTTCATTCCCTTCACTTAGAGACCCACTCCAATGAAAATCATGTTTTTCTTGTTTTTTATATGTTAATATGGCATTTTTTTGATGCTACAGGACATATCACGAGAAAACTAATTTGCTTTTCTGAGTATTTCTTCATTCAAATTGCTGTGAATTTCTGGCAGACCCAAACAGCAGGTTCAGAAAAAGTGAGATTTCATACGTAACCAATCCAAGCTCCGCCCCCGGTGCCCTGCTATGCAGGCCAGACTTTGCATATAGAGGAGAAATACAGAAGACGATCGCGGAACAAGTGTGTGCTTTAATGGATTGCAATGCTCCTAAGAAAACTAATTATGATATTAACTTTCAACATTAGTGGCTGAGAGCTGAATAGCCCCTATGTTACCTGCCACTTCTACTACACCGGAAATGTCCGCCCACAACTCAGAGGCGAATTGCTAATGATCTACTGGAGCTCTGCAGAAGAAAAGACCGGTAACACGATTTTTGGTAAAAACGTCATAATCACAATTTAAAGACTACTGTGAACACTTGAAGTAGTAAAAAAAAGGATTGGAGTGGGACTCTATACAGATGGAGTCATAAGACCGATTGGGTTTTAACAGCTCCCTGTCTGAAGACCTAAACATGGTCTCACAGTAACATGAATGATGGAGGAATTTGGGTTTACAGCCCTTGAGTAATCTCCCCTCTTATTAGAGGGAATTTGTTGCCACAATTAGGAGCAGGATTACAGAAATTTAGGCAATGGATTTACAGAAACACCCCCAAGTAATAACCACAATGTGTCCACCCTGCCCACTCTGGAGAAACTAATCCTTGTTAAAGAGACAGCTGAGGCAGCTTAATGAGAGTAACAGTTCAGATGAATGAATGTGCACACTGCTGCTTACCGGTACGCTTTCTTTATGTCCTCAGCTGAGGCTCCTTTCTCCAGCCCTAGCACCTTGTACACGCTCTCCCCAGCTGTGGACATCTTCCTCTGGGGACGGGAGGGGTTTGGTTCAGCCATGGCTCACCTCTGTTTTTAGAAGGAAACAAACCACTGGGTCAGAATTTGTTACAGGTTTGGCATGTTTTGAAATCCTTTAACTTATTATTATGTTGTAAAATTCGACCATCGGGTTACTTAAAGTGAAAAATAATGAACCTTTAGTTTGTGGGATGTCATACCGGGCTGGTAATGTTTAATACTAATACTGTTTTTGAGAGTATACTTCCCAAAGACAAAAACAGAAAGTTTAAAGGAAAGAGCCCTGCTGCACAACTGAGCAACCTCAGCTTGCCTAATACGCAGACTAGTATGAATAGCACAGTTTCAAAGGAGTAGACACACCACATAATGTAGCAAGGCTTAACCAGGTATGACTCCGAAACCCAAGGAAGTATTTAGAGAAGCTAGATACTTGCATTTAGTCTGAGAGCTAATTACATCTATAATCTGTTATTTCACAACTGGAGGATTTAAGTTACAGCAACGATCTGGATTACAAAATACAAAGGGGATTTCTGCTTAACCAGGGCTACTGTACATACAAACACACTCACACGCACATTTACTCAGCCACACAAACAATGCAGTGAGGGTCGCAGAATAAAGAAGATTACACTTTGCTGATCTCACAGATTACCCTCCCGTGACCATACCAGAGGAGGTAGATATACTGGCCGGCACATGAGACACATACATGTGCACACACCAAACGAAACAGATCCAGACGTGAAGTTCTTAGAAGTCGAATTTAGTGGATTTTAAGCCCTGAATATTTGAAATGGCATTAGATAAAAAGATACTGTATAATTAAGAAAAAAAAAAACTCTATATAACATGAAAAAAACAGATATATGATGTGAAATGACATGATAGGATACAATATGATATAGTACAAATGGTGTCATATGGTAGGTTACAGTACAGAACAATATGCTACAGTATGGTACAGTAAGATAAGATAGGGTGGGTTGCAGTACAGTATGATAAAATACAATAACTATACATATTTGTACTGTATGATAGTCTGTATACTCAGGATGGGAGAAAAAAAATATTTACATCAGTATTGCATTTTTTTTTTACAATTTTTAAATTAATTTTAATATTCAAAAATCTTTTTATTTCTTTTTTAAATTGAAGAAGAAATCTTAAAAACTGACTTAGATGTGATGTGTATTTTTTGGGGGATAAATGGTTCCTAGAATAGTCAGGAGACAATCATTGTGGATGCCAGTTCTTAGTGGTAGCCATGATCTTTATAGTATTTGTGTATTGTGTGGTTATAAGGGGATGTGGTGTGGGTGGAGGTAGTACGTCAGCACCGGTAGTAGTGAAGTCAGCTGTTCACCTGGAGGGTTTTGTGGATGAATGGAGAGAGGGTGAATGGGGAAGTCCTACTTTTTGCTAACCGCTTTTTCGCTTAAGTTTCGCCTGATTTTGAATGACTGCCCTTTTCTGCTTCACGGAAGTGCTTCGTCCTTTTGCATTAATAAAACTGCAAATGGAGATACAACCTGTTTTTTGAAGTTTATACAGCCAGCGCATCGGGCAAGGTATCGTTTTCCCCTACTCAGCCTCTCGGCGACTAAGTTGTTTTGGATAGTCGCTGTAAAATCATAATCATGTCACTGTTTCACTGATGTTAAAAATGCAGACTGAAAATCGAGAAAATTAACACTATCGTAAAATCTCAATTTAAATGGAATCGGCATCCAAAAAAATAGTAGAAGAATCGAATCGGGGGGGAAAGCATATTGTCCCAGCCCTACTTTATACCATATGTTGTGCAGTGTGGTTCCGTACACCTCAGTACAATACCGTGATATTGTATGATATTGTATTGTACTGAGCTATACGGAACCACACTGCCTTAAATATGGTACCAGGCATGGATAAGTACACCAGATTATCCACTGATCTGACACTAACAATGATAATTGAACAAAAGGTTAACTATTTTTGTCAGGTGGAAATAACAAATAACTGTGATATGCTGAAATGTCAAAATAACTGTTTTCCTAATACTGTTTGCAGATTTTTTTTAACATCACATTGGTAGTTCATATCGGCAAAAATTGAACTCTGGGTATCCAAACCAGACTCAGAAGAAGAAATGAAATGAATCTGTCATCAAATACTTTTTAAAAGAGAGAAACTGGAGATGAATCGTTAAAATCACAGCAGGAATGACGAAGTGATTTCTATCCTCCCTGTACAACACTAAATTAAAGCCTTCAGGTCAAACAGGAAAATGAAAGTACAGTCAGCCTCTTAATTAGAATAAAGCCTGCAAAGAGACGATGAATAAAAAAGGCCTTTTTCTCCTTCTCTGTGATAGAAACACTGCAGGCCCAGATGGCACGCCTGCTCAAGCCAACAAAGCTGATGTAAACACTCCAAACAAGCTGCACGAACCCTCAGTGCAGTCTGGCAGGAGAGCGCAGCTCCTTACTAAAGGCCTGAAGGTGCTTGCTTTATATATAAACCTTCAAAACCCCCACGCTTCCTCAGAAAGAGGCCTGATCTGATCAAACGACCTTCCTGCTGCAGCTCACAAAGGAGCGATCGATCTGGTACAGAGGAGCGGGGTCTATTAGGTTAATTAGCTAACTGCAGTCGTTTGTGGCGCAGGCTCTCAGAGCTTCCTTCACTTGTGTGTGCAGATATTCTTCCTTTATCACACTAACAGAACTGACAGTCTGGAAATGAAGCCCCAGAGCTGTCACTAAAACTGGAGACAGAGACACAAACAGAGGAGTCTTTTGTCTTCCTCTTTAAACATTTCACTGTGACTCTTTGTACTCAGAGTTTTATTAACTGCAGATCTAACTTTAGAAACTGCTCAGTGAGATTTTCTTTTTTCTGCTGCAAGGCTGTCAGCTGAGAGAAAAAAAAAGCAGAGGAGGGAGGAGAGGCTTCTGTATGAGTATATTTAGGGTATGCTTGGAAAATCAAAACAGCACTGTGTTGAGCTGCATCAAAAACCCACTCCAGTTCAGAGAAATACAAATTTATCAATCATTAAAATGCATACATTATTTACCTCTTTACATGCAAGCAATATGGAGTAAAGGCTCACTCATTTCCACACAACTATGGTGGCCCATTACTGGCAAACACACCAACAATTAAAACATAAAAAAAAAAAAAAAAAAACGTCACAAAAAGCTAATAATAATTTAAGAATCATTTTCCTTTGGCTGAGATTATTGTTGTTACTTTAAAAAATATTTCAGGATTTCTGTCATGGGAAATGTTTGTGAATTTTTGCACCTCGAAAAATATTATTTTTTTTTTAAAAATGTCAAATTTTTATACATTTTTGCCTTTCATAAAAAATAAGGTGAAAAGTGATTATTTGTTTCAAAAAAACATTTTTGCATTTAACTGAGTGCTTCTGATTTTAAAAGCTAATATTAGTTACGAATTTTTGTTTGTAACCAAAAAGAAAATTTCACATTTCAAGTTTTTGTTTAATGGATATTTTGCAAATTGAAAATCTGTTATAAGAATTATTTTTGTTTCCCTGAAATATTCTACATGTTCGTGAATTTTTTTGAAAGAAAAAGATTTTCAAGAAATTTTTTTGTGCCGTGAAGTGTTTTTCTGTTTCATGATATAATTTTGTGTTTCAGAAATATTTTGTATTTCATGAATTTTTCTTATCTAGCATCAACTTTTCTTGAATGTTTTGGAAAATGTTTGTATTTTGTGATATTTTTGTGCTACAGCATTTGAAGGAATGTGATTTTTTTAATAAAATGTTTTTAGCGTTTAGTTTCATATCTTCTTCATCATGAATTATCTGTACAGTTAAACCCTCAGGGCCACCATACTGAACCCTACAGATGTAAAGAGAAACATCTGAAAGAAACAGAAAAGCTGATTCAATAAAACAGAGGTCAAACAGTCAGTCAGTATCAGCGTCACTCTATCAGTAATGGGTTGACTGTAGGTAATTATATTTAAGAGTATTTCTGAGCCAGATAAACCAAATCAAATCTGTTTGCATGTTCTAGTTGCATCACTGAGGACTATAGCTGGAAGTGCTGAAATTAACATTTCTGGAAAGCTATTATTAGAGCAGAACGCTGAAGTAAACAGTCTGTACCACTTTAAAAAGCTCTTTATTCCTTCAGACAGAGGTGCTTATCAGAACCCACACTGCAACACTGCTAATCCCAGAATAACTCTCTTTTTGTTAAGAATAGCAACAGCTTTCTAAGGTGTGTGACACGTTCAGTGTGTAATCATCACAGGACAGGACGAATAACCCCAAAGGTCCTTTACTAAGCATATCTAAAGACGGAAAGGTGACCAAATGTCTGATAAATCCAGTCAAATTTAACGATATGGCTGTAAATCATGAGTATTTATTTGGAGACCTTTATCAGAGGAAAGACCTGAGAGTGTGAAGAGCCATCAAAGCTGATGTTAGAGCAAATAAGGAGAAAATAAGTGATATAATCATCTCCATAAATTACAGTTAGATGGACCATTTTCAATTAATATGCTGTCTTATGTGTGTGACAGTAGAGCAGAAGGAATGAGTCATGTTTACAAGACTGCCAAAAAGTCCACTGACACTTCAGGATTCATTTTAGGAGAAAATTTCAATTCTTAGATATAATTTCTAATTTATTATAAACCTGTAAGTCTAAAACTTAAGCACTGGGGTTTCAGGTCGCTGAAAGTAGGAATTAAAGCTTGACAATCATGCAAAATAGCTCTGACGTCTGCACAGCATCTTGTTTGTATGGTTTGCCGCCCTGAGAGCTGACACGTTCAATTTGCGATGCAAAAGAAATACTGTTTAGTCACAACTGAGAACTGAGATGTGCTGAAGTGGGGATGAGTGTTCACATTCCTTTTACAGAAACCAATGGGATAATTTCACTGGATCTCCGATTAGTGTAGAAAATACAATGAAGGATACTTTTAAACCTCAAAGAGAATGAAACAAGGTCAAATACCCTAAAATACCCTACTCTTGAAAAATAAATTACAGGGTCGAGAACAGCATCGTTATTAAATATTTTCTACATTCTGGACAAGGGGTAGGACAGAAACACATAATGCGATATGATAGATCCTGATTTATAGGACACAATTACTGAATCACCAACACCAGACATCCATTTTTAAGATTTAAATGTTACAGCTGAACAGATTGTGTGATAACTTCATGACTCGTTTCCATGGTAATAATGACTCCTATCATGTGCCATGTATAAAGCACCGTATCTAATTACCCTGCACTTCCCAGCCACTTTTACACTTTTTAATTCTAGGTGCAGATTTGCAAAAAAGTTACCAAGTGGAATATTTCAGGCGTCCATACACTTGACAAACCCACTGCTTAAATGCACAGCAACTTGGTGACTGATTATTAGCTAAGAGTAAAACTGTAAGATTTAATGTAGCTGAGTCTATGGCTAATATCCACAGGTAATGTGAGTCAAAGTGGTGGAAATTAACTAAAGCCAAACTAAAAGAAACAGGTTTTCTTAGTCCATGAAGACTTTGCTCTCAGGCTGTTTACACACAAAGTCAATCAGGCAAACTTAAACCCAAATACAGCTCTTACAGTCATATTTACAGCAAAAACACTGTGTGTAGTTGCTGTTGGGCCGCACAAATCAGCCCATAAAACTAATTCTGATCACATGTATGACCAACTTCAATTTGGTAGAGTAGCAGTCAGCTGCTCATATTGGGTGGGTAGGCTAACAAATGCATTATACCAAAAATGTAAGTAATTCTCATGGCCAGGAAAGAAGTGCTGCAAGTGGGACTCTAAGTAACAGCCCAACAATACAGAGAAGTTTTTGACACCTGAAAACTTCCTTTGCCTGATTTCTGTCTCATCTTTGACAGTGAATGCCTGTTTTACTGTTGCAGCTCATTGTATCTATGTATAGTGACAGGGTGGCCCTCATCAAGTTGACACAGGATGTTAACTTTGCCTTGCACAGACAGCTCTATCTACTAGGGCCCGACCGATTTATCAGCGAGCCAATTAAATCGGCCAATTTTAGCCTGTTTGAGACTAATCGGCCGATATTTTCAGAAATAAAATGCAGAGAATAAGATTCTGTTTCACTTTGAAAATTTTCCGCCATTTGAAAAGTTCCCCAACTTATCCTGTAGATGGCGCAGCGACCTCATGACAATCTTCATCCATTAATTACATCACAGCACAGCAGAGTGACAGATCTGAAGCAGGCAGCTCAGGGACGCATGGAGGAGAGTGGTCCACCTCAACAGTAAATAAACTAGTTTGTGACATACGCAATAAAGTCAACAAGTTTCAGTTCAACCCACTTCATGATGTTCCCCGCTGTGCTGGTCCCGGTCACGCCAAGTTAACAGTGAAGCACCATGTAATATCCAAGCTAAAGTTAGAGTTCGCCACCTGCTATTAGCCTTGCTACATAATTAGCCATGCCAGTAACGATAGAATAAACAACAGTACACATTATGTGATCGAGCTACTTCTCTTACTGAGGCAGCTGCATTTCTCCAGATGAGACCGGACCAGAAATGAGTAACGTGAGTTAAGACACGGAGGCACCGATTGGCTTTTCTGGTCCAAGTTTGATCAGTCGGTCTTCTTCAAAATCCATATCAGTCGGGCCCCACTATCTACATCTTCTTTCTTAAAAATCCACGCTAGGAACAGGAATGTTAACTTTTAATCTAGATTGACTATTCGCCAGTCTTTTTGTTAGAGCCAAGACACAAAACTTACAGTTCTGACATTGCTAGTTTTGAGTTATTTTATTATTACTTTGACTATAAGATCCAAGACTTTGACCTCCAATTTTTTCCTTTGTGGTCACAGAATAAATACATAAAAGAGTAAATAATTCACCTCATTCATGCCAATACCAGCAATCAGCAAAATGGTAACTTCTCTGCCTTTAACAGAGCAAACCAAGGGGGCGTGGCATGACACCTGTCACTCATTCACACAGAGGAAGAGGCTACTATGGTTTCTTAAGAGATATTTAGAGTTTTTCTAGCATTGGTCCCAGTTGCTATTCCAGGTGACACTAAACATCAAAACAATTAATCTTTTCATAAGAAATGCAGAACAGAGGGAGCCCTGTTGGTTCATTTCTGCCCGCTGGCCCTGACCTGGAGGTTGATCTGATTGGCTGAACCTTTTGCAGGCAGCACAGGTGAGATGAAAACAATCTAAGAGACACAGCTCAGGGTTAAACAATTAGGTCATTAGATCAGGTCGTAAACACATTAACCTGCAAGAAAGGAACCTTAATCTGTCCAGTCAGGTGTTGGTCTCCAAGCTCACTTTTACATTAACTTTGAGCAGATTAAATGAAGCATTTGTGCAGCATAAGCAGACAGGTGATATTCTAAAGGTTAGGTTTGCTGAGGTAGAAAGTGTCGGGGTTTGGGGGATAATGGTCCGGTAATACGGAAGGAGGAGGGACGCGTGATTATCGTCTGTTTGTCCTTGTGGAGCTCTAATCCTTTGCTAATCTCCCTGCACATGGAGTAATACTTTCTATTCAACAGCATGCCATTCATAACTGAATAATAGAGTTAAAAATAGTTTAAGACATACACTAATTCCTCCTATTCCCCCGGTTTTGCTGTTTATCTCCCGCTCTCCTAACCGTAATAGAGGGATATAATGCTTGCCCCTGTGTTGACATGTTGGTAACCCGGCTGTCAGCTGACCTTACTGTTATACAACTCATGTTACATCTTGTCACTAAATTTGAATTATCTAAGCCAAGAATAGATCAATATACGCAAAAATACGACTCTTAGATTTCACTGAGTGCTAGCTAGAAGTACCCCGAAACCTCTGAAGCATGAGGACCAGAAGCCGTTTAAAATTCAAGCAATTTGCTGATTTCTTCAATAAATCTGCAACACACAAGTACCAAAGCTTTAGTCTAAGTGTTTACAAACATGTACTATAATTCGGCGTATGTTAATGAAAAGTAAATGCGGTGTTTGCTAAAAAGCAAAAAACAACCCTCATCTGTTCTTAGTCACAGCTGCTAGCTGCCACCGCCCTTTATCATGCTTGTGCTACAACTATGAAAGCCTTCACAATAAAGATAACCGACAACTATGAGAGTTGAATTGACATTATTAAGTTTCGTAAGTTGTTAAAAACACATAAAACGGCGTCTTGGTATGACGGTTACCCTTCTTTGTGTGTGTAGTAATTCCGGCGTAAAGTGACACATTTTTGAATGGAGTTTGGTTTACGTCAGCGCCATAGCTATGCACGCTTAGCTAACCACAAGCTAGCTGTAAAAGAACGCCGAAATGGCTTACCTTGTGTAAACTGAACACTGTATATATCGCTGTAAGGTTAGCTGGATCATAGAGGCATCCGGTGAAATGTCTTAAATCTCAACTTAAAGACTAATATCAGCCAAATGAAGAGGATCGACAGCCTGCTGTATAGCCGCCGGGTCGCTTCTCCGAGTAACGTTTGGGCTCGCTCTGCCAGAGGACATACACTCTGATTGGCTGATCTGAGAACATGCGCTGTGATTGGTTGGTTCCTCCTTCAAGGAACTAAAGGCGGAGGGGATGATGCTTTCAAGGTTTGGACCAAAATCCGCCTTTCGAGCACATCGGCTAATTATACGTGAATTTTATATTTCAAAAACTACTAAGCAAAGAGCGGAGAGACGACTTCTGAGGAATACCGGGAGCTACCGTTGATTTAGTTTTGAACAACGAAAAAAAAGCCTGTATATCCAAGCTTCGTTGCAATGTAAATAGATAAAATCTTCATTGATGCACGATTTTTTTTTCTGGGAATTATTTTTTTTTGTGCCAAAAAAATGAGATTTAATGTTTATCTAGTCCGAACCAGAGCAGTGGATTAAACAGAGTGGCGACAACTTCAGATCTCGCCGCCGGAGCGGTCACGTGGTTCATGTATCCCTCCATAGTTCCAAGCGCAGTCTGCACTGTCCATTCTCTTCAACGGGACAGACTGCAGTGAGCGCGCATTTAAGAGGTAAATATTAAAATTAATCGTTAAAAGTCAACATTTGCAACTCTTATTGGATTACTGTGTACACGTCAAAGTCACGTATATATATTTAGTGGATGACTAATAAAATTGAAATAAGACAAGTTTGGTAACAGGTATTACTTTTTAATAAGAGAAAATAATACAATAAAGTGGTACGTAACAGGTGTTACAAGCTGTTTAAACAATTGTGCAATGTTTTGGTCTTGCAGCATGGCCTGCATAACATTTTTCCATGTTTAATCCACTGCTCTGCTTTGATGTTGACTAAAACCACAGGAAATTACACAATTTTAATCCGGAAACGCCATAAAAAACGCCAAATGAAAAATGAAAACATAGCTAGGGACAAAATAAAATGTCAAAAAAAATCTTCAAAGAAACAAGAGATATTTAGGATTGATACCACTGAAACACAGAGGAAAACCAAATGATCATAAAGATTTATTTTGAGTTCTTAAAAAAAAAAAAATCAAACAATTCATTTCCAATTCACTGTAGTGTGTGATCAGCACAGCTGATTTGTTACACTAGATAAAACTATTTTACGACTGTGTACATTATTTTTTTTATTAAGATACAATATTTCAGCACACCTTTTCAATAGCATTTTATTCATGGTCCAGGTGATACATCCGTCCGTACAGACAGGCGGTCACCAGTCCAGCAGTCATGTCTGAGTGTTTTAAAGTCACTCTTCCATCTGCAGATTTGTCAAAATGCTTTACTTCCTCTAAAACCATTTGACTCGCCAAAACTGATGGGTACACATATCTGGTTCCAAACTTCCCCTCCATCACAAAGTCCATTTTGGTCTCAGCTTCTTCTACTCCCTGTCCACAGGAGCTTGGGTCCGACCCTGCACAACGGATGAGTGCACACACCTGCAGAAGGAAGGATACAGGTGAGACATGTTGTAAAGGACAGTGTCTATATCCATAAACCCTTTAGTTCATACATGCAGGGATAGTTCTCCATCCAAAGTGTGCAGCCCAGCAAATGCACCAAATGCATACAGCTCCTCACTGTCACCTTGTGAAATTCGCTTGTACTGCAGGTGACAGCAAAAGGAGTCACTGCACACCTTCACCCTACCCTCTTTTTTATTTAGGAGGACAAATGTGAACGGGTCACCAATCATGAATGATGTGAATGTGGCTGATGATGAAGGGACTGAAGATGCATCAGAGCAGCTCTCACTGTGACAGAATCCAGTATCTCCACTGTAACAGGGGATGAAGTGGACTCAGACTCCAGTTTCTCCTCCTCTGTGGCCACCCTCTGCCCCGACCTCTCTGGGTCTAAGACCGGCATCCTGGCAGCAGCTTGCCCTCCTCTGTCGTGTTTCTCCGGCTCTGTGCAGGGGTTCCAGCTCTCCTGCTGGGGGTCAGGAATTGTTTCAAGATAACCTACGATGGATGTCGAGTGAAGTTAAACCCATGTAGACCATCTTCTGGAAACACCAGGATCTGGGCACCCTGATAAAGACCAGAGAAGACACGACTGAAAAAACATGCCAGGATTCTGAATGCACAGTCATTTGCTGTCATATAAGGTATGACCCTTTTATTGAATAATACACTAACTGGTTAGCAATAGAAAAAACCTGGCACATGGTGGCTCATTGATTTTTAGTAGAGCAATAAGTAACCCTTTTTATGAGTCGCTACTAAGCATTTATAACTTTCCAATAAATCATACCTGCTGAGCGGCTCGTGCAGCCTGCACTTCGTAGATATCCAAGATATCCAAGGGTCTGGGTTGGTGATTAAATTGTGCTCATACACAGCAGCGATGTATGAGGACTCCATTGCTGGCTGTGTTTGACCAGCAGCCACTGTCAAATAGATACTGACTATGACACTGAATAGTTTCATGGCGTCACTCGACAGAGACAGAAATGAAGTCAATAAGATCAACTAGGTCTATTATAGCTCTTGAGGGGTCAGGAGTCCAACTCGAGTCTACAGTAATGAGGGGTGAGTCAGCTATTTTTGTTTTTTTCCTTTTGTTTGTTTATTTTTTACTCTTTTGGATGGTTTGTAGAGTCATTTGGGAAACTCATTTTGCGAAATGTTGACTGAACAAATATACGGACAATTGGAGTTGTAACTTCTACATACACCGTGCACATGGAGAAAAAGGTTGTAGTTTTAACAACCTCAGCAGCTTACCAGGCCAATTTCAGATTACCTTAAAGCACCTGTGTACAATCACCTGTGTATCCCAGTGGCCTTCGAGCTGGACCAGCTGCTCTGATCAGAAAAACAATTAACTCTATTTGTTCAAGATAACTCTCTGGTAGACCCAGGGATGCTGAGGAACTTTGAACCATTTCTCCTTTGTTTTTGTCTCTATCTTATGGCTTTTTAGCAGGGGTCATGGTCTGCTCCAGGTTTTCTGCCTTCTTAGTGTGAAGGTTTCTTCTGTGCCACTCTAACTTTCTAAATGCTGAAAGGTGCTCTGCTTATGGTACATTAAGATAAGACTCAGACTCATGATATAAGATTAAAATGAATCTTATTCTACAGTGATGTTGGTATGACATAGAACTGATTTATAACTCCACTTGCATACAGATATGTGAATGAGGATGTCAGCTGCATAAAAATAACATTTAATTCAGTCAAGTAATATGAAGATTTTACATAAATTTCCCACTTTACTCTTGTGCAGTTACATAGAAAGTGATTTACTAAACAATTTTGTATCAGCACACCTATTCCAGCTAACAACAAGCCTCCAAAATAGGCAACAAAATGTACAGAGACCAGGCTGTGAACCAATTCCAGTGAAAAACAGCCTGAGGGAAAACCAGGAAAACTCAGCAGGATTGATATTTTTTAGCTCGGATGTAAGAATCCATCACTGCTTTTATCAACAATCAGTCAGATCAGCATGAATAAAACCATGAAATCCGGCGGTATCCCTAAAAAGACTTTTTTTTCCTTCACACAATACTGTTAATAAATCAAACACGATTAAAAGGTCTTTCTTTCTTTCTTTTTATGTTTTTGCTGAGTGGTAGAAGACACAGGATCAGGATCATTCATGTAACTCAGAAATAGCTCTGATAAAAATCTAATCAAATTTTATTTATATAGCACCAATTCACAACTGTTGTTATCTCAAGACGCTTTTCAAGGAACAAGAGCAGGTCTAGACCACGCTCATTGTTTGATGATCAAGAACCAACCTAAGATGGGTTTTGGCCCATCTCAACTAACATGAGTAGCAGTGGCAAGGAAAAACTTCCTTTTAACAGGCAGAAACCTTGGGCAGGACCAGCCTCATGTTAGACAGCCACCATGCCGCTGCTGGGTTGGGTAGGAATGTGGAGAGAAGAGGGTAGAGGGGAGAGGACAGGGGGAGAGAGAGAGAGAAATAGATAAGGGAAGGGGGAGGAGAAACGTGGAGGGCCGTCCATCGGTGGGACCTTCCTCAGTAACAGCCTAGGAGTGGACTTATCCTGGTTCTGGACGAGGCTGTACTGCTCCACTCGGACCTGAGACAGAAAAAGCGACAAATTATAAAATCTGAAGTCTGCAGAAATGATTTTTCCAGGGGAAGGTTTCACATCTTTGAAATAAATTAATGTTAAAGAAAATTAAAATTAAAAAAGACAAATTCATAAACATATTTCTGTCATTAAAATCATTCAGACTATAAAAGTTTTGTATGTTGTTTTGAAGGCATTCTAATGGCCTATCTATGTTGTCAGTGTGGTTTCCTACTTACACAGCGAGGCTTGGAACGGGACATGGGTGTTGCTCCAGGACCCTCTTCAAGATCGGCCTGGGACAGGACCAGTGGAAGCTGTGCACAAGGACCGAGGTCCGCTTTTTCTTTCTTTCTTTTTCTTTTTTTCCTTCTTTCTTTTTTCTTCTTTTTTCTTTTTTCTTTCTTTCTTTTTTCTTTTCTTTCTTTCTTTCGTTTTTCTTTCTTTTTTTTTCTTTTTTCTTTTTTTTCGTTCTTTCTTTTTTTTTTTTTTTTCTTTTTTTTCTTTTTTCTTTCTTTCTTTTTCTTTCTTTTTTCTCTTTCTTTTTTTCTTTTTTCTTTTTCTTTTTTTCTCTTTCTTTTTTTCTTTTTTCTTTCTTTTTTCTTTTTTCTCTTTCTTTTTTTCTTTCTTTCTTTTTCTTTTTTCTCTTTCTTTTTTTTTCTTTTTTTCTTTCTTTCTTTTCTTTCTTTCTTTCTTTTTTCTTTTTCTTTCTTTTTTTTCTTTCTTTCTTTCTTTCTTTTTTCTTTCTCTCTTTTTTTCGCTTTCTTTCTTTCTTTTTTATCTTTCTTTTTTTCTTTCTTTCTTTTTCTTTTTTTCTCTTTCTTTTTTTTTCTTTTTTTCTCTTCCTTTTTTTTCTTTTTTTCTTTCTTTTTCTTTTTTTCTCTTTCTTTTTTTTCTTTTTTCTTTCTTTTTTCTTTTTTCTCTTTCTTTTTTCTTTTTTTCTTTCTTTCTTTTTTCTTTTTTTCTCTCTTTCTTTTTTCTTTTCTTCTTTGAGAGACAGGAGGAGAGGGAGAGAAAGAGGGAGAGACAGAAGAGGAGTGAGAGTGACTTACCTGGTTGAGCCTGGGGGAGGAGAAACGTGGAGGGCCGTCCATCGGTGGGACCTTCCTCAGTAACAGCCTAGGAGTGCACTTATCCTGGTTCTGGATGAGGCTGTACTGCTCCACTCGGACCTGAGACAGAAAAAGAGACAAATTACAAAACCTGAAGTCTGCAGAAAGGATTTTTCCAGGGGAAGGTTTCACATCTTTGAAATAAATTAATGTTAAAGAAAATTAAAATTAAAAAAGACAAATTCATATACATATTACTGTCATTAAAATCATTCAGACTATAAAAGTTTTGTATGTTGTTTTGAAGGCATTCTAATGGCCTATCTATGTTGTCAGTGTGGTTTCCTACTTACACAGCGAGGCTTGGAACAGGATATGGGTGTTGCCGCGACCCTCTTCAAGATCGGCCTAGGACAGGACCAATGGAAGCTGTGCACAAGGACCGAGGTCCGCTTTTTCTTTCTTTCTTTTTTTCTTCCTTTTTTCTTTTTTTCTGTTTTTCTTCTTTCTTTTTTTTCTTTTTTCCTTCTGTCTTTTTTCTTCTTTTTTCTTTCTTTCTTTCTTTTTTCTTTTCTTTCTTTTTTCTTTTTCTTTCTTTTTTTCTTTCTTTTTTCTTTTTTTCTCGTTCTTTCTTTTTTTTTTATTCTTTCTTTTTTCTTTGTTTCTTTCTATCTTTTTTTCTTTCTTTCTTTCTTTCTTTTTTCTTTTTTCTCTTTCTTTTTTTTCTTTTTTTCTTTCTTTCTTTTTCTTTTTTTCTCTTTCTTTTTTTTTCTTTTTTCTTTCTTTTTTCTCTTTCTTTTTTTCTTTTTTCTTTCTTTTTCTTTTTTCTCTTTCTTTTTTTTCTTTTTTCTTTTTTCCTCCTTTTTTTTTTTCTTTTTTTCTCTCTTTCTTTTTTCTTTTCTTCTTTGAGAGACAGGAGGAGAGGGAGAGAAAGAGGGAGAGACAGAAGAGGAGTGAGAGTGACTTACCTGGTTGAGCTTGGGGGAGGAGAAACGTGGAGGGCCGTCCATCGGTGGGGCCTTCCTCAGTAACACTCTAGGAGTGCACTTATCCTGGTTCTGGATGAGGCTGTACTGCTCCACTCGGACCTGAGACAGAAAAAGAGACAAATTACAAAACCTGAAGTCTGCAGAAATGATTTTTCCAGGGGAAGGTTTCACATCTTTGAAATAAATTAATGTTAAAGAAAATTAAAATTAAAAAAGACAAATTCATAAACATATTTCTGTCATTAAAATCATTCAGACTATAAAAGTTTTGTATGTTGTTTTGAAGGCATTCCAATGGCCTATCTATGTTGTCAGTGTGGTTTCCTACTTACACAGTGAGGCTTGGAACAGGACATGGGTGTTGCCGCGACCCTCTTCAAGATCGGCCTAGGACAGGACCAGTGGAAGCTGTGCACAAGGTTGGGGTCCGCTCTTTCTTTCTTTCTTTTTTCTTCCTTTTTTTCTTTTTTCTTTCTTTCTGTTTTTCTTCTTTCTTTCTTTTTTCTTTTTTCCTTTCTTTCTTTTTTCTTTTTCTTTCTTTTTTTTTCTTTTTTCTTTCTTTCTTTTTTCTCGTTCTTTCTTTTTTTCTTTTTTCTTTCTTTTTTTTCTTTTTTCTTTCTTTCTCTTTCTTTTTTCTCTTTTTTTTTTTTTTTTTTTTTTTCTTTCTTTTTCTTTTTTCTCTTTCTTTTTTTTTCTTTTTCTTTCTTTTTTCTTTTTTCTCTTTCTTTTTTTCTTTATTTCTTTTTTCTTTTTTTCTCTCTTTCTTTTTTCTTTTCTTCTTTGAGAGACAGGAGGAGAGGGAGAGAAAGAGGGAGAGACAGAAGAGGAGTGAGAGTGACTTACCTGGTTGAGCCTGGGGGAGGAGAAACGTGGAGGGCCGTCCATCGGTGGGACCTTCCTCAGTAACAGCCTAGGAGTGCACTAATCCTGGTTCTGGATGAGGCTGTACTGCTCCACTCGGACCTGAGACAGAAAAAGAGACAAATTACAAAACCTGAAGTCTGCAGAAAGGATTTTTCCAGGGGAAGGTTTCACATCTTTGAAATAAATTAATGTTAAAGAAAATTAAAATTAAAAAAGACAAATTCATATACATATTACTGTCATTAAAATCATTCAGACTATAAAAGTTTTGTATGTTGTTTTGAAGGCATTCTAATGGCCTATCTATGTTGTCAGTGTGGTTTCCTACTTACACAGCGAGGCTTGGAACAGGATATGGGTGTTGCCGCGACCCTCTTCAAGATCGGCCTAGGACAGGACCAATGGAAGCTGTGCACAAGGACCGAGGTCCGCTTTTTCTTTCTTTCGCTTCTTCTTCCTTTTTTTCTTTTTTCTTTCTTTCTGTTTTCCTTCTATCTTTCTTTTTTCTTTTTTCCTTTCTTTCTTTTTTCTTCTTTTTTCTTTTTTCTTTCTTTCTTTTTTCTTTCTTTTTTTTTCTTTCTTTTTTCTTTTTTTCTCGTTCTTTCTTTTTTTCTTTTTCTTTTTTTTCTTTCTTTTTCTTTTTTTCTCTTTCTTTTTTTTCTTTTTTCTTTCTTTTTTCTTTTTTCTCTTTCTTTTTTCTTTCTTTCTTTTTCTTTTTTCTCTTTCTTTTTTCTTTTTTCTTTCTTTTTTCTCTTTCTTTTTTCTTCTTTTTTCTTTTTTTTCTTTTTTCTTTTTCTTTCTTTCTTTTTTCTTTTTCTTTTTTCTTTTTTTCTCGTTCTTTCTTTTTTTTCTTTTTTCTTTCTTTTTTCTTTTTTCTTTCTTTTTTTTCTTTCTTTTTTTTCTTTTTTCTTTCTTTTTTCTTTTTTCTCTTTCTTTTTTTTCTTTTTTTTGTCTTTCTTTTTTTCTTTTTTCTTTCTTTTTTCTCTTTCTTTTTCTTTATTTCTTTCTTTCTTTTTCTTTTTTCTCTTTCTTTTTTTTTTTTTTTTTTTTCTTTTTTTTCTTTTTTTTTCTTTTTTTTTTTCTTTCTTTTTTTTCTTTTTTTGTTTTTTCTCTTTCTTTTTTTTTCTTTTTTTCTTTCTTTCTTTTTTCTTTTTTCCTTTCTTTCTTTTTTCTTCTTTGAGAGACAGGAGGAGAGGGAGAGAAAGAGGGAGAGACAGAAGAGGAGTGAGAGTGACTTACCTGGTTGAGCTTGGGGGAGGAGAAATGTGGAGGGCCGTCCATCGGTGGGACCTTCCTCAGTAACAGCCTAGGAGTGCACTAATCCTGGTTCTGGATGAGGCTGTACTGCTCCACTCGGACCTGAGACAGAAAAAGAGACAAATTACAAAACCTGAAGTCTGCAGAAAGGATTTTTCCAGGGGAAGGTTTCACATCTTTGAAATAAATTAATGTTAAAGAAAATTAAAATTAAAAAAGACAAATTCATAAACATATTTCTGTCATTAAAATCATTCAGACTATAAAAGTTTTGTATGTTGTTTTGAAGGCATTCTAATGGCCTATCTATGTTGTCAGTGTGGTTTCCTACTTACACAGCGAGGCTTGGAACGGGACATGGGTGTTGCCGCGACCCTCTTTAAGATCGGCCTGGAACAGGACTGGTGGAAGCTGTGCACAAGGACCGAGGTCCGCTTTTTCTTTCTTTCTTTTTTCTTTTTTCTTTCTTCTTTTTTCTTCTTTCTTTCTTTTTTCTTTTTTCCTTTCTTTCTTTTTTCTTTTTCTTTTTTCTTCTTTTTTCTTTTTTTTCTGTCTTTCTTTTTTTTCTTTTTCTTTCTTTTTTCTTTCTTTTCTTTTTTTTCTCGTTCTTTCCTTTTTTTTCTTTTTTCTTTCTTTTTTCTTTTTTTCTTTATTTCTTTTTCTTTCTTTTTTCTTTTTTTCTCGTTCTTTTTTTTTTCTTTCTTTTTTCTTTTTTTTCTTTCTATCTTTTTTCTTTCTTTCTTTCTTTCTTTTTTCTCTTTCTTTTTTTCTTTCTTTCTTTTTCTTTTTTTCTCTTTCTTTTTTTTTCTTTCTTTTTTCTCTTTCTTTTTTTTCTTTTTTTCTTTCTTTTTCTTTTTCTCTTTCTTTTTTTTCTTTTTTCTTTTTTTCTCTTTCTTTTTTTTCTTTTTTTCTCTCTTTCTTTTTTCTTTTCTTCTTTGAGAGACAGGAGGAGAGGGAGAGAAAGAGGGAGAGACAGAAGAGGAGTGAGAGTGACTTACCTGGTTGAGCTTGGGGGAGGAGAAACGTGGAGGGCTGTCCATCGGTGGGGCCTTCCTCAGTAACACTCTAGGAGTGCACTTATCCTGGTTCTGGATGAGGCTGTACTGCTCCACTCGGACCTGAGACAGAAAAAGAGACAAATTACAAAACCTGAAGTCTGCAGAAAGGATTTTTCCAGGGGAAGGTTTCACATCTTTGAAATAAATTAATGTTAAAGAAAAAATTAAAATTAAAAAAGACAAATTCATAAACATATTTCTGTCATTAAAATCATTCAGACTATAAAAGTTTTGTATGTTGTTTTGAAGGCATTCTAATGGCCTATCTATGTTGTCAGTGTGGTTTCCTACTTACACAGTGAGGCTTGGAACAGGACATGGGTGTTGCCGCGACCCTCTTCAAGATCGGCCTAGGACAGGACCAGTGGAAGCTGTGCACAAGGTTGGGGTCCGCTCTTTCTTTCTTTCTTTTTTCTTCCTTTTTTTCTTTTTTCTTTCTTTCTGTTTTTCTTCTTTCTTTCTTTTTTCTTTTTTCCTTTCTTTCTTTTTTCTTTCTTTCTTTTTTCTTTTTCTTTCTTTTTTTTCTTTTTTCTTTCTTTCTTTTTTCTCGTTCTTTCTTTTTTCTTTTTTTCTTTCTTTTTTCTCTTTCTTTCTTTTTTCTTTTTTCTCTTTTTTTTCTTTTTTTCTTTCTTTCTTTTTCTTTTTTCTCTTTCTTTTTTTTCTTTTTTCTTTCTTTTTTCTTTTTTCTCTTTCTTTTTTTCTTTATTTCTTTTTTCTTTTTTCTCTCTTTCTTTTTTCTTTTCTTCTTTGAGAGACAGGAGGAGAGGGAGAGAAAGAGGGAGAGACAGAAGAGGAGTGAGAGTGACTTACCTGGTTGAGCTTGGGGGAGGAGAAATGTGGAGGGCCGTCCATCGGTGGGACCTTCCTCAGTAACAGCCAAGGAGTGCACTTATCCTGGTTCTGGATGAGGCTGTACTGCTCCACTCGGACCTGAGACAGAAAAAGAGACAAATTACAAAACCTGAAGTCTGCAGAAATGATTTTTCCAGGGGAAGGTTTCACATCTTTGAAATAAATTAATGTTAAAGAAAAAATTAAAATTAAAAAAGACAAATTCATAAACATATTTCTGTCATTAAAATCATTCAGACTATAAAAGTTTTGTATGTTGTTTTGAAGGCATTCTAATGGCCTATCTATGTTGTCAGTGTGGTTTCCTACTTACACAGTGAGGCTTGGAACAGGACATGGGTGTTGCCGCGACCCTCTTCAAGATCGGCCTAGGACAGGACCAGTGGAAGCTGTGCACAAGGTTGGGGTCCGCTCTTTCTTTCTTTCTTTTTTCTTCCTTTTTTTCTTTTTTCTTTCTTTCTGTTTTTCTTCTTTCTTTCTTTTTTCTTTTTTCCTTTCTTTCTTTTTTCTTTCTTTCTTTTTTCTTTTTCTTTCTTTTTTTTTCTTTTTTCTTTCTTTCTTTTTTCTTTTTTCTTTCTTTTTTCTTTTTTTCTTTCTTTTTTCTCTTTCTTTCTTTTTTCTTTTTTCTCTTTTTTTTCTTTTTTTCTTTCTTTCTTTTTCTTTTTTCTCTTTCTTTTTTTTCTTTTTTCTTTCTTTTTTCTTTTTTCTCTTTCTTTTTTTCTTTATTTCTTTTTTCTTTTTTCTCTCTTTCTTTTTTCTTTTCTTCTTTGAGAGACAGGAGGAGAGGGAGAGAAAGAGGGAGAGACAGAAGAGGAGTGAGAGTGACTTACCTGGTTGAGCTTGGGGGAGGAGAAATGTGGAGGGCCGTCCATCGGTGGGACCTTCCTCAGTAACAGCCAAGGAGTGCACTTATCCTGGTTCTGGATGAGGCTGTACTGCTCCACTCGGACCTGAGACAGAAAAAGAGACAAATTACAAAACCTGAAGTCTGCAGAAATGATTTTTCCAGGGGAAGGTTTCACATCTTTGAAATAAATTAATGTTAAAGAAAATTAAAATTAAAAAAGACAAATTCATATACATATTACTGTCATTAAAATCATTCAGACTTTAAAAGTTTTGTATGTTGTTTTGAAGGCATTCTAATGGCCTATCTATGTTGTCAGTGTGGTTTCCTACTTACACAGCGAGGCTTGGAACAGGATATGGGTGTTGCCGCGACCCTCTTCAAGATCGGCCTAGGACAGGACCAATGGAAGCTGTGCACAAGGACCGAGGTCCGCTTTTTCTTTCTTTCGCTTCTTCTTCCTTTTTTTCTTTTTTCTTTCTTTCTGTTTTTCTTCTTTCTTTCTTTTTTTCTTTTTTCCTTTCTTTCTTCTTTTTTCTTTCTTTCTTTTTTCTTTTTCTTTCTTTTTTTCTTTTTTCTTTTTTCTTTTTTTCTCGTTCTTTTTTTCTTTTTTTTTTCTTTCTTTTTCTTTTTTTCTCTTTCTTTTTTTCTTTTTTCTTTCTTTTTTCTTTTTTCTCTTTCTTTTTTCTTTCTTTCTTTTTCTTTTTTTCTCTTTCTTTTTTCTTTCTTTTTTCTCTTTCTTTTTTCTTTTTTTTTTCTTTCTTTTTTCTTTTTTTTCTTTATTTCTTTTTTCTTTTTCTTTCTTTTTTCTTTCTTTTCTTTTTTCTTTTTTCTCGTTCTTTCTTTTTTTCTTTCTTTTTTTCTTTCTTTCTTTTTTCTTTTTTTCTTTCTTTCTCTTTCTTTTTTCTCTTTCTTTCTTTTTTCTCTTTCTTTTTTTTCTTTTTTCTTTCTTTTTTCTTTTTTTCTCTTTCTTTTTTTTTCTTTTTTCTTTCTTTTTTCTCTTTCTTTTTTTTTCTTTTTTTCTTTTTTCTTTTTTTCTCTCTTTCTTTTTTCTTTTCTTCTTTGAGAGACAGGAGGAGAGGGAGAGAAAGAGGGAGAGACAGAAGAGGAGTGAGAGTGACTTACCTGGTTGAGCCTGGGGGAGGAGAAACGTGGAGGGCCGTCCATCGGTGGGACCTTCCTCAGTAACAGCCTAGGAGTGCACTAATCCTGGTTCTGGATGAGGCTGTACTGCTCCACTCGGACCTGAGACAGAAAAAGAGACAAATTACAAAACCTGAAGTCTGCAGAAATGATTTTTCCAGGGGAAGGTTTCACATCTTTGAAATAAATTAATGTTAAAGAAAATTAAAATTAAAAAAGACAAATTCATAAACATATTTCTGTCATTAAAATCATTCAGACTATAAAAGTTTTGTATGTTGTTTTGAAGGCATTCTAATGGCCTATCTATGTTGTCAGTGTGGTTTCCTACTTACACAGCGAGGCTTGGAACGGGACATGGGTGTTGCCGCGACCCTCTTTAAGATCGGCCTGGAACAGGACTGGTGGAAGCTGTGCACAAGGACCGAGGTCCGCTTTTTCTTTCTTTCTTTTTTCTTTTTTCTTTCTTCTTTTTTCTTCTTTCTTTCTTTTTTCTTTTTTTCTTTCTTTCTTTTTTCCTTTCTTTCTTTTTTCTTTTTCTTTTTTCTTCTTTTTTCTTTTTTCTTTTTTTTCTGTCTTTCTTTTTTTCTTTTTCTTTCTTTTTTCTTTCATTTCTTTTTTTCTCGTTCTTTCTTTTTTTTCTTTTTTCTTTCTTTTTTCTTTTTTTCTTTCTTTTTTCTCTTTCTTTCTTTTTTCTTTTTTTTCTCTTTCTTTTTTTTCTTTTTTTCTTTCTTTCTTTTTCTTTTTTTCTCTTTCTTTTTTTTCTTTTTTCTTTCTTTTTTCTTTTTTTCTCTTTCTTTTTTTTCTTTTTTTCTTTATTTCTTTTTTCTTTTTTTCTCTCTTTTTTCTTTTCTTCTTTGAGAGACAGGAGGAGAGGGAGAGAAAGAGGGAGAGACAGAAGAGGAGTGAGAGTGACTTACCTGGTTGAGCCTGGGGGAGGAGAAACGTGGAGGGCCGTCCATCGGTGGGACCTTCCTCAGTAACAGCCTAGGAGTGCACTTATCCTGGTTCTGGATGAGGCTGTACTGCTCCACTCGGACCTGAGACAGAAAAAGAGACAAATTACAAAACCTGAAGTCTGCAGAAAGGATTTTTCCAGGGGAAGGTTTCACATCTTTGAAATAAATTAATGTTAAAGAAAATTAAAATTAAAAAAGACAAATTCATAAACATATTTCTGTCATTAAAATCATTCAGACTATAAAAGTTTTGTATGTTGTTTTGAAGGCATTCCAATGGCCTATCTATGTTGTCAGTGTGGTTTCCTACTTACACAGCGAGGCTTGGAACGGGACATGGGTGTTGCCGTGACCCTCTTCAAGATCGGCCTGGGACAGGACCAGTGGAAGCTTCGCACAAGGACCGAAGTCCGTGTGAAGCGTTGGCTGGTCTGAAGACAGAAACAACGCAGACATTTAAATTAAACAAGCTTTAACATTTGACTGTGTGGTCAAGGTCATGAAGGAAGCATCTGTAACATCAGTATCATTAAGAAGAGACAGTCAACACATTTTAATTTGTATTTAGTCTCTAATCAGCAGGTTAATTGTGCAATAGACATAGATTAACATCAATGCAACACCCTCCATTAAGAATTTATATTTTTGGTATATCTATTTCAGTCATTTTTTTTTTATTGGGAAAAAGACTTTTTCAGGATTAAATAAGAAAATCCTCTGTTTTCAGTTTGATAAAAAACTGACTTCCACAATAGGACAGTGTTTCGATTACACTTAGTGAATTTTTCCCATAATTGAAATTTTAAATATTATGGTTAAAAAACACACACTTGATCCATGAAAACATGAAAACATATTTCAGTGGAACATTATCGAACTCTTCATTTTAAAGGCTGTACATAAGACATTACTTTTATCTTAATTTCGTCTGTTTTTGTAACTTTTTAATAGGTTCAAATGTAATTCATAGGATTTTTTTTGGTTACTCAGGCCTATTAGAGCACTTATAAATAGGTCTAACTATTATGTCTTTTTAGTTTATTTTGTTGAATTTTATGATGACTGTCATTCTTTAAAGTTATGAAGGTGTCCCTTATTTTAACACCACATTTCACTCCTTTAATGTGCCTCTTTCGCTGTAATAAGAGTGAAAATAGCTTGTGTTTATAGTTCTCACCTGATAGCATTGGTTAGTATAAAGAGAAACTGTCAAATAAGTTTCAGACTGACGGCTTTAAATAGCCCAGAAGACATAAAAAATCTCTTAGAGAGATTTCGCACAATAACATGAGCTTTTCTGCTCTTAAGCACAGAGTCTTTGACATGGTGGGCAAGACTTTCATGTGATGTCAATGCATCACTTTTAAGCTAACCATCCGAACGTCTCGACAGTAACACACACAAAAAAAACGCCTATGTTCACTTATTTTCGGTTAATTTTGATAATGCCTGTCACATTAAAGTCATAAACACTGTAAATATCCATGCACACATTTAATTCTTGTCGATGCATCGCTTATCCATCACGAAAGTCTCGACAGTAACACAAGTTTGTATGATAATATTGCCATGAAATCTTACGGTCTCCATGTCGTAGATGTTGTCCTCTCTGTTCAGGTGTTTGTCGAAGGTGTTTGCCGGAGTCCTTAGTCGTCTGGTGAGGTTTTATTTATGATGAAGACGTCAAATGTTGTAAGTTCGTGAGCCACAGGTTTTTCGTGTTGTTCTCTTCAGATTTGTTCATCAGAAATGACCGCTCTCTTTGGCTTGTAATGATTTAAAGTTTTGACATCGTTACAGGTTACCATGGAGATTTAAAATGCTGTTTACTTTAGAAAAACCCTTACACTGGTAGATTATATCTAAAAGTTTAATATTATCTTTGATTTCCGTCATCTCAATGGAATATAAATATCTCTTGAAGTAAAGTGGAGGTTATTTTTCATCAACTAGTTTAAGAGTATAAAAAGCATTTTAATTATAAAACCTTCCTTATTTCGGTACAAAACGACCCCTTTTTGAAAACTATAGCTTAGTAGGCCTATGTCCCATAGGTAACCCAACAAAAACTGGAAACTTTGTCTCTCATTATAATTTCCACTGAAGCCTTTACTTCAATTAAATTCAGTCGATTTTCTTTAGAAGGCTACTAAAATAGTCGATATATACTCCTGTCATATCAATATTTTAGAGCAGTAACGAGATCTGTAAAGCACTTTGTCACCCTGTTTAAAAAAAAAAAACCTTAAGTTGATCATTGTTATTTGACAAAGTCCATTATAAGGCATCAAAAAGGCCATAAAGATATTGAATTTTGAACTTAAAAAAATAAAAATATCACATCAGCTCTGAGCCAAAATACCTTTTCACTGGAGTAAAAAAAAGCCTATTTTCATGTGATGGTACTTTATACTAATTCACACATAGAGTGAAGTCATTACATGCTTTTATTAACTTGAAAAATCTTTCTAAATCAGTATAAATAATAAAAAAGATGTTTGGCTGAAAAAGAGATTTAACAGAATGTGAAGTATAGGCTAATCTAAAAATACTTCAACAGGAACCAGAGGGTGACAAGACTTCCCATGACTTCGACATATTTAGATTCTGAGGTAAGAAAAAAAAAGAGATAAAAAATAACGAATGCATCTCTGTTTTTGGGTTTGAATCATAGACTGTATACAGAAAAAAGCTGTGAACTCCAAGGTAAAGTGTTTACTTCTTATTTATTTCCCCATGTAATACAAAGTCATTATCAACACTTTAATGACACTGAAAATACAGAAACCTCTGAGAAAACAATGACAGTAACAGCAATCACCAAAAACCCCCAAAACAATCAGAATATTATGAGACATGAGTATACGATGTCATTTAAGGCTACACACTTAAGAAAAGGAATGTTACAGGAGACAACAGCATGTTTAACAATAGATGAGACTATCATTATTCAAACACAAAGCTACTGGCGCTGTTTTCTCCCTTTTTAATGTCAGAGATAGTCCCTTTAATTTTACACTGACAGCAGCTTGATCACAGCAGCAAAAAGTCATTGAAATCTCATGTAATAGTACCATAGCAATGCCCACTGTCAGTTTGGTCACTAATGCTCAAATACTGACTGTCTGTAAACCATCAAATCAAATAAATCATCCTGGTATGAAGAGCATGTCAATTATACTTCATGAAGTAGAGAAAAAGTTGGGATTACACACATATATCGATATGAAATATGGATAAAAAGGGAGTGGTTTGTTAACATGAGGAAAAGCAGCATCATTTCATAACAGTGACTCAGTTTTTCTAACATCCCTTTTAAAGGACAGGAAAAGGGAAAATGCTGGTGTTTTAATGCTTATTACTCTATAGGTTTGTATATCTCTGCTACAAAGATAGAGGACAGATTTATCTGCCCAGTACGGTGGCCAGCAGGGCCATACGGATGTACATGCCGTTCTCTGCCTGGCGGAAATATGCAGCCCGGGGGTCTGTGTCCACCTCAACACTAAGGAGAAAAAAACAAAGAAAGGAAATAAGTGATAAAGGGAAACAAATATCCTTTATTTATTTTCACTGCTTTGATATCATTGTATTCAATTAAATTTCAAACATAGATGAACCTCGTTTTGGAGATTGTGCTTTTGACCAGCTATGGTCACACTTCTTGTTTGATTTCCACCGGGCACAAATGAACAATGTGTGTTCTCTTACACTCAGCTATCAGTGTGGTGTTTAAGTTTAAAGCAAGTGAACCAACTTGCTAAGGTGTTGCACACAGTAGAGACGCCATGCCATGTGCAGGGTCTCCACCAGCTCATTTTAGGGAGGAATACACATCAGGAAACTCCCCCCTCTCTGGATATAATGAGGACTTTTGTGGTTCAATAACAGGTTAAAGGGCCTTGTGGTGACTCTTCCTAACCAGTTATGTCAACTTCTGTCTCAAAGCATTTAAAGGACCTTACCTGATTTCATTGACCCTGGGTAATGGATGCATCACCACCATCTTCTTCTTGGCCACAGTCATGATGTGAGGAGTGAGGATGAACTGGCCGAAACACTGAGAGAGAAAGTGAACAGACACACAGAGCTGATTCAGTCAAATGCTCACAAATACAAGTCTCTAAAACTCACCATGATAGTGTGAACTTTGGTTTTGGATTGAATATTTCATTTAAGTACGTACTGGATTAAATACTTATTTTGGTTTTTCATTAAAGAGGAACAAAAGCCTGAAGTTTGAGTGAATATGGAGCTCCAAAATACTAAAAGAAAACATTACTTTATACTTTCACACTTATCTGTTTTACAGTGTCTAAAAAAGGACAAAGCTGAATGGATGACATCAATCTTCGATAAAGGGCAAGTTCACCCAAATAATTTTTTGTTATAATATAACACCAGTGTCAGCAGTAATAGAGAGACTGTATGTGTAATTTTCCATTTAAATAAATTGGAAAAATTGAAGTACCGTACATCATAGAAACTCTTTCAGAGGGGCACCGTGACCGTTTTTATTAATCAATCTGAAGAAATGAAATGAATGACATAAGTCATGGTTTTACGTACAGCTGTGTACTCCTCCTCAGAGGCGAATCTCTCCTTCTGGATCCTCGTCATGTAGAGGACGTCTGTCTCAGGTAGAGCCTCCTCGATGCTGTCAAACTCCTCCTGCAAAGACACAGAAAAACACAATCTTCTTCAGTCCTGAGTCTGCTTAAGCTCAAATCGCATTTTTCTATTAACCCTGAGTAATAGAAAAGCGCAGTTTTGCAAAATAGATCCTTGCAATTGGCTCATCACACCAAACCTGCCTTGTTGTCTTAAACTTTGTGACAGTTTGTTCCTCACCTGTTTGATGCCCTTTGAGGCCACGTAGTCGATGATCTCTGCCGGCATGTGGAGGTTCTTGGGAGCCACGTAGCGCAGTGTGATGCGGTACTGAGTCAGCAGTTTGGCGAGCGAATGAACGGTGCGGCCGTGTTTCAGATCTCCAACCATAGTTATCTGAAGGTGGTGGAACAGATTTTAAGTTGGTTCATTAGAAAAGCTCACAGATCAGAAAAACTTTGGTTTTTATGGTCGTTACAGATTATTTCTGTGTTATTCCTCACCGTCATGCCGTTGACTGTCCCCAGCTCCTCCCTGATGGTGAAGACGTCGAGCAGAGCCTGGGTGGGATGCTCTCCCACTCCGTCTCCAGCGTTGATCACCGGTTTACGGCAATGACGAGACGCGCTCTAAATGAAACAGAGAGAAAAAAAACTTTCAGTAAAGATTAACAGACAAATAGAAAAATTACAGACACCAGATACTAGGATAAAAATGTAATTTGTTGGAATTAATAGTGAGTCAAGCTTGTGTTGCCACCACTAGAGAGCACTAAAGCGCTTGTACATATGTGACAAAGTGGGTTTTAGGTCAAACTAAATGTCAGATTATGTCAAAATGGAATCTTTTCATAATTGTTTTCATCCTCAGATCCAAAAGATCCTTCATTTCTGGAGTAAAATTTGAGAACACGTTTTCATTACAATCCTCCAGACAGCCCACGAAGCTTACAACTTGCCCTTAGACGTTTCAGGCACATTAAAAACATCCCATTTTTTGTTATAATCTAGACTTGCTAAACGTCACATTTGTCTGAAAAAAAGCTAGAAGTAGAAAAGTTTCACTAGTAACTGTTTCATCCTCTCAAACGAGCTGATACCGGCTCAAACCCACCTCCACAGCTCCAGGCGTGGGATGTCTCAGCACCAGGACGTCGGCGTAGCAGCTCATGGTCTGGACGGAGTCAGACAGAGATTCTCCTTTCTGTGCGGACGAGGTGGACTCGCAGAAGTGGACGACTGAGCCGCCGAGGCGCTGCATGGCCGCCGCAAAAGAGCTGCTGGTGCGAGTGCTGACCTCGTAGAACATGGACGCCATCACTTTACCCTGGAGAATACGAGGAACCAGATTTAAACATGGCTTTGCTCTTATTATTCAGTACTGTTAGTTTTTTATCTATTCTATTTTTTTCATTATCTTACTCTGTTCAATTTAATCGTCTTTACTTATCTCATCTTGACTTTTCACCTACTTCTAGTGTTTCTTTATCATCAAGCTACTTGTTTCCTCAGCCCTTCATTTACTGTTTTACATCCTCTGTTTTATTTCTTTGTTTGTTTGGTTGTTATTGTTTAACTTTTGTTTTGCTGCAGAAAATGAGGCCTACCTTCAGGATGTCCAGGCTCCGCTCCTTCTGAACCAACAGACGCAGAGTGTGGGCGACGTTAAAGAGGTGAGACATCTGAAAAAGAAAACCGAACGACGTCACTGATCGATCTCTACTTTCTCTTGTTCATACTGCATATTTTCTACTGCTGCCAGCTCTTGGATATCCACTTTTAATACCTGCTCTTTGCTGAACTGTCTGACAGACAGGATGTGTTGGCCCACGAGAGGGTGCAGCAGGGGAGAGGTCTGGAAGTGGGACACCTGTCCAACAGGTATCTGTCCCGGTCCTGACTGAGGGGACAGCAGCCTGGACAGAGGAGGGGGGTGGCTGTAACCTTCACCGGCAGCTGTTGGTGGGAGCATCACCATCTCTGGAGAAGCAACACAAAAAAACAGGAAAAGTTTTAGTTTAAGCAAAGGCAGAACACGTTTTTATATTTTCTTTATTACGTTTGTGTTAAAGCGGCGATAATAAATAAACTACACTGTGCTAAAGGCCTCAAAAAGTTCCTTCCACACTCTTAAATTAGGACAACTTTTAAGACATTTCTGTACTAAAGTGAGGAAGCATCATGGGAGTTGTAGTACCTGGTGGCAGACCTGGATCAGAGGAGCGGTGGATGCGGGGTGGCAGCAGGTATCTGCTCTCCGCTGATCGGCGAGGGCTGGGTGCTCGTGTTCGGACGAGGCCCTCTCTAGGAGGAGTGGGACGTGGGTGTTCTGGAGTCTGAAGATAAAAACAAAGTACAAAGTTAACGTAAGAGTAATATTAACACCAGACCACGGCAAAGAGGCGTTTTTCGTCATCATCTTCTATTGTATACATGTTATACAAGTGATAATTACGTCATTATATGTGATTTAGACAGTTATAGATCTATTTTAACATTCAAATGTGATGTATTGTGTTACAGTTATCTTCTTTTTAAAATTAGTGATCTATTTTGAATACCATTGGACTTTCTTTCACCGCTTCAGTAGGATGGATGGAAGCAGAGGGCCAGCTCTTCACATCTTCACCGTAACCCGGAGGAACCAAAACCTGAGAGAGAAACAGAAAGAACAGATTATTTCAACTAAAACATCTTATCACATATAAAATAAATTTAAAAAAAAACAAAAAAAAAAACACACACACACTAATGTACTGTGTTTGTGTTCACTTGTGCGGTGTCTTCTTTATTGCTCTCATACCGAAAACTCTTATTTCAGCTCTATATGTCTACTACCAGAAACACTTCATTGTTAGTAGTTTAAAAAGCAGTACAAAAACATGGTTCTCACCAGGTACAGGGAGGAAGAAGGGCTTTAACCATCTGGCGTTTTCATAAATGATTTATGTACTTTATTTATGTTCTATTTTTTGTTAATATAATGTAAATATGTTGGAGACGGACTGTTTATTAAGTAGCAGAAAATGCTTCATCCTACTCCTTTTCAGACATGTTGGGTTCATATTATTATCATTATTATTATTATTTTATATTTTAATTTTTTTTGCTTTGATTATTGTAATTGTTGTTTTGAATACTCTCATTGGTTTTGTTTGTTTTCAGTTTACTTTCTTGTGTTGCACGCACATCTTTGAAAAATAAAGAAAGAAATAGACAGAGCTTGTAAGAGGTACTTTTTTACACAGCTTTGTAGTCTTGGAACAACCTAAAAGTTCTTCCTTTACAGAAAACCTCTAAGGATAGCTGACTGCACCCCCTTAGCTTTCTATATTAGCATACATTTGCCATTGTTAGATTAGTGGCTGTTACGTTATTTGAAGTTTTGAGAGGGGTCTGCGGAAATCTGGGACTTTACGAGAAAAGCCCCAGATTTCCACAACAGTAAAGGACCTAATCACAGCTGATCCTGGCCTTTGTTTACTAAGGAGTTATCTTCCAAGTGGTGAGAATGAGCAGCTACAACAGGACTGTTTTCTGCTAAACCTAAACCTCTCACTGTTTTCTGGTGCCTTTGACTTCGCTGTGACTGAAGCAAATAATTCATGTCTTTGTTCGATTGCTCACCTGCCCATCAATATAGGCCACCTCTCCTCTGAGAACCACACGACGGACTTTACCCTTCACCCTCAGACCCTGGAAAGGAGTCCACTTGGACTTAGTGAACTGCATGGCCTGAGGGATCACCCACTCCTGCTCCAAATCCACCTGAAAGATGAAAGTGTAACAGTCAGCTCACTAATAAAGTCTGGTTTCTATCACTCTGGCTTCGAGTGAGTACCTCCACGTAGGTGTTCTCTTGGATTGGCAGGTTGAAGATCCGGCGTGGGTTGTCATAGAGACGTCTGATGATGTCCTCCAGAGTGAGGCGTCCATCGCTGACAGCTGTCAGCAGCAGCGGTAGCATGGTCTCCAGACCGGGGTAACCTGGCGGAGGACGCTCCCCGTTCTTCTCTTCGACAGAGTGAGGCGCTGAGGACACAAACATCAAAAAACTTCAGGATTTAGTCTACAGATCGACTCTCAGACCAGTTTCTGTTAAGAGACAGGATGTAAATTTCCGCCCCTAAAAGAGTGATAAAAAAAAGCTGAATTCCTGACCATGATCTGTGGCAAAGCAGTCGATGATGTCCAGGTTTTCCCACAGAGACTCCATGTCCTCCCGCGTCCCCAGCATGGGTCGGACCTGCGCTCGTCCATCTCCGATATCCGGCACGTTGTCCTCACAGAGGAAGAGGTGATGAGGCGCCACCTCACAGGTCACCTGGATGCCCTTCTGCTTGGCTGCCCGAATGATCAGGATCTGAAGAAGAGGAAGAGTTTGACAGTTTTAGTTAAGGAAACACCAAGATGGCAACCGTACGTCTATAAAAGTCTATAAAAAACTCTTATATGAGTCAGCTTCATATGAGCCCAAGTACGACTTAAGTCCTTGGTCTTAATTTGAGGATTCCTGATGTGAAAACGTGTAAACGAGGAACGATGATGTCTTACCTCCTCCTTTTTGGCCACATGACAGATGTGAACGGGCCGCTGGTAGAGCTGAGCCACCATCAGAATCGCAGCAACTGTCTGTTTCTCGGCATGAGCGACGATCGGCATCTGCTTGGGCCACTTCTCAAAGTGCTTCAAAGAGAAAGAGAGCAAGTCAGTATCATGTGCATCTTGGGAAACACATTAATCTTTAAATAACAGAAACAATCTAGGGAGTAAAAAAGGTCTCTACTTCAGTTCTCAAAGTGAATGCTAATCTTGTAACAGAAAACCTTTATGCCTTTAGACAAATTTAGCTCAGAGTTTAGTCACATTTCTTCCCTATTTTAGGCCTCGCCAGAGTTTCCTCACCAACAATAAACTTTTTTTTTAAACATGTTTAAGAGTGGTTTGATGGCGTGGCTCAGAGTTACCTCCATCCAGAGAGAAACGTTGTCCATCTTCAGGGTGGAGTACGTATCATTCAGGTACATCTTCAGCCCGGCGGCCTGGTTAGCGATGGTCGGCAGGATGGCGGCGTTGTCTGAGGCTGCCCCCAGATACAGGGCATAGTCGCACCTGCAGCCTGCTTTAGCCAGCTGAGGATTCGACAGAAAACTGGATTTATTTCTTTTTAATCAGTCAGACTAAGAAACACATTTGACCAGCATTTCATTAACCTCGATTTAAAGGAAACATGACAAAAAACAAACAGACGTACCTTCTGAACCATCGCCAGCGTGTTGGAGTCAGTGATGGCGGGGGAAGTGTTTGGCATCGCGCACACCATGGTGACTCCTCCTGCCAGAGCTGCTGCGGTACCCGAGGAGAAATCCTCCTTATGGGTGGCTCCTGGCTCCCGCAGGTGAACGTGCACATCAATCAGACCTGAACATCAACAACAAAAGAAAGATTTACAAGATTTAGGATGAAACTCTATCGATGAATCTGCTAGTTTGAAACCTGCATCATCAGTGTCAAAAATCCCACACTCTTCTTGCCTTTAATTTATCTTTAACTGCAGATTATCCTCATTTTTTATCATCTATCTTGCTCCATTGCTTATTTTTAATGCTAATTCTTTATTCGATCGAGTCACAAGAAGTCAGAGTAAACCCTCGGATCAGTCAGTGACTCACCAGGCAGACGCACGAGTGTCTGAGAGGCCATGCTGTCGATGTGAGTTTTCACCGGTGGTTTCCTGCCGATCTGACGTAGAGCCTGAAAACACGTTCACTCATATCAGTTCAAGTCCGACTTTGAGAGAATATAAAACTAAAAATAGGAGTGGATTAAATCAAACTCTATATCCGACCTGCACAAAGAGCTTGGTGCACTTGATGTCGATGATGAGCGGCACCGAGTAGTCGACCGCCATTCGTCTGGTGCGGTAACCTTTCGTGACGAAGGAGGAGAGTCTGCGGCCGCCGCTGTTCCTCATTGAGAGGTTTATGACCAGATCGAAGTGGTTCTCCTCCAGATAGTTCATGATGCTGCGCTGCTTCTCTTTCGTGGGACACTCGCTGTCCTCCTCCTCCTCGAACGGCCAATCCACCGCCGTCACCTGACAGAGGACAGATTTGGACAAAAGAGGTTTTGTCTCGGTGAGTCCTGCCTATGGTCCTCTTTGTCATCCATTTAAAAGATTTGGAGCATCACGACACAAATTCAAAGAGCTCATATTTTTCATAAAACAATCACACTTTCAGTCTCAACATTTAAAACTGACTTTGATCGGGGTTGTTTCAAATAAATCTGCATGTGAGCATCATCTTCGCTGTTACCTTGACTCCATGTTCAGTGTAGAAGTCGGCAGTACCCAGACTGGCGTAGAGATCGTAACCCAGAGACTCCAGAGCCTGCACGGTGGGCAGCAGCTCACTCTTATTCTGAAAAAACACACAATTATTTTACCTCAATTCTCACTTTTTCAGGTCTACAAGGATGCAATCTTTCTTTTTGTATTAAACAGGTAAATAATGGGATAAATCATCTTTTTTTCCAGTGACAAATGCAACTTAAATATGCAGAAAGCAACACAGATGTTTGTTTTTTTAACCCTCAGCCTTCGTTTTTCAGTTAAATGTTGAATCAAAAAGTCCTCCTCCAGTACCTTGTAGCTGCCGATGGAGAGCAGGATGTTCTTTTTGGGGATCTTGAAGCCTGTCGAGAGCATCGCTTTCAGGTACGCCTCATATCTGTTCTCCCCAAAACACGCCACCTCCCCCGTGCTGGTCATCTCCACCCCGAGAACCACATCAGCTCCGGCCAGACGAGAGAAGGAGAACTGAGGAACCTGGAGGACGTGGGACAAATATTTAGAGGGTGAGACACTCGAAGCAAAGTTAGAAACATCCAAATAGAGGATTGTTTTTACCTTGACTCCTACGACCCCTTTCCCCCTCATGAGGCCCACAGGCTCCACCTCCTCCCCGACAATAGCCTGGGTAGCCAGAGCGACAAGATCCACACCCAGGGTCTTAGACACGAAGGGGAAGGAGCGGGAGACTCGGACGTTGCACTCGATCACCTTCAGTTGGTCGTCCTTAAGAGAAGAAGTTCATCCACAGTGAGACATACCAGCTTCTGCTTTGTCAAGTCATGTTTGGATGCATGTTTATACACGAACACATCTCTGTCTGATCAAATTTCCAGTCTCTATTCTCACCTTGGCTATCAGCTGAAGGTTAAAAGGTCCGGTGACTTGCAGCTCCTGTCCGATGGCATGCACGATCATCTTAATCCTCTCGATCGTCTTCTGGTTGAGATCCTGCGGCGGCGTCACCAGCGTGGCATCACCAGAGTGAACTCCAGCGTTCTCCACGTGTTCAGATACCGCGATGGCGAGGACCACTCCGTCACAGGCCACAGCGTCCACATCGATCTCCTAAGAAGAGACACAGAGACGACTGCGATGAAGATCAGGAGATAACTCCATGAGTTGTTTTGTGAGTCTCAGTCTCGGTTTCCAACCTTGGCCTCCTGTATGAATTTGGAGATGACGACAGGATGCTCTTTAGAGACGGCTACAGCGCTGCTTAGGTATTTCTCCAGGTCGCTGTCACCGTAGGCGACGTTCATGGCCGCTCCGCTGAGGACGTAAGAGGGTCGAACCAGGCAGGGGTAACCCACCGTCTCACAAAACTTCACAGCAGACTGGAGGGGGAGGAAACAGACAGAAACGCTCAAATCTTTGGATGTTTTCAGCATCAGAATTGAAAATAATCGGGTCTGAGTCCCGCCTGTCGCACCTCGGTGTCAGAGAGCTCCTTCCACTGCGGCTGGCTGATCCCGATGGTGTCCAGCATTCGGGAGAACTTGAACCTGTTCTCTGCGGAGTCGATGAACTCGGGGGAGGTTCCCAGGATGCGGCACTGCTGACGGTGAAGCGACATGGCGATGTTGTTGGGCAGCTGACCTCCCATCGAGAGGATGACGCCATCCGGGTTCTCCCTCTCATAGATATCCATCACCACCTGCGACGCAGACAGGGCACTTTACAACCTCAGAAGTCTGATCAGTGAAATAATCAATGACTCCAGACTTGAAATATGTGCAAACAGCAGAGACGGGGAAGGCTCTGTGTACGGGGACGATTCTGATAATATTGTACGCCCCTAACACTAAACAAAACACATTTTAAAAGAATCAAAATCATTAAACCCTTTCAAAAAGTACTTTTAATTTCATTTGCTGACAAGCCTAAGAGAGTGTATCTTTAAAATATCCTGAAAAAGGTTAGAGAAGCTGAGGAAAATCAGCTGCAGAGGTTAAAGATGAGTTTTCTTTGTGAGAAATGAAGTTAAACTCTTACCTCAAAGGAGATCTCATCAAAGTAGAGGCGGTCACACATGTCGTAGTCCGTACTGACCGTCTCCGGGTTGTAGTTCACCATGATGGTCTTGTAACCCATCTGGAATTAATGTGAATACATTTTTTTTTAAATTATTATTTGGTTAACTTTTTACATAAGACACTAGGGGTGGGAGAAAAAAATCGATACTGCGTAGTATCACGATATTTTGTCTGGTGATATATCGTATCGTCTCATTTACCAAGTATCAATTTTTCAAATTAATTGCTAATATGAAGTCAAATCTCTGATAATGGAAAAATAAAATCAACTGTTTGTCCAGTGAGGTTGGCAGAGGTGACATCATAGAGCAGGAGAAAGTTAGTACAACAAATATATATAAGGTTAGTAAGATGTGCTACATGAAAATAAAATACTGTGTAAATAAGACAAACATAAAGGAAAGCCATATGCTAAATAAGCTAAACAGTTGAAAAAAATTGTATAAATCGCAATATATTGTATTGCAATACTCACTGTATTGCAAAATGTTAAAAATCGCAACAATATCGAATTGTGGCCCAAGTATGGTGTTAATATATCGTGATAATATCGTTTCGTGTTAATATCATATTGTGATATCATATCCTGATAATATTGTATCGTGATAATATCGCTCTGTGATAATATCGTATCGTGATAATATTGCTCCGTGATAATATGGTATCGTGATAATATCGTATTTTGATAATACCGTATCGTGATAATACCGTATCGTGATAATATCGTATCGTGATAATATCGTATTTTGACAATACCGTATCGTGATAATATCGTATCGTGATAATATCGTATTTTGATAATACCGTATCGTGATAATATCGCTCCGTGATAATATCATATCGCGATAATATCGCATCGTGATAATATCGTATCATGATAATATCGTTTCGTGATAATATCGTATTGCAGCCCAAGTATCCTGATAACATTGTATTGTGGGGCCACTAGTGATTCCAACCCCTATAAGACACATTGATCAAGTAACCATCTACTGCTGGGGTTTTAAAAACTGACCAGACAGCTGTGGGTTACTTCCATTTTACTATTTAGTTCACAGACTCTGAGAAATCCTTTTATTTATACTAATCATCCACGCACCTTCCTGAGCTCTGTGATGCAGCCGACGGCGCACCAATCAAACTCCACGCTGCTGCCGATGCGGTACACGCCTGAGCCAATGACCATGACGTGCTGCTCGTTGAAGTCCAGGTCATCCTCTGTGCCATGGTAGGTCATGTACAGGTAGTTTGTAAAGGCTGGCCACTCAGCTGCCACTGTGTCGATCTGTTTGACCACGGGGAGGATGGACCAATCGTGGCGCAGCTTTCTTACCACAAGCTCGGTGCTGTGAGAAATTGGGAAAACAAAAACAGTCAAAAATCACTCTTTATTTAAAGACAAATAAACAGATGATGAACGGAAATGCAGATCTTATTCTGAGGTTTATGTGACAGCAGATCACATAGAAGACACATGACATTATCCCTCCATACACCTGCATGGAGGTGCTGCAACAACTTTGTCCTTTGGTTCAGATCGTCTTTCTCTCTCACCTCTGAACGGCGAGTGCGATCTGTTTATCCGAGAAGCCAAGCTGCTTCGCCTTTCTCAGCACCTCTGGAGGCATGGCGCTCTCATCCTGGTGGAGAGAAGATCAATAAATGAACTGAGAAAAGACAGCTGCTTATTTGTCCCTCACTGTCTCCTCTCTCTGTCTCACCTGGTTGTACTTCTCCATGAGCCGCTCGTGGTCGGCGATGTTCTTCATCTTGTGCAGGAACCAGCGGTCGATCTTCGTGAGCTCGTACAGCTGATCCACCGTGTAGCCGGCTTTGAACGCCGCCGCCAGAACGAAGATCCGCTTGTCAGTGGGAGTCTGCAGCTCCTGGCGGGCGAGAGCAGAAAGCAAATTGGAGTTAGCTGCAGAAAAATAGAGAGGATACAAAAATACAACCTATTTTTTTTAGCTTACCTTTTCAGATACAGGCTTGATGGTGTGATCGAAACCAACACAGTTCTCATCTACCATCCTCAGAGCTTTCTGGAAGGCCTCCTCAAAGCTACGGCCGATCGCCATCACCTCACCTGGAAGAGAAACGCCATTGAGCATCTGCTTACAGACAACACACCAAAATTTATGCTTCGTTCCAGTTGTACTCAGAAGTCGGAAATTCCGAGCTCAGAGTCAGAAATTCATCTGGAACGCCCCCCTGAAGTTGGATTTCTGGCTGGGAAAGTTGGATGATCCTCAACAACCACTACTTGACGACAACATCATAATCCAAGATGGCAGCACAGTGCAACAACGGTAAAGAGTAACAGTGAAAGCTCTTGTAATGTAATATTTATTAGCACTTCTGTTTCATTTTTGTGAAATTAAATAAGTGATATGTTGTACTGCCCAACAACACGGAGCTGTGGTGTTTGTAGAGTAAAATACTGTGTTATGTTGTTTACAACTGGTATAGCTAACAACATCTAACAACAGCTGATAACTGCCAACAACAAATGACAGCGTTCAACGACAGCTGACAATTGTAAACAACAGCTAACAACGGCTAACAGTAGGCACCCATCTTGGTTTTCCGACATGTTGACTGGAACGCCGTCAACTCATGTATAACGTCATTCCCAGCTCCGATATCCAACTTCCGAGGTAACTGGAACAAGTGGAATATAATATCAAATTTCCTTCAACAACCTCCTCCTGATCCCTGCCTCTTACCGACACTCTTCATGGAGCTGCCGATCTTAGTGGACACTCTGAGGAACTTGCTGAGATCCCAGCGAGGAACCTTCACCACACAGTAGTCCAGACTGGGCTCAAAGTTCGCTGTGGTCGAGTTGGTAACAGAGTTCCTGCAGAGAATACAAAGTGAGATTATTTTCTACAACAGGATCAAAAAATATGAAGATGGAAAGAGGTCAAGTGTCGAGAGGGGGCTCTTTCTTCTCCTTATTCAGGTTCATTTCGACAAAGACGTACTTGAGTTGTGGCAGCGGGATCCCCAGGCCCAGTTTAGCTGCTACATATGCAAGCGGGTAACCTGTGGCCTTACTGGCCAGAGCTGAACTCCTGGACAGACGAGCGTTCACCTCGATGATGTAGTACTGCAGAAGCATCATTACACAAACAAGTTATTAGAAAGTCTGTGTGTTACCACAAATCAAGCGCTTCTTTTTCAGCATGTCTACCTGTTCAGACTCTGGGTTCAGAGCGTACTGGATGTTGCACTCTCCCACAATGCCGAGGTGTCTGATGACTTTGATGGCGGTGTTTCTCAGCATGTTGTACTCATAGTCGTTAAGCGTTTGGCTGGGCGCCACCACAATAGACTCTCCCGTATGGATGCCCAGAGGGTCAATATTCTCCATGTTACACACCTAAAGAGAAATAGAGGGACTCTCATGAGTGCTGTTCTAACTTTTCATGACCTTCCTTTCGAACACTGACAGTAAAAACGTGTCATCAAAACCTCATCGTTCGTCTATTTTCACTCACAGTGACACAGTTGTCGTAGGCGTCCCGGACCACCTCGTACTCGATCTCCTTCCAGCCTTTCAGAGATTTGTCCACCAGCACTTGGGAGGTGTGGGCGAACGCTGAGGTCACCAGAGACGTCAGCTCCTCTCTGTTGTTGGCGAAGCCTGAGCCGAGACCACCGAGAGCGAACGCAGACCGGACCAGAACAGGATAGCCGAGACGTTCTGCAGCCGCTGCAGCCTGTTGAGGTCAGAAGATAACACAGTGTTTACAGAGAAGAATGTGGTAGACTTACATTAACGCGTGCACACCTTCTCACCTGCTCTACAGACAGCGCCGCTTCACTCGGAGCGACATGCTCGTTGATCTCCTCCATTTTCTCCACAAAGATCTTCCTGTCCTCGGTCATCTCGATCGAGGCCACCGGTGTCCCTAGAACTTTAACTTTGTACTTTTCCAGGACGCCCAGTTTGGTCAGCTCCACGCCACAGTTCAGAGCAGTCTGACCACCAAACGTTAACAGCACACCGTCCGGACGCTCATTCTTAATCACCTGAGAGAGAAGAAAAGCAGACGGACATAAAGAAACCATAAAACATGGAGAAACAACAGCAGAAAACATCTCTGAGCTCTGCAAGAGCCTGTCACAGATATCTAAACCCCCATATTTCCATGCATGTTTCATACCTGCTCGGCTACCTCAGCCAAACAAGCTCATCAGTACCTGAGTGACGTACTCCGCTGTGATTGGCAGGAAGTAGACTTTGTCAGCCAGACCTTTGGAGGTCTGGACTGTCGCGATGTTTGGATTGATCAGCACAGTCTGGATGTTCTCTTCCTTTAGAGCCTTGATAGCCTGAAGACAGAAGAGAAGAATATAAGACGTAAACATGACAAATTTAAACATCTGAAAATATGTTGATTTATTCATTGTTGTTTTTTTTTGTTTTACTTTTGCCTCATGAAGCATTTTGGTCAATATAAGTTTTTTTTTATATGCAAGATATAAGTGAACTTTGACAAAACTTTACAACATATTTCTATGTATGACATCAAAACTTTGATTTCCTTGACATAGCCTTCCCAAAAGGATCAATAAATCTGTATCTAATCTGATCTAATCTAATCTAATCCAAAAGCATCTCAACTTTATCAACTACTGCAGACACACCTGAGATCCAGAGTAGTCGAATTCACCCGCCTGCCCGATGGACAGTCCTCCAGAGCCCAGGATGAGCACCTTCCTGGGTCTGACCATCTCTTCAGGCTTTGGGGAGTCCGGGAATGTGAGGTGCTCCATCAGACGCTGTTTGACTAAAACGATCACATGAACTCTTTTTTTGTTTCCTGTGTTTATAGATTTATGATCATGCGTACTTCTGAAACACTGAAATAGTTTCCTTTCTCACCAGTTTTGGAGGCTTTGCCCTCCTTGTGCTCTCTCACAGTGTCGAGGAAGACGTCAAACAGGCTGACCAGATCAGTGGGCCCGGCCATGTGCTCAGGGTGGAACTGGACACTGAAAAAAGAAGCATCATGCTCCTGTAAGGAGGATGCTCTGGATTCTGGTTTTTCTCCTTCATAGAGCAGGTCACTCTTTACCTGAACAGAGGTTTGGTGTTGTGCACGATGCCCTCATTAGTGTGATCGTTGGCGTTGGTGAAGAGGACGTCCCAGTCTGTGGGCAGAGTGTCGGGGTCGACAGCAAACCCGTGGTTCTGACTGGTGATGAAGCAGCGATCTGTGCCGTTGTGGACGCACGGCTGGTTGTGGCCGCGGTTACCATATCTGAAAGGAGGAGTTAGACTGTTTACTGCAGCTCAGATAAAAAATTAACTTCTTATTCTCTAACCTGAACAGATTCAAAGAGTCCGACTCAAAGATTTTTGAGGTTGTCCGACAGATTAGACCTTCAAAACCAGCTTGAGAGGAACAGTTTTGCATCATTTTGATAAACTTTACTTTCTTCTGCTACAGGAAAACAGTTAAAAACGAAGGCCATTAAACTGCGCTCTGGATTTGTCAGTCCAGTTACCAGCTGTATTCTTGCAGAGGAAGCATTCACAGCCCACAGTGACCTTGATAAAACTCCCATCAGTGGAGTCTCAGGGGAAAGAAAACCTCCCTGACCTTTCTAAATTCAACGCGGAGAGAATCCGACCGCCTCGTCTCTTGTTTGTTTAATCTTTTTCATAACAAGAGCAGCGCGGCCGGTGTCACAGCGCTCATACAGGAGAGGCCAGACTGCTGAGAACAGCAAAAACCTGCAGTTCACACCACAGCCCTGCCATAGACAGCGTGTGAGCTCCAAGGTCTGTGTTTCCAGAGAGTGTAAAGGGTTGAGGAGATTCCCTGGCTGCAGGTCACTGAGGGCACATTTTTGTCTTGTCCTGCTGGTCACGTGTTAAATTATATGTTTATAGCCAATTAACTGATCAATATATCATCCTAACTTCCATCACAGGAAATGTTCTTCTAATAAATCACGATAAATCTGTTTCCCAGCTTAGACTGGAATGATCACAGCACAGTGTACGCGTGCTCACTTCATCTTGTAGGTCTTGGATCCGATGACTAAAGACAGAAGCTGATGTCCGAGGCAAATCCCGAAAACCGGCTTGGGACTCTCCACGCAGACCACCCTCCTCACGTTGTTGATGGTGGTCTGACAGAACTGAGGATCTCCAGGTCCGTTACTGATGAACAAACCGTCAAAATCTACAAGAGGCCAGAAAGACAACAAAGTTAAACATAGCTTAGATGAAATATGATCAGCATGTTTCCTCTGTTGTGGGTCAATCCCGACTCTCTGTTTCCTACTCTGTCCTATTTTCTCTTCATAAAGGCAAAAAGCCCCCTAAAAAAGTTATGTACCTAAGGTTTGGTATCTTGTAAGTGAAAAATGAAGAGGAGTGTCAGTGTGTGATATAGACCTTTGCTGTCCAGCAGATGGTCCCAGGGTACGACAGTAACACAGGCCCCTCTCTGAGCCAGGCAGCGGATCTGGTTGTATTTGATGCCACAGTCCACCACTGTGATCCGCAAACTGCCGCTGGGGTTGAAAACTTGCGGTTCCTGGAGGCAAAAGAAGAAATTACCAGGATTTCTGTAAAGGACTTTCTCGACCCCAAAGAGCAGAAAGGAGTTTTTTCAGAGACTGTCTGGGAGCCAGCCCTCTAAAACTTATGTAATCTGTGAGGATTTATGTGTTAGCTTTATGGAAAGGTAGAGGCTGCCATCTTTGTTTTGGTCCGTTGACGACATCTGCAATCAGCTGTCAGAGTCCCTCATCCCAGCAGAGCAGTGGAGGTAAAAACTTAGACAATCCACAGGCACTGGTATCACTGAAATCTTGTCAACTGTTCTGGCTATTCAGTGGGAATAGATCTAAGGGGGGATTACCTTCATAGAGACCTCCTGGACCAGGTTCCTCTTGTCTGGGTTATCAAAGGGGATGCTGTCCTCAGGGGTGCCATCCACAACCAGCTTCCCCAACATGGTGCCCTTCTCTCGGATCTTTTTGGTCAGACGGCGAGTGTCAATGCCTGGAAAACAACAACAGACTTCATTAAGGAGCCTTCTGCATCTTTATGTTTCTTCAAAATCTTTCATTAACGCTTTTTTTATTCAACTGGAATGAATTATACATTCAAAATACTTGAGTTTCTTTCACACTTCAGCATTAGTGTCAAGACTTGCTGACCTTGTAATCCAGGAACTCCCTGCTCTTTGAGCCACTGATCCAAGGACTTGGCTGAACTCCAGTGACTGGGATTCTCCGACAGCTCTCCAATGATCAGAGCAGCTGCATGAATCTTTGATGACTCAAACCACTGAGTGAGAAAGCAAAACTACATGAGAACACACCCACATGCAGTCTATGTAGTTACTTATCGTTGTCGTAAATATTTTAAAAAGACCCACCTTGCTCAGTCCAAACTCTCCCTCTTCGTCCTTCGGGACACCATAGTTTCCCACCAGAGGGTAGGTGAGCGTCAGCAGCTGGCAGCGGTAGGATGGATCGGTCAGAGCCTCGGGGTAGCCAACCATGCCTGTCTGAAACACTGGGCACGCACAAAGTATTCATCAACGCATGAGCAAAATTAATCAACAAAATTGTCACTATAAATTATGACATGAAAATTGAGACAGTGCGAAATCCAAAATTATTTTCTCGACACAACTTTGAAAATTATTTGGTAAGTTTCCTTTTTTCCTAAGACATGCATACACAGATGCAGCTCAAATACTGGATGTTGTTTAAAAATAAAGTTGGTTATTTTTTATCAGCTGATTCAGAAAGTGAAAATTTAGCATATCCAAGACTCACTACATGCACAATGGGGTGTTTCAAGTATTAAATGAGGCTATTAGTTTTGATATATTTGGCAAAAAGCGAGGAAAAATCACAACCAATGATTCTAGGAGATTTTATAGCACTGACGAGCTGTATGAAAAAGTTCATTCCCTTTCCAGCAGGACAAACAGAGCTTGACTTGTCTAGCTCTGTCACCTGACCTGAACCCTACAGAAAGACACTCGGCCAAGGAAGCACTCCACTCAACGCAGCCTGGATATCATTGACAGCTTGGATGTGGTACAGACTTATCACCTCTATGCGGGGTTAAAAGAGCCCCAACTGGGTACTTAGTGTACAATTGAACATACTTTTAAGCAGCTGGACTGGTCCGTGTTCAAATCCTTTTTTTCCAGGTTGATCATTGGGAATGCTTTAATAATTGGGTATAATGGTTTTTCTGATCTTACAAAAATGCAGCCAAATTATACAAAAAAATATGTATTCTATACAATATATATATATAATCATAAAAAAAACACATCATAATCTATTAAAGTCAATCAGCTTTTAAGTCTGTAATATAATAGCCCTTGGATCATATCATAAGGATGTGAGTGACTCTTTAAAACAACAAGCAAAGCTACACTCCATTCTGTTATTTGTCCCGCCAAACTACAGCCAAGATTTCATCACTTTCATGTTGCCGTACCCCGCCAGCCAAGTTGCCAGTCACTTAAGGACAAGTATGGACTTACATGACTTTTGCATTGGCAAAACATTGATTCGGCCTTCATTCTTCGTACTGGGCTGCACTTTAAACTGCATATCTGAACTTTGAAAAAGTAGGTCACGAGTACCTACAGATTCCATCTACCAGGACATGCCTGGAAGTGGAGAGGCAGCAAATGGAGCTATAAAGATGCTGATAGTAAAAACTAATCAGGGATTTATCTAAAAGCATCAAGGGGCGAGAAATGCTTCATAAACAGGCGAGCATGCCTGATGACAAGAACTGCTAAACATGCTTTTAATTGACTGATTTGTAGGTGGAGTTTGGCAAGATCTCCCAAAGAAGAGAGGGGATGTACAGAGGGATATGGCGCTCTTCAGTAAAGACTCTGATCTGTAACAATTTAAGCAAATTGGGCCTATCAGTCCTAAACAACAAAATGTTTAAAAGCAAATAGTTTATCTAGAGTTGTCTTCCTCTGCAGGTTGATTGTGTTCTGGCTAGCTCATTAATAAAGTTATAAAGAATCAGCTTGTACTTGAAAAGCTTACCAACTTCCCCCGAAACTGACACATTTGCTCCAAAAAGAAGGCCCTTAAACGTCGTCCCGTCCTCCAGAATCAACGTTGCCATCTTTGACATGTTTGCTCAAACAGCTAATGCTAACAGGAAAACTGATGGATGATTCAGAGAAGTAATGAAACCCCGGTCTCCACGTGAAACACACGCCGCGCGAGGAGGCAGAGGATGCAGATGAGAAAGGACAAAAACAGCCACTGAGCACCAAATTTCCCCGGTGTAAACACTTCTGTCAAAGTCTGGACGAATCCGGAGTGAAGGATGAGAAAATGACATCAAAAAAATGAGTTTAATTGGATGATTTCAAGGTTATCGGACGGGACGGTGCGTACAAAGTGTTCCACACGCGCTGCCAGCAGTGTGGAAGTCGGCCCGCAGCCTGGACCGGTAAGTTTAACGCGGTGAATCATGTCGTTTCCGCTTAAAGATTTCAAAGTAAAAGCAGCAACTTTTATTGTGACTGCTGTTCTATTCTTCGTCTTGGACCAATTGTTAAATAATTACAATAAAACATAACAGAGCACATTTTCTAAAATGTATTCGTCTTTGTATGGCACTTCATACTGTTGATTTGGCCTGAAGCTAATAACGTACTTTTAAAGCAAGAAAATTATACTTCAAGGTTTTGATGTGGTTTCTGTTAAAAATCATGATTAAGCAAAAAATGTCATTGTACAGCTTTGACGTTTACTGCATCAGCAGACTGTCGGATTTCATGAGCTTTACAAAATGTTTTTACTCCAGGAAATAAAACAAAAAACAAACAATCAAACAACAAAAAAGAAAAAATGTGTTTTGAGGCAATCATTGTCAAGTTTGAATTTTTTTTTTTTTTTTTGTCAAATGTGAACCACTGCTTTTGTTACAGGTAATATCTTTATATGTTGCTCTTATCTTTTTAGATTTAGTGAGTATTTTTTTCATTATTATCCCTCTAATGCCTGTTGTATCATATTTGATACATACATACGTACATTTTAGATACTACTATCTAATCAATATAATATAAAAAAATAAATAAATACAGTCTGATAAATGATAAAAAATATATATATATCAGTATCATATATCAGTAGTTAAAGAAATGAACATTACAGCTCCAAAAAATTGGAATTGTATGGCCATAATTTGTGGTTTCAGGCATTAGAGGGTCATTTAGTATTTTCATTTAATTATTTACTGAAAGAGCCTTCATTCTTTTGTGTGTTTCGAAACAGCTTTTATTTATTTATTTTTTTGCCTTGGCTTTTAGCTCAGCATGGGAGTTGTGTGATCTCTGTCCTTTTATGTCTTTTATGGTCCTTTTATTACCTTTATTTTCATGCTTTTGTGTTTTTTTATATTTCATTTTAACTGTTTTTTACCTGCTTTTATTTATTTAATCTTTATGTTTTCAGTATTGTCTGTTCTTTTAATTTTATTGTGCAGGACTTTGACTTGAATGTTTTTAAAATGTGCTGTATAAATAAAGCAGATTGGATTGGATTCTGCATCTTATTGATTTACTTGTTAATATATTCATTGCTTGATAATGTTTATTATTATTCATGTTTTTTTTTATCCTTGTTTGTCAGTTCTGACCAGACAGAATATCTGAACGCTTCATTTAAATTTAGCTTTATTTTGAAGGCATACACTTTCATTTCCGGTGAATTCTGTGATGTTATCAATTTGGCGCCACTTTGACGTCATCACTTACCTGCACCAACAACTTCTCAGCAGCTGGACTTCTACTATCTAGTAGATAGTATCTACTAGCACACCACAATGTTGATGTCGAAGTCCGTCTGTTAAGCAAGTTCAGGGGAAAACTTCTCTAAAATTGAGTGGGTTTAATTTCGGTCCCTAGAGAATTTTAAAGAGCAAGGTCCACGCGCTCTCGTGGGCACCCAGAGCCTACCTTTTACAATAAACATTTAACAGGTTGGAATAATTAGACATAAAATGATGTACAACCAGACAGGATTGGTGTTTGGGAATGCCAGCCTTTCATGATATTATTGTGCCAGTCAGTCAAATCCTTGTCAGGGACTGAGGAGGAAATAAAAAGGCTAACTCTGATACCAGCTCTTGAGCAACTTTGGAGGAACATTGTGTTGATTTTAGCAACATTTCCCCAAAGAGATTTAACGGGTTATGCAGAACTATGTTCATGTTACTGAATTGGGATTATCATAAACGTTCCATTTCTGAATACCCAGAAAAAAAGTATTTTATATTTATAAAGTCGTAGGTCCCTCACTCCGGAGGCTGCCATGTTTTCTACAGCAGCTCAGAGCAGACAAACCAGTGGAAGCATTAAAAAAAATTCCGGCATGACAATCCGAACACCATCCACCAAAGACTGTTTTGTAGATATAAAAAATCGGGCAATTTTCTGAGCCCATACAAGAAAAGACCGTAGATTATGAATTTGGTGGTCATGAAATGGCTTTCTGGCGATCTTAGGATTTTTGGATGCTGATATAAAAAATGGATTTGGTGCTGCAATATTCCTATAAATATTTAAGTTTCCACAAGTTAGCCAGGGAAGGGGATGTAGCTCAGTGGTAGAGCGCATGCTTTGCATGTATGAGGCCCCGGGTTCAATCCCCGGCATCTCCACAAATCTTTTTCTACGAAACTTTTAGGTAGCTGGAGCAAAAGTGTGTATGTTTGGATGTAGTTTTGTTTACGTTGATTTCAAAAACAAGGTACAGAGTTTCCACTGAATGGATGTCTTATCGAAAAGGCATTTAGCCTGAGCGTGGACAATTGGGTCGGTGTCTCCAAAGGAATCCTACATTATTGGCTATAAATCGGTGCTTGTATGTTTGTATGTTTTATGTGTTATGTTTAGTGCCACCTCACATTACATCTCACAGTTTATCTGCATTTGTGTAACGAAATGAATAAGCTTCACAGACCAATGCGTAATTTCCCATAGTTATAAACGCACCACGAGTCCCCGCCCAAGCGGTAACTAAGGAGATCACAGTTATGTTTACTACAAAGATGTCCTCCATGCTAGCAAAAACACAACGTAGAGGAGAAAAAATGACACGTATCTAAAGTAAACCCCTTTCTATCATCACTATTAAGACTCTTTCTTGTTCGAGCTTCTTAAAGATATCCACAGAATGCAACTAAGGCATCTGAAGACGCTATTATCTCCCACGGTGAGTGTGTTTCGCTAATCAATTTTGTGATGCTAACTGATGCTGCAGATGATGAGAAGGTGTAACTGTAATTAATCACGGGTCAACAGTTACTTGCAGTTCAACAGTTACTTAATTTTATCAATATGACTCCCCGGTTAATTTTTTGACACTTTTAACCGGCTATAGAATCAGGTTTTCGCTGTTATCTTTCTTGCTTGCTGGTCGCTGGTTTCTACGTTACTAGACATGCATCGTGCAAATTACACGATCGTACAAATGTTTTTCTTTAATGTGTTTTTTGTGTGTTAAGAAACCTCATAACCTCATAAGTCATTTTTACTGATCAAAATCAATTATGTCGTTCTTTCTGGGATGTAATTATCCTCTCTGCACAGCCAGTCATGACTTAACCCACGGATGTCAAACTCAACCACAGCAAGGGCCATAATCTGGATTGAGGTCTAACCTGAGGGCCAAAGAGGGTCAACATTTCACCAAAACGGTCAACCTCCTTTTCAAAAAATATATGTGACAAAAATAGCAATGATTATAAATCATTTGGAAATTCAAATATGATAAAAAGATAGAAAATTTTTAATTTTTTATTCTATTTTTATTTATTAGTTCAAAAGATCAGAGCATGATATTCAAAATAGAAAAATAATGCATTTAAAGAGCAAATACATGACCAGAATGTTAAAAGCAGGTTTAAAAGGTCAAAATATGATCTAAAATTTAAAATTGGAATCTAAAGTATAAAAATGAAACAGGTCTAAATACTGAGTTAAACAAATCAAAGCGTGAAATTAAAAATCCAATCATGTTTGGCTGGTTACCCTGAGATGCAAAATTGAAAACATGAAATAAAACACCAAATATTTTTTCCCTCCACATTCTTGACTATTTATCAAATCTTCCTTACTCTTTAATTTCCCAGATTTTCATGGCTTTTTGAGGACATTTTAAATAATGGTGCTCAAGTTTACATTATTATACTGGAGGAAATCTGCAGACTTCATACTGGCGGGCCAGTAATAATACAAATATGATATGATTTTGTGGGCCAGATTGAATTGTTCCATGGACCAGATTTGGCCCCTGGGCCTTGAGTTTGACACCCGTGACTTAACCCAATGAGCAATAGATGGCTATTAGATGTCTAATTTTTATTTTTTTTTAGACCTAATTTCAACCATCTAGATTCTACACTCACCGGCCACTTTATTAGGTACACCTGTCCAACTGCTCGTTAACACTTAATTTCTAATCAGCCAATCACATGGCGGCAACTTAGTGCATTTAGGCATGTAGACATGGTCAAGACAATCTCCTGCAGTTCAAACCGAGCATCAGTATGGGGAAGAAAGGTGATTTGAGTGACTTTGAACGTGGCATGGTTGTTGGTGCCAGAAGGGCTGGTCTGAGTATTTCAGAAACTGCTGATCTACTGGGATTTTCACGCACAACCATCTCTAGGGTTTACAAAGAATGGTCCGAAAAAGAAAAAATATCCAGTGAGCGGCAGTTCTGTGGGCGGAAATGCCTTGTTGATGCCAGAGGTCAGAGGAGAATGGCCAGACTGGTTCGAGCTGATAGAAAGGCAACAGTGACTCAAATAACCACCCATTACAACCAAGGTAGGCAGAAGAGCATCTCTGAACGCACAGTACGTCGAACTTTGAGACAGATGGGCTACAGCAGCAGAAGACCACACCGGGTGCCACTCCTTTCAGTTAATAACAGGAAACTGAGGCTACAATTTGCACAAGCTCATCGAAATTGGACAATAGAAGATTGGAAAAACGTTGCCTGGTCTGATGAGTCTCGATTTCTGCTGCGACATTCGGATGGTAGGGTCAGAATTTGGCGTCAACAACATGAAAGCATGGATCCATCCTGCCTTGTATCAACGGTTCAGGCTGGTGGTGGTGGTGTCATGGTGTGGGGAATATTTTCTTGGCACTCTTTGGGCCCCTTGGTACCAATTGAGCATCGTTGCAACGCCACAGCCTACCTGAGTATTGTTGCTGACCATGTCCATCCCTTTATGACCACAATGTACCCAACTTCTGATGGCTACTTTCAGCAGGATAATGCGCCATGTCATAAAGCTGGAATCATCTCAGACTGGTTTCTTGAACATGACAATGAGTTCACTGTACTCAAATGGCCTCCACAGTCACCAGATCTCAATCCAATAGAGTATCTTTGGGATGTGGTGGAACGGGAGATTCGCATCATGGATGTGCAGCCGACAAATCTGCGGCAACTGTGTGATGCCATCATGTCAATATGGACCAAGCTCTCTGAGGAATGCTTCCAGCACCTTGTTGAATCTATGCCACGAAGAATTGAGGCAGTTCTGAAGGCAAAAGGGGGTCCAACCCGTTACTAGCATGGTGTACCTAATAAAGTGGCCGGTGAGTGTATATGTTTTCAGATGGAATTTAGAAGTTGCACATTAACCCATTATTTGATAACTATTTATTTCAAAAAGCAACTGTGAGTTGCATAACTGATCTCCAAGTACTCAACCAAAATAATTATGAAAGCCGTTGAGCAAAATACAATGTAGACCTCTGTTAGCCGGCTAGTCTAAACTTAGTCTAAATTTAGACGTCTAAAAAACTTTCATTTTTAGACCTGTGGTAGCCTGATTTTAGACCAGTTGTCTAGGCTACACTTAGACGTCCATTAGACCTCTTTTAGACCAAAAAATGCTCAGTGGGAAGTGTGCAGGGACCATCAGTAACTCCACTCTGGACAGATGTAGAGTCCTAGCTGTTTGTTAAAGTGTTACAATAAGTTTGGGAAAGTATAGGTGATTGATGCTCTAGGCCTCTCCTTGTTTCCTGACTGTTTGTTTTCTCCTCCCTCTTCACAGGAGGATGCAGCCAAAGTGACGTGCATGGCCTGGGCCCCAAACAACAACAAGTTTGCTGTTTGTACCGTGGACAGAGTGGTGCTGCTGTACGATGAACAGGGAGAAAAGAGAGATAAGTTCTCTACCAAACCTATGGACTCGAAGGTGAGACAGGGGAGCAGATACCCTGATGTGGTTTATAACAAATTGAATTGAACTGCTTGTATTTCGCAATGTTGGTGATTTCAAGATACAACAATAAAACTTGCAAAAGATCAAATAGGAAGCAAAGGTGACTCATCATTTATGTGTTTATTTATCTTGGATCAATAAATGTATTGTAACAGATGAGACTGGGTGATCATAATAAACCATTGTAATGTTTTTCTTTTGTTTTTTTTTTGTCTCAGTACGGGAAGCAGAGCTTTGTCGTCAATGACATGGTGTTCTCACCGGACTCCACAAAGATCGCCATCGGCCAATCTGATAACATCATCTTTGTGTACAAGATTGGAGAGGACTGGTAACGTGTTTGAGCTGATTTTACTCCCTAAATTAAAATTTATGTTGATGGTATGCAGGCTGATTTTTATACATGTTGTCTTCTCTCACAGGGGGGACAAGAAAGCAATTAGTCACAAATTTGTTCAGAAGGTAAGTACACGGTGTGGACACTTTGTTTTTGCTGAAAATGTCATATTTAAAGAGGCAGTTAATGCAGAAAAGTTCTTTACAAAGACTCTTAACTTTGATTGCTTTTTAGTGTCAGTAAAACTTCTTTCCATAAGAGTTTTTTTTGTCTATTATGATTTAACTCTTGGATGTGGACTTTTCTCACAGAGTGCCGTGACCTGCCTGCTGTGGCTTGCAGAAAACGATATTGTTTATGGGCTAGTGAATGGAAAGGTCAGTCTGCAGCATGTGCCTCACTTCTCACCAGAAACAGCAATTAATATGTTGATGATTCTTGTTGAGTACTTTTATATATGTCGTATAATTTATATATCAACATTAAAATGATAGAATATAACACATGGATGCTTGCAAACATTCAAAAATAAAAGCCCAGAGACCAGACTTTTGTTTTAAAACATTTATTTTGACTTACATGACATTGCATTTGTGATGTACTTTTAACCTGTTTGCTTGGGAGAATGACAGACTGATATGATCTGAGTTCACAAGTTTTACAGTAACACAAATTATCCCAGTAAACAGAGCATTAAATATAAAGAGATCAAACCTGCTGTGAGGGTATTTTTAGTGGATTAATATATTTTTCTCTTAGTATTTAATTACTTTTCTAAAAAATGTATGAATTTATTCTCAACTTTTATAACTTTTCCTCCTTATCTAACCTAATTCTGAGTGTTAAAATAATGTTTTCGATTACCTAACTCTCTCTCAGGTCTGTAATGCCAACACTCAGACGAGCAGGTCATCAACCCTCTACAGCACCAAGTCCTGTGTCATCTCACTGGTGTCCAAGTAAATGCAATTCTTATTATTACCAACTTGTTCCTACCCAAAAAAAAAACTACCTGTGGGATAACAGCAGTGAAGGAGCATATTGAGAGGCCTGGTCCTTCTCTAAATATCAATATCATTTGACTGATCTACAGACTTGTTGATCTGTTCCTCTTTGTTTCACTCAGTTTGTGTTATCTGTCCATTTTGTGTCAGTGTTTCAGGTAAAGGGATCCTTTCTGGCCACGCTGATGGGACAGTCACTCGTTACTTCTTTGACGATGAAGGTTCAGGAGACTCTTGGGTACCTGCAGCCTCACTTAGGACTCATCCTTATCTCTATTGAGTCTCTTATACTCATCATTTTTATCAACAGCACTATTAACTTTCATGGTACAAATTTTGTTTATCACCTTTCTCCCACACTGATGCAGGGCAAACTGCTGACACACCCGTGCCCGCCGTACGCTCTGGCCTGGGGTGCGAACAGCGTCATGGTGGGCGGCTGTGACAAGAAGTTGGTGGCTTACAGCAGAGACGGTCAGATCCTGCAGACCTTCGACTACAGCAGAGACCGGACAGAGAAGGAGTTCACTGTAGCCGCCACCAGCCCCAGCGGGCAGTCTATCGTGTTCGGCAGTTACGATCGGTCAGTCAGTGGTTTCTCAGACTGTGATCCCATCTGAGTATGAGTATGTGGTTAAAAAGTTATCCTCCTGTTGTTTTCACCCAGGCTGCGGGTGTTCAACTGGGCTCCCAGGAGAGGCATGTGGGATGAAGCAAAGCCCAAAGAGATCCCAAACCTCTACACTATCACCGCTCTAGCCTGGAAGAAAGACGGATCACGCCTCTGTGCTGTAAATACTCTGAATACTTCACTTCCATCCATTATCAACAGCACCTCCATGAAGATTTGCCGATTTCATGCCTTTATTGCTTTAGAGTAATTCCCTTATGACTGCCAGGTGTAAGGGTTTTATGACGTTTGATGGTTTGACTGGTCTTATGTGTATTTGTGCTTCGACAGGGAACTCTGTGTGGTGGAGTGGAGCTGTTTGATTGCTGTTTGCGGAGGAGCATCTACAAGAACAAGTTTGAGGTTACCTACGTCGGCCTGAGTCAGGTAGAGACACACACATCCAGGAAGTTGATAAAGTTCATGAAGGCATCAGAATTCAATAATATCACAACACAACAAGTGAAGGTGCGGATCAGCTGAGTGGTTCCGGCTGTTGATTTGGAAGATAAATCCAAACAACAAATACTCTTTAAAGATTTTAGTCACTATACTTTGACCACCGTTGAGTTTTATCTATCCTATCACTGTCCTAAGTCTCCCTTCCTTCTCCCCTAGGTGTTGGTGAGGAACCTCTCCACAGGGACTCGGGTTGTCCTGAAATCCTACTACGGCTATGAGATAGAAGAAGTAAAAATTATGGGTAAAGATCGCTACCTGGTGGCTCACACCTCCGATACTCTTCTACTAGGAGACCTGCAGACTAATAACCTCAGCGAGGTAGGATGAAGAGGATCTCCCCACCTGACACTAACTTTCTGGTCTATTTTCAGGGAAGTTTTTGCTATTTTTATGTTGAAGAATATCTGTCTCAATGTAAAGTAATATCTGCTGTCAAAACCTCTAATAACAGTAAACAAAGATGGAGAGACGTCTCACCTCTTCAGCTCACTAAAACACAAACTAACCTCCAAGATAAAACGTTAAAGCTCTCTTAGGTGAGCACAGTCCACAGCAGATAAGATTCTCATCTTAATTGTGAGCAGGCGCCCACTGTTGTGGTAATTTCTGTAACTCTGTGTTAGAGTTTGTTTGTTACTCTGCTAATCTGGCACACAATGTGAAATAAGAGCCTGACAGAGCTGTCAAACTTGGTTATAAACTCTCTTTTATAGCACCAAATGACTAAGTCAAACCAAACTTATCAGAAAATTTCAACTCTTGGATGTAAATCAGCCTGATAAGAAGTAACCGTATAACCAGAAACTGTTTTGAAAAACACTGTTCTGACGTGTGTTTTGGTTTTTCTCTTTCAGGTGCCATGGCCCGGCTCAGGAGGAAACGAAAAGTTCTTCTTTGACAATGAATCGGTACGTACACACATGTTTTATGAAAGGATGAGGAAGCCTGTCTTAAATTCATATTAGAGACATATCTACTCTCAGTTTTACTGTGATGTTTACAGCTGTTGGAGCATCTGTGACATCATGTGTGTTGAATATCTTGTTTCAGGTCCTGTCATGACTTGTTGCTGCCTCATCTCTCCCCTCTGCCTGTGACTGTGTTTATTTCACTGTGTTGTGTCTCTCCTTCAGGTGTGTATGATTTTTAACGCTGGAGAGCTGAGTCTGGTGGAGTACAGCAACAATGAGATCTTGGGATCGGTCAGAACAGAGTTCATGAACCCTCATCTCATCAGGTACATCCAGCTATTGACATTACAAAAAAAACCAAACACACCCAGAATCAATTACGTTATTCTAAAGAAGCACCACAACAGGTTTGTCTGGTTCAAAGTAACAAACACAACACTAGGATGAATATTGCTGATTGTTAGAGTCAAAATGTGAGATTCAAAGTCACAACAGAAAGTTTCAGAGTTTAAAAAGTTTGAGAGTCCTGCAATGAATAACACAATCAGTCCCATTAAGGTAAGGCGAGACTGGGGTGGATGGATGGGTCTGTAAGTTTTACTGGAGTTACAGAAAAAAAAAATCACATCAGCTGATATTCTCTGATCGGGCTCTGAAAACTGGTTATGGGTCCAAGATCTCTCCTGAAATGACGTATGGTTAACTCCTTAGATCTTTGGACACATTTCACAACATTTTTATGCTCATCAATCAAAACAGGTCACTCCTAATTGTTGTATTTCCTGCACATCCTTCAAAATTAGCTTTAATTCTTCATTGAGGTGTTTGTAATTCATGTTTTGTCCATTAGGGGGCTGTATTGAGCTGTGCAGAAAGTCCACTTGTTTTGCTGCAGGAGTATCAGATAGATGTCAGCTCACATCCTTATAAAAAGCCTCAGCCCTGTCAAATGTGTCATGACTGACAGTCTCCAGGTGACTGACCAATAACAAGAAGTTTTACTGGAGGCCCTGACTGCTCCTCGCCTTGGGCCGGACACTGTGACACGGCAGCATCATGATCAGGGGTTTTCAGTAGGGAATTCAACTGTGATGAACTGCAGTCAGAGCTGGATTTTGTCAACGTGATGAAAAAAATCCCTGAAATTATGATGACTTGTGTTTTCCTGAAGGTGTGTCCGTGTGTGTGTGTGTTTTTGCACGTGCAGTGTCCGATTAAACGAGAGGAAGCAGAGAGGAGTCGAAGACAACAAGAGGCTTGCATATCTGATCGACATAAAGACCATTTCTATAGGTAAGAATCAAAATGTGTGTTTTTGAGCAGAAATCAAGGCCCCCTGATGTTGTACTCTATGATATTTCTATGTTATTTATTCGCACCACACACCGGAATCCTCTTTCATTAGCAAAGTTATGGTTTTCCTCGCACAAGAATGACATCAAAAACAAATGCAGCTAATCTGTAAAAGCCTACAGGTTACATATGACACACAGATTAAGTTTTGTGTTTGGTTCTTGTTTGGCTTCTGTTGCAACTTTCTGGGAAATTTAATTTAGTTTTTCTAGAAACCCCGCAGGCCGGCAGACAATAATTCACACTGAAAACATAATGTTCACAGCAGAGGTAATAATTGCTCTTCATCATCAGCTGGACTGAGTAATTTCCATTGAGTGGACCACTCTGAGCAGACCATGCCGAGCTTTAATTAGAAAGTTGATGTAGTCCTGATATATCTGCAGACAAGTGACATCAACTCAGTCCCAGTGTGGCGAAGTTTTCCAACCATTGAAACTGATCAAACAGCATGATGGATTCATTGATAATCATAAGATCATTTAATAAATAGCAGTTTTCGTAAGTTATGTCGTGACCCTGACAGTCTGACTGCCGCTCGGTAAAGTCCATCTTTTTTCTTCTCCTCCTCCTCTCAGTGGACTTGGCCGGGGGCTACAATCTGGCAACCATCAGCCACGACTCCAAGATTGACTGGCTGGAGCTCAACGAAACCGGACGCAAACTCCTGTTCAGGGACAAGAAGCTGCGGGTGAGAGTGAAACCTCAGCACCCTGAGGGATCCTAAGAGGGAAACAGTGGGGGAGAGGGACCAGGCAGCTAAAAGACAAGATGATGATAACAATGGGAGAAAGTAAAGAAGAGGCAACATGAATGTTTAAAGTTACAGAGAAGCAAAAACAAGTCTTACTGCTCTCTGTTTAGCCACTTTAGTCATTATTACACTAATACAAAATGGGGAGAAGACAAAACAAAAAGAGAAAGTATTAATTATCATTTTAGGCTTATAACTTCCTTCCAGCAAAGAAATATCAACTTTTTCAATTTAGTTTAATTTCGATATCTGTAAGGGGCCTGAAGAGAATATATCAGCCACAGATTCTTGGAAGTAAACTTCAGCCTATTAGTAGAATCAAACTTGAATCAATTTGCCAGAAAATTGCTGTTACTTGTCTTGCCACTAGGGGCAGACTCCAAAAACGAGTCAGTCATTACCATAGACTGTATATACTATGGACAACTTGGTTCCACCTCCCGCCTGTAGACTGATTTGAATCCAAAAAGCTCTCGGTATTTCCGGGATTTTTCTTCATTACCTGAAACCAACACTGCGCAGTAGCATTGTACGTATTCGGCGGGAGAGTCGCCGAGAGTCGCTGTGATGACGCTCGGCTCAAACAGCTTATCCCCTGGGTGAGCCACGCGATCCCTAATAACCACAGCTCCATAAGCTTTGCTGGCGGAGGCGGGATTTATGACCTATCAACAGAGGGTGCTGTTCTCAGGGTGGCTTCACCCAGCAAGGAGGTAGACTCTGTCCATTCTTTATACAGTCTATGGTCATTACTAACTGTATTAAAGCTTCTGTGAGGAGTTTTGTTTTTCACAATTATGAAATTAGCAGAAATTCGTTGATTTGTCATGATATCCTGAAGTAGCACAGTCTTGGAAGTCCAACCACAAAATATACAAACAAATTCAAGCAGTAGCCTAATTCAACAAGAAGAGGTCTACCTAGAATTAGGTTAAACAGAAATTCAGCCATACTGGTATTTCATATTTAAAAACATGACCTTTCAGTCAATATCCCTAAAATGGAGGTCATACTTTTCTTCAGCTCTCTGTGTTGATTCAATCAGCTGAAGTAAAACTAAGTTTCTTCCTTTCCTGTCTCTGACTCGACAGACCTCAGGTTCTCATCTTTCTGAGGCCATGTGTGTAGGATGAGTGTCAGGGAGCTGTTGTCAGTTGTTGCCCCGGGGTGAAGAAGCGGTTTGATGTCCAAGCCCCGGGGCAGAGACAGGGAGAGCTCTGGTAATTGGGAATCCCTCAGTGGTTTCAAACTTTTTGCTGAAGTTGCGCGGTACATAATGACTTGGAATTTTATATTCTGGTGCAAATGTAAATTTTTTAAGCCTGGACAAAATGAACTTCAGTGGGATGAATTGTGAAAAATGTATGTATGAGCAGAAGTGGCTGAAAAGTGGGAAGTTTGAGGGTGATTAAAACCAGGAGTTTGTGGTCCTACTCAGCATGTAAATCCTACTTTAAAACAGAATATTAAAGCAAATACTGGGGGTTTCTTGTTTCAACAAAATCTTAAATCTGTGACTTTGTTTTCGTTTTAATACAGACAAAGTAGGAGGTGATTTTTCTCTTACATCCTGAAGTGTTAACATTCAAGTTTCCTTGAAATAAGAAGAGGAGTTTCAGGTTTTCTTGCCACACATATGAATCCAGAGCTCAACTGTGTAAAAACCATTTTGATGGTATTCTCTGTGATATTTTAGGATTACTTATTTCCTTAAAATTGTTTTAAAAATGTAACTCACCATCCTGGACGTGAGGGTGTTTACTAATTGCATCCAGTGAAAGGATATATTTAATTTTTTGTCCCTCATGCATGACTCACAGGACCCACACGCTCATTAGCAGTGATTTATCGCCTCTCTGTTATGCTTTGAATATCCTCAGATTCAGCCTTGACTGCCAAGTCCCGTCTAATTTTGCTGGTTTCAAGCAAACATGCATGAATCAGGATTTTAACAGATTTCTTCCATTCATTAAATGGAAAATTTAAAAACCATACTGCTTTAATAAAGCCTGAATGTTGGATATAGATCAGAACATTTGCATGTAATTGATGTATTCAGTGGTCAGTGAGGTTAATGAACTTTCCCTCAGTTATTATAAATCAGAATCAGTCGAGGTGTATAACAAATGTTTCTGTAACTGAAACTTATCAACAGGCGGCCTGTCCTCATCACATTAAAACTTTTCCAGCTGAGCCCTAGGGTGAAACTATAGATGGAGGTGCATTATTAAAAAAGGTGGTGGTGGGTGGGTGGGGGGATATTAAGGCAGCTGATTACAACAGCAGGCGGTCTCTCACACACACTCATGCGCATGAAGTGCTCAGGGAGCCACTGTACATTATAGAATGTACATAATCTCAACTCATCAGAGGAGCGTAGACTGCTGTGTGAGGACTTATATGAAGCTGCTGGAAGTTAATCAACTTTGTTCTGGTCTAATCAGCTAAACTATGCAGTGTAAACTTTCTGAGACGGGGAATAAGAAAATCAGGACCATCTGAGTGTACTGCTGATTCTCATTCTAAGTCTGAGTTTTACTAACCCCCACTTAACAAATCTGCCCAAAAAAGGCTCCATCACAACGTATTTGATATTTGACAGGCTTTGAGATGATGCCGAACAAAAATTGAGGACGTGTGCCAGTTCAATATGCTAAAGAGAGAGGAGGCATGTTGTTCAGACGAGGGCTGCTATGGTTAAATAATTAATAATTGAGTATTCTGATGATTATTCTAGTGATTGAGAAATTCATTAAATATTTTGTGACAATAAAAAATGTCCCTGTTGTGATGCAAATAAAAGATTGTCTTACTACTAGACCAGTGGTTCTCAAGTCCAGTCCTCGAGGCCAACTGTCTTGCATGTTTTGGATGTTTCCCTGCTCCAACACACCTGATTCAAATGATCAGCTCGTTATTAAGCCATTACAGAGCTTGATAATGAGCTGATCATTTGAATCAGGTGTGTGTGGACTGGACTTGAGAACCACTGTATTAGACCAAGGAAATATACTTTAAATTCATTTAATCAGCAAATTCACATCTACTTTTAAGAAGTTATCCAAATTTTACACAGGAATTTGACCCTTTAATCATAGCTTTAAAAATGGGGAGTGAAGACAGAGTAAATAATTTAGGGTGACCATACGTCCTCTTTTACCCGGACATGTCCTCTGTTTTGGGGGCTGTCTGGGCTGTCCGGGTTTGTCCAGGGAAGTTTATAAAATCCTTCAAATGTCTGGGGTTTTGTACGTAAGTTTCGAGTCTGGGTCTTGTGGACAAACTGAGTTAGAAGCACGTAAAAGACAACCGATACGACCCGAAAAACTCTCAAAATTAACTTGGTGTGACTCTGTGACTCCGCCCCCGCGTAGTCGTGTCCTCTTTTTTGGGAAGTCAGAATATGGTCAAATACTATTTATCTGTGTGAGCACAGACAGGCCTACCTTGGCCACCCTTACATTCAGTTGTGCTTCCCCAGTCAGCAAGTCTAGATACGCCCCTGCATAGTCACACAGAGGAAACAGAAAGATCTGGATGCAGTCAGACTGTTAATTTTACACAATAAAAACTGTAGGAAAAAAAATCTGATTTTGAGTTTGATAGAACAACAGAGGACGTGCTCAAACTTAACCTCAAACTTAAAATGTTAAAAAAGGAGACTCCTGAAACCAGCTTAAAACACACACATCTGCTGTAAGATATATATGAGCATCAGAAAGATGGCTGTCTATTAGCCCCGCCCTTCACCCAGTCAGTGTACGAGTGAGGAGAGGCAAGAGTCAAGACTTTAAAACTGCAACGGCAACATTTGCATAGTTTGCATAATAAAATTCTACCAATAGCCCATGCTGATGTTTATGAATGAATGAAATGGACAGCTTTGTTATTCACTGACATAAACATGTTTTACAAAGATTCAACAACTCAAAGTAAGAATTTCTGTTTTCTTCTCCTTCCTCAGCTCCATCTGATCGACACAGAGAGCCACGGAGCGAGCGCTTTAAAAACCACCATCCTGAGCTTCTGCTCCTACGTGCAGTGGGTGCCTGGCAGCGATGTGGTGGTGGCCCAAAACAGGGGGAACCTCTGCATTTGGTACAGTATCGACAGCCCTGAGAGCATCACCATGTTCCCCATCAAGGTGAGACTTTGTTTCAGTAATAAGAATAAAAGTTTCATTCAAAGTATACTCTACAAACCTAAAACCACAGAGGCTCAGTGATGGGCACGGCAGTTCTTTTGGTCTTCTTTTGACGGGGTCAGCTGATCTGCATACTTTTCAACCACTTGATTTACTTCAGCCCCGCGTCTCTGTGCTCCTCCCAAAGCTGACAGAGCAAGTGTCTTTTTAAAGCTGCTGTCCTGCAGCAGTTACTCGCCCTGGGCAGGAGCTTGTCTCTTAAACTTGCTCACTGATGTTCTCATTAATGATAAAAATCAGGCAGAGGGAGCTCAAGCTCGGCTGCACTTGGACACTATGCTTCAGACGAAAGCATATGTAGAGTATCAGACAATTGATATTGCAACTCTGCAGCGTGTCTTCCTCTGAAATTGTTTTTCTTTGTCTTCATCAGGGAGACATTGTTGATCTCGAACGAACCGACGGGAAGACCAACGTGATCGTGACTGAGGGAGTCAACACGGTGACATACACGCTGGACGAAGGTCTCATCGAGTTTGGAACCGCTGTGGATGATGGCGATTACGACAGGTACATTAACAACCACATAGTTTAGCAGAAAATCACCATCATTACCCTGAACTCCAACACCCACCCCCTGCTCCAACTACTTGCTGCTTCCCTGGTTTGGAGTCAGGAGTGACAGCAGGGTGAGCAGAACAGGCCAGATGTCCTTTTATCCCCCAGCTTCCTCCAGCTCTTCTCGAGGGTTTCTTCAGAGCTCCCAGGCCAGCTGGGAGATATAATCTCTTCAGTTTGTGTTGATTTCAACACCTCCAAAATGAGTCTGCCTCATCAGATGGATAAATTGTTGCTTCTGTTCTGACCTCTCTGAGTTTGGAGGAGCAGCAGCTGAACTCTCCACAGTCACTCTCAAATTTGGCAGCTACCATGTAGAAAAACTCTGTTTTCTGGTATGAAATGAGCATTTGTTGCACCGTGTGTCTGCATGTTTATTTTTCAAGATATGAATATCACCACCCAAAAACTTTTACACTGTAGCTGCTATGGTTATGAAACAAATGTTGCATTTTGAGGGGTTTAATAGTCTTTTTAAAGACTAGCAAGGCTGAATTATTACATTACTTATCAGCATTTAAAGTAGGGAAGTGTCAGAGTGCGATGTAAACACATCTTCTTATACTGCTTCTTACACCGTCTCTACAACACAACACATGTGAAACTGTCCTTTCTTTGGCATCATGCTTGATTATCTTGTCTCATGACTCAGCATGTCTCTATGTGTGTGTGTGTGCGTGTGTGTGTGTGTGTTCAGGGCCACAGCATTCCTGGAGACTCTGGAGATGTCATCAGAGGCTGAGGCCATGTGGAAGACACTCAGCAAGCTGGCTCTGGAGGCCCACCAGCTGCACATCGCGGAAAGGTCAGCGAGACACACACACACACACACACACACACACACACACACACACACACACACACACACACACAACCTAAGAAGCTAATTTTCATCTCTCCGAGCTAATTGCGTTCTGTATCAGTCCTGATTGTAACTGAGACTTATCTTTGAGACAAGAGAAAACAAGGGCACCTGGAGCTGTTTGACACTAACACACACACACACACACACACACACACACACACACACACACACACTGGAGATGTGTCCCTGCCTGACCTCCCTCTCTAACCTCATTCATCATCAAAGACTGTTTAAATTTCCCCATTTTTCTGTCTATAATAAGCATTTCTCTCTTTCTGCATCTGTATTTCTGTCTGTTTTCAGAAAACTTTCCTGACTTTGAACCCTCTGTCATTAATAATACATATGCTGTTCGTTAGGCTTCGGCTTGATTTGCATAAATCATGAAATCTGGGATAGGAACGGTTTTGTCTGCAGCGGGAAATGTTAATGAGGGGAGAGAAAAGGAGAGTCAGACAGAGGGAGTTTTTTTTCTTTCATGACTTTCTCTTTAATCTGATGCAACTATTCAGACGGATTCTGTAATAAAGCGGCCAAATGCTCAGATGTTTCTTTTTATTTCTCAGACCCTCAGACTCTCGGCTAATTAGACAAAAGCTTTAATTCGTCTCGGCTCATTAGGTAAAATTTTCTGACGGAGTGTTGACCAGCATGTGCGCCTTTTTGTCCTTCCCTTGACTGAATGTTTCTTTTTCTGATGTATACTCGGTTTTTGTCTCTTTGTTTTTGTTTCTTGTTGTTTTCCAGGTGTTTTGCTGCTCTGGGGGACGTCTCGACTGTACGATTCCTTCACCAAACAAACCAGATAGCGGACAAAGTTTCACAGGAGACAGTATGTTTCTTCATACTGACTTAATGCACAGCAGATAATGGGCTCTGACCGATTGCTTCACTGTCTCTAAACTCCTGTTGGAGAGAGTTAACAGAGGCGTTATAGGGGGAAACACAACAGTGACAAGGTGTAGTAGCGGAGCTGAAAGGGGGAAGCGACTCTGTGTGTGTCCATGTGGCGCTTCTGCTGCCAGGGCACAGACTGTATTTACTACGGAGAACTTGGTTCCGCCTTCCACTAGTTTACAGATTTGAAGCCAAAAAGCTCTCAGTGTTTCCGAGTATTTTCTCCACTTCCTGAAACCAACATTGCGTAGTAGCGTTGAACACATTTGGTGGGAGAGTCGCTGTGATGACGCTCGGCTCAAACAGCGTATCCCCTGGGTGAGCTAAGTAATCTTCGTCTGCCTATAGGCTGTATCAAGTGTCAATCATGGAAAATATGAACCCCCTAATAACTTTTAAAAATGGAGCTGAACAGAAAAAAGAGGACTTGAGCACAAACCAGTCTTACAGTAACTACATGTCAACATCACAAGCAGGGGGAGAAAAATTTATATTTAGTGTAATAAATTTCTAGAGTTTGTCCACAGTTCCATAAGGATTACTGGAGGAGGCGGGATTTATGACTTATACTGCAGCCCATCACCAGAGGGTGCTGTTCTCAGGATGGCTTCACTCAACGAGGAGGCAGACGGCGTCCATTCTATATACAATCTAAGTGCCAGGGCTTTAGCGCTTGTGCAATGCTATAGCACAGTGGTTCTCAAGTCCAGTCCTCGAGGCCCACTGTCCTGCATGTTTTGGATGTTTCCCTGTTCAACACAACTGATTCAAATGATTAGCTCGTTATTAAGCCATTACAGAGCTTGATAACGAGCTGATCATTTGAATCAGGTGTGTTGGAGCACTGGACTTGAGAACCACTGTGCTATAGCACAATCCAAAGTCACCCAATAGGACACCAGTATTATATCTCAGTGTAAGCAATAGAGGAAAAGTCTGTAGTTGGCCCCAGTGCAAATACATTTTCTGAGCCTTTCTTGCCCCAAACAGAGACGCACACTCTTGTACACCTATGCGCCATACATACACAACCACTTGAAGCACACAATTGGTGTGACTGTATAAAAACGTTTAGTGCAACTCTTTCTAAACCAGCCAATGATCAGAACAATGGAGAGCAGCCATAGTGACACATTAATCTGCACGAATCTATCAACCTGTCTCTAACCACCACAGGCTGATTTCTTTCAAGATGCTGCGAGGAGTTTTGAGCAGGTTATAAAACAGACTGACTCTAATTCTAGTTTCCATGCTGTGCTGTTTTAAACCCGCCTTTTTACCTATTAATATGAGCAACAAAGACAAATGATGACATTTTTAAAGAGAGGCCTTTTTACAACCTACAAAAGCATTGAAGACCATCAGTGATAGAACTGATTTCTTCATATAGTTATATCTGCTGTGTAAAATCACAGGTAGGTTCCATGTAATTTAATTAAAGCCACTATAAGGAGTTTTTTATGCTTATGAAACAGACCGAAATTCATTTTAATGACTTTTTATGATATGTAAAAGCAAAGAAGAGCATCAGAGAGAAGTTTAAATGTGGGTGTGTATATGTCAACAGTACAGTCCGGTATATTCCGTAGTCAGAGCCCTTCTCTAATATTTCTTGAGTTAATTAAACTGATCTAATTTCCTCAAAATGGCTGAATAATCACTGGACTTCGTGGTGTTTTTGTTTGGCCAGGGAGGAGATGGGACAGAGTTTTTTGAGGTCCAGGCCCACGTGGCGATGCTGGATAAGGACTTTAAACTGGCAGAGATGCACTACATGGAGCAGGTTAGTGACACACCTTCTCTTTTCCTCACTTAAACAAAATGTACAAAAGCATAGGAAAAATTTCCACATTTTCATATAAGCAGTAATGATCGACGATGAAATTTTGGATCCATTCATCATGAGATTGTAACAACCTGAGTTTTATCATATGCAGCACCTGAAGTTGTTGCTTTGATTACGCTGAACTCTTTGTTGTAAGTATCTGTGTTTTCTGTGTTTCTGCAGAATGCTTTGGATGAAGCTATAGCCATGTACCAGGAGCTCCACATGTGGGACGACAGCATCGCTGTGGCTGAAGCAAAGGTAATGATGATCACTCTAAATTTATACCCTACAGCTCCGCATTTGAGAGAGCGGGTCCCTACTGCTGCTGCTGCTGCAAACTTCAGCCTTTTTTGGTGCAGCTCTTTGTTGCCACAGGAGTTTATTTCATTTTGAAAGAAGTAAAAATCACCACTGTAAGGAATTATTTCCAAATTCCTCATCAAATCCCAAGAAAAAACAAAAGCAAATCACTTTTTCTCCTGTTGCCGGACCAAATGTTGAATGTCATAAATGTTGGATGTGTGGCAACATCAACAATAATGTTAACAGTTAAAATAACTACAACTATAACAATAATAATCATGACAAAAACAGTGTAAAGAAACAACAGTATTGATTACAGCAATAACAACATTAAACAAAATCAGCAATAATAACATAATGATAACAGTTATCATCAAATTTAAATTGTAATGGGACCCAGAATTGATCCCTGTGGGACTCCACGCAGAGAAGCAGACTCAAATCAAGAGGCTTTTTCTTTTCTTACTGAATTTAAGTTTTTTTTTTAAATGTCCTCAGGGCCACCCTGAGCTGGACAGCCTTCGTGGGAACCGTTACCAGTGGTTAATGTCAACGGGTCAGGACGAGAAGGCCGGTGAGGTAAAGGAGAGTGAAGGCGACTTTCAGGGAGCCATCAACCTCTACCTGAAAGCCGGACTTCCTGCTAAAGCTGCTCGCCTCGCCATCAGCCGGCCTGAGATCACCAACAACAGTGACACTGTGGGCCGCATCGCAGCCAGCCTCATTAAGGGAGAGTTTTATGAGCGGGTGAGTGGACTGTCTAAATATCCTCTCTCTCCTTTTTTTCCTGCCTTTTTCTTTATCTCTTCTCCTGAGAGATGCCAGCAGAGAAGTATCGACAGAGAAACAACATCTTTCTTTGTTTATACAGATTTACTCTCTGTCTCCCTCCATCTGTCTGTGTCTTTTTCTGTCTGAAAACTCTTTTATTTCTCCTCCAGCCATCTGTGTTTGTGAAACAGGTAGAAGAGAGGCTCTGGAAATCAGAGAGAAACTTTGTGGAATGTGTTGCTCTCTCCTGATATTGCAGGGTTTCATTATTTTATAATTTTTAAAGACAGATCTTTGTGCTTGAATGTGTTTTTTCAGCTTGTGGCGGCCTACATGTCCTTGTGGCTGTCTGTACATTTTCTATAAGTTGCAAAGACTTTAGAGAAGATAAGTAAGCATTAAACTATTTAAAAAGAAAAATTTTGATGGTAATGGTGGTAAAAGTAAATGTCTGTATTAGACATAACTGTATGAGGCAGTTTGCTGTGCTTTGACAGTCCCCCATACATCCCACCTCAACTATTTCTCTGGTCTAATATCTTATAGAGGAATTTTGGATCTTAAACGAAAATTAAACTCAATGAGTCAAACTAAGAAAAAGCCAGAAAAGGACTTCTTGAACTTTATAATCACAGTTAAGTTGCGGGTCATCATCCATTCCTAATAATATTCAAATTTAGGGTTGATCATTACCCCTGGGACCCCTTTTGAGATGATATTGCCTAATAAAATAATTAGATTAGATTATTTTAGATTAGATTAGATTAGTTTATTTAAAAGGGGACAGTGCAATTTCATAAAACACAAGATTACACATGGTTAAAAAAAGCCAGAATTAGCCATAAGGCTAGTTTTCATCTGTAGTCCCCTGGCCATGATGTGAAAAAGGCAGTAAAATTACAATTTAAAAAAGAAGAAAAGAAAAGAAAAGAGAGAAGAAAAAAAAACCAACAAAAAAATAAACAAACAAAAAAAATTCTTTGTTGTGCTTTTATTTTGATGGTTTTTTTTCTGTCTCGTTCTACCTGTGTTGTCAACCTATGCTTTTATTTTGAAGTTGACTGCCTTTGCTGGATCATTGTGGCAGAACTGAACAAAAATATAGGGTCAGAAAGTAAAAATGTTTGGTTAATCAGTGAGTAAAAGAGGCGTCAGCTCCGACTCTGTTTTTGACTTCACAAAAAATTCTGTATATCAGTTTTAAAAGAGCCGAATCATCTCCAAGAAGGCTGCTTCAGCTAGCTCACTATCAGTCATCCACTTCTTCTTCACCTGTCCTGCTTATTATGAGGTGTGGCAGCCAACATACAGGACAACTACAATGATGACGCAATATTACTGTGTGCTTATTATTTTGCACGATATCAACATTTTTATTGTCAACATATAGCTCTTGTTTGATATTTTAAATATTTAGCGTTTACTGTCAATGCTTGAACTTTTGAGGCCTATTAAAACACACTTCAGCTACCAGAATGGGGTTTTCTACCATGTAAATTTGTCCTTATAAACTTTATTTATGTCTCCTGAACAGGCCGGTGATCTGTATGAGAAGATCAGAAACAACCAGAGAGCTCTGGAGTGCTACGTCAAAGGAGGCGCCTTCAGGAAAGGTAAATCACTGGTGAACTGGTGGCATTCAGAGCTAATCTTTTAATACGTCAGAGAGTAAAAATCTCTTATCACACCAGCATGTTTTCATTGTTAAATAGCTCAAAGTTCAGCCTCAATGACCTATTGTGATGTTTGTACAAAAGTTACAAGTTCCTGTGACATGTGACAGGATGTTTGCCAACGTGTTGCTGTATGTTGTGGAGTTGAGCGTTGGTAAATAAAGTTTCTCTTTCTGCTTCCTGTAGCGGTGGAGCTGGCGCGCCTCGCCTTCCCCGCTGAGGTGGTGAAACTGGAGGAGGCCTGGGGAGACTACCTCGTCCAGCAGAAACAGATGGACGCAGCCATCAACCACTTCATTGAAGCAGGGTACGAAGTGTTCAGGACCAAAAAGACAAAGATCTAGGCAGATGGAGAGAGGGAATGATGAAAAAATTAAAAATAATCCAATGGAGACCGCCAATTGTTCTGTAAATCATCACCAGGACCACGACAGAGGGATGAGAAGAGATATCTATAAACCTGATTATGTTCTTTCCCCAAAAAACACCAAATAAGGACAAGTGACCAGCACACAGACTGCTATTATTTCCTGGTTGAAAAGGCATCTGAGGCTGAATTTTGACTTTGAGAACAACAAAGGTTTTAAAAATAAGACTTCTGCTGCTAGTTCTGCCCGATAAAGTTTCAGCATTTGCCTCAGAGTTAACAAAAATGATCTGGTTTAACTTAAAAACTGAGAAAATATATTGTGCATTTGGCTGCCTATCTGTTTTGGTGTACTGGTTTAACCACATTCATTGAATTTTAGGGATAAAAACAGAAGCTATACTAAAGTTTGTCTGTTTTCTTTGTCGTCTGTTGCCTCTCAGCTGTTCCCTTAAAGCCATTGAAGCTGCCATTGCAGCCCGACAGTGGAAGAAAGCTGTCCACATCCTGGCATTACAGGAAGATTCATCAGCAGGAAAGTACTACTTAAAGATCGCCCAGCACTACGCCTCTGTGCAGGACTATGAGGTAAGAGATCAGAGAGGATTATTTAGTGTTAAAAAGGTCAAAGAATGAGGCTGAGGGGACAATGAGGGGCATGTTTTGTGCAACAGGGTGAACATTCAGTTTGCTCATGTGTAAAAGTTTCTTCATACTCCTGCAAAACTGTTCATTTATGGCAAATACAATGGTAGCAATACCTTAAGTAACTGTACCTCATGCATATTCTGCATAGACGGATCTGAGGTCATTTGAGTCCAAGGTAAGGTGAGCTCTTTTGCAGCCAGAGGAGTTCAAAAAACAGTGACAGGTTTTCACTGGTGACTCATTCCTAAGCATTTCTCCAAGGATATATTAGGGCACCTATAACACACACCTATACAGACACAACCTTGAACACAAAAATAAACCTCAGTTCGGTCTCCATGGAGCAGTGAGTGGGCTGTTTCTTTGAGGGTTTATTGGCAATGATAACAGGTCAGATGGTTTCAACAAAAGTTGCCAAAACACCAGAAAAACAGGACTGATGAAAAGGAGAAGATGAGGATGAATCTGGTATAGATACAAAGAAAAGAGAAAAAGGAAGAGAGATGATGATGACGGTGAAGCTCAGCTCATTCTGATGAGCTCAGCTGAGCCAAACAGCCTCCACAGACTGCCAGCCTCTGAAAATAGCAGGCCATTTCAGTCTGTTTGCTCTATGGGCATATTCACAGAAAGTAATTAAGATAACAAGCTCTTTGCTTTCCAACTTGTGGAAGTTGCAGGAAAAGTATGATTCGGTTTCAAACTTAAACAATGGAGGGAGCTCACACCTGTGATTTCAATACAGAAATTATCAGTGAAAAAACAATGAGTTAACATTTTTTAATCAGAACAAGCGACCAAGCGGCACATACATTTGTTTCACTGATACTGGTGTTAGCACAGCTTCAATGGAGTCAAACTTCTCCTTTATGGAGCAAAAATCGCTCTTATTGAACTCATGAACGCTTCCATTTCCCAAACCTGCCATCTCTGCTAAATTCCCCCGACAGATACACATGTCCTCCCCTAATCACCACAATCTCCCTCCTCTCATACGAACAGAATAATGTGAGGAACTAATTTTGCATATAGTTTTTTAAGTGCTGTGAACCTTTTACAATCCCAGGTCTTCTATCATTTCTTTTTCTTTATTATTATTCTAAGTTCAAAAATCAGAAAAAGTGTGAGAATCTGTCTTTGTTCAGATTGTGTTTCACTGTTTATGATTATGTTAATGTCTGTGTTTTGTTTTGTGTTTAAATGGCCTGCAGCTGGCAGAGGAGCTGTTTGTGAAAGGAGGTCACATTAAAGATGCTATAGACATGTACACTGCAGCAGGGCACTGGGAGGAGGCTCATAAGGTCAGTGTGGATCATGATCTAACATGGTGTGGAATAAAAACAGTCTAATTCCTGTTTTTTAGGTTATTTTTCAGACAGTGGATAGGATTTAAACACGCTTCACAATTAAACCCATGAGCTAAACCAGGACCTGAGACTAAACTTTGTGCATAGTCTTGAGACTTTTGAAGTTTTTTTTTTTTTTTAGAGGGATATGAAAAAGGTAACTTGATGAGTTTCAGTAAATAAAGATACACAAGCTCATTTACGATAACTAAGTTCAGTAAAAGAGGAAATCTGCTAAAAACCACAGAAATAAAAGCAGAGCAGCTCCAGGGTCTTATAAGCCAAAGTGAAAAATAAACTTCTGAATATATCATATACAATGAAATATAATTCTAATTTATTTTACCAGGTGAAAAAAATCAACAAAAGTGTCAGGGAGCGGCTAAGTTACCTACAAGAGGTTGTACCTTAAATGAAAAATCAAGATTGTAATGGTAATGACTGATACAAAAAGCACAAAATTGCATAAAAGTCTGTAGAAAACTTATTTTTAGCTAGCAGTTAATAATGACCTTCAATAGTTAAAACTTCTGTGAGGAGTTTTTTGAGGATGATGAAACAGACTTTAATTTAAATCGATGCCTCTTCATGATACCTGAAGACGAACACGACCGTCAGCTACATAACTGACCATGTTTATACCCAAAGTTTTCATGCCTTAAACTGACTTGAAGGGGTAAATGTCAGAGAAAAACACTAATTTTCAATAAAATATTCACAATAAATGAGAAATTCGGGTGTTGAAGTCAACAGCAGGAGGGGGCGCCAGAGCGGACAAAACCCAGAAGTCCCTCACAGGAGCTTTAATTACGAACATTTATGTTATAACTACATTCTTAAAATAACAATATATTTAAACAAACTAGAGAATAACAAGCATGTGATTCTCTTCAAAAATTTTGGCTGTAAAGCTAAACAAAAGAAGAGAAATACAAAATGACATGAAAATACCCAACCTGACCAAAAAATTCACTGACACTGAGTTTAAAACAGCAGTGTTAAAAATGGACAAATGGCTTCAAAGATTTCAAGGCTAAAAGAGATTAAAGAAAAGCATAATGATTGAAGGGACTGCTGTGACTCGACTAGAAACCAGGATAAGTTTTAAAATGTTTTTGTTTGTATTCTGCAGTTGGCAGTGAAGTGTATGACGGAGAAGGAAGTCATGGCTCTGTATATCAGCAGAGCTCAGGAGCTGGAGAGAGACGGAAAATTCAAGGAGGCCGAGCGGTAAACAGAGATCACTTTATTTATAGCAGTTTGTCACATCATACGCCGCTGAATGCATGGATAATGGAGAGAAGCAAACTAGCATGACTGTGTTTGAAGCTGTCTCACGATTAGAGTGAGAAAAACAGTATTTAACCGCTGACAGGTGGTAATTTCAGACGCTGTTTGGACTTGACTGTCTTTTCAATTCTTTCCATTATGTCAAGAGTGTTTCACAAAAAAAGGCGCCTCTCACAGTTTTTGACACTCACACTTAAAAAAATAAAATGACTGGACTACGAATGATTGTCTGTGTGTGTGTGTGTGTGTGTGTGCGTGTGTGTGTGTGTAGGCTATTTGCCACAGTAAAGCAGCCCGACTCTGCCATAACCATGTACAAGAAGAACCGGATGTTTGATGATGTCATCCGCCTGGTGGCCAAACATTACCCTGACGTGTTGACAGAGACCCACAAACACCTGGCCGAGGTAACTACAGCCGTGATTTAGGACGAAATCATGTCACTGGATTATTGAAAAGCATTTAAATCCATCTTTACAACTACAGAGCTAACTATATTTTAGGGATGTGTGAGATCCCGACCAGAACACTATCAAGAGAGGAAAGAAGGTCCCTTTAAATATTATTGAGACTACAGTGTGTACAGACCACTGATTATTCAGCTGTCTAATTATTTAACTGAATGTTTTATTTGTTGTTATAAAATATACATAGCTTCTATATTTAGACTATAAAATACAGGGAATGGAGGAGAAAAGTATGTTTTTGTTATTTTTTTTATGTTTATTTCCATTTAAAGTCAGCATAATCAGCTGCTCTGCAGTCCCCCCTGTCACCCAGTGTGGAGTCACCATTTTACTGTCTTTCCAAGACAGAAACAACAGTTTGGCTATGATTCCTCTCAATCTTTTGAAATTGCCAGATTTGTTTTTCCTGGAAGCTTTTTTTGAGCAAAATTGACAGCCTACCAGCACTCAGGTGTTGCTCTGTGCCGCCATGCAGGGACGTGCCCCGAACTTTTTGACTGGGCTAGCCAGGATGTATGTGCACACAGGTTATTAGCATTCACCGTATTTCTCCTATTTTTTCATTTTTAACACTATCAACAGAGGGTTATAGAGACGATTCTTTGTATCATTTTAGAAGATTGATATATAAGAGGCTGTCTCAGCTGTCACTGGGCAAGAGAGAGGTTACACCCTGGACAGGTTGCCACAGCTGGGATAGGCTCCATCCCCCAAATTTTCTATATTTTGGGGGCTTATATACATTAATATCAAAAAACTTCCCATCAAAGCTTTAAATGTATTCTCAGGAGTGCTGGATACAAAAGAGTTCTTTAATCCTTATATAACGAAAGGTAAAAGTGTGTGTGTACAGTGCACCCCTACAGATGACACTAATGCACCATTTTACATTAGTTATGTTGAGATAAAGTCACATATAGACCCTTTAAGCTCCAGGAGGGCAAAGAAGATTTATAAGGAATCCCAATAAGGTTTAATCCCCGAGTGTTTTTACTTGCTTTTGTCAGCAGCTTCCACTTTTTTTGCTGTGTTGCAAACTGAGAAAAACGATTGCTGAAGGGACATGAAATCTACTTATCAGCACCTCTATTTAGGACTCACATTCATGCACTTGAATCAGCTTTTTTTTTTTTGTAGATTATCAATGCTGCAGCGTGCTCTTTTGTGCCACCTTACTTCGCCTGATATGTATGTTGTGCTCATGTGTGGTGTGACTGTGTTGTAGGAGTTGGAAGCTGAATCCAGGTTCTCAGAGGCAGAGTACCACTTCATGGAGGCTGGAGAGTGGAAAGCTGCGGTGCAAATGTACAGAGTCAACGATATGTGGGAGGAAGCATACAGGGTAAATACGGTCACATGTATTCTGTGGGCTCACCTGCTGTTGATCTCAGGCTTTGGACTCTGAATGATCAAACTGTGATTGTATGTTTTAGAAGTAAACGTCTCATCCCACACAACATACATTTACAGTAATGTTTAATATTTTATATATTCAGTGTTAGAAATGCTACATTTGTAGAAAAAGTACTTTTTCCTGCACACTGTCAAAAGTAATCAAATGTCATACCATCTAAATGAACCATTCATGCATCATTTCTGCTGCAGACTCAGTCAACTACATAGAAACAGATGGATTTTTCTAACGCTTTAGAAACATGCCAGACTTTCATTTTAAGGATAGCTGGCTCATTAACACAACATACAGTATATAAAATAGTCCTTGGAGACGAGCCACAGAAAGAAAGAGATGCAGTCGGTTAATTCAACAATATGACAACATTTACTGATAGCTGCCAGAATAAAAAGCTCTGGACAACTTAACTTTTCCGGTTATATACGTGGAAACAATTAAAATAGATAAGAGTGAGGAAGTTTGGGATTAAATACTTAAGTCCAAGTCCAGTTTACCTGAGTCCAAGTCCAAGTGGAGTCCCCACTATCTTAGTCCTAGTCAAGTCCGTTTTACCTGAGTCTAATTCCGTGATGAGTTCACACTCGAGGTCAAGTCCAAGAAGAGTCTCTTTATCTGAGTCAAGGTAAGAGTTAAGTCAGTACCAAGTTTTAGTCGTGTACCTACAATTTAAGTCCAAGTCCAGATTAGGTCCCCATTACCTAAATCCACTTTCTAGTCAAGTCTCCAATACCTGGGTCCTAGTCTGAGTCAAGTCATGCTTTCATCCAAGTTCAAGTGAAACCCCCATTTTCAGAGTAAAAGTCCTTATTGTTAAAGCTCAAGGGTACAAGTCCAACTCCAAGTCCTTAATGCCTAAGTTAAAGTCCAAGTCGAGTCTCCATTACCTGAGCAGTAAGTCCAGTCAATACTTAATGCCTGAGTATGAATTAGGTCATTCCTCAGTAACTCAGTCCTTGTCTTAGTCAAGTGCCTCAGTCCTGCATCCAAGTTTGTGTCAAGTCCCATTACCAGAGTAGTCCAAGGCCTGACTTTATAACCTAAGGCCAAGTCCAAGTCGAGTCCTTGTTGAGTCCCCCACTATCTGAGTCCAAGTCCCAGCCAATTTTATACAAATACATGAAGTATCATAAAATAAGAAGAGTACAGTACAGATGGGTGTAGAGTTTGTGCTTCTTGTTGACTGTTTATTGCTGTTGTGTTGCTGAGCTCAGAGCAGCTTTATACCTTCAACCAAAGGTTTTTTTTCTCTTAGTTTATCTGTGCTGAGGGGCTGAGGAACTCACACTGCTGCAGGACTCCTATAGACATAAAAACATGTATATATATGTTGGTGTGTGTGTTTGTGTGTGTCAGGTGGCAAAAAGCCATGGAGGAAATGGAGCCCAGCAGAAGGTGGCGTACCTGTGGGCTCGCAGTCTGGGAGGAGAGGCGGCCGTCAAACTGCTCAACAAGTTTGGTCTCCTGGAGTACGCCATCGAGACAGCGTCCAATAACCTGTGAGTTTCTTAACAACACACAGGGGACCATTAATATTCACACACATCCTGACGTTTGCATTTAGGATTTCAACCTGCAGCAGTGCTGTATAATGTCACATTTGGTCATCGTTTGATTAAATTTGTCATGATTTCAGTTTCTTTATGTCCTCTCCAGCTCTTTTGACTTTGCATTTGATTTGGCTCGTCTTTCATGCAAAGAAAAGACTCCTGAGATCCACCTGAAATACGCCAACTTCCTGGAGGACGAGGTAAATACGCTCATTTACATAACTCATGTATAAACCATGGGTATTTTTATTTTACTGTTACTGAAGTAACTTTGCAGGGTTTCCAGCTCAAAGAAACCCTTTTTTTTGTTACAACTGGCATCTGGGAAACCCCTTATTTCAGCCTCTGCCTTATTTTGTACGGTGGCCCTGAGGTGCAAAACACAATGGCAAATCAGAGGACACAACACAAAAAGAGAAAACACAACAACAAATCAGAAGACACAGAACAAAAAGAGAAAAAAACACAACAGCAAAGAAAACACAACACAAAAAGAGAAAACACAATGGTAAATCAGAAAAAGAAACACAAAAAAAGAGAAAGCACAGTGGCAAATCAGATAAAAACAGCACAAAAAGAAAAAAACACAACGGCAAATCCGAAAAAAACAAAACAAAAAGAAAAAAACACAACAGCAAATGAGAAAAAAAAACCACAAAAAAGAGAAAACACAACGGCAAATCAGAAAACACAAAACAAAAAGAAAAAAACACAACAGCAAATCAGAAAAAAAACACAAAAAAAAGAAAACACAACAACAAATCAGAAGACACAGAACAAAAAGAGAAAAAAACACAACAGCAAAGAAAATACAACACAAAAAGAGAAAACACAACGCTAAAACAGAAAAAAACCCACAAAAAAGAGAAAACACAGTGGCAAATCAGATAAAAACAGCACAAAAAGAAAAAAACACAACGGCAAATTAGAAAACACAAAACAAAACAAATATAAAAAAACAACAGCAAATAAGGAAAAAAAACATAAAAAGGGCAAATCAAAAAACACAACACAAAAAGAAAAAAAACACAACAGCAAATCAGAGAACACAACAGCAAATCAGAAAACACAACAGCAAATAAGAAAAAAAAGAGAACGAGAAACCACATAGGCAAATCAGAAAAAACAGCACAAAAAGAAAAACACAATGGTAAATAAGAAAACAACACAAAAAGAGACAACACAACGGCAAATAAGAAAACACAATGGTAAATGTTGTTGGGTTTTCTGATTTGCCGTTGTAATTTTCTCTTTTTGTGTTGTTTTCTTATTTACCATTGTGTTTTCTGATTTGCTGTTGTGTTTTCTGATTTGCCATTGCATGTTGCACCTCAGGGCCACCGTAATTTTGGCAACCGTTCCTCTAACATAAAGTAAGACACAGCTTGTGGGTGTGGCTTTTTACACAGCCTTGCAGTCATGAATTGACCTGAAAGTCATGCCTTTACAGAAAACGTCTGGGGCTAGCTGTTAGCAGCTATTAGCTCTGCATGTAGCAATCATGTTAGCATCTGTTAGCTGTTGTTACATGAGCAGCTACTTACAGTTTGTGGTTGCAAGCCCTCATGAAAGGTCCTTGAAGATGGACCAGCAGCAGGTTTCACAAAGAGTTGAGGTGCATACCCAGCTTGTACTGTCCTTTGGAGAGAAAATAGCTGAAAAGAACACTTGAGATCAACTCACCAAGACAAAGAGTGGAGGACAAAGACGAGCGGTGAATCAGACTTGTCAAGCTTCCACTTGGGCTTGTCCTTCTGCATTGTCCTTATGGTATAACAGAACCTGGCAATACGCTGTGGCTGTGTCTCGAAACAAGCATTGTTCATCATCATCCTCATTATAGAACTTTGCAGTTTTCTTGTTTGGACACAAAACACCGTAACACCATATAAATCAAAGTAAGAATCGGCAAAATAGGTCACTTTGAACTGCACCAGCCCAAAGAACAGATTAATTCCTTCAAACTAAAAAGCATCCGTCTTGAATCTTGGATTACATGAAGTATTTCTGTCATTTAGCCTCTTTTGTAATGCAATAACATGTCCTCTGATTATTTCATGTTTCAGGGCAAGTTTCCCGAGGCTGAGGCCGAGTTTGTCAAAGCAGGAAAACCCAAAGAAGCTGTGCTCATGTAAGTACACATAAGGGATGGTGATCAGGTTGTCATGATGGCAGCATTAACCAACTTATCATACATTACAGTTTACTGCTTATCATACGGCTACTTACGTCATTAGTCTCTTGAGACCTTTGACCTTTTCACTGCTGTTTCCATGCACCTATTTCAGGCATTAAAGGTGACAGTAAAAGAGTTGTTCATTTTGTTGCTGACAGCCTTGTTTGAGACCCAGGTTTAGAAAGTTTCAAGTTTATTTTTCCATTTCTCCCCGATGGGTTTCAACTTTTCTTAAAAAACGCGGGTTGTTTTTGTGGTTATATTTGGGCTTGTGTTTGTGAACCGCTCCAGGTACATCCACAACAAGGACTGGGCCAGCGCACAGCGGGTGGCCGAGGGACATGATCCAGAGAGCGTGTCCGAGGTTCTGGTCGGCCAAGCCACATTCTGCTTTGAACAGAAAGAGTTCCAGAAGGCTGAGGCCTTCCTGCTCCGAGCTCAGAGACCCGAAATCGCTATTAAATATTACAAGGTGAACTGCGGGAGCCAAAGAGGAGCTCTTACTGCGAGAATTATTTTTACCCCACTGAAAATTTGCTCATTTTTATGACTTTTATATACAATCTTAGAGTTTGAAGATCACACTTTTGTTAAATTCTTTTATCTCTGTGTTTATCAGGGTGCAGAAATGTGGACTGATGCCATGCGAATCTGTAAGGAATACCTTCCCAACAAGCTCTCGGTGCTACAGGAAGAGTATGAGAGGGAGACCTCAAAGAAAGGAAACAGGTTAGACTGAGACCGAAACAACAACGAATCAGAGCCCATTTACATTCCAGGCAGCTTGAAAATGTTCATAAATTTGATCCTTTTTCCTATTAGATTGAAAAAACAACTCAAAATCTCTGCTCGGCTCAAACAGACGCTGAAAGTCTTTTTCAAGTTGTATCAACAAAAGCAAACAGCCTTGAGAACCAGACTCACAAACAAAGACGAGATGTTTTCTTTCAGATGAGTTTTGACTTTTTAACCTTGTTTTGTTGCAAAGAATCCTTCAAAAGGCAAAAGAGAAACATTAAAAACCCTCGTTTGACGAACATTTGGCAGTCCCTCCCCACTCACCCTGCAGTATCGTCCATGCACAAAGAGCTGGTTTGATGCTTTATTGAAACACAGCTCGAGTGCTATCCCAGATTGAAACTACCAATGAGGAATATCTCGTTAGCAGGCAGAGCGGCATCATCCTCCTCCCATCCATCGCTTCTCCCTCTTTAATAACTCCTGGGAGAAAAAACATCAAAAGTTACCAACGGAGACGGACAAGGAAGAGGGTTAAAGAGAGAAAATATTGAATTATTGCAGCAGTCTGCTGCTCGGGCTCCTGATGAAAAGTGTAAAGGCTTCCCATTTCCCACAACTGAGATCAAATTCAGTTTGCTTGGAGGTGATTCCTTTTCATGAGGTGCTGAAAATGGGGGCATTTTGAAGGACATAGACCTGAAGCACAAAAGACAGTGAATAAATACTGGGTAACTGTGACTCTTTGGTGCTGCAGCAATATGTTATGTGAAAGCCAGACGGAGTAAGGCTCTGATTTGAGCATATTCTTCTGCAATTACTTCCACCAACATGGACTAAAATAATAATCACATGAAGACAGTGTTTGTCACAGAGGGTTCAGTTTCGTATGATCAGCCTTAAAAAAATTATCTTACAAATATGAGGTACTATTGCTACAGTGGGTCAGGTTGAGTACTGTAAATTCTAATCCTATCTATCAGAATATAAAATATACAATATATGTGGAAAACTGACACACAAGCTAGGCTACAGTTTTCTGCAAGTCTCCCACATGATTTATTTAATTTTTAGAGACTCATCAAATGTACACTCCACTAAGATTTTCAGCTCTGTCCTTTGCCATTAGAAAGCCTATTTGTTTGGGCACCAATAGCAGACACAACCAACATAAATACTACCCTGCATGCAATGCAATCAGCCGGTATGCTCTATGGTATATCAGCTTTGCTTAATATTTAGCACTAAATGCAGCAGACACAGTAGTGGCTTCATAGTTTGTTATTTCCACTCATTTTCCCCCTCCAGCAGCTAACACAGTGTTTTATTACTTTGTAGTAAATAACCTTGAAAGCCGAGCACTTCCTTTAAAGATGCACTTCCATTCAGCTTTTCTGTTATTCTGATTTAACTCCTGAGTTTTAAAGAGAGTTGGTAACCAACTGCGGCGTTCAGTACAAAAGGGAGCTCTGGCAAGTTGCTGCTTCGTGTGAACATCTGGTTAATTTTGATTCCCAGAGATCCAAAGGTGCTGTTGTTACCAAGTCTCACAGATACACAGGCTTTAGCCAACAGTGAACACACCTGCATCACTTTCAAATAATGAAGCAGTCCTTAGAGCAAATTTGGCTCGTGATTAGTACAACCTGAGGACCTCTGGTGATTTGTAAATTAACAGTCTGATTTATTTCAAAAAGAAGTTGCTCATGTCCAGAACTATCTTGTGGATTAGTGGTTGCTGAGCATTATTTGAGGATTTCTATATGTCCTGGGATATGATGAGTGATTGCAGGCTGCTGTCTAATGAAAATAATGAAAATAAGGGTCATTGTGTGCAGTTATGAAACAAAACGGTTTCACTCGTTTTGAGAATTCAAACTTGGAGGGAAACGACTTTTCTGATCATTGATTCCCTGGATATCAGGAGTTCTTGTTCAGGGTTTCACAGTGCTGAAAGTTCAAATGCACCTCAGCTGACATGTTCTTGTTTTTGTTTCCTTGTGTGACTCTTATTTATTTATTTTTTTTTCAGAGGTGTAGAGGGTCTGCTGGAACAGGCTCAGGAGTGGGAGCAGGCAGGTGAATACTCTCGGGCTGTGGAGTGTTATCTGAAGATGAAGGACGACTCCAACACCAACCTGATGGAGAAATACTGGATGAGGGTAAAACACATTTACTTTGGGCTTTAACACATCAAGATATTGCTTTGGGTCTAAACATACGTAGAGGCTCTAAACTGACCTGCATCCTCCGTGCTTTTGTACTTTTATTGCTGACAAGCACCTTGAGCAACCCCACTTCAAAAAATGCTGAACTATTCCTTTAATTCTTGCTGTCCACCCTTTCCTGTGGTAGAATTTCAGGATGCAGGAAATTCTTGGTCTTATCTGCTGCAACTAACTGATGAAGTGAGCACAGGGAAAATGTCCACATCCGCCACTGTAATGGCTGAATGATAAAGTAGACGTATAGTAGTGGTCGACCTTCTCCCTGAGGGTAGAGGTCACAGTGTCACCACCATCAATAGATGACCTCCCAGGGTTTCACACCAGTTATTGTGTGTTATCGACCACAGCTCTGTGCAGATCCGATCATTTGGACTTTGAATAGCAGCTCTGATGGTGTTGCTAAAAGAAAGGTCACTAGGTCCCGCAGATCAATAGCTTATTTTTTTTTCCTTTGGCGATCTGAATAACAAAAGAAGAGAAAGAAAGACTGACTGTGTGTTTTCAACAGAGAATTAAACCATTTTTTCTTCTGACCCTGTTAAAAGCGAAGGTCCAAAGGTTGATCCGCCGCGATCAATGTGTGCATTACATCAAAGCCTGAACACACACACACACACACACACGATTACAGCTTCTTTATTTTAAAGAAAGAGTTAATGTAATGGCCAGAGGCTGGTTTCAGTCTTATCCTCTTCATCTTTACAAACGGTTTTATAAAAATCAGAATATTACAGTATTATCCTCTTATATTAAGCAGTGGATTCAAATCTACTCAAAAAAATTTTGGTTGGTTAAGTCAGTGGTTCTCAAGTCCAGTCCTCGAGGCTCACTGTCCTGCATGTTTTGGATGTCTCCCTGCTCCAACACACCTGATTCAAATGATCAGCTCGTTATCAAGCTCTGTAATGGCTTAATAACGAGCTGATCATTTGAATCAGGTGTGTTGGAGCAGGGAAACATCCAAAACATGCAGGACAGGGGGGACTCGAGGACTGGACTTGAGAACCACTGGGTTAAGTCACTGAAATCTGTTCAGACTTTTCTGATTTTACAACCTGGATTCTGAACAGATTCTGATTGTTTTTATGACAGTGCAAAAATGGGGTGTAACATGTTGAAACTAGAAAGCATTTTTTTTAAAGAAACAGCTGGAAAGAGAAAGTAAAACACTTAGAAAGTTTGGTGACACTTAAAAACACCTGGAAGGACATCTTGTGCCTAATTAGGTGTATTTGCAACAGCTTGACTGGGTACAAAAAGGGCATTTCAGAGAGGCAGTGTGTCTCTGAAGTAAAAATGAGAAGTGGTTCACTCCTCCGTCAGAGATTGGGTGAGGAAAAAGTTTAGCAAAATGTTGTTCAAAAAGTGCAAAGAATTAAAGGATTTCATCATCTTCTGTACACAATATCATTAAAAGATTTTAAAAAATCTAGTAAGACTGGAAAAAAGACATGACTCTGTAGTGGAAATCACTGCATGGGCTCTTTTACACATAAAAAAGACTTTAAGATCTATGAAAGCTACTTACAAAAATAAGTAATCATCCTTATTATGCCAGTGGAAATACAACATTTTTATTTGATTGATTTAATTCCCTCTATTTTGGTAAGACAAAAGACGAGTGTGTTTGTGTGTATTTGTTTGCGTTTGTGCGTTCCCAGGCCGCAGAGTTGTCCATCAAGTTCTTCGGTGGAGATCGAGCCATTGAGGTCGTCCGAGTGGTTGGACCGCGACTCACACAGCTCAGAAAGTATAATGCTGTGAGTGAAAACACACACACACACGCACACACATAAACACCCTTTTATGCAGCATATTGAAATTTAGGAAGAGCCAACATTATAAAGTTCAAAATTGTGTGAAACTAAAAATTTCTCTGTTAATAAAAGAGACCTGGCGTTCAAGTTTCAACGGTAGTATTAAAAGAAAACACTTCAAATAGAAAAAGTACTTCTCGAAAACATTGTTTGTGTTCATCTCTGTGTTTATTACAGGCTGCTGAGCTCTACTTAGACCTGGACCTCATAAAAGAGGCGATTGATGTCTTTATTGCTGGCGAGGAGTGGAATAAAGCCAAGAGAGTCGCCAAGGAGCTGGAGCCCAGGTTTAATACTGACCGTCCATAACACACACACACATGCATGCACAAATATTTATACATTTAAAACACATTTGCAAATGGTCCAGCTTTTATTATAGAAATGATAATGGCAGGATTTTCCATTTCTCTTCTTTGAACAGTGTCTAAATCCTCTGATCTCTTTCAGGTACATGGACTACGTGGATCAGAAATACAAAGACCACCTCAAGGACCAGGGAAATGTCGACTCTGTAAGTTCACTGTCGCTCTCTGTTACAGAATCATTGCCAAATTGGGACAAAAACAGATGCATGAACACTGTGGAAACTTGGATTTTTTTTTGTGTGTGTGTGTGTCCAGCTGGTGGGTGTGGATGTCATAGCAGCTCTGGACATGTATGCAGACAGAGGACAGTGGGAGAAATGTCTGGAAACAGCATCCAAACAGGTAATAAACACATGATCAGCTTTACAGTCTGTTGTTTCATTAAAGCTCCTGTAAGCAACTCTCAGTTTGTGTTGATTTTGGCGCCCCCTGTGATTGAAGCAGGTCTTGCAGTATTTTCCTATATTTTTGTGTGCACAGAACAGTTAAATATATAATGTGTTTTTGTAGTGTGCATGATCCCATCTTTAAAGATGAAGACATGATGTTTAAGTTACAGTTACAGAAATGTGTCAGTCACAGTTTAGAGGAGCTGAATGTTAACCCATACCACAGACCACCACTCCTAAAGTCCCAGTTGTGTTTCATCAGAACTTTAAGATCCTCCAGAAGTACGTGGCTCTGTATGCGACACAACTCATCAAAGAGGAAGACCCCATAAAGGCTCTGCAGCTCTACATTCACCATGGAGCACCACCAAGCCCTCAGGTAGACACAGCTACTGCCTAAATTTGTCTTTTTTCCTGACGACACCAGCACCAACGTTAAGATCTGTGCTGTGCAGGGAAATCTTTCTTTTTGTATACTACATGGATAAGGTTTGGTTTATCATTATCATCAAAAAACTTTGACCCCCAAAATACAACATAACACAAGTTTTTGTTCTTTGAAGAGCTTCTGCTTTTTTAGACTTTGGGCTCTATTTTTATGTCCACCAGCGGCGTGGCGCAGGGTGGTGCACCTCACGCAGTAGTATTTTAGTCCAGCACAGCCCGCCGCACAGCCAGTTTGTTATTTTGGCAGACTGAAGCACACTGAGATGCACCAAGCTGGGCGTGGCGGTGCAGTAGGGGGAGGTGTCGACAGAATCAGCTGGCTCACTGACATTTTTGTGCCTGCTGGCGGCGTAGAAAGTGCGCTGAAAGCTCGCCGATTCAAACCTGGTCAGGTTTGGCGCAGGCAGCGTGAAGATGGTATTTTGGTAGACCGGCACAGTGGTGCGCACACGCCACCAATGCCGTCTCCCCTCCCTCTTTCCTACTTGCACCACTGGGAGGAGCTTTGTTAGGAAGGGGGGCTACCTGCACCATTCAGGAAAATACCAAAGTGTGCTTGGTTACACCTCATGGGCGCGGCAGACCTGCCTTACACCGCACCTGTGCTATGCTGCCGACGAGGCACGAAAATAGGGCGCTTTATCTGGTTTGTTGGAGCAAAGTGTAAACAGTCTTCTGTTTTTTCTTACTCTTAGAACTTCAACATCTACAGGCGTCTGTTCCTGGACATCATCAGTCTCTCTGACACTGATGCACCAGAGTCTTACCACATGTGGGCCGACCTCCGCAACTTCCTGCTGCAGCTGGTAAATCACAGCACATTCATAAATAAATACTTGAAATTTCCAGGGTAGTCTGGAATTAACTCTAGATTTCAAACTGTCTATTCATTTTTAACCGCAGTTTCTGTGTTTCTGGGGATTTCAGTGTGAGAACATGTCGAGGTCAGCCGAGGCCGACTCTGCTGCTCGTGATGACTTTGAACAGTTCCTGCTGATTGCTCACTACTCCGCCACAAGATCGGCTGCGAAAGGAGTCGAGCAGCTAGTACGGAATACACACAAACACGCAGAGAGAAACTTACATTTTAAATGGGTTTATTAGGCTATAAAAAAGCTCTCTTCACGTTTTTAAATAAAACTGAGAGGTTCATTGCTTTGTTAGTTTAATATTTATATCAGCTCTTATATATGACTTCTCCCTCTGTTTTTTTCAGATCACTATCGCAGCCAAGCTGTCCGTGTCTTTGTTGCGTCACACTGAGCATATTCCTGCAGATAAAGCTTTCTACGAGGCCGGGCTGGCCTGCAGGGTTAGTGCTGTTTAACTCTTTCTCAAAATATTCCCAAAACTATTTCACTTTATTGTCTCAAGTGGCCTAAAATTTCTCATACTCTCTACTTGAAGAAGCATAATGTGAAATTATTCAGATATATTCCTGCGAATTTTCTATCAGGAATGGATATGCAAATTCTGCAAAGATTAGAAGTAGATTTTCTTTCTTTGGGTTGTCAGAGTCTGTAAATTCATGCAGGGGGGAAAAAAAGCACGGATTGTTTCAGAATAGAGCTCTGAAGGTGTGAATCAAACTGTGTGGGGCACCTTAAAGAAAACATGAACATGTATGTCAAAAGATCTAAACTTAAAATGACCATCTGCTGTTTGTCTGACTGATGCATGAACCTAAATGAGCACCTGGTTTATGATGTGTCTGTTTTTGTAACCCATCAGGCGGTCGGCTGGGAGAACATGGCCTTCATTTTCCTCAATCACTTCCTGGATCTGTGTGACGTAAGTGAACCAGAAGATGTGCTTAAAGATCCCTCCTGACACTATGCGACAGTTTAACAGGAAAATAAGAGTTTTTATGAACCGGTTCTGTCATGAATTTTAGCAGCAGTTTGAAGCCTGTTTTTTTAATCAGTTGAAATTCCTGATGGATTGATGATTTCTGTCTCCAGGCGATTGATGAGGGGACTTTGGACGCTCTGGATCACTCTGACTTCATGGACACTGACATCCCCTTTGAGGTCCCGATTCCCTCCAAACTCTGCGTCACTGTAAGACTTCTTTTCCACAAACACTTAATCAGACACACACCTTTGAATATGTATCATCCAAATATAACTCGGTCTCACTCCACTGCTTTTCATGCAGGCCACAAACACACCCTGACCTTGTGTATACATGTGGGTATATGTGCGTGCTTGTCTATGTGTGCCTAACAGGACGCACAGCGGGAGCAGATCCGTGACTGGGTGTTGATGGTTTCTATGGATAACCGGTTAGAGCAGGTTCTTCCTCAAGATGAGAGAAACTCGTATGAAGCTTCACTAGTGGCTGCAAACACCGGCCTGCGCTCTCTGCCCTGCATACTCACCGGTAACACACACACACACATCATTGTCTGATCTAACACAGTTTATTTTATTTAAAGGTCTTTGGGTCAAACTTTAAGGTGCGAGTTTGATCACAGAATTAGTCACAATCTTATTTTTTTTTAAAAAGGGTTCCGCTGGAAAATATCTACAACAGTTTCATTTTGTTTTTACACGTATGCATCAGTTATCATGATGTATTTATTTTACCTGCAGGTTACCCTGTGCTGAGGAATAAGGTGGAGTTCCCACCTGTGGGGAAAGCAGCCAACAAAGAGGACTGGAACAAGTTCCTTATGGCCACAAAGGTGAGAACAGAGCGACAGGCAGGTGAGATACAGCCATCTGAGGCTGTAAATACAAACTCAGAAACAGTCAACCAGGTGGGTTCACCCAAATATATGCTTTAAGTGAAATGAGGGGAGTTCAGGCCCACAGGTTTGACCAATGAAGGCAAAATTGTGCCAAAAATGACACACGTTTATCCTTGGTCAGAGAGGTTGTACCCAGTCCTCTTGTATTTATTCTGAAATGCATTCAAATGTATAAAAATGTGAATTTAACACTCACACATACTGATACATTCACACACAAACCTGATCATTTCCCACTTTTCTGTCCTCTCTAGACCACCCACAGTCCAGAGTGTCAGGATGTCCTCAAGTTCATCAACCAGTGGTGTGGAGGTCTGGGGGCATCTGGGTTTTCCTTCCACTGATAAATACACACTCGTTCACTCTCCTCAAGAAAGAATCCTGACTGAATTTTTCCCTTTTTTTGTTTGAGGTCTGACTTTTTTTCTCCAGGACTCAAATCCTGGAATTCTGGTCCAAATAAACGCACAGAAAAAAGCACCTAAATAAGTGAATTATTTTTTCAGGTTAGACCGTTCTAAATTCTGAACTTTTTCTTTAAATTCTGAATTTAATTTAAGAATTTTGAATTTAATCAGAGAAGCCCAGAGAGGACCAACAACTATTTTTTTTCCATAATATATTTATTTATTTTGTCAACTTTTTATTTACATCGACTCTTTTTTTCCAACATTTATCTCTTTTCCATTTCTGTCTTCTTTGAATGATATAACATAAAACACTACCCTTTGTTTTTCATAGTCATTTTTAATTTAATAGCATATATAACCGTTATAACCAGCCTTCACAAAAAACACCTTTACAAGATGTGGAATATGAATGTAAACTCCTGCATAAGACATTAAACTAATATCTATGTTTTTTAGATACTGCTTTAAAATTTGCCTTGATACAACCTGAGAATTCAAGTTTCTTAGAGTATAAGGAAGCTTAACAAATGAGAGACGCACAGTTTCACTCTCTTGTTGAGGGTTACATTAACAGGATGGCACCACCCTCATGCTTATAGGATTGTGATTGAGGCAGTCTCTGGGTAAGGCTGGCTTGGTTTAGATCAACTCTCCTCTCTCTTTGTTATTGGAGGTACATAACAGTAAATTCACACAAACCACACACCCGCTTAAAAGACTTTTTCTCAGGATGGCGTTTGAATGATAAATTCTACTCTGATAAACAGATTTTGGATGGCATGTGGAATGAACTTTTCATGTGCACTCATAGATGAGGTCTTTTCTCTGTGTGTTTCAGGAGCCAATGTTTGGCAAAGCCTTTCACTGTGTGTTTGATATTGAATGTATTTTGTTTAAAAAGTAAAGAAATAAAGATAGTTTTCAAGAATTTCAAATCTTGTGTAGCTCTGTTCTTCATTTTCAGACTAACAGGTTTCTGCTGTCTGTTTCAGAGCTGGTCAAAATTCACACTGATACTCTTGGAATTAGAAGTTTTCCTCTCATGTGATCCACGCACTTAAGACACTGTTATTCCTTAATTTTGACATTTCTACTGTTGAAATAAAGCTGTATTTCACTAACAAAGACCACTCCAGTAATGTTGTGTCGTTCACGAACGATTCGTTCAAAAGAATTGAATCTTTTAAGTGAACGTACTGAACCAAATCACTTCCTCGAGTGATTCGTTCGCTTCTCACTTCAGTTGAGCTGAAGTGAGAAACAGCATTGCTAGGCCAGAAGCCGCAGAACAAGGGACCACATGCACCGATGCCAGAATCACTTGGTGAACGAATCACGCATTGAACTACACTCTCTGGAATCATTTTTGTCGGACAAAACTACCTTTTTTTTCACTGCTAAATTGCCACCACAACATCTCGCATACAATAGGACACAGCATGTATCAAGTGGTGCATTAAACCCGCAGCATTCTATCACTGCAGCGGTTTGCGAGGGAATGGTGCATGTTCAGTGTGAATTCTTCTAAACATTCAGTGAACGAATCACCCAATTTACTCAGCAGACCTGGTAAATAGCATACTATAGGACAGTACACTTAAAACATCATGACTTATAAACAAGTTCATCTTTACAAACCTGTTTGCCATAGCAACACAGCCAAACACTCTCGTCACCTGGTCCCAGAAGCTATGAACTGAACTGAATCCTGAAACGTTCAGCTGTGTATCAGTTCAGGAGGTCGGAGTCGCAGGCTTCTCCCACTAAATGATTCGCAGATTTGGTGAACAAATCTTTTGAACAAATCTTTTTAGTGAACTGATTCTAGTGACTCAGCACATCTAAAAGAACTGCCGTGCCCATCACTACACTCCAGTAAAGGTCTGTATTCCTTTTTAAGATGTTAATGATATTGCAATAATTTGCCAGAATCTGCAGTGATTTTATCTTGTTTTTCCAGCAGCTGCTAAAATTGGCTGTTATAAGACCAAAACATGAAAAGGTAATCTAATTTTCAATGTTTTTTTTTAGATAACATTACATTCAAACAATCTTAACACCTCTTGTGTATGATTTATAACTGTATTGTTTGTTTGATATTTGCAAGAATGTGGCTGAGTGCTAATTGTGGCTAAGCTAAAGCTAAACTGTGTCACCTCGTGGGAGCTAATGTTAGTATTTAACCTCTTTCAACTGTCAGCTGTTGTATTCATCAGAATATTAAATATTATCACTAACATATTGTATAACCGGGTAGAACATGTGAGCAGCAAAATTGGTTTATGTTTTTGATCAAACCTGTTGATATAATTTATAAATAATAGCCCCTGAAATCATCTCTTTAATACACACTTTGGGAGCTTAAGGTGACACCTTCATTTGCCAGTTTCTTGCTGAAATTCACAGACCAATTTCACACTGAAGTCTTCGTTTCCATCTCTTCTATCTTTGCAGACAGAATTTGCTCAGGCTTTGACTGTTTATCATCTGAAGACATCATGGCAGATGGGACAGTAAAGGTTTGTCTGTGGTTTTTATATTATTCAAGAGTTTTGGAGTTGTGGTCTGATTCACTAGATGAAGTCACCTGCATGTCAGAGTGTTTGTACTCTAGTTCTCCCTCCTGAAGTTGTGCTCTGTTAGTCTTTCTGCAGTCATTGCGTGGGAGTCACCTCTCAGTGGAGGAATAATAACTCAGGTGAGTCAGAGACAGGTGGAGAGTTTTTCCTCTAAATGCTCAACAATATTTAACAGGGGTGTCTTTAATTCCGCTGTGTTAGCGTAATTGTTCGGAAGGATATTGCCGATTTCCCTCAGAGGCACTCTGACTCACTCTGCCGGGATGATTCAGGATCCATTTACAGAAACTTTCAAACTTAACACTTTAGAGAAAAATTTACCTGCACATATGATGAAATATTTTTCAGGTCTGTTTTTTCCTCAAAGTCCAAAGAGTTCATTGATATCATAAAAGAATAAAACCAGCTGATTTTGCTGTTTGAATTTATACTGCTGCTTTTTACTTAACTGGCAGATTTTTGTTGACCTTTTTATATATACATACACCTGGAAATTTTGGCCAAACTATTACTAAACTGTTGATGGTTGTGTTGCATTATGGGTATTGTAGGCCCTAGGTTTTCTAGATCTCATGAAAGTGGGAAGAAGAACTTGAGAAGATTGTATTTCTTTCCTTGAAGTTTAAATGTCCACCACTAAAATAGAGACTAAATATAAAATCATTTAAAAGCCATTGTTTCACTATTTGTTGGGGGTATTATATGAAGGTGTCTGAGGCCATTAGTCTTGTGTATATTGTTTTTATGCTTCCTCTTAGTGGCAAGCTGTAAACTCACAGCTCCAAACTATGTGGTAAACACACAACAGTATTTATCATCCTTATTGAGTCACTTCAGTTCAAAAATAATTGTGAGTACTGAACTCAGATTCATGATGTGGGAAACTGAGATCGAAAAGTAAAGTCACTCTTTAACTCCTAAACGAGTTAATAAGCTGCTGTTTCCTAACTTATTTATAAGTGGTGATATTTGATCAGTTTTACGTCTGTGTTTGTCTTTTTACAGTATCATTTGATCATGTGCTGTGAAAAGGCTGTTCCCTCAGTGGACCTCCCCCCTCACAGCAGTTATTGTCAGCATAAATATAATAATATAGAACCAGTCAAACTTATCATCGATTGTCTTGCTTGCTTTTTTCTTTCAAAGTGATGCATTACTCTTCATTTCAGGCTCATAAACTCTTAAAAAAACTCCACACTGGAGCATGAGAGTAAGTTAAAGAGGTATATAGTATTCTCAGAAGTAACAACAACCTTTCTTACCTCCAAATTCAGTAAAAATGTTAAGGTGAAAAAATAAGCAAACTTAATATAGACGACAAAAAATGACACAAATTGAAATTTTCTGACTCCTTTATTTCATCATTCGGCATTCATAAAAAAAGAACATTAAAATTCATTTGATGTGGTGTACACACATAATTCAATTATCCTCCCTTCCTTATTCATATTTTCTGCAAATCTCGTTCATCTTGACTACAGGAAAAAGATCTAGTACAAAATCTAAAACATGTATCTGGTCACTTTTGTAAAGGAAAAATCTACTTTAAAGCTCCTATAAGGACCTTTTTGTTTCTGTCTATTTTGGCGCCCCCCATGGACAAAGTGGTACCTCTGTTTTTGACCAGAAAAATAGTCAGTTAAAAAAAGAGGACCCTTTAGTGATTGTCGTAGTGGAAAATGGGCAGATCAGTTTTAGCAGTGTACATTTTAAGCGTTAAGACTAACAGCTGTTTCAGACATGTAAACGATTGTATAGAAACAGACAGTCTCTATGCTGATGGTCTTGTTGTCTCTTGTAGGAACTGAAAAGATCTCTGTTTTAATTCCAGGTTAGGGATTAAAAGCTTCATTAACAGCTAAAAACTCCTCACAGGAGCTTTAAGCTTAAAATAAATTGAATTTTTTTAGTTTACTTTAGCCTTTGTGTGCATTTATCCCGTTTTCGTCTTTATTTACACTTTAGTCTTACATACTATAGATATGCTTTACAAACCATATTCTACACAAGACACCTACAATATCTAGAATTCAATATATACTGTTTTGAGGCATTTTGAACCAGTTTCAATGACCTGCAGCCAGAAACATGATATTCACTTACCAAAAGATCTTACATGAGGTTCAGCCTTTAGAGTTTCTGGATGTGGTTATGCTCTCCATGTACACAAGCTGCTACATTACATTATATAGAATGTATAGACTGCAGCCTGTTTCCCAGCAGAGCTTCTATACATCCTCAATCAATACTAAATCCTGCATGTGTTTGAGGAAAATGCATTAGTAAGTGGTGAGTAAGTCAGGAGATTTCCTGCTCTGCTGCATGAACACACTCTCCTACACAGCTCTGCCTTGAATATACAGTTTACTGAAGTCACATATGAGGGCTTTACACCTGCACTCATGATGACTCCTGTCAGTGAAACTGTTATAGGCAGAATCAGTGTTAGAGTTATAAACACAACCTAAAGAATTTCTCGGACCAGAACTAAGAGTTTGAGTTACAGAATTTTATAAGTTAAAAAAGAAACATCCCTGTTTATTCTATTTTAAATTATTCTTTTATTTAAACTCAATGATATGGTGGCCCTGGAGTTTGAATGGGGAAAAAAAATTACTGGATGCACATCAATTTCACGAAGCACAAATATTAAAATACAAAAATGCCACAAAAATGTATATCAAAGAAAAATCACAAAATGTGAAAAACAGCGAAAAATTTAATAAATACAATAAAAATATGTACATATAATGCAAAAATATCTCAAAAATTAAAGGAATTTACAAATTAAGGGTTTTTTTTGTTAGTTTATTTTACAATAAAATTTTGTTTTTTGTATGTTTTTTTGCTTTTTACCATGTTTCAGGTCTACATGAATAATTTCTTCATTTTGGGGATTTTTTTTTTTTTAATTTTTTTGGTATTTTGTGAAATATTTTTGAAATGTTGGCTATCAGTTTGATTTTTGTGCATTTTACCCTAAGGACCTCCATATAATTTGGATTATTTGCGGTCTTTGTATGTCCTAAAACCAAAATAAAACTGTTTTTGTAAGTGTTCAGTTTGGTAGGTCAACATCTTGTGGTGCTGAAGGAAAACAGACAAAGACAGGTTCAGCCTGTCTGACAGAAAAGAGAACAAAGATTTTCGTCTCTGTCTCCTCTCTTTTCCTTTAGTGCAGATTGTCTACATTTATATGAAGTGAAATATTTTTCTACAAAGCTGCTTGTGACAGATTGTCCTGACTCAAAGTAGCACATTTGATTCTCTCTTTTCTTTCTTACAAACCTGAATTCATCTTTTCAGTATTTTATATATCTATATATATCATTCTATACTGCATTTATCTCCTTTTTCTGCAGCATTTCAGAAGCTGCTTTTCTTGAGCTAAAGCTGGATAAATCAAGGATGTTTTAGGATATTCACATGACCAGAGTGATGGACAGTCCTGCATTCCTAAAGAGGATAAATAAGAGAGGATTTTTATGATTCAGGAGGCCGATCAGGAGGAGGAGGAGGGTGATGTAAGTGAGAGGCAACAGAGAAGAAACACAAACAAAAATGGTGGCAATGTAGCAGAGAGATGGACGCAGGGTGGATGAAGCAGTGCTTTTAAAGAGCATGAGAGTCTTTTTTGACTGTATTGTTGTGTTTCTTCATTATTTAGACTCGTAGAGGCTGTTTTTGTGTAACATTCATGCCGATGTCAGATGCCGCTGCACTTTACGTTAAACTCAAGCTGCAGGAAAAGAAGTAGGATGCGGATTTTACTCATGTAAATTCTGCAGTTTTCCTACCAGATTAAACTCTCTGTCTGTCTGCATGGTGAGATTATTTTTATCTGCAGATACATGAACATGCACAAAGTCTCAGTGATGACAACTCTGACCCTGACATTTAGGGATTTTTTGGTTTACTGTAATCTTTAAATCTTACAGAGCCGAGAAACACATTTTCAACCCCCCCAACCCCCATTAAAAAAAGAAGAAAAAAAAAGATGACAGCCTGGTGGAAAGAAACTGCAAGGAAAGATTTCAGCTGGGTCTCAGATGGCTGCCATTTAAGGTAACACAGGGTATTTTTCCCATCCTCTTTATTTATGTTGACAAAATGTTCAATTTGCTGTCTAGAACAAAGTTTTACAATTTTAATTAAAATTGTGTATTTTTAAAGATGTGTGAAATAATGAGGGCTGTATAGAGTGGACCATTAAGTCTCTTTTTTGGTTTGAGGCATCATGTTTGCTCAAATTATTAACAATTCGAAACACTCTTTGCTCCTATAGTTACAATTAAGTCTAAAAGTATAATTTCAAGTCGTTTTTACTCTGAATGAGGCCATCATTGACAAAAATAACCTGATGATTCATTGGGGAAGACTATTTTAATTATGAAACCATTACAAAAAAGATTTACAGAGGAAACATCAGTTTACAATCAAGCGTTGCCCCCTGCTGGTCACAAGAATTAGTACAGGTTTAAAACACACCCATATTGGCCTTAATTAATTAACCCACTTGTTTTACAAAATGTGCAGCTGTGATTTGCAGTGGTAGAGAGGCTTTTGCAGCAGCCACTAGTGGTTGTTAGTGGTAGTGCACCCAACTATTCCACCAAAGCATATTTTTTTCAGCAGTGATGCTTCCGAAGTCCAGAAGAAACACAGAAATCCAACATCCTAAGTGTTTTTTTTTTCTATGCTACATGTGTGTTTCATTTTCCCTACTCAGTTTTGCACATCCTAACATGGCCACATGAGGCGCTGTTACGTAATGTGAACACTCCCAGTCCAGCAGATTTTTTTAGCCACTCTCTTGGCATTCACCGCGTGCCTTAATTGTATGGACATTTAAATCAAGGTCCGCTGTGAACACGAGGAGAGATGGCCCAAACTTTACAAACATTTTCTTCCATATTAATGACATTTTCTGCCATGTGGCGCTCTGACCTTGTTTTTGGTCTTGGTCTTTATCCCTTTTTTTTATCACAGTGTGCAGCTTTACTTGGCTTTGTCCAGGTCTGTTATCCCTTGTACTGTTTGAAGCCTCAAATGACCTCAAAAAATATGAAATATACAAATGTTGATGAGTTACAGGCCTGATATCATTATGTACAGCATAAAAAATGTCTAAATATGTGTGTCAACCCTGGTGAATGTGTCCTATTAGATTTTGGTAATACAAAACTGGTAATACTTCATCCTACTGTATGTTGTAAACTCACTTTCAGGCCTTCGAGTTTGTTAGCTTAACAAATGCATGTTGTGCTGGCTTCATTCATGGTGACATTAACTTGATAAAATGTACATAAATCTAAGATTAGCAAAGTATGTAGTGAAAAACTGGATTTTCAAAGCATTTACACTGTTAATAGAGTCTGCAGTACGATTAATGCTGATTATACTGTAAAACAGCATTAGCCTGACTACAATGAATTAAAGTACATGATGTATTAAAGCAGAATCAGCTCGCTCACAACACAAAAGCAGCTCTAACACCCCCTCTTTCTGCAGCGCTCTGTCTCCTCCTGCAGCTCAGGACAGTTTAAGATGCTGTAAAGCTCTATAGATATGTGTGGATGTTTGTGTGAGTGTGTATGTGTTGATGTTGGCTTTAAGATAAGCTGGCAAGGATGTCCTGCTGACCTCCACACAAGAGGCCACATGCAGAGCGAGGTTATAGCAAAGGATGCTAAACTGACTAAATCAACCTTTTTTTCCCTGCAAATTTTGTAAAATACTTTACGGCGTATTTGCACAACACTAACCTAAATAGAAAACACAAGCAATCTGCATGTTGTAATCCTGATGCTACAATGCTATTTCTTTTAAAAATAGGGCATCCAAGCAGCCTCGGGTTCACATTAATTTCTCACCTTGACATGAAAAAAACAGAATAATGTCAATATGCTGCTTTATTTTACAGGCTACAGTGAGAACAAAAGACCTGAAAATATAAAAAGAAGAGAGAAAAATGCCGTCTTTGGTGAAGGATGTGTTATTTTCTGCATTATTCCTCTGATCATGTGACCTTCTCCTCCAGGTTTATTTTTGGCCCCTCTTGCTTGAGATCCAACACTTCAAACTGCATCACATCGACTGGTAATGCAATTAAAGCTCCAGTTTAAGCACAACATGTTGGCTGAGATGGACTGTCTATCTGGAGCAAGTGTTATTTCATTTTCATGAAATGAGTGCAAGCTAAAAATGGCTTCCTGGAACATCTGAAATAATGCAGCATGAAAAAAAGGGAGCTTAAATGTGATGTGAGAATGTGCAGAATTGCAAAATGCACAAATAAGGACACGGTATAGTCCTTTAAGCAGCACTGCAGCAGCATTACAGCATTATCCTCCATTATCCAGCAGCAGCAGCAGACATAATGCACGTTCTTATACAGCACTGCATTAATGACACAGCTGCAGGGAAGGAAGCTGCTGCTGCGATTTTACTCCTTATCCCACATGAGTACACAATCCTGACAGCTCCAAAAACATCCTCTCATCATGTCGATTTTGCTTCTGTCTTTTTCTTTTAAACTCAGCTGCGGTGAAGGCATGTGTGATGCTCAAAGGCTCTCCGGCAGAGGGGAAGGCATGGACCCATCTGCAGCCTCATTACCCGCTGAAATGCTAATGACCCAGATAGCTCATGTTGGCTAAAATGCAGAGGGGAGGGAGATGAGGGAGAGAAAGGGGAGGATAAGGGGGGGTGGGGGGTGGCTGCCTTTGTGGGGGTCGGGCGTGTGTATTAAAGCCTATATAAAAAAAAATCTGAAAAAATGGAACACATTAACAGAGACAGAATATTAAAAAGACTGAAAATATGAATAGTTAAATGTCCCATTTACATTACATTTTCATAGCTTGAATAATAGATGTAAAGTGTTTTATGCAATTAGGACACCATAATGCACCATGGACTATCAAAATGCAATACTTCAGAGGCATTTTTGAGTATTTATAGTTGAATTTTGCAGCATATCATCTTCATTTTTCATGTTTTAAAAAAAATAGTCAGAAATAGAAATTCCGCAGAGCAGGAAAGCTCACTGCGGATTTTGCAGGAGCAGATTTAGCGCCAATGAAAGAAGCTGACGGAGGTTTAAAAAGGCCTAAACCAAAATAAAAGCTTTTAATTCACCAATATACACCGATGTATCAACTTGTGAAAAACATTTAACAATACCTTTTGTGGTAGGATGCAGGATTTATGGCGCAGTTTTCTATTATTTAAACTAAACAGACATTTAACGGTGTGAGCCCAGACCTCCATAAAAGCACCGATGCGAGATGTTGTGTTTGCCCGATAATCGAACGCTTTCACCGGCTTGATTCGCGTGCGCAGCCCGGTCCGCGGCTCCCCTCTGGATGTCCATGCAAGGATGCTGAGGATGCGGGTGGAGAGGAGTGATGCTGCGGGGGATGCGGAGGTCGGTGCGTCCTCTTTTTCTGCAGCAAAACCAATCGCCTTGCCTTTTTTTTCTTCTATAGATAACTCTTCCAATGCAAATAGTCCAAATCCAGAAGAGTACAGGAACCGAGCAACATCCTAAACCCTCCGGAATCAGGTTTTGTGTGCGCTGGGTGCAGTCAGGAGGTGGAAACTGTAGCTATCTGAGAGGATGGAGGGAGAGAAGTTGGGCGCAGTCAGAGGGAGAGAGAAGAGAGAGGAGGGGAGGGGTGAGAGGAAGAGAGGGAATCAGATGATCCAGGTTTTTTACATCCTCAGTTCCAGCTCCCAGTTCTGTTCTCTTTCTCTGCTTTTCATCCTCCTCCTCCTCTGAGGATGGAGGGAGGATAGAGGGAAAGCTGGAGAGCATCTGTGTCCCGAAAAACACAAGTGACACAGAGCCCAGTTTAGCTGGATCTGACTTAACGGTTTCATAAAACAAGATACTGCCCATTAAATGGAGCAAATAGATCCACAAACAAGTAATAAAACCACAGGAACGATTGTTTCAAGAACATACCCATTAGCCTGATTCTACAAAGGAGACTTCTGAATCTCTCCTCCTTAGATTTGGCCAAAAAAATCTGAAAGACCCTTAGATTTTTCATAACAAATAATTTAATCAAGTCTACGCGTTATAATATATATATATATATATATATATATATATATATATATATATATATATATATATGGAAATAAAAGCATAACAATTTTAAGGGAATTCAGTGGCTATTCAAGATGTTATGGGTGAAGACAATGAATTAGCCATTTTAGTTTGCTAGCCTAGGCTTAGCTAGTTCTGAAGTTGAAGCAGGCGAGTATTTTTAGCTGAACTTTTTATCACAAGACAAACCTTCAAAGCAAACTCAAATAGAATTTTTCAAAAAAAAAAAAAAGCTAAAATAATCTTAAAATCATCTTACTTTTTTTAACAGCAAGGCAAGCTAAGCTAGCTCAATATAACTATTAAGGATGAGTTAGCCAAAACAGCTGTGATATCCAAATCCTTCATCATAGGACAAAACCAAAATATCCCCAGAATTATGTTGGATTTTAAATCTTCATTTAAGAATTTAATTTAGCATTCAATCTGCTAAACTAGGCTAAGCTATCTATTTGCAGTTACTGAAAGGATAGTAATCTTGCTAGCTAAGAGTAATATTTTATGTTTGTCTCTTTAATTGAGGTTATTTTGTTGAAATTTTCTTTTAGGAATGAAGTGAATCTAGTTCAGTTTAGCAAAGCTAGTTTAGTAGCTATAATCGCTGGAGGCTTAAGAGTTTAGCTACCTAAAGCCCATATTAAAAGTTGAAACCGTAAGAAATCCTGTCATTTTAATATGTTTATTCTTTTAGTTTGTAGAGAGCAAAACTAATAAAACCCCGTTTAACCACACATTAATACAGTGTTCATTACATTCATGTGGGTTATGGCTTCTCTTGGAAAGGAAAAACAGCTTAAAAACGTCTAAAAGCATAAGTGATTTTTGTTCCTGTGGTCAGCTGTTGGAAATAAGCTGCATCTTTGACCACACAGATTTTTTATAACCTGTAATATTTCAAATTAACCAGGCTGTAATCTGCATGTATAAACTCCATCTTCTCCACAGCTTCCTCCTTCTTTGCAGGAATGTGAAATTGTGCACTTCCCTCCTGAATTATTAATGATTCTCACCTTCATACAGGCATAATCACATGCTGAAATTAATATTTTCCAACATGAGCAGCTCTCCTCCAGGGTCCTTCCATATGGCTCATCATCTGTCCCCCTCCATCCCCCCACTCCAGTCCAGCGCACTGGGAACCAGTAGAGTGATGAGGGCTGTTGTGTGCTCATTTGACAGCACCATTACAGCCACAAACCATGAAATAATCAGAAGCTTCTGTCTAATAGAGGCTCATTTACATCAACCAACCAAATTCAAGCTTTAGTGGTTTGATTCTGAATAATACAAAAGGGTATTTTTTGGCACAGTTTTTATTTATTTATTAACCTTTTGATGTCATATGAATGCATTTTTATGACTGAAATAAAATATGTACATGCCAACATTTAAAAATCGGTCTGTTTCCTTATTTTATTCTCAATTATGCGGTTATATGCGTATTCTTTGTTAATAGTGCAAATAAGTCTACCATCTTTTCTTTTTTTTTTCATTTATATTTGGGTTTTGTGTCAAAGTCAATTGAATATAACAGAGAAAGACATAAATAGTGAGAAATTACCATTTTAAAGCTGCTCTATGCTGGGCTTGCACTCTACCAATAACCCTGAACACGTTAAAAAGAAAAGGCCACATTGAGGTGACCAAACAAGAACTTGACCTATGGCCTAATAACCTTGAGTTTTGTCATATTATCATCTAAACTTTAAGAATGATTTAAAGGTGTTGTCAGACAACTTCACCAACAGGAAGAGGATAAATTAAGGAAGTCATTGTTCATTGCCTCAAACATGTTTACATAATCCAGGTTAAGGATGTGACAGCAAAGAAAAAAATAGTCCTTTCCCCATCCATCTACACCCATAATGTTGGTTCATATGTTTCTGACACACAAGTGATTTTTATACTTACAGGATGCAACTGCTATACAAATAAATGAGCAGCTATCTTATGTGCTGTGAAGTTTTGCTTTATTATGAGACTCATTTAGCTCATATCATGAAACTAAATGTAGTGATATCTGAGCAGAATACCCAACATGGTCACAAACACAATTTCAGAGACTGTAGTACAAATATTTTATCTTTACAATACTGATGGCACATTATGATCTGGTGTGTCAGTCACCAGCCTGTTCATTTTGTGGATTGCAAGGAAATTATCCTGTTATCACAGAAAAAACACACTTTAATATGAGAGAAATAAATGTGCCATAATGGGACAGTAAATGAAATGCATGTCCATTTGGTTGCTTGTTATACAGCTTGTAGAGCAAACATTAAAGCCAGATGTTTGACTAGTACGCAACAACACCAATCGCCATTTAAAAAACGTGAAAATGAGCCGTATCTTACTTGTTATTAAGATTTAAGTCTTCAATGTGTAAATATCAACTATTTTTAAACAGACAGGGGTCATGTGACAAATTCGGCACATATCTGATATAAATTCATCATTTGAAATGTAATGTACGGGCTAAAAACTTTTCTCCAAGTTCGGACTGTTTGGAGTTACTGTTGCAGAAATGTATGTCTCTAAAATCACAGGTGTAGCAGGCAATGTTTTCACGTGTATAAACTGTGCATTTGTAGAAGAAGATGTTATAGTTAAGGTCACAGTTGAGTAGCGTGGTCACCTTGGTGTTACACAAGTCTGGAGCTACATGTTAAGTAAGGTGTCTGTTATGTAGTCCAGCTATCTGAGCCGATCTTCATTGTGCTGTGGGGGTGTGTCGGTGCCATCGTGGAATGGTCTCCTCCTCCAGAATCCGTCTCATTTGGCGTCATTTTGTCAACAATAGAATGGGAGATATGGCCTCTAAAACTCAGATGCCGACACCGGAGACAGCGCTTCCAGGCCGGACTGACAGCATCATGAAAGTCTCCGGTAAGAAACTCAGCTCGGCTAGCATGCTAACATTAGCTGCTGGAGCGAAGTGATGTAACTTCATGACACGACAAAGTTACAACACGTACCAACGTGATTATTTGTTGAAATGTTTGGGGTCCCATTCGTCTTTTGCTGACTTTGGCTGTTAAGTTCTGTTTGTGCGAGCGTGAAATATGGACAGACAGAGTCGTTTATAAGGTTAAAAAACCGGTTACATTAGCTGTTAGCACCTGCCATTGTTGACATTCCTACTCAGTGCCGTCTGCGCATGCGCTCATCTTCACCACGTTGTAAGCCGAATGTGTTGACTTTGTTTACGAATCTGCACTTTTTGGCCAGGTGACAGAAAGCTACAACTAAATTAAAGCTTACTGTCTTGTAAAGATTTGTAAAGAGACGACTTTCGTCAATTTGAACACTGTCATTTGTCATTTGAACACTGCAAAATGGATTGCTGTCCACATTGAGGATCAGGATAAATTATTCATCCTGTTGCGTGGCACTCCTTTGGGTACAAACTGGTTACTGTGATATGAACATCATTAACCCTGCCCTCTTACTCACAGTGAATTTTCCAGGGTACTTCTGGCTGTGTTCTCACACCAGTACATGCAAATTTTTTGCGGAAATGTTATCGAGTGGCTGGCAGAAAAAAGTTTGTGTGAAGTTGGGCTGAGGGTTTAGATGGTTTGTGCACATATGGGCAGCCCATGCTGGATATTTGGTAAGTTTCTCAGAGTATGGTGCATGTGTGGTACAGTGTATGTCCTAATTTTGGTTGCTTGAGATCTTCATGTAACATCACAGACTGTATCCTAAGTGTGGCAAACGCACAAAACCAAACTCTGAAATAGGCCTAACTTACCTCAAAAACGTGGGCAATGGCAGCATGGCATGTAGGCATGTAGCATAGCATGTAGTCTTGGCTTTTGAAAAATCTCGTATTTTAATATGAATGTTATAATTCATATTAAATGTATAATAATAAAATATGATACACATGTAAAACCAAACTTTCCAAGTACTTGTAGTCAATTTTTCATCATGCGTATCATGCATTAGGACTTTTAATTCCCTATAATCCTTACAGTTGTCAGTCTAACATGTACATAGCTAAAACAAAAGTACTTGTTCTGGAGATAAGGGGTGTTTTCTGTGAGTATAAACAGACCGACAGCAGCACTAAGTTGGCAGTTGGGGCAGTTGGCACCAACCTGCCCCCTCTTCAGTACAAGTGAGGGCGCTGAGTCTTGGCACATGATGAATAGATCCGCCCTGGCACTGAACAAAAGACACAAGACACACACACTCAGACACACACACACACACAACCACCACCCCTTTAACATTAAACAGAGAAACATGACAGAAATAACTAGTGAGTGTAAAGGTTGTGTGTGGATGTATTGACTCTGTACCAGGGTTGTTTTTACAGGAAAGCAGAGGTCAACGTTAGAATGAATCTTAGCCCGTTTTTAAGATTTGAATTGGAGCAATTTAGCCATGATGTTAAAAATTTTTCATGAGGTCAGACAGAGGAGGAGAAGTGTGAGATCAGAGGGGTTAGAAGGGTGTGGGTCCACCGAAAAAAAGGAAGATTGGTAAAAAAATGGATTGATCGATGGGTGGAGGGGTTCAGACAAAGTGGCAGACATGCTGGAGCATCGCCAAAGCTTCTCGGGAAAGCAGCCCACAACCAAGAGAGGCGAAAGAAGAGCGAGGGAGCAGTGAGGGAAGGAAAAGCCATGCCTGCAGTGGAGGAGACTTGGCAGGGCTTCCCCTCCTTTGTCTGTCTGGCTCAGGGCTGCAGCGCCAGAGGAAATCAAGAAACGTCCAGGCATGTTGGTGGTGGTGGAGGTGGTGGTGGATTGGGACAGGCTCTGCTCGGCTCTGAAACAAGAGAGAAAAAGTTCTTTGGAACGGCGAAAACTCGAGCTATGGAAACCAGAACACAAAACAAGCGATTTTTACTTTTTGGGTGATATTCACATTGGAGACACTGGACCAGGCCACGTTTTTCGGAAATAAACTCGACCGCATGAACAGGATGAGCTGACCAACAATTTTAATAGCTTTAATTTTATTTCTTCAGAGAGCAAAACAACATTTCTGAACTCAGCAGATGTTTGATTTCAAGGAGTCCACTTTAAGCCAGAGGAAGGCCAACCTGGCACGAAACAAGAGCTTTGGGTATGAATGCCTCACTAAGTTCATTTGAAATATTAATGTTTATAAAAAATGGTTAAATTATTTTGTTGCGAAGTTTTTAAACTGTGAAATCGCAGAAGGTTGTCTGGTTTGCATTGTGTGTGTGTGATGAGTTGTCATGTCTGGATATTGACAGGAGGATTTGAAGCAGGCCAAGCCAGACCAGAGGACAGTTGTCATGACCAGGGTGCAGAGCAGTGTGTGGTGTGAATTGCGTTATTATTTTAGTAAGTTTGTTGATATTGGCTGTGGCACTGTTAAATTTTTTGGGATTGTGCGTCTTACTCTTGACCTTAAAATAGTACCTTAAGGTCCATTTAAAGGAGACCTATTACACTGATACAATGTTAAACCTCTGTAGATTCTCAAAACTATGAATGAACACAGGTGGAATCATGTGCTTAAGAAAAAAGTGTGAAATAACTGAAAACATGTTTTATATTTTAGATTTCTCAAAGTAGCCACTCTTTGCTTTTTTGATAGCACTGCAAACTTTTGCTGTTCTCTCAATGAGCTTCATGAGGTCGTCACCTGAAATGGTTTTTACTTCACAGGAGTGCCTGAAGTAACCCTGACAAGGTACTTATGTCATCAAGAGCAAAGGGTGGCTATTTTAAAGAAACTGGAATATAAAACGTGTTTTTGGTTATTTCACACTTTTTTTATAAGTACAAAATTCTACATGTGTTCATTCATAGTTTTAATGCCTTCAGTGATCATCTACAATGTGAATAGTCATACAAAAAAATAAAGAAAAGACATTGAATGAGAAGGTGTGTCCAAACTTTTGGCCTGTACTGTAGTACCTTAAGGTCCATTTAAAGGAGACCTATTACACTGATACAATATTAAACCTCTGCTTAGTTTCAAACATGAAATATACAGATGCTGTCCGGCTTCTCTGAACAGCTCTGTTTTGGAGCTTGGTGAGACTTGGGATGAACCTGATGTCATGCTGTGCCGTCCTATTAGAACAATGTTGAGCGACGTGGTGTTTCAAATATTCCTCCCTCAGGAGAGTCGATTTTGGTTGGAAAACATTATTGTTTCTGGTTGTCATGTCCCCTCAGCCTTTAATGAAAAATTAAAAGTTGTCCTCATCCCAGCTGATACAGGTGTGTACGGATACACAGCAGCTGCTCTGTTAATCAGCAGCTTTTTCTTTCAGCTTTCAGAGAAAAACATCCTGTTTTTTCTGGGAACATTTCCAGGGAAATTTGAGGTTGACATAAATACAGATATGAGGAGTGATATTATGCTAATGAGATATCAAGTTTGTTTTAAAAACATGGAGTTGTTTTTCTGGCATCACACTGTGTAAACTGAAAACAGCAGCTAAGCTGAGGCCAAAAAAATCATTTTTAACCAGCTTTCTCATTTCCTCCCTCTAAAAGCTAAACTACAGTTTAGTTTACTGAGTTAGAGCTAGCGCATCAAAAGAGATGTCTTCCTGCTTTTACATATTTTACAAACTTATATTAAGTTAAAATGTTGGGTGTCAATTCTAAATGGATAAAGTTTCAAACTATGAGGTAAACCCCTGAGTAATCACAGGATGTGACAGAAGGCAGCTGTTAACAGCTTACTCTGTCACAAGATTTATGTAAGACAGACACAGGATTGGCGAAACTTCTTGTAAAAGCACAATTACCAAAAAAGCAAATGGAAAAATCTTCTTCTGTTCATTGTCACTGGAGATTTTTGGTCTCTCCAACCAACTCCATTATGATGACATTGTGGCATGGACATGGCGGCATAATAACTGATATTAACATATGCTTATTTGGGTTGGCCAATGTACAAACCCAGGTTGGAGCTGGCCAGTTTAACACTTGACTCCTCTGGATCCATACTGTTGTAATACCTGCAGAATCTGGTTTGTCACTGTCTTGCTGAAAAAAAATGAGGTCATCCCTGAAAAAGGTGTCATCTGTATGGGGGCATGTTCCTCCAAAGCCTGCATACAATGGTCAGCATGAATAGAGCCTTATTTAAACTAGCCATACCATGGACACTTGTGCATCCCTATACTCATCACTGATGCTGGCTTTTGAGCTACTGGCTGATGTGTGGTCTCCCCTCTCTGGAGAGCATTGGATGCAACGTCTGTGATTTCCAAAAAAAGTCAGATTTGTATTTTTCAGTCCACTTTGCTTCATGTGATTTCAAATGGGCTAAAATCCAGAGACATCCGTGTCCCTGGAACAAGTTAATACATGGTTTTTTTTTTTCATGGCATTTGTTGATGCTGGGAAAAACTGTGTTACAAAACAGTGGTTTGTGAGTTTGATTCTGAGCCCATGCTGTGATTTCCACGACAGAGTCCTGTCTGTTTTTAATGCAGTGCCTCATCAGGGCCAGGAAATGTTGGCCATCCAGTCTCATTTATCTGCCTTGTGCCTTTCATACAGCCTTCTCCAGATTCCCAAATTCTTTGCAATTCTATGCTAAAGAACATTATTCTGAAACTGTTGAACTATTAGCTCTCGCAGTTTCTCACAGACTACAAAACCTCTCCCCAGTTATACCCCTTTACTGCCATGTCGGCTGAATACTGTTATTGCCTGTGAAGTCTAGAGTTGTCTCCTTGTAATGTACAATCAGTGAAAATGAATTTCCCTACAGGGACCAATAAATACATCTAAATCTAAAATCTAAATCTGAAGGACTCTGCCTCTCTGGCCCATTTTTTAAAGCCAGTCATGGTACTTAACTGTTGTAAATTGAGCAATTTAGTTGGGAGACGTTCCTCCATTTTTTTTAAGGGTTACATAACTTTCTCGGTGTTTTGTTGTCCTTTTCAGGACCTCTTTGAAAGATGTTTCTGGTATCAAATTTAAAAAGAGCATAACTTAAAACTGGTTTGGTGACATGCTCTGTCACGTGTTATGTACTTTATCTTTTCATACATCTCTATTCTGCTTACATTTGCTTTATTTCTAAAGACAGGCCTTTACTTGATTCAGAATATAGTTGGTTCTTCCTCACAGGCAAAGGGTTTTGAATTCCTCATCTACCTTCTGTGTAACATCCTGGTGTCTGAATATTTGTTATCTTGCTGTCTATCAGTCGCATAAATCAGGTGAATTCAGGTGAGGCTGAGCACACATCTCTCACTCTGCCTGTACCTGTTAAATGACTGACTGTGCGCTGTTATCAGGGTTCAGGCCAACACTCCTCAATCCATCCACCTTTTGTCACCGCTGTTACCACGACAACAGAGGGGACCCCAGTGAATGAATATGTGTTTGTGTGAGATCCCATCTGCAGAGCTCTTTGTTGTTTACACAGTGGCCTGATAACCTTGACGGGCAAAATGATGGGCATTCAGGGGGGAGTGTGAGAGACATAACAGATGAGGTGCATGTATTGATCAACACAGAATGAATAAGAGAGAGAAATGGAGAGACGTAAAGAAGGAGGGAGAGAAATGAGAGCTGAGGACATGAGGTTAACAGTGTTAAAAGTACTGTTATTCCATCTGAAGATACAAGATAATACTCTGTGTAGAAGGAAAAAGTACTTTTTTGCGGTTTGCTGTGTCCACGGAAATCAAACACATGTTGAAAACTCATTTGTGAGGCAGGTTAGTTTCAAACGCTGAATATGATTGACAGCATCATGTTAGCTTTACTCCTGTGCTGATATTATTGATGATGATGATAAAATGATTTGATAACGCAACTGAAGATCAATTTCAAGTATGTGGACAAATTAGAAAAAGTGATTCATAGTGAACGGGTGCTTTGAGGGTCGCCCCGATGGGACTCCAGTGTTCATAACTACCTGTTCAAAATTCATTATCCTGCTTCTTACCCAACTACCATCCAAATTCATGAATAAATTGATACTAAATGATTATTTGAAGATGGTTTTATTGATTTGAAAAGAAATATGTGTGAAGAAATTAATGGTCTCTCTTTCACTGTAGTCAGCTCTCACCTGCTTTGATCACTTTGCATGGGTTGAACCCTCTTTTATTCATTTGGTTTCTGTCTTAAGTATTTTTGTTCTTTGTGAGAACAAGATTTAGTCTTGTAAATGTTTTTTTTTTCTTGAAAGGAAAGGTCATCTGATTATCAGGGTCATTTTTTGACAAATTATATAAAATATTATCACCTTTAGTTAAGTTCATGCTGTTGGAGCATTATAAGTTCTTTTAAAGTCAGTTTGAAACCTTTGCTGAACATTTCCTGCTCCGTCCTTCATGTTTGGCAGCCTCCACAACCTTTATGAGAATCCAGTTATTGTTCAGACTATCAAACACTCCAGCTCAGTCCTTCATTTATTCATTCACAGGGGAGCGTCTTCTTAACAACAGCCTTGACTATTGTGCCTTAAGCCCATTGAAGCACTCTGTTTTCCTAACAAACTCTTAATTTATTCATAACTTGATGATGTTAACGAACGCACGGCTTCCTTGAGATGTCCTGCGTGTTGTGAGGCGAGCGCAGGAGGCTGTCGGCAGCAGAACAATAAGCGCGGCGCTGACGGTCGTGATGATGGGCAGTCATAAAAACCATGATGGCAATCAGAGGAGCTACTCGAGAGGCTCAGATAGAGGGAGAGGGGGAGAGAGGAAAACACTGAGGCAGGGGGAAATAAATGGAAAAGAGGGAGCTGGGGGGGAGGGGGGAAATGTAAAAGGGGGATGATAAGAAAAGAGGGGAGATGAAGAAACCAGGCAATCAGAGAAGGAGAGATGCAGAAGGAGAGGAAGAGGAGGAGGGTGGGGGAGGTTACTTTGTAGATTTAATTGCAGAGCAGTTGAGGCAATCTTTTCTATGGGTGTGTGTTGAGACTCTCCAATATCCCCCAGCCAGACATTAGCTGCAGCGTTTCATTCATCACTGTCAGGTCTGGAGCTCCAGGGTGGAGGAGGAGAGGGGGTGGGGTGGGGTGGGGGGGGGTGTCCTGGATGTGAAGGCCAGGTTGGAGCTTCTTTCCAGGGGAGGGCAGCAGGTTCTGGGTTTTAATTTTCAGCAAGTGGGAGGAGAGAAAAGGGTGACAGAGAGAGAATCTGATCATTACACTTGATACTGACTCGATCGTTGAGTTTTTTTAGAAGTGACACCAAAGACAAAGGAGACCCTTGGTGGGCCCCAGATAAGGGTTCTACCTGGTATCTTTCTGTCTGGGTTGCTGCTTTGTTCCACCCAATATCCTGCTAAGTTGCATAAATGCCTCAGAAGCAGATTTCAGATCCTGGGTAATCATTTTTAATAATCACAATTAGGGCCTGACCGATATGAATTTTTTGGTGCCGTCCCGATTATTAAAGCTACGGTCTACGATCTGAAAACAGTTTGGCTGTTTGACCAGTTTGATTTGAAAAACGCAGCCCGCCCCCCCTTCACTCACCCCTCCCCTCCGTGTTCCAAGATCCCGCCCTCGCAGCTTGTGTCTCCTCCTAACAACACGCCCCCTCTGATAGAGCAAGAAGCCGGCAGAAAATATCAGCAGTGGTACACAGTGGTAACTATTTCATTTGGACTGAAAGGATCAAAACCAAATATTGGTAGCTTGATCACGTAATGTGTACTGTTGTTTATTCTACCGTTACTGGCACGGCTAACAGTGTAGCAAGGCTAATAGCAGATGGATAACTCTAACTTTAGCTTGCATATTACATGATGCTTCACTGTTAACTCGGCGTGACCGAGACCAGCACAGCGGGGAACATTGTGAAGTGGGTTGAACTGAAACTTGTTGACTTATTGTGTATTTCACAAACTGGACCACTCTCCTCCGGGTGTCCCTGAGCTGCCTGCTTCAGATCCGTCACTCTGCTGTACTGTGAGGTAGTTAGTGGATAAAGATTGTCATGAGGTCGCTGCACCATCTACACGATAAGTCGGGGATCTTTTCAAATGGTGGAACATTTTAGATGTGAAACCGAATCTTTTTCTCCGCATTTCATCTCTGAAAATATCGGCGACAATCGGCGAGTTTTGGCCGATTACCGATTAGTCACAAACTGGCTAAAATTGGCCGATTTAATCAGCTCGCCAATAAATCAGTCGGGCCCTGACCGCAATATTATTATCAGTCAAAATGTGAGTTTTGCTCCAGTCAAGCAGCCCTGTTTGCTGGCTCTGCTGCTGTTGCACGGATTGCAGGACAGGATGTTCTTTAAGACGAAACCAGCATTTTTACCACAGTGTTAGACTCTCTTCCTCACACTGGTGAGATGTGACTTCTGTGATCAGTTTGATTGTAGTGTCAATTTGTCATGATTGTTTTGACCAATCAGAATCAAGTATTTCACACAGATGGGTAATTTTAGAAAGCTGGAGAACAATGCCTTTATTGGTTATTCTCTCCATTTATTTATTGCAAATTTAGGTGAAATATGTTGTTTCAGTAACTCCCCAAGCCAAACATCACACCCTAAAGTGCGTAGCCCTAACCTTGACCTTAAAATCTTCACTGTGAAGTCAAGAAACAAACAAAAACATTCACATCTAAGTGGCTGTGATTTGACTTTTTGTGTTACATCTCAAAGAGCTAGCAAAATGTTCATGACCCACACTCAGGTCTGCGCCTGAACGCCTCGTGTTTGGACACAGAGTGATATGCTGATCATTTAACTGCAAAACACCATCTTTTCATCCAGTCGTTGACCTCTGTGACATCCCTCCCCTGTCTCCCCTACGCCGCCAGCTCTCTGCAGAAGAGACAGCTATTATCGCTTTTACTGTTAAAACACTTTAAGCTTTTTGAAATCTTAGTGTGTAAACTTTGTTCTTTCTGCCGCCATAATGGTTTTTATTGTGCTGCCGGTGAACAAAGGGAGAAAGAAAACAAGTTAAGAAAAAAAAAAAAAAAGATAAAACAGACACAAAAAGACGGTGACGCAGGAGTCTGACTCTGCATTTTGCTCCCTGTCTGCTCTGTGTGCACGGTGACGCAAACATTGTTCTGTGGTTTATCTTGGAGAGGCAGAATACAGTGAAAGTCTCTCTTTACTTTATCCTCTATATAAAAGCTGGGATTGAAAAAGTTCCGGTGATATAATTGATTGACTTTAAACAGCCATGAATTGAGCATGGATCTCTTTTTTTTTGTGCATTTATATATTTTATTTGTAACATTTTGCTGATTTTGATCTCACTTCAGGAACACAAATGTGATGGAGGATTCGTTGTAAGGACAGAGAGATGAAACTTGAGTGTATCGAGTGCTGATTGGCTGATTCTGGAGCAACTCTTCATGCCTCACTTGCACACACACATACACTCACACACACACACACACACGTAGGCTAGAGCTGAAATAGAGCAGCACTAATGTAGAGTGTGTGCGTGCGCTGCAGATGTCACCATGGATAGAGGTCTGCTCTGTGATCAGGCTTATTATTCTGACAGGATTTAGGGGGCTGCAGAAGAGACTAGGAGGCACACTGGTTTCCCACTCACACACAGACACACGCGCACACACACACATGCATGTACACACTTGTACCTAAAATGAAGTGGCTAGCTGTTTTGATGTGAAGTGTCCTGAAGTGCTTTCTAACCTCTTTTGCTGCTCTTTACGGCCAAAATAAAAACAAATGAACTGCCAGTAAAAACAGCCAGTAAGCAGCCTCTGTAGGTACAGTATAAGGGCAGAAAGCAGCACTTTTTTCACTGTTTGAATCACTCTATTAGTATCATTCGTGCACTGAGGAAAGGGGAGTTTTTGATTCACACTTTCTGTATTTTTGTTGCTTTTCTATTCTGCAGAAAAGAGCAGCTGCAAGGTTAAGCAATTCAGTGAAAATACAACAAACTCCCTCACACACATACACACACATGAACACACACTGTTGCATCGGACCTCACAGGAGAATATGAATTCAATTAATCAACAAGAGGCGTTGTTATCATTCTCAGACAGATAAAGGCGACCACGAGTACAGGCATTTCAAAGGAGTGCAGCGCGAATAATTACTCTACAGAAAAATACCTCCATATATACAGAGAGTGTGTGTTTGCGTGTGTGTTTGTGTGTAAGAAAAGATAACTGTAGAATATTAATGAATGTTTTTGAGAAGGTATTCATTTTCATCTCTTTCTTCCTCATGTTTGAAAATTATTTATCCCTCGTCTTAGCCTTGGCTGAGGTTATGAGGCTGTTTTTTGTTTGTGTTTTAATTTATTATACTTTATTCATGAGTTACAGGCCAACAGGAGACAAAACTGTTTCCCAGAGAGCTTGAAAGCAAAAGTTGAAAAATGCAAAGGGAACACACCACCTCCAAGAAGTGGAGTTTGGACAGCAAAAGCAGGTGCTGGGCTATTTACCTCTTACTGGTTTGTTCTAATGGAAGAGGTGCTGCAGGAGCATGCCTGACAACCTTGGAGTTAATTAACTTAATTTGCCACAGCTGCACACGTGTTTTGGCAGGACATGGATATCAGACATTATTTGCCTCTTTAACAGACATCAGCACCAGTGTCACTCACATCTGTTGTTTTGCATCAGTTTTACGCTAGCATGTACCATCTTACTGATTTGACCCCGCTAGCTGCCCAGTCTCAAGGTCTAATTCACCAAGTAATAAGTGGTAAGGAGGGATATTCAAGATAAAAGCTTGAATATATTTTCACAAAAACACCCACAATGCTCTGCAGCTCTGTGTGCTGTCCATCTGTTTTGCATATCTCATTTAAGGGCTGGGTGACAAACTGAAAATTTACCAATACGGGAATTTACGACGATAATCGACGTCATTTTGCCCATGTCGGTATATTTGGTGTCAAAAAAATAAATGAATAAAAGTTGGTTTTGGATGTGTGTAGAGAGGCTATGGTCTCATGTCCCTTGAAGACGCTGACGGAGATGTGACTCCACCCCATCCAGTCTGTAACAAAGAGGGAAAGACAGGTGAGGAGATGGAGGATGGTTCAAAAGTTGTAGCGGCTGGAGCAGTGACTGAAGTCGATGCAGTTAATGTGGAAGGGGTGAGCAGCTTGTGGAGTAGTTATTGTTCATTTATCATTATTGAGGTGAACTGCTCAATATACCGTGATACTGATTTGAGGCCTTATCGCCCAGCCCTATTTCATTGTGACTGAGATGAGCTGTCAGCCTCTCCATCCTGTGCAGAGCTGTGCTGTGCACTCTAATTCTGCTGGTGCCAAGCTCCATCTGTCTGTATGTAAAGAAAGGTCTTGAGTTAGTTAAGTTAAGTTAGTTAAGACAAATGTGACACAGATTTCACAGCTTATGTGTGGCTTATTCTTTGGAGCGTTAGCAAAGTGCATCTTTTTTGGATAAGAAAACTCTCTTGTTCATTATGGTAGTTTGTTTAAGATGTGCAGGGAGTAAGGCACAAAAAGCCCCTTTCTGATTTGAAACCCCGACACTTGTGAAAATACGAAACCAAGTTATCCTGTAGATCAATAAAGACAGATTTTATAGTATTTCTAGGCCAACCAGATGTGCAGTAGCTCTCTAAACTGCCGAGGAGTTTTGACATTAACACTCCAGCATAATCAGGACCACTCTGCACGTTGTTTGCACCACTGTTAAGGTGTTGAGGCAGCACTGTCCTTCATACTCATGGCTCTTACCAGCTACTCTCTTAACAGCCCTCACACAGCTGTATCGCCATACTGACTGCACTATGTGACGCCATCAGTCATCTGTGCTCATTTACATGTGGGTAGTAGAGGGACAGTTCTTGCACATTTGGAGCATAACCTTGAACAGTAAGAGTCCGCAATTACTCCTTATAACTTTCTACAATTTAATTACACTCACCGGCCACTTTATTAGGTACACCTGTCCAACTGCTCGTTAACACTTAATTTCTAATCAGCCAATCACATGGCGGCAACTTAGTGCATTTAGGCATGTAGACATGGTCAAGACAATCTCCTGCAGTTCAAACCGAGCATCAGTATGGGGAAGAAAGGTGATTTGAGTGACTTTGAACGTGGCATGGTTGTTGGTGCCAGAAGGGCTGGTCTGAGTATTTCAGAAACTGCTGATCTACTGGGATTTTCACGCACAACCATCTCTAGGGTTTACAGAGAATGGTCCGAAAAAGAAAAAATATCCAGTGAGCGGCAGTTCTGTGGGCGGAAATGCCTTGTTGATGCCAGAGGTCAGAGGAGAATGGCCAGACTGGTTCGAGCTGATAGAAAGGCAACAGTGACTCAAATAACCACCCGTTACAACCAAGGTAGGCAGAAGAGCATCTCTGAACGCACAGTACGTCGAACTTTGAGGCAGATGGGCTACAGCAGCAGAAGACCACACCGGGTGCCACTCCTTTCAGCTAAGAACAGGAAACTGAGGCTACAATTTGCACAAGCTCATCGAAATTGGACAATAGAAGATTGGAAAAACGTTGCCTGGTCTGATGAGTCTCGATTTCTGCTGCGACAATCGGATGGTAGGGTCAGAATTTGGCGTCAACAACATGAAAGCATGGATCCATCCTGCCTTGTATCAACGGTTCAGGCTGGTGGTGGTGGTGTCATGGTGTGGGGAATATTTTCTTGGCACTCTTTGGGCCCCTTGGTACCAATTGAGCATCGTTGCAACGCCACAGCCTACCTGAGTATTGTTGCTGACCATGTCCATCCCTTTATGACCACAATGTACCCAACTTCTGATGGCTACTTTCAGCAGGTTAATGCGCCATGTCATAAAGCTCGAATCATCTCAGACTGGTTTCTTGAACATGACAATGAGTTCACTGTACTCAAATGGCCTCCACAGTCACCAGATCTCAATCCAATAGAGCATCTTTGGGATGTGGTGGAACGGGAGATTCGCATCATGGATGTGCAGCCGACAAATCTGCGGCAACTGTGTGATGCCATCATGTCAATATGGACCAAGCTCTCTGAGGAATGCTTCCAGCACCTTGTTGAATCTATGCCACGAAGAATTGAGGCAGTTCTGAAGGCAAAAGGGGGTCCAACCCGTTACTAGCATGGTGTACCTAATAAAGTGGCCGGTGAGTGTATATCTGCTTTATATAAGAGCAAATCTACCTGCAAATATCAACCATAACAGGAGGTTTAAGCAGCTTTAATCCGGATCCATCCGGAAACAACTACTCAGGTACATATCAGCAGAAATATTCCACATTTCAGAGCATACTGTACATGCACCTCCAGGCTTTTGTCTCTTTCTTAATCATTCTCTCCGTGCACATACTTGTACACACACTCACACAGAGCTGTTAGACTCATTTGTATTCTGTCTGTAGGTATTGTCTCTCCCCGCTGACATTTACATTTAAATTGTTTATCTCTGAGTTTTATGTGTGTGCGTCTACGTCTAAGTCTGCATGCGTGTGTGTGTGTGTGTGTGTGTGTGTGTGCGCGTACTGGGGGATGGGATGGCACTGCAATAAAGTGAGTGTTTAGCAGATCAACGAGTGATCCTTAATGTGGCTTCACAGGAATAAAAACGGCTGCATAAAACTGAACGTAAAAAGAATCAACTGGAAACCACCAACGGTGTGTGTGTGTTATTGTGTCATGGTTTAAACCATAATCCATATTAACCCAACCTTTGCATTTGATCTCACTTTCATTAATGCTGTTCTTTTTCTTTTTTGGCCTACGTTATGATCAAGAATGAGATAAGAAGCATTTAAATTATGTACAAAACCCAATTCCAATGAAGTTGGGAAGGAGAATGTGTAAATTGTAAAAAAAAAAAAAACAGAATACAATGATTTGCAAATCCTTTTCAACCCATATCCAATTGAATACACTACTGGCAGTGTTGGGTTACTGTACAGTCCATACAGTGCTTCCAGTATAACGAGTTTGCTTGTTCATACTGCAAAGATCTGTCAATATTTGATGAAGTTATATTTATGTATATATATATATATTTATATATATATATATATATATAACTTCTATGGCTCTTTTTTTTTTTTTTTTTTTTGACTTTTTCCATTGACTTTTATGCAAAATTTTAACACAATTTTATTGCAACTTATGTTGCTCTGACGAGGTGAAATCCGTCCAAAGTTACGAGCAGGTCCGGAGTCAGTTCGTTCAGCCATGACTCCGTGAACATCATGAGGCTGCACTCACGATACTCCCACTGCAGCCTAGTCAGCGCTGTGAGCTCTTCCATCTTGTTGGGGAGAGACCTCACGTTTCCCATGATGATGGACGGGACAGTTGGTTTATAACGTCTCCACTTTGCCCGATGCTTAACTCCAGCCCTGCGTCCTCTTCTTCTCCTGCGGAGCTTAGTGGGGATGTCCGGTCTCTCCCACAAAGGTGGCCGGGCTTGGGGCAGCGCCAACAGCTGTTCATGGCTGTAAACAATGGGGCCGCTGAATGGGTCGCCGGTCGTGGATTTAAAAACTCCAAAAAGAAAACAAAGTGCAAGAGTCATGAAATGCACATCCATGGTTGGAATATGCAAGACACAACACTGCTGAAAAAAAGAAAGACAAATAAGGTGCCAAAAAACGACAATAAGAAGGAAAAAACATAAAGTCTGTGAGGAGCTGATGTGACTTGCTGCCACTCTCAGGGCGCTCGAGTCACGAGAAAATGTTCCCTGACCGGGAATCGAACCCGGGCCACGGCGCTGAGAGTGCCGAATCCTAACCACTAGACCACCAGGGACGCTAAAGGTTAACCTTTTCAAATTAAAACATTTTTAGGTCATCAAGTGAACATTATTGAGCTAATAATAATAATTTTTCGATTGATTGATTGATTGATACACCAGTGGAGAGCCAGTTACTGAGTGTCCGCTTACTTTTACTCTTGTCAGCCATTACCATAACGTCAATCCTGTTATTGTCATTTATTTGATAAAAGTGTAAAAAATGACAACTCATATGGGCTTTCAACACTCACCATTATAATTTAAATTAATTAATTAATGTCCAGACGAAGAAGAAGAAAAAATCCACAACATAACAATAGTGCCATGGCTTTGCGTTTAGTGCCAATAACACAATCACCCGACTGAAAGCTTAAACTTCAGTAAAACAACCTTCACTCTGTTATTATTGTATCTTCTTTCCATTAAGGTCCTTATAATAACCAGTGGAAAAAAGATTGTTATGACACCTCTTATTTAACCCTGTAAGATACTTATAAACTGTCCACCTGATTCTTATAAAACCCCACAGGTGTCTTATTAGCAATAATAGATGTGTTCATCATGCTTATTTTAACACTTAGAATTTATTAATGTTGCAAACAACATGGCAAATGAATAGTAAATACTGAAATATGTTGAAAAACATAACGATTTAATCATCCAAACCAACGTAAAAGAGGGGGCACATCAGGATAGACCTAAAATAGATTGAATATGGGATGCATTTACAGCATACATATGAGGGGTATTGTTAGGATTTGTTGGGTTTATGCAGACTTGCATAGTAAAATAGACAAACTGAAGACACATGAAAAATTTAGAAACAAAGCACAATCTTCAGACATGATAAACTGTTGTTACACCTCTTTAAGAAGTGAAAACTAAATATGAATTGAGAAAATTATAATGGACGCTGTAAGTGTCAGTGTAACAATGTAGTGAGAGAGACAAAAAGTGAGTCAAAAACACCCCAAATATGTTAAGAACTACAAATGAACTTTCTTCTGTCGAGTCTTGTTTTTTTTTTGTGTTTTTTTTGTCACAATACCAACCCTCCTCCTTTATCCGGGCTTGGGACCGGCAAAAATGACCCAATTGAGACATTTTGGCGGAGTTACTGGGTTTTTTTTATTTTTTATACACAATTGTATAAAAATGAGGGAAACCGAAGCACTCGGAGAAAACCCCTTCACCAGCCTCAGTGAGGCTGTAACCCAGAGAGTAAACTGGACACTGAGGCGGGACCTCAGGCCTCAACCCTCTTCAAATGTACATATTCACAATATGTGTTTTTTGTGGGAGTTTTTTGTGTGGTTTTTTTTCGTGTGTTTTTTTGTGGGAGTTTTTTGTGTGTTTTTTTGTGTTTTTTTTTTCAATGAATGCATGTCATGCGTCTTTAAGAGGTCTGTGTGTCTCTTTTAAAGAGCCCCTGAAACCTTTTCCTCAAAGACCTCTTTGGTGGCCTCCTGACCGCCTCCAACTGCTCCTCCAGTCTCCTCACTTTATCCATTACAGTATCATTTGGTGGGGATGTCTGAGTCTGAATCTCAGTCTCCTTCACTTCACAATCCTGCTGAATGACGGTGATGGACTCCATCGAGGAGGCTTTCTCTCTCTGCCACTGGAGCTTGTGTCTCTCCAGATCCTCATAGGCCTGGTTCAGCGAGGTCTCCAAAGTAAAAGATTTCTCCTTTTCTGCAAGGAGCTGTGACCTGTCCTCTTCCCACTGACTTGTCTTCCTGGACAGGTCCTCCTGAGCCTGATGAAGAGCAGACTTCAGCTGACTGACTTCCTCGTGATGCTTGCGATTCTGGTTCTCATCACTTTCCAGGACCTCATCTAGGGAAGCTCTTATCCGGCTTCTTTCCTCCTCTTTTTCTCTCAAAAGACCTGAGAAGTCCTCGTCCTGAGCCTTCAGCTTCTCCTGAGCCTGGATGAGCTTGACCTTTAAGGATTCTTGCTCCAGAATAAGGTCAGCTCTCACTTTATTCGCCTTGTTCTTTTGGTCTTTTAGCTGTTCTCGTAACTGGGCGAGGTCCTCTTTCAACTTGCAGCGGTCCAGTTTCTGCTGAATGCGAGCTCTTTCGTGATTCCACTGCTGTCTGTTCTTTCTCAGCTTCTCTTGAGCTTCGCTGAGGTCTGCTCTTAACTTGGAGGACTCCTCTGTCTGTGAGAGTAGATGAGTCCTTTCCTCCTCCCATTGTTTTCTTTCATTTTTTAGGTCTTTTTTGGTCTGACTCAGGACTTCCTTTAGTTTGGAGGCGTCTTCTTTCTCTGAGAGGAGCTGTGTTCTCTCCTTCTCCCACTGCTGCTGGTCCTCTCGAGCCTTGGCTAGGGCGTCCTTTAACTTGCCATTTTCCCCCTTGAGGAAGAGGACACATGCTCTCTCTTCCTCCAACTGTTTGTTTTTCTTCTTCAGGTCTTTCTGGGCCTGGTTGAGAGAAGCTCTCACCTTCCTGGACCCATCTTTTCCTGAGAGTCCATCCACCTGCTGGCTCTGCTTCTTCAGATCTTCCTCAGCCTTCTCGAGAGCAGCCTTCAATCTGCAGATTTCCTCTTTGTCAGTCAGAAGACAGGATCTCTCCTCCTCCCACTGGCAGGTCTTGGTCTGCAGATCTTCTTGAGTCTGTTTCAGCTCAGCCTTGACGGTGGACAGCTCTTCTTTCATCTCATCCAGGAGAGAAGTCTTGTCCTCCTCCCTCTCAGGGTTCTCGGTGGCAGTTTCTTCTTGGACCTGGTTTGGCTCTGTGGTGTGACAGTTGTCTTCTGTCACCTTGGCCTGCTGCTCAGCCCACAGAAGCCTCTGGTTCTCCTGTGTCACTAGTGCATGGTGAAGTGCAGCACGAAGATGCATGACGTCCCCCAGGAGCTGGGCTCTGTCTTGCCCCCATTGGTTCCTCACCTCAGTGACGGCCATGTCCATATAAGCCTGCAGTCTGGAGGTCAGCTCTGTTTGCTGGGCCAGGCACTCCTCTGTCTCTGTCCGCTTCCTCTTTTCAGCTTCACAGTCCTCCTTAAGTTTTTCCATTTCAAGGACTGCCTCTCCTGCTTTCTCTAGCTTAGCTGACACTTCAGTGAGCAGGCGTGTCTTTTCAGAGGTGGCTTTCTCTTCCTGTTGCCTGAGCTGCTCTTTTAACAGGTTCACCTCCTGAGATAAGGCAGCCATTTCACCCTTGATTCGGACTGCTTCCTTCTCCTCTCCTGCAAGTCTCTGAGATTCAGACTCAAGGATCTGAATGACAGGCCTGCAAGAAATTGGGACCATGTCTCCTTTTTGTCCCTGCTGACTTGGAGGAGAGTATTTGTCATGGACTGACTCGCGATCCTCCCCATCCGACTCCCAATCTGAGGCGTCCATTGTAGGCTCCAATTGGAGTTGTCTATATCTCTCTTGAGCCTCTTGCCGGCGGGCTTCGACTTCTGCATCTTTTTTGACTTTGACAGCTTGGCGCATCAGATTTTGTTCATTGATGTTAAAGTTGCCAAAATCATCATCATCATCCAGATCATACAGATCTGCAGGCACCGCGTTTGCATATTTGTTGGTCCCCTGATCCAGAGGGATGGGGGTGGCCTTGTTCTTCCTCTTGTTCCTTCTTTTTCTCGTGTTCATCTTCTTACTGGAACTGTAGATGGTCTTGCTCATGTTCATGTTCATCTCACTGGAACTGTGGACGTTCATGTTCATGTTCATGTTCATCTTCTGACTGGAACTGCAGGTGGTCATGTTCCTGTTCGTGTACCTGTTCGTAGATGTTCACTAAAACTGAGGTTCTCTGTGTTTGTCGCTGTCTGGCACTGATGGCTGGACTGTCTTAAAGACGGATTTTGTGAGGCTAAGCATCAACAAGCTTTAAGATGAAACGATCATTGAGTCTGTGAAAAAAGATGAAAGGATCGATGACATCATCAATGACATCACTACATCACAAAACGTGATGTCATCAGGGTAAATTTCCATGTTTGGAAAAAAAACATTCTCAGACGGCATGACAACATAGTTGTTTATTTTCAAATTTGAAAAAAAAAAAAAAAATTCCAAAGACGTGTTGCCATAGTTGTTTATTTTTAAATTTGGACAAAAAATTAATAAACGCACATTTTCAAGACAATGTGTGCATTCGTATAATTAAATATTTTAATTGGTTTAATTGATTTTCTCCTTTTGATTATTAATTTTTCAAAATTGCAGCTATTAAATACTTTATTTGCAAATACAAAGCAGAAAATAAAATATATTTAAAAAGGTTTCTAACCAATAAATCGAGTTTAATTCGAATTCACTTTTTTGTGATCGCAAGGCTTCAATGAAGTACAGAAGCTCTTCACATGAATAACACTTTAGAAGCACAAGCACTGTTCAGTGGTCTCACACTGTCTGTCCATCAACATGGAGTTAAAGGCCCCAAGTGAAATGAGCTGTAGGAGTTTGAGCTCAGTTTGTGAGGAGTTCCATGTGCTGTGGAGGCAGCAAAACTGAACGCTCTCTTCCCCAGTTCAGTTCTGACACGGAGGACAGAGAGGTGGAGAACGTCACAGGAATGTAGGACATAGCGGCATTTAGTTCTCTGAAGAAAAGTACATAAATAAGATGGATCTAAGTTGAGAAGAGCCTTGTAAATCACGGTCAGCCAGTGCGTACTCCTGTGTGCCCTTAAAGAAGGCCAGCCAGTGTTAACATACAAATAACATGATGCGTGAGATGAATATCACCAGTGATAAACCTTAGAGTGCTGTGATAAACAGTATTTAAGAACTGGAGACATTTCAGCAAAGCACCCATATGCAGCACATCTCCATAATCTATTGAGAAAGAATTGTTGCTGATACAAGTGGTTTCCTGGCTCTAAGTGAGAAGCAAGATCTATATCGATGGTAAAACCCGAGCTTCACCCTGAGTTTGTTGACCAGTTCTGCAATAATTAAATAATTTGTGCTTGTGTAGCACTTGACATGTAATCTACTGACCTCTATTAGTGTTTTTATGTTATATTCACCCATTCACACTATGGTCATTTGTGATTTCTTTTCCATTTTCAAGTAACAGGGGGTGGCTCAACTTACCCCACTCTCTCCTAAAGGAAAAGGTGTGCAGGTATCTTCTTACCTACAAACTGAGTCAGGATTACTTGGAGTTAAATTAATACACCAATAGACAAGACCTGTGTCTACATTTTAAAGTTTGAGTGGAGTCTCTAGGTGAAAGTATGCAGAGCTGGTAGGTGTTCTGAAAACTTCTATGGCTCTTTTTTTTTTTAAATTTTTTTTTGAAAGACAAATAAGGTGCCAAAAAACGACAATAAGAAGGCAAAAACATGAAGTCTGTGAGGAGCTGATGTGACTTGCTGCCACTCTCAGGGCGCTCGAGTCACAAGAAAATGTTCCCTGACCGGGAATCGAACCCGGGCCGCGGCGGTGAGAGCGCCGAATCCTAACCACTAGACCACCAGGGACGCAAAATTGATACACCATTGATACACCAGTGGAGAGCCGGTTACTGAGTGTCCGCTTACTTATACTCTTGTCAGCCATTACCATAACGTCAATCCTGTTATTGTCATTTATTTGATAAAAGTGTAAAAAATGACAACTCAAATGGGCTTTCAACACTCACCATTATAATTTAAATTAATGATATTTTAGATTGGACCATTTTTCAACATTTCTCCTCTAAAAAATATCCGATATAGGTTGAGACATGATGGCCATGCAAAATTAGGATATATTTGATCATCTAAATGACAAATATCTAATTGGAAAAAAAATCTACAAAATAAAATGATCTCAATGGAAAGAGAGACCAAAGTACTGCTAATATATGTAACATATATTGCATATTTCTAATTAGAAATATTGTACTTTGTTAAGTTTATGTCGGTAACAGGGTTGACAAGATCATGAAAACAGCCATGAGAAAAACGGTTATAAAATATAAATTAACACAGCCTGAGATGGCACAATATCATTTCCTGCCATTTTAAACATTCTTTGATTCTTGGGTACTTAAAAATTAACAATTAAATATAGTTTAAATTAAGTTTTCTAAGCTGAAAAGGCACAGATTTCATGGAATGACCCATACGCTATTCAACTGGTACAATGATTCTTTTTGTTATTATTGCATATAACTGCTAAGAAGCTGTCTCGTAAAAAGCCATTTTAACATGAGAATGCCTTTAAGTGATTCAGAACATTCACAGCTGTATTTTTGAAAAGAAAAAGACAAACATTTCAACAATCTGAACTGAAACTCTGATCCTCTCATCAGACTCCTTTACTTTCTCACTTGAGCCACTGGCTCAGCTTACCCCAGAACTACTATTCTGACTATTTGTCCTCAAAGCTAAAATGGTGGACTTTTGTGCTCGTTTTTTTTGACCTCATGTTGTAGCTCATAGATACCACTATTGATGTATAAAACAAATTTAAAATGATCTTTTTTGGTCTGAACACAATTCTAATCAAACTTATGACAGACAAAATTCCCTTTCAAGAGTAAAAAATGTTTTTCTTTAGAAATAAACGTCTAACCCCTTCACCCATGTGCTTTGAACCTTCACAGACTCCATGAATTGATGCCCATCTCCTAAATATTTGGTCACATGATCAATTTCTTTTTCCATTTTCAAGTAACAGGGGGTGGCTTAACTTACCCTACTCTCTCCTAAAGGAAAAGGTGTGCAGGTATCTTCTTACCTACAAACTGAGTCAGGATTACTTGGAGTTGATTAATCCACCAATAGACAAGACCTGTGTCTACATTTTAAAGTTTGAGTGGAGTCTCTAGGTGAAAGTATGCAAAGCCGGTAGGTGTTCTGAAAACTTCTATGGCTCTTTTTTTTTTTTTTTTGACTTTTTCCATTGACTTTTATGCAAAATTTGAACACAATTTTATTGCAACTTATGTTGCAAAAAGTTTAAATACAATAAAAAAAAAGTAATATCACACCAATCCTGATCAAACTGCATGTTTTGATATGTTATTCGTCCTACAACCCTTCAAGCTGTAGGACTAGCAGTGAACCAAAATTTGTCCAGACGAAGAAGAAGAAAAAATCCACAACATAACAATAGTGCCATGGCTTTGCGTTTAGTGCCAATAACACAATCACCCGACTGAAAGCTTAAACTTCAGTAAAACAACCTTCACTCTGTTATTATTGTATCTTCTTTCCATTATGGTCCTTATAATAACCAGTGGAAAAAAGATTGTTATGACACCTCTTATTTAACCCTGTAAGATACTTATAAACTGTCCACCTGATTCTTATAAAACCCCACAGGTGTCTTATTAGCAATAATAGATGTGTTCATCATGCTTATTTTAACACTTAGAATTCATTAATGTTGCAAACAACATGGCAAATGAATAGTAAATACTGAAATATGTTGAAAAACATGACGATTTAATCATCCAAACCAACGTAAATGAGGGGGCACATCAGGATAGACCTAAAATAGATTGAATATGGGATGCATTTACAGCATACATATGAGGGGTATTGTTAGGATTTGTTGGGTTTATGCAGACTTGCATAATAAAATAGACAAACTGAGGACACATGAAAAATTTAGAAACAAAGCACAATCTTCAGACATGATAAACTGTTGTTACACCTCTTTAAGAAGTGAAAACTAAATATGAATTGAGAAAATTATAATGGACGCTGTAAGTGTCAGTGTAACAATGTAGTGAGAGAGACAAAAAGTGAGTCAAAAACACCCCAAATATGTTAAGAACTACAAATGAACTTTCTTCTGTCGAGTCTTGGTTTTTTTTTGTGTTTTTTTTGTCACAATACCAACCCTCCTCCTTTATCCGGGCTTGGGACCGGCAAAAATGACCCAATTGAGACATTTTGGCGGAGTTACTGGGTTTTATTTTTCATACACAATTGTATAAAAATGAGGGAAACCGAAGCACTCGGAGAAAACCCCTTCACCAGCCTCAGTGAGGCTGTAACCCAGAGAGTAAACTGGACACTGAGGCGGGACCTCAGGCCTCAACCCTCTTCAAATGTACATATTCACAATATGTGTTTTTTGTGGGAGTTTTTTGTGTTTTTTTGTGGGAGTTTTTTGTGTATTTTTTTATGGGAGTTTTTTGTGTGTTTTTTTTTTTCAATGAATGCATGTCATGCGTCTTTAAGAGGTCTGTGTGTCTCTTTTAAAGAGCCCCGTGAACCTTTTCTTCAAAGACCTCTTTGGTGGCCTCCTGACCGCCTCCAACTGCTCCTCCAGTCTCCTCACTTTATCCATTACAGTATCATTTGGTGGGGATGTCTGAGTCTGAATCTCAGTCTCCTTCACTTCACAATCCTGCTGAATGACGGTGATGGACTCCATCGAGGAGGCTTTCTCTCTCTGCCACTGGAGCTTGTGTCTCTCCAGATCCTCATAGGCCTGGTTCAGCGAGGTCTCCAAAGTAAAAGATTTCTCCTTTTCTGCAAGGAGCTGTGACCTGTCCTCTTCCCACTGACTTGTCTTCCTGGACAGGTCCTCCTGAGCCTGATGAAGAGCAGACTTCAGCTGACTGACTTCCTCGTGATGCTTGCGATTCTGGTTCTCATCACTTTCCAGGACCTCATCTAGGGAAGCTCTTATCCGGCTTCTTTCCTCCTCTTTTTCTCTCAAAAGACCTGAGAAGTCCTCGTCCTGAGCCTTCAGCTTCTCCTGAGCCTGGATGAGCTTGACCTTTAAGGATTCTTGCTCCAGAATAAGGTCAGCTCTCACTTTATTCGCCTTGTTCTTTTGGTCTTTTAGCTGTTCTCGTAACTGGGCGAGGTCCTCTTTCAACTTGCAGCGGTCCAGTTTCTGCTGAATGCGAGCTCTTTCGTGATTCCACTGCTGTCTATTCTTTCTCAGCTTCTCTTGAGCTTCGCTGAGGTCTTCTCTTAACTTGGAGGACTCCTCTGTCTGTGAGAGTAGATGAGTCCTTTCCTCCTCCCATTGTTTTCTTTCATTTTTTAGGTCTTTTTTGGTCTGACTCAGGACTTCCTTTAGTTTGGAGGCGTCTTCTTTCTCTGAGAGGAGCTGTGTTCTCTCCTTCTCCCACTGCTGCTGGTCCTCTCGAGCCTTGGCTAGGGCGTCCTTTAACTTGCCATTTTCCCCCTTGAGGAAGAGGACACATGCTCTCTCTTCCTCCAACTGTTTGTTTTTCTTCTTCAGGTCTTTCTGGGCCTGGTTGAGAGAAGCTCTCACCTTCCTGGACCCATCTTTTCCTGAGAGTCCATCCACCTGCTGGCTCTGCTTCTTCAGATCTTCCTCAGCCTTCTCGAGAGCAGCCTTCAATCTGCAGATTTCCTCTTTGTCAGTCAGAAGACAGGATCTCTCCTCCTCCCACTGGCAGGTCTTGGTCTGCAGATCTTCTTGAGTCTGTTTCAGCTCAGCCTTGACGGTGGACAGCTCTTCTTTCATCTCATCCAGGAGAGAAGTCTTGTCCTCCTCCCTCTCAGGGTTCGCGGTGGCAGTTTCTTCTTGGACCTGGTTTGGCTCTGTGGTGTGACAGTTGTCTTCTGTCACCTTGGCCTGCTGCTCAGCCCACAGAAGCCTCTGCTGCTCCTGTGTCACTAGTGCATAGTGAAGTGCAGCACGAAGATGCATGACGTCCCCCAGGAGCTGGGCTCTGTCTTGCCCCCATTGGTTCCTCACCTCAGTGACGGCCATGTCCATATAAGCCTGCAGTCTGGAGGTCAGCTCTGTTTGCTGGGCCAGGCACTCCTCTGTCTCCCTCCGCTTCCTCTTTTCAGCTTCACAGTCCTCCTTAAGTTTTTCCATTTCAAGGACTGCCTCTCCTGCTTTCTCTAGCTTAGCTGACACTTCAGTGAGCAGGCGTGTCTTTTCAGAGGTGGCTTTCTCTTCCTGTTGTCTGAGCTGCTCTTTTAACAGGTTCACCTCCTGAGATAAGGCAGCCATTTCACCCTTGATTCGGACTGCTTCCTTCTCCTCTCCTGCAAGTCTCTGAGATTCAGACTCAAGGATCTGAATGACAGGCCTGCAAGAAATTGGGACCATGTCTCCTTTTTGTCCCTGCTGACTTGGAGGAGAGTATTTGTCATGGACTGACTCGCGATCCTCCCCATCCGACTCCCAATCTGAGGCGTCCATTGTAGGCTCCAATTGGAGTTGTCTATATCTCTCCTGAGCCTCTTGCCGGCGGGCTTCGACTTCTGCATCTTTTTCGACTTTGACAGCTTGGCGCATCAGATTTTGTTCATTGATGTTAAAGTTGCCAAAATCATCATCATCATCCAGATCATACAGATCTGCAGGCACCGCGTTTGCATATTTGTTGGTCCCCTGATCCAGAGGGATGGGGGTGGCTTTGTTCTTCCTCTTGTTCCTTCTTTTTCTCGTGTTCATCTTCTTACTGGAACTGTAGATGGTCTTGCTCATGTTCATGTTCATCTCACTGGAACTGTGGACGTTCATGTTCATGTTCATGTTCATCTTCTGACTGGAACTGCAGGTGGTCATGTTCCTGTTCGTGTACCTGTTCGTAGATGTTCACTAAAACTGAGGTTCTCTGTGTTTGTCGCTGTCTGGCACTGATGGCTGGACTGTCTTAAAGACGGATTTTGTGAGGCTAAGCATCAACAAGCTTTAAGATGAAACGATCATTGAGTCTGTGAAAAAAGATGAAAGGATCGATGACATCATCAATGACATCACTAAATCACAAAACGTGATGTCATCAGGGTAAATTTCCATGTTTGGAAAAAAAACATTCTCAGACGGCATGACAACATAGTTGTTTATTTTCAAATTTGAAAAAAAAAAAATTCCAAAGACATGTTGCCATAGTTGTTTATTTTTAAATTTGGACAAAAAATTAATAAACGCACATTTTCAAGACAATGTGTGCATTCGTATAATTAAATATTTTAATTGGTTTAATTGATTTTCTCCTTTTGATTATTAATTTTTCAAAATTGCAGCTATTAAATACTTTATTTGCAAATACAAAGCAGAAAATAAAATATTTTTTAAAAGGTTTCTAACCAATAAATCGAGTTTAATTCGAATTCACTTTTTTGTGATCGCAAGGCTTCAATGAAGTACAGAAGCTCTTCACATGAATAACACTTTAGAAGCACAAGCACTGTTCAGTGGTCTCACACTGTCTGTCCATCAACATGGAGTTAAAGGCCCCAAGTGAAATGAGCTGTAGGAGTTTGAGCTCAGTTTGTGAGGAGTTCCATGTGCTGTGGAGGCAGCAAAACTGAACGCTCTCTTCCCCAGTTCAGTTCTGACACGGAGGACAGAGAGGTGGAGAACGTCACAGGAATGTAGGACATAGCGGCATTTAGTTCTCTGAAGAAAAGTACATAAATAAGATGGATCTAAGTTGGGAAGAGCCTTGTAAATCACGGTCAGCCAGTGCGTACTCCTGTGTGCCCTTAAAGAAGGCCAGCCAGTGTTAACATACAAATAACATGATGCGTGAGATGAATATCACCAGTGATAAACCTTAGAGTGCTGTGATAAACAGTATTTAAGAACTGGAGACATTTCAGCAAAGCACCTTTATGCAACAAATCTCCATAATCGATTAGAGAAAGAATTGCTGCTGATACAAGTGGTTTCCTGGCTCTAACTGAGAAGCAAGATCTATATCGATGGTAAAACCCGAGCTTCACCCTGAGTTTGTTGACCAGTTCTGCAATAATTAAATAATTTGTGCTTGTGTAGCACTTGACATGTAATCTACTGACCTCTATTAGTGTTTTTATGTTATATTCACCCATTCACACTATGGTCATTTGTGATTTCTTTTCCATTTTCAAGTAACAGGGGGTGGCTCAACTTACCCCACTCTCTCCTAAAGGAAAAGGTGTGCAGGTATCTTCTTACCTACAAACTGAGTCAGGATTACTTGGAGTTAAATTAATACACCAATAGACAAGACCTGTGTCTACATTTTAAAGTTTAAGTGGAGTCTCCAGGTGAAAGTATGCAGAGCTGGTAGGTGTTCTGAAAACTTCTATGGCTCTTTTTTTTTTTAAATTTTTTTTTGAAAGACAAATAAGGTGCCAAAAAACGACAATAAGAAGGCAAAAACATGAAGTCTGTGAGGAGCTGATGTGACTTGCTGCCACTCTCAGGGCGCTCGAGTCACAAGAAAATGTTCCCTGACCGGGAATCGAACCCGGGCCGCGGCGGTGAGAGCGCCGAATCCTAACCACTAGACCACCAGGGACGCAAAATTGATACACCATTGATACACCAGTGGAGAGCCGGTTACTGAGTGTCCGCTTACTTATACTCTTGTCAGCCATTACCATAACGTCAATCCTGTTATTGTCATTTATTTGATAAAAGTGTAAAAAATGACAACTCAAATGGGCTTTCAACACTCACCATTATAATTTGAATTAATGATATTTTAGATTGGGCCATTTTTCAACATTTCTCCTCTAAAAAATATCCGATATAGGTTGAGACATGATGGCCATGCAAAATTAGGATATATTTGATCATCTAAATGACAAATATCTAATTGGAAAAAAAATCTACAAAATAAAATGATCTCAATGGAAAGAGAGACCAAAGTACTGCTAATATATGTAACATATATTGCATATTTCTAATTAGAAATATTGTACTTTGTTAAGTTTATGTTGGTAACAGGGTTGACAAGATCATGAAAACAGCCATGAGAAAAACGGTTATAAAATATAAATTAACACAGCCTGAGATGGCACAATATCATTTCCTGCCATTTTAAACATTCTTTGATTCTTGGGTACTTAAAAATTAACAATTAAATATAGTTTAAATGAAGTTTTCTAAGCTGAAAAGGCACAGATTTCATGGAATGACCCATACGCTATTCAACTGGTACAATGATTCTTTTTGTTATTATTGCATATAACTGCTAAGAAGCTGTCTCGTAAAAAGCCATTTTAACATGAGAATGCCTTTAAGTGATTCAGAACATTCACAGCTGTATTTTTGAAAAGAAAAAGACAAACATTTCAACAATCTGAACTGAAACTCTGATCCTCTCATCAGACTCCTTTACTTTCTCACTTGAGCCACTGGCTCAGCTTACCCCAGAACTACTTTTCTGACTATTAGTCCTCAAAGCTAAAATGGTGGACTTTTGTGCTCGTTTTTTTTTACCTCATGTTGTAGCTCATAGATACCACTATTGATGTATAAAACAAATTTAAAATGATCTTTTTTGGTCTGAACACAATTCTAATCAAACTTATGACAGACAAAATTCCCTTTCAAGAGTAAAAAATGTTTTTCTTTAGAAATAAACGTCTAACCCCTTCACCCATGTGCTTTGAACCTTCATAGACTCCATGAATTGATGCCCATCGCCTAAATATTTGGTCACATGATCAATTTCTTTTTCCATTTTCAAGTAACAGGGGGTGGCTTAACTTACCCCACTCTCTCCTAAAGGAAAAGGTGTGCAGGTATCTTCTTACCTACAAACTGAGTCAGGATTACTTGGAGTTGATTAATACACCAATAGACAAGACCTGTGTCTACATTTTAAAGTTTGAGTGGAGTCTCTAGGTGAAAGTATGCAAAGCCGGTAGGTGTTCTGAAAACTTCTATGGCTCTTTTTTTTTTTTTGACTTTTTCCATTGACTTTTATGCAAAATTTGAACACAATTTTATTGCAACTTATGTTGCAAAAAGTTTAAATACAATAAAAAAAAAAGTAATATCACACCAATCCTGATCAAACTGCATGTTTTGATATGTTATTCGTCCTACAACCCTTCAAGCTGTAGGACTAGCAGTGAACCAAAATTTGTCCAGACGAAGAAGAAAAAATCCACAACATAACAATAGTGCCATGGCTTTGCGTTTAGTGCCAATAACACAATCACCCGACTGAAAGCTTAAACTTCAGTAAAACAACCTTCACTCTGTTATTGTTGTATCTTCTTTCCATTAAGGTCCTTATAATAACCAGTGGAAAAAAGATTGTTATGACACCTCTTATTTAACCCTGTAAGATACTTATAAACTGTCCACCTGATTCTTATAAAACCCCACAGGTGTCTTATTAGCAATAATAGATGTGTTCATCATGCTTATTTTAACACTTAGAATTTATTAATGTTGCAAACAACATGGCAAATGAATAGTAAATACTGAAATATATTGAAAAACATAACGATTTAATCATCCAAACCAACGTAAATGAGGGGGCACATCAGGATAGACCTAAAATAGATTGAATATGGGATGCATTCACAGCATACATACAAGGGGTATTGTTAGGATTTGTTGGGTTTATGCAGACTTGCATAATAAAATAGACAAACTGAAGACACATGAAAAATTTAGAAACAAAGCACAATCTTCAGACATGATAAACTGTTGTTACACCTCTTTAAGAAGTGAAAACTAAATATGAATTGAGAAAATTATAATGGACGCTGTAAGTGTCAGTGTAACAATGTAGTGAGAGAGACAAAAAGTGAGTCAAAAACACCCCAAATATGTTAAGAACTACAAATGAACTTTCTTCTGTCGAGTCTTGTTTTTTTTTTGTGTTTTTTTTGTCACAATACCAACCCTCCTCCTTTATCCGGGCTTGGGACCGGCAAAAATGACCCAATTGAGACATTTTGGCGGAGTTACTGGGTTTTTTTTATTTTTCATACACAATTGTATAAAAATGAGGGAAACCGAAGCACTCGGAGAAAACCCCTTCACCAGCCTCAGTGAGGCTGTAACCCAGAGAGTAAACTGGACACTGAGGCGGGACCTCAGGCCTCAACCCTCTTCAAATGTACATATTCACAATATGTGTTTTTTGTGGGAGTTTTTTGTGTGGTTTTTTTCGTGTTTTTTTGTGGGAGTTTTTTGTATGTTTTTTTTTTTTTTTCAATGAATGCATGTCATGCGTCTTTAAGAGGTCTGTGTGTCTCTTTTAAAGAGCCCCTGAAACCTTTTCCTCAAAGACCTCTTTGGTGGCCTCCTGACCGCCTCCAACTGCTCCTCCAGTCTCCTCACTTTATCCATTACAGTATCATTTGGTGGGGATGTCTGAGTCTGAATCTCAGTCTCCTTCACTTCACAATCCTGCTGAATGACGGTGATGGACTCCATCGAGGAGGCTTTCTCTCTCTGCCACTGGAGCTTGTGTCTCTCCAGATCCTCATAGGCCTGGTTCAGCGAGGTCTCCAAAGTAAAAGATTTCTCCTTTTCTGCAAGGAGCTGTGACCTGTCCTCTTCCCACTGACTTGTCTTCCTGGACAGGTCCTCCTGAGCCTGATGAAGAGCAGACTTCAGCTGACTGACTTCCTCGTGATGCTTGCGATTCTGGTTCTCATCACTTTCCAGGACCTCATCTAGGGAAGCTCTTATCCGGCTTCTTTCCTCCTCTTTTTCTCTCAAAAGACCTGAGAAGTCCTCGTCCTGAGCCTTCAGCTTCTCCTGAGCCTGGATGAGCTTGACCTTTAAGGATTCTTGCTCCAGAATAAGGTCAGCTCTCACTTTATTCGCCTTGTTCTTTTGGTCTTTTAGCTGTTCTCGTAACTGGGCGAGGTCCTCTTTCAACTTGCAGCGGTCCAGTTTCTGCTGAATGCGAGCTCTTTCGTGATTCCACTGCTGTCTGTTCTTTCTCAGCTTCTCTTGAGCTTCGCTGAGGTCTGCTCTTAACTTGGAGGACTCCTCTGTCTGTGAGAGTAGATGAGTCCTTTCCTCCTCCCATTGTTTTCTTTCATTTTTTAGGTCTTTTTTGGTCTGACTCAGGACTTCCTTTAGTTTGGAGGCGTCTTCTTTCTCTGAGAGGAGCTGTGTTCTCTCCTTCTCCCACTGCTGCTGGTCCTCTTGAGCCTTGGCTAGGGCGTCCTTTAACTTGCCATTTTCCCCCTTGAGGAAGAGGACACATGCTCTCTCTTCCTCCAACTGTTTGTTTTTCTTCTTCAGGTCTTTCTGGGCCTGGTTGAGAGAAGCTCTCACCTTCCTGGACCCATCTTTTCCTGAGAGTCCATCCACCTGCTGGCTCTGCTTCTTCAGATCTTCCTCAGCCTTCTCGAGAGCAGCCTTCAATCTGCAGATTTCCTCTTTGTCAGTCAGAAGACAGGATCTCTCCTCCTCCCACTGGCAGGTCTTGGTCTGCAGATCTTCTTGAGTCTGTTTCAGCTCAGCCTTGACGGTGGACAGCTCTTCTTTCATCTCATCCAGGAGAGAAGTCTTGTCCTCCTCCCTCTCAGGGTTCTCGGTGGCAGTTTCTTCTTGGACCTGGTTTGGCTCTGTGGTGTGACAGTTGTCTTCTGTCACCTTGGCCTGCTGCTCAGCCCACAGAAGCCTCTGGTTCTCCTGTGTCACTAGTGCATGGTGAAGTGCAGCACGAAGATGCATGACGTCCCCCAGGAGCTGGGCTCTGTCTTGCCCCCATTGGTTCCTCACCTCAGTGACGGCCATGTCCATATAAGCCTGCAGTCTGGAGGTCAGCTCTGTTTGCTGGGCCAGGCACTCCTCTGTCTCTGTCCGCTTCCTCTTTTCAGCTTCACAGTCCTCCTTAAGTTTTTCCATTTCAAGGACTGCCTCTCCTGCTTTCTCTAGCTTAGCTGACACTTCAGTGAGCAGGCGTGTCTTTTCAGAGGTGGCTTTCTCTTCCTGTTGCCTGAGCTGCTCTTTTAACAGGTTCACCTCCTGAGATAAGGCAGCCATTTCACCCTTGATTCGGACTGCTTCCTTCTCCTCTCCTGCAAGTCTCTGAGATTCAGACTCAAGGATCTGAATGACAGGCCTGCAAGAAATTGGGACCATGTCTCCTTTTTGTCCCTGCTGACTTGGAGGAGAGTATTTGTCATGGACTGACTCGCGATCCTCCCCATCCGACTCCCAATCTGAGGCGTCCATTGTAGGCTCCAATTGGAGTTGTCTATATCTCTCCTGAGCCTCTTGCCGGCGGGCTTCGACTTCTGCATCTTTTTTGACTTTGACAGCTTGGCGCATCAGATTTTGTTCATTGATGTTAAAGTTGCCAAAATCATCATCATCATCCAGATCATACAGATCTGCAGGCACCGCGTTTGCATATTTGTTGGTCCCCTGATCCAGAGGGATGGGGGTGGCCTTGTTCTTCCTCTTGTTTCTTCTTTTTCTCGTGTTCATCTTCTTACTGGAACTGTAGATGGTCTTGCTCATGTTCATGTTCATCTCACTGGAACTGTGGATGTTCATGTTCATGTTCATGTTCATCTTCTGACTGGAACTGCAGGTGGTCATGTTCCTGTTCGTGTACCTGTTCGTAGATGTTCACTAAAACTGAGGTTCTCTGTGTTTGTCGCTGTCTGGCACTGATGGCTGGACTGTCTTAAAGACGGATTTTGTGAAGCTAAGCATCAACAAGCTTTAAGATGAAACGATCATTGAGTCTGTGAAAAAAGATGAAAGGATCGATGACATCATCAATGACATCACTACATCACAAAACGTGATGTCATCAGGGTAAATTTCCATGTTTGGAAAAAAAACATTCTCAGACGGCATGACAACATAGTTGTTTATTTTCAAATTTGAAAAAAAAAAAATTCCAAAGACGTGTTGCCATAGTTGTTTATTTTTAAATTTGGACAAAAAATTAATAAACGCACATTTTCAAGACAATGTGTGCATTCGTATAATTAAATATTTTAATTGGTTTAATTGATTTTCTCCTTTTGATTATTAATTTTTCAAAATTGCAGCTATTAAATACTTTATTTGCAAATACAAAGCAGAAAATAAAATATATTTAAAAAGGTTTCTAACCAATAAATCGAGTTTAATTCGAATTCACTTTTTTGTGATCGCAAGGCTTCAATGAAGTACAGAAGCTCTTCACATGAATAACACTTTAGAAGCACAAGCACTGTTCAGTGGTCTCACACTGTCTGTCCATCAACATGGAGTTAAAGGCCCCAAGTGAAATGAGCTGTAGGAGTTTGAGCTCAGTTTGTGAGGAGTTCCATGTGCTGTGGAGGCAGCAAAACTGAACGCTCTCTTCCCCAGTTCAGTTCTGACACGGAGGACAGAGAGGTGGAGAACGTCACAGGAATGTAGGACATAGCGGCATTTAGTTCTCTGAAGAAAAGTACATAAATAAGATGGATCTAAGTTGAGAAGAGCCTTGTAAATCATGGTCAGCCAGTGCGTACTCCTGTGTGCCCTTAAAGAAGGCCAGCCAGTGTTAACATACAAATAACATGATGCGTGAGATGAATATCACCAGTGATAAACCTTAGAGTGCTGTGATAAACAGTATTTAAGAACTGGAGACATTTCAGCAAAGCACCTTTATGCAACAAATCTCCATAATCGATTAGAGAAAGAATTGCTGCTGATACAAGTGGTTTCCTGGCTCTAACTGAGAAGCAAGATCTATATCGATGGTAAAACCCGAGCTTCACCCTGAGTTTGTTGACCAGTTCTGCAATAATTAAATAATTTGTGCTTGTGTAGCACTTGACATGTAATCTACTGACCTCTATTAGTGTTTTTATGTTATATTCACCCATTCACACTATGGTCATTTGTGATTTCTTTTCCATTTTCAAGTAACAGGGGGTGGCTCAACTTACCCCACTCTCTCCTAAAGGAAAAGGTGTGCAGGTATCTTCTTACCTACAAACTGAGTCAGGATTACTTGGAGTTAAATTAATACACCAATAGACAAGACCTGTGTCTACATTTTAAAGTTTAAGTGGAGTCTCCAGGTGAAAGTATGCAGAGCTGGTAGGTGTTCTGAAAACTTCTATGGCTCTTTTTTTTTTTTAATTTTTTTTGAAAGACAAATAAGGTGCCAAAAAACGACAATAAGAAGGCAAAAACATGAAGTCTGTGAGGAGCTGATGTGACTTGCTGCCACTCTCAGGGCGCTCGAGTCACAAGAAAATGTTCCCTGACCGGGAATCGAACCCGGGCCGCGGCGGTGAGAGCGCCGAATCCTAACCACTAGACCACCAGGGACGCAAAATTGATACACCATTGATACACCAGTGGAGAGCCGGTTACTGAGTGTCCGCTTACTTATACTCTTGTCAGCCATTACCATAACGTCAATCCTGTTATTGTCATTTATTTGATAAAAGTGTAAAAAATGACAACTCAAATGGGCTTTCAACACTCACCATTATAATTTGAATTAATGATATTTTAGATTGGGCCATTTTTCAACATTTCTCCTCTAAAAAATATCCGATATAGGTTGAGACATGATGGCCATGCAAAATTAGGATATATTTGATCATCTAAATGACAAATATCTAATTGTAAAAAAAATCTACAAAATAAAATGATCTCAATGGAAAGAGAGACCAAAGTACTGCTAATATATGTAACTTGTGACATACATCACCTAGTGATGCAACCTGGACACATCATCAGTGATGTTACCTGGGATCATCGAGTGTTTCGGGTCTTTCAAGCATCATACACTCTCCTCCAGGCGACCCAGCCGGGGGTGATCAATCCCCAGCTTGTGTCCAGTTAATGCTACCCTACCCACGGGTCTCCTCTCCTGATCCACAGCCACCGTGAGGCAACCTCTGCTGCCTCCGTGGCCTCCTTGATGGCCCTTTGCTTTCTAGGTCCTGTGATGCCCAGCATGCTATAGACTCTGCAGAGGGACTGGCCTGCGAACCCTCTGCATCCCACCTCGATGGGCTCACATCTTGCCCGCCACCCATTGAGCCTACATTCCTCCACCAGACCCTGGTATTTGGCCCTCTTCCTCTCGTTGGCCTCCTCGATTCGGTCTTCCCATGGTACTGTGAGCTCCAGCAGCACGACCTGCTTGGAGGATGTTGAGATCAGTACCACGTCTGGCCTCAGCGATGTTGTGGCCACATTCTTTGGGAATACCAGTTGTTCCCCGAGGTCAACTTTCAGCTCCCAGTCTTGAGCCGTTGCTAGCAGGCCAGAGAAGGTGGTCCTAACAGCAGCTGGTGGTTTCTCCCCGGCTCTGATGAAGGAGATGGACTTCCTTGTTGGGCGCAGGTGCTTGCAGTGGGCAGTTCCATTGCAGATGGTGTTTGCTATGGCCTTCAAAACCTGGTCGTGGCGCCAGCGGTAGCGCCCCTCACTCAGGCCTTTTGGACAGCAGCTCAGGATGTGCTCCAGGGTCCCTCTCTTCTGACACAGTGCACAGGCAGGCGACTCAACCTTTCCCCAGCAGAATAAATTAGACGGGCTCGGCAGTACGTCGTAGACGGCCTGGATGAGGAATTTAATGCGCTGGGGCTCAGCTTTCCAAAGCTCAGTCCAAGTGACTTTGCGCTCTGCCGCCTGCTCCCAACGCATCCAGGCTCCCTGCTGCCGCATTCCAACCATCCTGCTGGTTCTCTCTTCCTCCACTGCTGCTCGCACCTCTCCCTGGAGCAGTGCCCTCCTGTCCTTCCCCTTAGCCTTGTCGTAGCGAGGTGTTGCACCGCTACCTAGGCCTGCTCTTCCCCGGGCCGCCGTCCCCACCAACACCCTGTGCCGCAGCCGTGACTCTGCAGCATCCACGGCCTCTGCTGCCCTCCACTTCCGCCCCGTCCTGACTTCGATCCCGGCTTGAGAGACTTTTGGGTCGCTTGACTCTCTGTACTGCAGCACCTCTCTAGTACGGCTCACCTTGAACTCTTCATTCAGGCTGCTGATCGGTAGCTTCAGCATGTTGTTTTTCCCGTATAGTGCGATGCTGCTGAGGCTTCGAGGCAGTCCCAGCCACTTCCTTAGGAACTTGCTGACTCTCCTCTCGAAGCTCTCAATTGTAGAGATTGGGATCTCATACACCAGGAGGGGCCAGAGAATCCTTGGGAGGATGCCATGTTGGTACACCCAGGCCTTGAATTTGCCCGGTAAGCCAGATTTGTCCACTGTGACTAGCCATGCCTCCAGCTCTTGGTTGGTTGACTGGATGGCTGCTGTGTCTTTTAGGCTACAGCTGAACATTTTCCCCAGGCTCTTCACCGGCTTTTCAGTGATGGATGGTATTTGGGTGCTGTCGAGTGTGAAGTGAAACTTGTTGGTGACCTTTCCTTTCTTCAGCACGAGAGCTCTGGATTGTAACATATATTGCATATTTCTAATTAGAAATATTGTACTTTGTTAAGTTTATGTCGGTAACAGGGTTGACAAGATCATGAAAACAGCCATGAGAAAAACGGTTATAAAATATAAATTAACACAGCCTGAGATGGCACAATATCATTTCCTGCCATTTTAAACATTCTTTGATTCTTGGGTACTTAAAAATTAACAATTAAATATAGTTTAAATTAAGTTTTCTAAGCTGAAAAGGCACAGATTTCATGGAATGACCCATACGCTATTCAACTGGTACAATGATTCTTTTTGTTATTATTGCATATAACTGCTAAGAAGCTGTCTGGTAAAAAGCCATTTTAACATGAGAATGCCTTTAAGTGATTCAGAACATTCACAGCTGTATTTTTGAAAAGAAAAAGACAAACATTTCAACAATCTGAACTGAAACTCTGATCCTCTCATCAGACTCCTTTACTTTCTCACTTGAGCCACTGGCTCAGCTTACCCCAGAACTACTTTTCTGACTATTAGTCCTCAAAGCTAAAATGGTGGACTTTTGTGCTCGTTTTTTTTTACCTCATGTTGTAGCTCATAGATACCACTATTGATGTATAAAACAAATTTAAAATGATCTTTTTTGGTCTGAACACAATTCTAATCAAACTTATGACAGACAAAATTCCCTTTCAAGAGTAAAAAATGTTTTTCTTTAGAAATAAACGTCTAACCCCTTCACCCATGTGCTTTGAACCTTCACAGACTCCATGAATTGATGCCCATCGCCTAAATATTTGGTCACATGATCAATTTCTTTTTCCATTTTCAAGTAACAGGGGGTGGCTTAACTTACCCTACTCTCTCCTAAAGGAAAAGGTGTGCAGGTATCTTCTTACCTACAAACTGAGTCAGGATTACTTGGAGTTGATTAATCCACCAATAGACAAGACCTGTGTCTACATTTTAAAGTTTGAGTGGAGTCTCTAGGTGAAAGTATGCAAAGCCGGTAGGTGTTCTGAAAACTTCTATGGCTCTTTTTTTTTTTTTTTTTGACTTTTTCCATTGACTTTTATGCAAAATTTGAACACAATTTTATTGCAACTTATGTTGCAAAAAGTTTAAATACAATAAAAAAAAAAGTAATATCACACCAATCCTGATCAAACTGCATGTTTTGATATGTTATTCGTCCTACAACCCTTCAAGCTGTAGGACTAGCAGTGAACCAAAATTTGTCCAGACGAAGAAGAAAAAATCCACAACATAACAATAGTGCCATGGCTTTGCGTTTAGTGCCAATAACACAATCACCCGACTGAAAGCTTAAACTTCAGTAAAACAACCTTCACTCTGTTATTATTGTATCTTCTTTCCATTAAGGTCCTTATAATAACCAGTGGAAAAAAGATTGTTATGACACCTCTTATTTAACCCTGTAAGATACTTATAAACTGTCCACCTGATTCTTATAAAACCCCACAGGTGTCTTATTAGCAATAATAGATGTGTTCATCATGCTTATTTTAACACTTAGAATTTATTAATGTTGCAAACAACATGGCAAATGAATAGTAAATACTGAAATATGTTGAAAAACATAACGATTTAATCATCCAAACCAACGTAAAAGAGGGGGCACATCAGGATAGACCTAAAATAGATTGAATATGGGATGCATTTACAGCATACATATGAGGGGTATTGTTAGGATTTGTTGGGTTTATGCAGACTTGCATAGTAAAATAGACAAACTGAAGACACATGAAAAATTTAGAAACAAAGCACAATCTTCAGACATGATAAACCGTTGTTACACCTCTTTAAGAAGTGAAAACTAAATATGAATTGAGAAAATTATAATGGACGCTGTAAGTGTCAGTGTAACAATGTAGTGAGAGAGACAAAAAGTGAGTCAAAAACACCCCAAATATGTTAAGAACTACAAATGAACTTTCTTCTGTCGAGTCTTGGTTTTTTTTTGTGTTTTTTTTGTCACAATACCAACCCTCCTCCTTTATCCGGGCTTGGGACCGGCAAAAATGACCCAATTGAGACATTTTGGCGGAGTTACTGGGTTTTTTTTATTTTTTATACACAATTGTATAAAAATGAGGGAAACCGAAGCACTCGGAGAAAACCCCTTCACCAGCCTCAGTGAGGCTGTAACCCAGAGAGTAAACTGGACACTGAGGCGGGACCTCAGGCCTCAACCCTCTTCAAATGTACATATTCACAATATGTGTTTTTTGTGGGAGTTTTTTGTGTGGTTTTTTTCGTGTTTTTTTGTGGGAGTTTTTTGTATGTTTTTTTTTTTTTTTCAATGAATGCATGTCATGCGTCTTTAAGAGGTCTGTGTGTCTCTTTTAAAGAGCCCCTGAAACCTTTTCCTCAAAGACCTCTTTGGTGGCCTCCTGACCGCCTCCAACTGCTCCTCCAGTCTCCTCACTTTATCCATTACAGTATCATTTGGTGGGGATGTCTGAGTCTGAATCTCAGTCTCCTTCACTTCACAATCCTGCTGAATGACGGTGATGGACTCCATCGAGGAGGCTTTCTCTCTCTGCCACTGGAGCTTGTGTCTCTCCAGATCCTCATAGGCCTGGTTCAGCGAGGTCTCCAAAGTAAAAGATTTCTCCTTTTCTGCAAGGAGCTGTGACCTGTCCTCTTCCCACTGACTTGTCTTCCTGGACAGGTCCTCCTGAGCCTGATGAAGAGCAGACTTCAGCTGACTGACTTCCTCGTGATGCTTGCGATTCTGGTTCTCATCACTTTCCAGGACCTCATCTAGGGAAGCTCTTATCCGGCTTCTTTCCTCCTCTTTTTCTCTCAAAAGACCTGAGAAGTCCTCGTCCTGAGCCTTCAGCTTCTCCTGAGCCTGGATGAGCTTGACCTTTAAGGATTCTTGCTCCAGAATAAGGTCAGCTCTCACTTTATTCGCCTTGTTCTTTTGGTCTTTTAGCTGTTCTCGTAACTGGGCGAGGTCCTCTTTCAACTTGCAGCGGTCCAGTTTCTGCTGAATGCGAGCTCTTTCGTGATTCCACTGCTGTCTATTCTTTCTCAGCTTCTCTTGAGCTTCGCTGAGGTCTGCTCTTAACTTGGAGGACTCCTCTGTCTGTGAGAGTAGATGAGTCCTTTCCTCCTCCCATTGTTTTCTTTCATTTTTTAGGTCTTTTTTGGTCTGACTCAGGACTTCCTTTAGTTTGGAGGCGTCTTCTTTCTCTGAGAGGAGCTGTGTTCTCTCCTTCTCCCACTGCTGCTGGTCCTCTTGAGCCTTGGCTAGGGCGTCCTTTAACTTGCCATTTTCCCCCTTGAGGAAGAGGACACATGCTCTCTCTTCCTCCAACTGTTTGTTTTTCTTCTTCAGGTCTTTCTGGGCCTGGTTGAGAGAAGCTCTCACCTTCCTGGACCCATCTTTTCCTGAGAGTCCATCCACCTGCTGGCTCTGCTTCTTCAGATCTTCCTCAGCCTTCTCGAGAGCAGCCTTCAATCTGCAGATTTCCTCTTTGTCAGTCAGAAGACAGGATCTCTCCTCCTCCCACTGGCAGGTCTTGGTCTGCAGATCTTCTTGAGTCTGTTTCAGCTCAGCCTTGACGGTGGACAGCTCTTCTTTCATCTCATCCAGGAGAGAAGTCTTGTCCTCCTCCCTCTCAGGGTTCTCGGTGGCAGTTTCTTCTTGGACCTGGTTTGGCTCTGTGGTGTGACAGTTGTCTTCTGTCACCTTGGCCTGCTGCTCAGCCCACAGAAGCCTCTGGTTCTCCTGTGTCACTAGTGCATGGTGAAGTGCAGCACGAAGATGCATGACGTCCCCCAGGAGCTGGGCTCTGTCTTGCCCCCATTGGTTCCTCACCTCAGTGACGGCCATGTCCATATAAGCCTGCAGTCTGGAGGTCAGCTCTGTTTGCTGGGCCAGGCACTCCTCTGTCTCTGTCCGCTTCCTCTTTTCAGCTTCACAGTCCTCCTTAAGTTTTTCCATTTCAAGGACTGCCTCTCCTGCTTTCTCTAGCTTAGCTGACACTTCAGTGAGCAGGCGTGTCTTTTCAGAGGTGGCTTTCTCTTCCTGTTGCCTGAGCTGCTCTTTTAACAGGTTCACCTCCTGAGATAAGGCAGCCATTTCACCCTTGATTCGGACTGCTTCCTTCTCCTCTCCTGCAAGTCTCTGAGATTCAGACTCAAGGATCTGAATGACAGGCCTGCAAGAAATTGGGACCATGTCTCCTTTTTGTCCCTGCTGACTTGGAGGAGAGTATTTGTCATGGACTGACTCGCGATCCTCCCCATCCGACTCCCAATCTGAGGCGTCCATTGTAGGCTCCAATTGGAGTTGTCTATATCTCTCCTGAGCCTCTTGCCGGCGGGCTTCGACTTCTGCATCTTTTTTGACTTTGACAGCTTGGCGCATCAGATTTTGTTCATTGATGTTAAAGTTGCCAAAATCATCATCATCATCCAGATCATACAGATCTGCAGGCACCGCGTTTGCATATTTGTTGGTCCCCTGATCCAGAGGGATGGGGGTGGCCTTGTTCTTCCTCTTGTTTCTTCTTTTTCTCGTGTTCATCTTCTTACTGGAACTGTAGATGGTCTTGCTCATGTTCATGTTCATCTCACTGGAACTGTGGATGTTCATGTTCATGTTCATGTTCATCTTCTGACTGGAACTGCAGGTGGTCATGTTCCTGTTCGTGTACCTGTTCGTAGATGTTCACTAAAACTGAGGTTCTCTGTGTTTGTCGCTGTCTGGCACTGATGGCTGGACTGTCTTAAAGACGGATTTTGTGAAGCTAAGCATCAACAAGCTTTAAGATGAAACGATCATTGAGTCTGTGAAAAAAGATGAAAGGATCGATGACATCATCAATGACATCACTACATCACAAAACGTGATGTCATCAGGGTAAATTTCCATGTTTGGAAAAAAAACATTCTCAGACGGCATGACAACATAGTTGTTTATTTTCAAATTTGAAAAAAAAAAAAATTCCAAAGACGTGTTGCCATAGTTGTTTATTTTTAAATTTGGACAAAAAATTAATAAACGCACATTTTCAAGACAATGTGTGCATTCGTATAATTAAATATTTTAATTGGTTTAATTGATTTTCTCCTTTTGATTATTAATTTTTCAAAATTGCAGCTATTAAATACTTTATTTGCAAATACAAAGCAGAAAATAAAATATATTTAAAAAGGTTTCTAACCAATAAATCGAGTTTAATTCGAATTCACTTTTTTGTGATCGCAAGGCTTCAATGAAGTACAGAAGCTCTTCACATGAATAACACTTTAGAAGCACAAGCACTGTTCAGTGGTCTCACACTGTCTGTCCATCAACATGGAGTTAAAGGCCCCAAGTGAAATGAGCTGTAGGAGTTTGAGCTCAGTTTGTGAGGAGTTCCATGTGCTGTGGAGGCAGCAAAACTGAACGCTCTCTTCCCCAGTTCAGTTCTGACACGGAGGACAGAGAGGTGGAGAACGTCACAGGAATGTAGGACATAGCGGCATTTAGTTCTCTGAAGAAAAGTACATAAATAAGATGGATCTAAGTTGAGAAGAGCCTTGTAAATCATGGTCAGCCAGTGCGTACTCCTGTGTGCCCTTAAAGAAGGCCAGCCAGTGTTAACATACAAATAACATGATGCGTGAGATGAATATCACCAGTGATAAACCTTAGAGTGCTGTGATAAACAGTATTTAAGAACTGGAGACATTTCAGCAAAGCACCTTTATGCAACAAATCTCCATAATCGATTAGAGAAAGAATTGCTGCTGATACAAGTGGTTTCCTGGCTCTAACTGAGAAGCAAGATCTATATCGATGGTAAAACCCGAGCTTCACCCTGAGTTTGTTGACCAGTTCTGCAATAATTAAATAATTTGTGCTTGTGTAGCACTTGACATGTAATCTACTGACCTCTATTAGTGTTTTTATGTTATATTCACCCATTCACACTATGGTCATTTGTGATTTCTTTTCCATTTTCAAGTAACAGGGGGTGGCTCAACTTACCCCACTCTCTCCTAAAGGAAAAGGTGTGCAGGTATCTTCTTACCTACAAACTGAGTCAGGATTACTTGGAGTTAAATTAATACACCAATAGACAAGACCTGTGTCTACATTTTAAAGTTTAAGTGGAGTCTCCAGGTGAAAGTATGCAGAGCTGGTAGGTGTTCTGAAAACTTCTATGGCTCTTTTTTTTTTTTTAATTTTTTTTGAAAGACAAATAAGGTGCCAAAAAACGACAATAAGAAGGCAAAAACATGAAGTCTGTGAGGAGCTGATGTGACTTGCTGCCACTCTCAGGGCGCTCGAGTCACAAGAAAATGTTCCCTGACCGGGAATCGAACCCGGGCCGCGGCGGTGAGAGCGCCGAATCCTAACCACTAGACCACCAGGGACGCAAAATTGATACACCATTGATACACCAGTGGAGAGCCGGTTACTGAGTGTCCGCTTACTTATACTCTTGTCAGCCATTACCATAACGTCAATCCTGTTATTGTCATTTATTTGATAAAAGTGTAAAAAATGACAACTCAAATGGGCTTTCAACACTCACCATTATAATTTGAATTAATGATATTTTAGATTGGGCCATTTTTCAACATTTCTCCTCTAAAAAATATCCGATATAGGTTGAGACATGATGGCCATGCAAAATTAGGATATATTTGATCATCTAAATGACAAATATCTAATTGTAAAAAAAATCTACAAAATAAAATGATCTCAATGGAAAGAGAGACCAAAGTACTGCTAATATATGTAACTTGTGACATACATCACCTAGTGATGCAACCTGGACACATCATCAGTGATGTTACCTGGGATCATCGAGTGTTTCGGGTCTTTCAAGCATCATACACTCTCCTCCAGGCGACCCAGCCGGGGGTGATCAATCCCCAGCTTGTGTCCAGTTAATGCTACCCTACCCACGGGTCTCCTCTCCTGATCCACAGCCACCGTGAGGCAACCTCTGCTGCCTCCGTGGCCTCCTTGATGGCCCTTTGCTTTCTAGGTCCTGTGATGCCCAGCATGCTATAGACTCTGCAGAGGGACTGGCCTGCGAACCCTCTGCATCCCACCTCGATGGGCTCACATCTTGCCCGCCACCCATTGAGCCTACATTCCTCCACCAGACCCTGGTATTTGGCCCTCTTCCTCTCGTTGGCCTCCTCGATTCGGTCTTCCCATGGTACTGTGAGCTCCAGCAGCACGACCTGCTTGGAGGATGTTGAGATCAGTACCACGTCTGGCCTCAGCGATGTTGTGGCCACATTCTTTGGGAATACCAGTTGTTCCCCGAGGTCAACTTTCAGCTCCCAGTCTTGAGCCGTTGCTAGCAGGCCAGAGAAGGTGGTCCTAACAGCAGCTGGTGGTTTCTCCCCGGCTCTGATGAAGGAGATGGACTTCCTTGTTGGGCGCAGGTGCTTGCAGTGGGCAGTTCCATTGCAGATGGTGTTTGCTATGGCCTTCAAAACCTGGTCGTGGCGCCAGCGGTAGCGCCCCTCACTCAGGCCTTTTGGACAGCAGCTCAGGATGTGCTCCAGGGTCCCTCTCTTCTGACACAGTGCACAGGCAGGCGACTCAACCTTTCCCCAGCAGAATAAATTAGACGGGCTCGGCAGTACGTCGTAGACGGCCTGGATGAGGAATTTAATGCGCTGGGGCTCAGCTTTCCAAAGCTCAGTCCAAGTGACTTTGCGCTCTGCCGCCTGCTCCCAACGCATCCAGGCTCCCTGCTGCCGCATTCCAACCATCCTGCTGGTTCTCTCTTCCTCCACTGCTGCTCGCACCTCTCCCTGGAGCAGTGCCCTCCTGTCCTTCCCCTTAGCCTTGTCGTAGCGAGGTGTTGCACCGCTACCTAGGCCTGCTCTTCCCCGGGCCGCCGTCCCCACCAACACCCTGTGCCGCAGCCGTGACTCTGCAGCATCCACGGCCTCTGCTGCCCTCCACTTCCGCCCCGTCCTGACTTCGATCCCGGCTTGAGAGACTTTTGGGTCGCTTGACTCTCTGTACTGCAGCACCTCTCTAGTACGGCTCACCTTGAACTCTTCATTCAGGCTGCTGATCGGTAGCTTCAGCATGTTGTTTTTCCCGTATAGTGCGATGCTGCTGAGGCTTCGAGGCAGTCCCAGCCACTTCCTTAGGAACTTGCTGACTCTCCTCTCGAAGCTCTCAATTGTAGAGATTGGGATCTCATACACCAGGAGGGGCCAGAGAATCCTTGGGAGGATGCCATGTTGGTACACCCAGGCCTTGAATTTGCCCGGTAAGCCAGATTTGTCCACTGTGACTAGCCATGCCTCCAGCTCTTGGTTGGTTGACTGGATGGCTGCTGTGTCTTTTAGGCTACAGCTGAACATTTTCCCCAGGCTCTTCACCGGCTTTTCAGTGATGGATGGTATTTGGGTGCTGTCGAGTGTGAAGTGAAACTTGTTGGTGACCTTTCCTTTCTTCAGCACGAGAGCTCTGGATTGTAACATATATTGCATATTTCTAATTAGAAATATTGTACTTTGTTAAGTTTATGTCGGTAACAGGGTTGACAAGATCATGAAAACAGCCATGAGAAAAACGGTTATAAAATATAAATTAACACAGCCTGAGATGGCACAATATCATTTCCTGCCATTTTAAACATTCTTTGATTCTTGGGTACTTAAAAATTAACAATTAAATATAGTTTAAATTAAGTTTTCTAAGCTGAAAAGGCACAGATTTCATGGAATGACCCATACGCTATTCAACTGGTACAATGATTCTTTTTGTTATTATTGCATATAACTGCTAAGAAGCTGTCTGGTAAAAAGCCATTTTAACATGAGAATGCCTTTAAGTGATTCAGAACATTCACAGCTGTATTTTTGAAAAGAAAAAGACAAACATTTCAACAATCTGAACTGAAACTCTGATCCTCTCATCAGACTCCTTTACTTTCTCACTTGAGCCACTGGCTCAGCTTACCCCAGAACTACTTTTCTGACTATTAGTCCTCAAAGCTAAAATGGTGGACTTTTGTGCTCGTTTTTTTTTACCTCATGTTGTAGCTCATAGATACCACTATTGATGTATAAAACAAATTTAAAATGATCTTTTTTGGTCTGAACACAATTCTAATCAAACTTATGACAGACAAAATTCCCTTTCAAGAGTAAAAAATGTTTTTCTTTAGAAATAAACGTCTAACCCCTTCACCCATGTGCTTTGAACCTTCACAGACTCCATGAATTGATGCCCATCGCCTAAATATTTGGTCACATGATCAATTTCTTTTTCCATTTTCAAGTAACAGGGGGTGGCTTAACTTACCCTACTCTCTCCTAAAGGAAAAGGTGTGCAGGTATCTTCTTACCTACAAACTGAGTCAGGATTACTTGGAGTTGATTAATCCACCAATAGACAAGACCTGTGTCTACATTTTAAAGTTTGAGTGGAGTCTCTAGGTGAAAGTATGCAAAGCCGGTAGGTGTTCTGAAAACTTCTATGGCTCTTTTTTTTTTTTTTTTTGACTTTTTCCATTGACTTTTATGCAAAATTTGAACACAATTTTATTGCAACTTATGTTGCAAAAAGTTTAAATACAATAAAAAAAAAGTAATATCACACCAATCCTGATCAAACTGCATGTTTTGATATGTTATTCGTCCTACAACCCTTCAAGCTGTAGGACTAGCAGTGAACCAAAATTTGTCCAGACGAAGAAGAAAAAATCCACAACATAACAATAGTGCCATGGCTTTGCGTTTAGTGCCAATAACACAATCACCCGACTGAAAGCTTAAACTTCAGTAAAACAACCTTCACTCTGTTATTATTGTATCTTCTTTCCATTAAGGTCCTTATAATAACCAGTGGAAAAAAGATTGTTATGACACCTCTTATTTAACCCTGTAAGATACTTATAAACTGTCCACCTGATTCTTATAAAACCCCACAGGTGTCTTATTAGCAATAATAGATGTGTTCATCATGCTTATTTTAACACTTAGAATTTATTAATGTTGCAAACAACATGGCAAATGAATAGTAAATACTGAAATATATTGAAAAACATAACGATTTAATCATCCAAACCAACGTAAATGAGGGGGCACATCAGGATAGACCTAAAATAGATTGAATATGGGATGCATTTACAGCATACATATGAGGGGTATTGTTAGGATTTGTTGGGTTTATGCAGACTTGCATAGTAAAATAGACAAACTGAAGACACATGAAAAATTTAGAAACAAAGCACAATCTTCAGACATGATAAACCGTTGTTACACCTCTTTAAGAAGTGAAAACTAAATATGAATTGAGAAAATTATAATGGACGCTGTAAGTGTCAGTGTAACAATGTAGTGAGAGAGACAAAAAGTGAGTCAAAAACACCCCAAATATGTTAAGAACTACAAATGAACTTTCTTCTGTCGAGTCTTGTTTTTTTTTTTGTGTTTTTTTTGTCACAATACCAACCCTCCTCCTTTATCCGGGCTTGGGACCGGCAAAAATGACCCAATTGAGACATTTTGGCGGAGTTACTGGGTTTTTTTTATTTTTTATACACAATTGTATAAAAATGAGGGAAACCGAAGCACTCGGAGAAAACCCCTTCACCAGCCTCAGTGAGGCTGTAACCCAGAGAGTAAACTGGACACTGAGGCGGGACCTCAGGCCTCAACCCTCTTCAAATGTACATATTCACAATATGTGTTTTTTGTGGGAGTTTTTTGTGTGGTTTTTTTCGTGTTTTTTTTGTGGGAGTTTTTTGTATGTTTTTTTTTTTTTTTCAATGAATGCATGTCATGCGTCTTTAAGAGGTCTGTGTGTCTCTTTTAAAGAGCCCCTGAAACCTTTTCCTCAAAGACCTCTTTGGTGGCCTCCTGACCGCCTCCAACTGCTCCTCCAGTCTCCTCACTTTATCCATTACAGTATCATTTGGTGGGGATGTCTGAGTCTGAATCTCAGTCTCCTTCACTTCACAATCCTGCTGAATGACGGTGATGGACTCCATCGAGGAGGCTTTCTCTCTCTGCCACTGGAGCTTGTGTCTCTCCAGATCCTCATAGGCCTGGTTCAGCGAGGTCTCCAAAGTAAAAGATTTCTCCTTTTCTGCAAGGAGCTGTGACCTGTCCTCTTCCCACTGACTTGTCTTCCTGGACAGGTCCTCCTGAGCCTGATGAAGAGCAGACTTCAGCTGACTGACTTCCTCGTGATGCTTGCGATTCTGGTTCTCATCACTTTCCAGGACCTCATCTAGGGAAGCTCTTATCCGGCTTCTTTCCTCCTCTTTTTCTCTCAAAAGACCTGAGAAGTCCTCGTCCTGAGCCTTCAGCTTCTCCTGAGCCTGGATGAGCTTGACCTTTAAGGATTCTTGCTCCAGAATAAGGTCAGCTCTCACTTTATTCGCCTTGTTCTTTTGGTCTTTTAGCTGTTCTCGTAACTGGGCGAGGTCCTCTTTCAACTTGCAGCGGTCCAGTTTCTGCTGAATGCGAGCTCTTTCGTGATTCCACTGCTGTCTGTTCTTTCTCAGCTTCTCTTGAGCTTCGCTGAGGTCTGCTCTTAACTTGGAGGACTCCTCTGTCTGTGAGAGTAGATGAGTCCTTTCCTCCTCCCATTGTTTTCTTTCATTTTTTAGGTCTTTTTTGGTCTGACTCAGGACTTCCTTTAGTTTGGAGGCGTCTTCTTTCTCTGAGAGGAGCTGTGTTCTCTCCTTCTCCCACTGCTGCTGGTCCTCTTGAGCCTTGGCTAGGGCGTCCTTTAACTTGCCATTTTCCCCCTTGAGGAAGAGGACACATGCTCTCTCTTCCTCCAACTGTTTGTTTTTCTTCTTCAGGTCTTTCTGGGCCTGGTTGAGAGAAGCTCTCACCTTCCTGGACCCATCTTTTCCTGAGAGTCCATCCACCTGCTGGCTCTGCTTCTTCAGATCTTCCTCAGCCTTCTCGAGAGCAGCCTTCAATCTGCAGATTTCCTCTTTGTCAGTCAGAAGACAGGATCTCTCCTCCTCCCACTGGCAGGTCTTGGTCTGCAGATCTTCTTGAGTCTGTTTCAGCTCAGCCTTGACGGTGGACAGCTCTTCTTTCATCTCATCCAGGAGAGAAGTCTTGTCCTCCTCCCTCTCAGGGTTCTCGGTGGCAGTTTCTTCTTGGACCTGGTTTGGCTCTGTGGTGTGACAGTTGTCTTCTGTCACCTTGGCCTGCTGCTCAGCCCACAGAAGCCTCTGGTTCTCCTGTGTCACTAGTGCATGGTGAAGTGCAGCACGAAGATGCATGACGTCCCCCAGGAGCTGGGCTCTGTCTTGCCCCCATTGGTTCCTCACCTCAGTGACGGCCATGTCCATATAAGCCTGCAGTCTGGAGGTCAGCTCTGTTTGCTGGGCCAGGCACTCCTCTGTCTCTGTCCGCTTCCTCTTTTCAGCTTCACAGTCCTCCTTAAGTTTTTCCATTTCAAGGACTGCCTCTCCTGCTTTCTCTAGCTTAGCTGACACTTCAGTGAGCAGGCGTGTCTTTTCAGAGGTGGCTTTCTCTTCCTGTTGTCTGAGCTGCTCTTTTAACAGGTTCACCTCCTGAGATAAGGCAGCCATTTCACCCTTGATTCGGACTGCTTCCTTCTCCTCTCCTGCAAGTCTCTGAGATTCAGACTCAAGGATCTGAATGACAGGCCTGCAAGAAATTGGGACCATGTCTCCTTTTTGTCCCTGCTGACTTGGAGGAGAGTATTTGTCATGGACTGACTCGCGATCCTCCCCATCCGACTCCCAATCTGAGGCGTCCATTGTAGGCTCCAATTGGAGTTGTCTATATCTCTCCTGAGCCTCTTGCCGGCGGGCTTCGACTTCTGCATCTTTTTTGACTTTGACAGCTTGGCGCATCAGATTTTGTTCATTGATGTTAAAGTTGCCAAAATCATCATCATCATCCAGATCATACAGATCTGCAGGCACCGCGTTTGCATATTTGTTGGTCCCCTGATCCAGAGGGATGGGGGTGGCCTTTGTTCTTCCTCTTGTTTCTTCTTTTTCTAGCGTTCATCTTCTCACCGGAACTGTAGATGGTCTTGCTCATGTTCATGTTCATCTCACTGGAACTGTGGACGTTCATGTTCATGTTCATCTTCTGACTGGAACTGCAGGTGGTCATGTTCCTGTTCGTGTACCTGTTCGTAGATGTTCACTAAAACTGAGGTTCTCTGTGTTTGTCGCTGTCTGGCACTGATGGCTGGACTGTCTTAAAGACGGATTTTGTGAGGCTAAGCATCAACAAGCTTTAAGATGAAACGATCATTGAGTCTGTGAAAAAAGATGAAAGGATCGATGACATCATCAATGACATCACTAAATCACAAAACGTGATGTCATCAGGGTAAATTTCCATGTTTGGAAAAAAAACATTCTCAGACGGCATGACAACATAGTTGTTTATTTTCAAATTTGAAAAAAAAAAAAAAATTCCAAAGACGTGTTGCCATAGTTGTTTATTTTTAAATTTGGACAAAAAATTAATAAACGCACATTTTCAAGACAATGTGTGCATTCGTATAATTAAATATTTTAATTGGTTTAATTGATTTTCTCCTTTTGATTATTAATTTTTCAAAATTGCAGCTATTAAATACTTTATTTGCAAATACAAAGCAGAAAATAAAATATATTTAAAAAGGTTTCTAACCAATAAATCGAGTTTAATTCGAATTCACTTTTTTGTGATCGCAAGGCTTCAATGAAGTACAGAAGCTCTTCACATGAATAACACTTTAGAAGCACAAGCACTGTTCAGTGGTCTCACACTGTCTGTCCATCAACATGGAGTTAAAGGCCCCAAGTGAAATGAGCTGTAGGAGTTTGAGCTCAGTTTGTGAGGAGTTCCATGTGCTGTGGAGGCAGCAAAACTGAACGCTCTCTTCCCCAGTTCAGTTCTGACACGGAGGACAGAGAGGTGGAGAACGTCACAGGAATGTAGGACATAGCGGCATTTAGTTCTCTGAAGAAAAGTACATAAATAAGATGGATCTAAGTTGAGAAGAGCCTTGTAAATCATGGTCAGCCAGTGCGTACTCCTGTGTGCCCTTAAAGAAGGCCAGCCAGTGTTAACATACAAATAACATGATGCGTGAGATGAATATCACCAGTGATAAACCTTAGAGTGCTGTGATAAACAGTATTTAAGAACTGGAGACATTTCAGCAAAGCACCCATATGCAGCACATCTCCATAATCGATTGAGAAAGAATTGTTGCTGATACAAGTGGTTTCCTGGCTCTAAGTGAGAAGCAAGATCTATTTTGATGGTAAAACCCGAGCTTCACCCTGAGTTTGTTGACCAGTTCTGCAATAATTAAATAATTTGTGCTTGTGTAGCACTTGACATGTAATCTACTGACCTCTATTAGTGTTTTTATGTTATATTCACCCATTCACACTATGGTCATTTGTGATTTCTTTTTCCATTTTCAAGTAACAGGGGGTGGCTCAACTTACCCCACTCTCTCCTAAAGGAAAAGGTGTGCAGGTATCTTCTTACCTACAAACTGAGTCAAGATTACTTGGAGTTAAATTAATACACCAATAGACAAGACCTGTGTCTACATTTTAAAGTTTAAGTGGAGTCTCTAGGTGAAAGTATGCAGAGCTGGTAGGTGTTCTGAAAACTTCTATGGCTCTTTTTTTTTTTTTAATTTTTTTTGAAAGACAAATAAGGTGCCAAAAAACGACAATAAGAAGGCAAAAACATGAAGTCTGTGAGGAGCTGATGTGACTTGCTGCCACTCTCAGGGCGCTCGAGTCACAAGAAAATGTTCCCTGACCGGGAATCGAACCCGGGCCGCGGCGGTGAGAGCGCCGAATCCTAACCACTAGACCACCAGGGACGCAAAATTGATACACCATTGATACACCAGTGGAGAGCCGGTTACTGAGTGTCCGCTTACTTATACTCTTGTCAGCCATTACCATAACGTCAATCCTGTTATTGTCATTTATTTGATAAAAGTGTAAAAAATGACAACTCAAATGGGCTTTCAACACTCACCATTATAATTTAAATTAATGATATTTTAGATTGGGCCATTTTTCAACATTTCTCCTCTAAAAAATATCCGATATAGGTTGAGACATGATGGCCATGCAAAATTAGGATATATTTGATCATCTAAATGACAAATATCTAATTGGAAAAAAAATCTACAAAATAAAATGATCTCAATGGAAAGAGAGACCAAAGTACTGCTAATATATGTAACATATATTGCATATTTCTAATTAGAAATATTGTACTTTGTTAAGTTTATGTCGGTAACAGGGTTGACAAGATCATGAAAACAGCCATGAGAAAAACGGTTATAAAAAAATAAATTAACACAGCCTGAGATGGCACAATATCATTTCCTGCCATTTTAAACATTCTTTGATTCTTGGGTACTTAAAAATTAACAATTAAATATAGTTTAAATTAAGTTTTCTAAGCTGAAAAGGCACAGATTTCATGGAATGACCCATACGCTATTCAACTGGTACAATGATTCTTTTTGTTATTATTGCATATAACTGCTAAGAAGCTGTCTGGTAAAAAGCCATTTTAACATGAGAATGCCTTTAAGTGATTCAGAACATTCACAGCTGTATTTTTGAAAAGAAAAAGACAAACATTTCAACAATCTGAACTGAAACTCTGATCCTCTCATCAGACTCCTTTACTTTCTCACTTGAGCCACTGGCTCAGCTTACCCCAGAACTACTTTTCTGACTATTAGTCCTCAAAGCTAAAATGGTGGACTTTTGTGCTCGTTTTTTTTTACCTCATGTTGTAGCTCATAGATACCACTATTGATGTATAAAACAAATTTAAAATGATCTTTTTTGGTCTGAACACAATTCTAATCAAACTTATGACAGACAAAATTCCCTTTCAAGAGTAAAAAATGTTTTTCTTTAGAAATAAACGTCTAACCCCTTCACCCATGTGCTTTGAACCTTCACAGACTCCATGAATTGATGCCCATCTCCTAAATATTTGGTCACATGATCAATTTCTTTTTCCATTTTCAAGTAACAGGGGGTGGCTTAACTTACCCCACTCTCTCCTAAAGGAAAAGGTGTGCAGGTATCTTCTTACCTACAAACTGAGTCAGGATTACTTGGAGTTGATTAATACACCAATAGACAAGACCTGTGTCTACATTTTAAAGTTTGAGTGGAGTCTCTAGGTGAAAGTATGCAAAGCCGGTAGGTGTTCTGAAAACTTCTATGGCTCTTTTTTTTTTTTTTGACTTTTTCCATTGACTTTTATGCAAAATTTGAACACAATTTTATTGCAACTTATGTTGCAAAAAGTTTAAATACAATAAAAAAAAAGTAATATCACACCAATCCTGATCAAACTGCATGTTTTGATATGTTATTCGTCCTACAACCCTTCAAGCTGTAGGACTAGCAGTGAACCAAAATTTGTCCAGACGAAGAAGAAGAAAAAATCCACAACATAACAATAGTGCCATGGCTTTGCGTTTAGTGCCAATAACACAATCACCCGACTGAAAGCTTAAACTTCAGTAAAACAACCTTCACTCTGTTATTATTGTATCTTCTTTCCATTAAGGTCCTCATAATAACCAGTGGAAAAAAGATTGTTATGACACCTCTTATTTAACCCTGTAAGATACTTATAAACTGTCCACCTGATTCTTATAAAACCCCACAGGTGTCTTATTAGCAATAATAGATGTGTTCATCATGCTTATTTTAACACTTAGAATTTATTAATGTTGCAAACAACATGGCAAATGAATAGTAAATACTGAAATATGTTGAAAAACATAACGATTTAATCATCCAAACCAACGTAAAAGAGGGGGCACATCAGGATAGACCTAAAATAGATTGAATATGGGATGCATTCACAGCATACATATGAGGGGTATTGTTAGGATTTGTTGGGTTTATGCAGACTTGCATAATAAAATAGACAAACTGAGGACACATGAAAAATTTAGAAACAAAGCACAATCTTCAGACATGATAAACCGTTGTTACACCTCTTTAAGAAGTGAAAACTAAATATGAATTGAGAAAATTATAATGGACGCTGTAAGTGTCAGTGTAACAATATAGTGAGAGAGACAAAAAGTGAGTCAAAAACACCCCAAATATGTTAAGAACTACAAATGAACTTTCTTCTGTCGAGTCTTGTTTTTTTTTTTTTTTTTTTTGTCACAATACCAACCCTCCTCCTTTATCCGGGCTTGGGACCGGCAAAAATGACCCAATTGAGACATTTTGGCGGAGTTACTGGGTTTTTTTTATTTTTTATACACAATTGTATAAAAATGAGGGAAACCGAAGCACTCGGAGAAAACCCCTTCACCAGCCTCAGTGAGGCTGTAACCCAGAGAGTAAACTGGACACTGAGGCGGGACCTCAGGCCTCAACCCTCTTCAAATGTACATATTCACAATATGTGTTTTTTGTGGGAGTTTTTTGTGTGGTTTTTTTTCGTGTGTTTTTTTGTGGGAGTTTTTTGTGTGTTTTTTTGTGTTTTTTTTTTCAATGAATGCATGTCATGCGTCTTTAAGAGGTCTGTGTGTCTCTTTTAAAGAGCCCCTGAAACCTTTTCCTCAAAGACCTCTTTGGTGGCCTCCTGACCGCCTCCAACTGCTCCTCCAGTCTCCTCACTTTATCCATTACAGTATCATTTGGTGGGGATGTCTGAGTCTGAATCTCAGTCTCCTTCACTTCACAATCCTGCTGAATGACGGTGATGGACTCCATCGAGGAGGCTTTCTCTCTCTGCCACTGGAGCTTGTGTCTCTCCAGATCCTCATAGGCCTGGTTCAGCGAGGTCTCCAAAGTAAAAGATTTCTCCTTTTCTGCAAGGAGCTGTGACCTGTCCTCTTCCCACTGACTTGTCTTCCTGGACAGGTCCTCCTGAGCCTGATGAAGAGCAGACTTCAGCTGACTGACTTCCTCGTGATGCTTGCGATTCTGGTTCTCATCACTTTCCAGGACCTCATCTAGGGAAGCTCTTATCCGGCTTCTTTCCTCCTCTTTTTCTCTCAAAAGACCTGAGAAGTCCTCGTCCTGAGCCTTCAGCTTCTCCTGAGCCTGGATGAGCTTGACCTTTAAGGATTCTTGCTCCAGAATAAGGTCAGCTCTCACTTTATTCGCCTTGTTCTTTTGGTCTTTTAGCTGTTCTCGTAACTGGGCGAGGTCCTCTTTCAACTTGCAGCGGTCCAGTTTCTGCTGAATGCGAGCTCTTTCGTGATTCCACTGCTGTCTGTTCTTTCTCAGCTTCTCTTGAGCTTCGCTGAGGTCTGCTCTTAACTTGGAGGACTCCTCTGTCTGTGAGAGTAGATGAGTCCTTTCCTCCTCCCATTGTTTTCTTTCATTTTTTAGGTCTTTTTTGGTCTGACTCAGGACTTCCTTTAGTTTGGAGGCGTCTTCTTTCTCTGAGAGGAGCTGTGTTCTCTCCTTCTCCCACTGCTGCTGGTCCTCTCGAGCCTTGGCTAGGGCGTCCTTTAACTTGCCATTTTCCCCCTTGAGGAAGAGGACACATGCTCTCTCTTCCTCCAACTGTTTGTTTTTCTTCTTCAGGTCTTTCTGGGCCTGGTTGAGAGAAGCTCTCACCTTCCTGGACCCATCTTTTCCTGAGAGTCCATCCACCTGCTGGCTCTGCTTCTTCAGATCTTCCTCAGCCTTCTCGAGAGCAGCCTTCAATCTGCAGATTTCCTCTTTGTCAGTCAGAAGACAGGATCTCTCCTCCTCCCACTGGCAGGTCTTGGTCTGCAGATCTTCTTGAGTCTGTTTCAGCTCAGCCTTGACGGTGGACAGCTCTTCTTTCATCTCATCCAGGAGAGAAGTCTTGTCCTCCTCCCTCTCAGGGTTCTCGGTGGCAGTTTCTTCTTGGACCTGGTTTGGCTCTGTGGTGTGACAGTTGTCTTCTGTCACCTTGGCCTGCTGCTCAGCCCACAGAAGCCTCTGGTTCTCCTGTGTCACTAGTGCATGGTGAAGTGCAGCACGAAGATGCATGACGTCCCCCAGGAGCTGGGCTCTGTCTTGCCCCCATTGGTTCCTCACCTCAGTGACGGCCATGTCCATATAAGCCTGCAGTCTGGAGGTCAGCTCTGTTTGCTGGGCCAGGCACTCCTCTGTCTCTGTCCGCTTCCTCTTTTCAGCTTCACAGTCCTCCTTAAGTTTTTCCATTTCAAGGACTGCCTCTCCTGCTTTCTCTAGCTTAGCTGACACTTCAGTGAGCAGGCGTGTCTTTTCAGAGGTGGCTTTCTCTTCCTGTTGTCTGAGCTGCTCTTTTAACAGGTTCACCTCCTGAGATAAGGCAGCCATTTCACCCTTGATTCGGACTGCTTCCTTCTCCTCTCCTGCAAGTCTCTGAGATTCAGACTCAAGGATCTGAATGACAGGCCTGCAAGAAATTGGGACCATGTCTCCTTTTTGTCCCTGCTGACTTGGAGGAGAGTATTTGTCATGGACTGACTCGCGATCCTCCCCATCCGACTCCCAATCTGAGGCGTCCATTGTAGGCTCCAATTGGAGTTGTCTATATCTCTCCTGAGCCTCTTGCCGGCGGGCTTCGACTTCTGCATCTTTTTTGACTTTGACAGCTTGGCGCATCAGATTTTGTTCATTGATGTTAAAGTTGCCAAAATCATCATCATCATCCAGATCATACAGATCTGCAGGCACCGCGTTTGCATATTTGTTGGTCCCCTGATCCAGAGGGATGGGGGTGGCCTTGTTCTTCCTCTTGTTTCTTCTTTTTCTAGCGTTCATCTTCTCACCGGAACTGTAGATGGTCTTGCTCATGTTCATGTTCATCTCACTGGAACTGTGGATGTTCATGTTCATGTTCATGTTCATCTTCTGACTGGAACTGCAGGTGGTCATGTTCCTGTTCGTGTACCTGTTCGTAGATGTTCACTAAAACTGAGGTTCTCTGTGTTTGTCGCTGTCTGGCACTGATGGCTGGACTGTCTTAAAGACGGATTTTGTGAGGCTAAGCATCAACAAGCTTTAAGATGAAACGATCATTGAGTCTGTGAAAAAAGATGAAAGGATCGATGACATCATCAATGACATCACTAAATCACAAAACGTGATGTCATCAGGGTAAATTTCCATGTTTGGAAAAAAACATTCTCAGACGGCATGACAACATAGTTGTTTATTTTCAAATTTGAAAAAAAAAAAAAAATTCCAAAGACATGTTGCCATAGTTGTTTATTTTTAAATTTGGACAAAAAATTAATAAACGCACATTTTCAAGACAATGTGTGCATTCGTATAATTAAATATTTTAATTGGTTTAATTGATTTTCTCCTTTTGATTATTAATTTTTCAAAATTGCAGCTATTAAATACTTTATTTGCAAATACAAAGCAGAAAATAAAATATATTTAAAAAGGTTTCTAACCAATAAATCGAGTTTTATTCGAATTCACTTTTTTGTGAGTGCAAGGTTTCAATGAAGTGCAGAAGCTCTTCACATAAATAACACTTTAGAAGCACAAGCACTGTTCAGTGGTCTCACACTGTCTGTCCATCAACATGGAGTTAAAGGCCCCAAGTGAAATGAGCTGTAGGAGTTTGAGCTCAGTTTGTGAGGAGTTCCATGTGCTGTGGAGGCAGCAAAACTGAACGCTCTCTTCCCCAGTTCAGTTCTGACACGGAGGACAGAGAGGTGGAGAACGTCACAGGAATGTAGGACATAGCGGCATTTAGTTCTCTGAAGAAAAGTACATAAATAAGATGGATCTAAGTTGAGAAGAGCCTTGTAAATCATGGTCAGCCAGTGCGTACTCCTGTGTGCCCTTAAAGAAGGCCAGACAGTGTTAACATACAAATAACATGATGCGTGAGATGAATATCACCAGTGATAAACCTTAGAGTGCTGTGATAAACAGTATTTAAGAACTGGAGACATTTCAGCAAAGCACCCATATGCAGCACATCTCCATAATCGATTGAGAAAGAATTGCTGCTGATACAAGTGGTTTCCTGGCTCTAACTGAGAAGCAAGATCTATATCGATGGTAAAACCCGAGCTTCACCCTGAGTTTGTTGACCAGTTCTGCAATAATTAAATAATTTGTGCTTGTGTAGCACTTGACATGTAATCTACTGACCTCTATTAGTGTTTTTATGTTATATTCACCCATTCACACTATGGTCATTTGTGATTTTGTATATTTTAGCTGTGAGCTGAATGAACACAGTCAATTTAACTTCTCCTAATTTCTCTCTGAAAACTTTCCAAAGTTTAAAATCTCTTAGCGCAGAGTCACTGTCATTTTGTAGAGCCTCACCCCCCTGTGTGCTTCTGTGATCACCCTGTGTGTGTGCAGTGTTTAAGTGTGGTTAAGATAGGATGAAAGCAACGAAACTCTCTGTGTGTGTGTGTGTGTGTGTGTGTGTGTGTGTGTGTGTGTGTGTGTGTGTGTGTGTGTGTGTGTGTGTGTGTGTGTGTGTGTGTGTGCAGCAGTAATGAACATGCCTCCACTGGTCTCTGAAGGCAGCCATTACTAACACACACAGACAATAATGCAGGAGGAGGAGGAATAAGTAGAGTATTTGCAGCGGCTTTGGGATCTTAAATTTTGAAGACTCGTTTGTGATATTTTCAGTAGCTTTACATGTGGCCAGTTTCTTGCAAGAATAAGTAATGAGTTGCATGTGTCATTGTGCGACGATGGTGGACAGTAACTGAGGAGACAATAAGACAAACGGGGAAGACTCTCAAAGGTTTAGACAATGTTTGTGCAGAGGATTAATCTAATGACTGCCAAAGAGTGTAAAGAATCTATAGAGAGTGTGGAGATGAAGAGCGCTTCATGAAATCATGCTGTAACGTGTGCGTGTGTGTGGAGGGCTGCTGATTGGTTGGCAGTCTCCATCTGGCCGCTTTTGTCTGTAGGCATGCTGCCCTGCACAACAATTATGCTCCCATGCATGAAGAGTGTATGTGTGTGTGTGTGTGTGTGTGTGTGTGTGTGTGTGTGTGTGTAAGAAGAACAAGGGGGGAGGGTGTAAGGAGTGGGGGAATCCAGATGTTGGGTTCATTCTCATCCCACCCCATCCCATTTATTTTAATCCATCTCCCTCCCCCATAGCATTGTACAGCAAGCCATCTGCACGCACACACTTACAAATTCACGCACACACGTGCACACACAGCCTCAGGCTCAGCCAGGTGGCTGGGTGGCCTCAAATGTGTCCTGGTGCACCTCTGGCTCTGTGTTGATTGGAGTGAAAGCGGCTCGTATGAAATTAAGCAGAGCTGCGCGCCGCTGTTAAAGTGGGTCACTGCAAGTGTGTGTGAGTGTCTGAAAAGATTTCAGGGCTGTATCTTTTTGTTGATCAGCTGTGGAGTCTTATGAAAATTTGATGTAAAATGTCTGTTACATGTGGAGAGTGGTTTCTGCGGTTTTAGAGAGTTTTTTTCATCAGAGAGAATTACGATCCTGAAAATCCAAAAGGCTGTTTGAGAGGATTTTTTTCTGTTAAGATTTTGTGGCAAAATCTGACTCAAAAACAGAAGCAATATGGCAGTACACAGATACAGTTGTCAGGTCAGCGATGAAGCCAAAATGTCTCCAACTGACCCACAAAAGTCTCACCAACTGTACAGATCATACTTTAATGACAGTGTTAGCACTGAATACTATTGAGTCATGGCATAGAATCAACTTCCATCACATTGTATTGTATCTTATCCTCATAATTCATTTGTGAAACCAGGATTTTGTAAAAATTTGGACCTGCATGCTATAAAATAATAATTATTGCCTGATAGACATAAATATTAGGGGTGGGAGAAAAAATCGATTCAGATAAGTATTACGATTTTTTGTTTTACAATTTTTAAATCGATTTTTATGTTCAATTTTTTTTTTTTTTTTTAAATTTAAGAATAAATCTTAAAAACTGACTTACATGTGATGTATATTTTTTCGGGAAATATAGTTCCTGAAATAGTCAGTAGTCAATCATAACCATTGAACTGTTTCACTGGTGTTTAAAATGCAGACCAAAAATCGAAAAAAATCAACAATATCGTAGAATCACGATTTAAATTGAATCAGCATCCATAATATTGTAGAAGAATCGGAAGAAAAGCATATCGTCCCAGCCCTAATAAATATGTTGTATAATCCTGATGCCTTGTTAGCTATCACTGAACCAGGACTCGCTATGTGCTCTACCTATCCAATCGTATCAAATCACATATTGTATTGAATTGTATATCACAGTATTGTAGGGAATTATGTCATTATGGTATCATCAAATCAAATCAAATCACATTGTATTCGATATCATATCCTGTATTGTATTCTTTATTGTATCCTTTCTTACTGTATCCTATCTTATTCTATCCTATATCATATCGTATTGTATCTTATCATATAATATCTTTGTAACATAAATCGTCTAGTCTGGTTTGGTATCGTAAGGCCTAGCCAACGAAACGAAGACTTTAGGCTAATTTGGACTTGTATAGTATTTAAAAATAAGTGCCGCTGTGTGATTAAAAATACATTGCTTGTCAGTTGTGCTGATTAGGCGTGGATCAATTATTGTCCAACTATTATGACAAAAATTCACCATTTTGCTGATTATTAGTATTGGCATTATATGTAACGTGTTTAAGAGCGATAAAATTTTTTAATCTAAAATAGCTCAACTTTGGCTTCAATTCTGGTGTGTCTTTCTCTCTACATCTGTTCTTGCTCCGCCCACAACATTATCTAATTGGCTAGATGTTAGATAACTTTGTGACTGAATTGTTTCGTTAATTGTAACTGGTTAACACTGAACTCCTGTAAATTTAATAGATACACATAAAGTTTTTAGTATTCCAATTTCAAATATTGACAGAAAGGTTGTTTTTACTGTAAATGCACTTCAGTTCCAAATATCATGTACTAATAACCTGTATCGGAAATCTTTCTTCTCTAACGTTGACACCTGTCTGTCTTACAGCCAAACATGATGTGAATGGAAACCGCACTGTTCCACCTTTTCCAGATGGGACAGAGATGGTCATGTTTGGTAAGTGATTGTCGTCATTTAATGACAAAAACAATATAACACTTCGTAAGCAGCTTGGCTACTCCTTATGATGAAGGTTATTTTTTATCTGCCAGAGACCCTCTCATGGCCAACACCATAATAGTAGTTGGAGTGACACAAACTACTGTCATATTTTCTTGTTGTGAAGTGTTTATCTGTCATTTTTCGTTTGCACAGTTTCCACTGTTATCAATTTCCTGACCAGGATTTAAGCCCCCAACTAATTCTGTTCATTAACAATGAGAGGGTCTACAAACTGTACTCCAGACTGTGACTCTGTCCATGGTGCTGAAATATCTCATTAGAGCTGCCACACAGTGTATGAACCTTTTTACTCTTTAAGGTCGCTTTCACACCTGACCAAGTGAACTCGGTTCGATTGGGGAGCTGAAAGTTGGTTCGGCTTTCACACTGTGATTTCTAAAGTGCACTGAACTTTCCGAGCAGCATCACGTGGTTGAAAGGAGCACTCATCCATTGGTCAAAGTAGGAGGGGTATGTCGCCTTACGGATTACAAACAGGAGTGGACTAGCCGTCTTGTATTGTGCTTCTTCACATTATTTTATGGAATGCTACAACGTTAGTGAACGCAACTGTTCCTATAATGCTATCGTAGCTTGTCAGGGATTGACCCTGTTATTTTTCTAACTTTTGACGATCTAACATATGACAGCATATGAGCTCAGAGTTTAAGGACTATGACTGTTGGTAGTTGTGATTTGATTTTGTTTAAATATGCCAAATTGTGAATTTATGGGTTATTGTTGTTCAGACAATTGAGCTAAGCTAGCTAGCAACTGCTATAGTCACGCCGTGCTTCCTCTACTCAAAATGCACTGCGTATAGCGTCATTACGTACATTTGGTCCTGTGTTTGGTCCGATGAGCTTTCGCACTGCATACTAACCGAACCAGGGTTCACTTGCAAGGGAACCGAGACCCACGTTTTCAGGCGGACCAGAGTTCGCTTGTTTGGTCTGCACCAGAGTTCGGATGAGCTTTCACACCTGCCCAAACGAAGCGGGCTATCCGAGGAAACGAACTCTGGTCCGTTTAAGTGGACCAAACAGCTCTAGTGTGAAAGCGACCTTAAACTTTCATCAGAAGTAATCAGAGAAGAAGAAATCTGGATCTGAAACACACTGTTGAGTTATAACTGGATCATACTAGCTGCGATGTTGTTAATTAAACAGATTTTAACCGATAGATTATAAGCTGTTGATTGATGAATGATGAGCTACTTGTTGCTCCTCTTAAAGGTATGGGCTGTTTCTGGGGAGCAGAGAGAAAGTTTTGGAGACAGAAGGACGTTTATTCCACTCAAGTGGGCTACGCAGGTGGATACACGATCAACCCCACCTACAGGGAGGTCTGCACAGGTAACTTCAGCATACCCACACACACATACACACACAAGCAGCAGGCTGTCTTTTGAGAGTTAATAGATTGTGGAAAACAGGACTCGCATAAACAGAAGAGTGAATAATTTCCCTCAGGTCCTATTATACCGGGGCATGGATAAGGGTGCTATTGATGCCTGACCACTCTGAGCAGACTGTGTGAGTTTGTTTGTGTATTTCTGTCTGATGTGAGTCCAGACCTCCTGTGGAGTCCCTTATTCAGCCACTACAGACTGAATCCATCTTTAGACCTGCATCACCACCTGTCTCTGTTACTCCCTCACTTAGTTATACTCTTCTAAACACTTTGCATGAACATAAATATGTCAAGAAGCTTTGACATATTTGCTGCTTCATTGATGTTTTATCTTCTGATTATGCATTTGTAACCACGCAACACATTCCTAATAAGATGTGAAGGTAGGAGTTAACTGTGGGAGTTTAACAGTCAGCAATTATGAAACTAAGAAACTGTTATCTGAAAAAATACCACAAATTGAATTTGAATAAAGATGGTGTAGATTGGATTTAAGGTGTCGTAGCAAGCTTGTTAAATTCTGATTTTAATGCCCAGTTATTGGACCTCCTTGTGAAACCAAATATAAAAATGTGGCCACTAAAGTACTTAACCCACTCGAGAGCTTTTGTTTCCTCAGCAGAACCACAATATTGTGAAACATGAGCGTTATGGTGAAGTATAAAGCTTCTATTTGGACTCTTTATCTGGTTGTGAAACAGACTGAAATTGGTGTTTATTACTCTTCATAACCTAAAAGAATAAACAAGACCACCAACAAGAGGTGGAACAACTTCTGTTTAATTATTTCTGATCAAACCACTGACAGGTGATTGGTGTCAGACGAAGGGATTGACTACAGACTGTTAAAAAAGCTCCAAGACTATTATTCTCAGAGTGATTTACTGAATGGTTACAGGGTTCCTATGCAAGTATGGCGATTTTGAACTAAATTTGATCAATTCACAGTTCTTAAAAAGTATGGAAAATGAAAAATAAAGTATGGAAAAGTACTGATGTTTCCAGAGTATTACCACAGTTTTGAAATTCTGTTTTCTATAATAGAAAAGTTGATATTTCCAAAAACAATTCTGAAAAGTAGGGTATGAAAAAGTATGTAAAATACAACTGTGTAGGAACCCGGGGGTTAAAAGACAGCAGGATTATAAACACCACTGATTATAACCACCCTGGTCTATCTTGTAGTCCTTCCTCTTAATAAGGTCATGACCAAAGCAGACCTGACCTTCTGAGACTTTAACTCCACTAGTCCTCTGAAACTGTGCTGTGGTATCTGGCACAAAGATGTTGGAAGCAGATCCTTTCGAAGTCCCAAAAAATGCATTTTTAGCCACCCTGAGCATTTTGAATTCAGTTGCCAAAACTGCCAAAATGGGGGATCGCCAGACTCTCATTTTTTGCCTCCTCATCCATGCGATGATCTCGACAGGTGGAGATGCTGTAATATTGAGACACTGTGCTGACTGCCTGTCTTGAGGTTGTCTGTGGGGATTGAGTGCAGACTTATAAAGACAAACGCAGAGGTAGGAAAAAAAATATGCGGAGCACACCAGGGGCCTGTTCTACGAAGCAGGATTACTGCCTAGCAAGGTAGCTCCAAGGCTACCTCACTAGGTCGAACTCGCTTCGTAGAATAGGCCCCAGAAGAATACCAAACACAATCTAGAATCTGACCCTTATCATGTGAAACTACAGCTACTTCAGAGGTTTCAGAGGGATGATATAAACCCCAAAACTGAGTAGAATACCCCCTCTGAAAGCCTCAGAAGTTGTGAGACAGGGTTAGGGTTAGACAGATGACACAGATGCACTATTGTAAGGAGATCTGGGGGGTAGAGGTCCAGGGCTGCACTGTTGGGTTCCCCCATGTTGTTCTTTGGTTCTGGTGCTTACGTGACAATTGGTGGACCAGGGTCAGCATGCACACACTCAGCATGATGCATGATAAACCCATTATTTTCCATCATATTTCTACACTCATGCAGAAGTTAATAGGTGTTTTCTCATGCAGGAGAAAGTTTGGTGTTTTCAAACTAACTTTTCTGCTTTCAGAGTTTCTAAAACTTGAGTTTTTAACCAGATAAACCTAGTCTGAACTGTTGGATGTGTTTGTAAATGAATTCTTTCTTTTGGCAGAGCGCTGAAAAACAACTCCTGGCTAACTGAACCTCACACCTTCCCATCTTAAAGAGAGAAAACAAACATTCATCTGCATATTCATTGTTGGTTAAATATTTACACTCAGATCAGTGTGGGTTTGAAATGTGCTGATTAAATTTGCATGTTTTTATTTCTTTTTCAAATAAGAAAAATCCTCCTGTATGACTGGATTTAAAAACCTTCCCACACTCCCCCCGTTTTACTTCTCTCATCTGCAGTTCTTGCACGTTCGTTGTTTGGCTTGCAAAGGCATCTTCTCTGACAATCAATGTTTTATTTTTTACTCCTGCCAGTCCAAAAACTACAAAGCAATGTTGTGATGTTGTAGTCACAGACAACATCTGGTTTGTGACTCACAGTTAAACACAGCAGAGCAAGAAAGTAAGAAAACCCGAATACTGAGAAAAAGAATCGCCAGCTTCTTGTTAAGGACTGAATTTAGCAACAGGTTTTCAGTCTGCATATTTAATCAGACCAATAAAGAAAAGGAAACGCATACAAAACCAGATTGAAATAATGAAATATGGAATAAAGCAAATAAAATATGATTTCACAGAGTCAATAAACCCTTCTTTTACATTACTTCTTCTTACTTTTTGTTCTGCAGAGGTTAGAAGGAGAGGATTTAAAGAGAAACCTTTGTGACTTTGCTCTTAATGTTCACCTTGTGGACTGTTTCATCCAAAAACACACTTAAAATGAGCATAAATATTGATTTAAAATCTATTTTCTGTCTTTAACAGTGACTCCTAATCAGTAATAATGTAATTTAAAACTCCTGTGAGGAGATTTTTGACGTGAATGAAACAGACTGAAACTTACATTGATGCTTTTTTATGATATACAAATACAAAAAAAAAAACATCAGAGACAAGACTAATGATTTTTAATTCCTGTTTGTAATGCCTAAAACTTGAGTGAGAGGGTAGAGTTTCCAATAACATAATCAATCAATCAATCAATCAATCAGTATTTATTTTTATAGCACTTTTCATACACAACCGTGATAATATTGTTATTGATTTTTAATAGTATTGAGCTCCTGTGCACATGGAGCAAATGAAAAACAGTCTGAGCAGATTTCAGACAACTTAATTTGCTCTTTTCATTTTTTAATTGTTCTTACACTAAGCATATGCACCATGAGCAGAGGGCTGGGAATTCTCAAACAGTACTGAACACATGCCGTCTTGAACGTAACCCCTCAGAATTCAAATTATAAGGACTCTAGATATCAGAGTCTTCAAACAGGATCTGATGATGTCACATTTTCCAGCAACTTGAGGACATTTCTCTGCCTTTAAGAAGCATTCAAGGCCGTCGTCCTCAGGGCTTTGTGGGATTAATTGATAGAACTACTGAGATAAACTATTAAACTCACACTGTGTTTTTGTTTAATATTAAAACGATGTGATCATAGGGGAGGACAGTACAGTTAAACGTACATAATGTGGGCAGCAGCTCCCTGCAGCTCCACTCTAACATCTCCTTATTCCCCGTCTTGTCCGAGATGAATTTATTCCTGCGAGATTGGCCTGGTGAGGCATTAATTTAATATCGACCGCTGCTTTGTCTCTGTTCACCAATATCTAGCGTAAGAATCCATAACTCTGGATATTAAAAAAGTAATAAGGCGCAGAGAGAGGGAGAGAGAGATAGGACGGAGGTAGAATGAGAGATGGGAGGAAGATGAGGTGCAGCATAATGGGTCACACTCATTACCACCAGCAGCTGCTGCTATCTCTCTGTCTGAAGGAGGGGTCGTTTGTTATGCTTGAACATTATTATCAGCTTTGGGCTAATAGGGGCTTTTCAAGGACGAAACCTCTATTTTCTCCTTCCAGCTCTGCATTCGATCATTTTTACCAACTTTGGTAGATTTTGTTTGCCCACTGCCGTCAGTGGAAATGAACTCGGAGGTTAAACAGGCTAAAGACGTGTGGATTGGTCAGGCTGCTCCTGGGTAGACTCCATCTTTGTTTGCTTCAATAGGGAGTAGATGATTCATCAATTCACTGGTAGGTCCATGTGAAACCTGATTTAATATTTTCCTAGATGCTGTTTTTTTCTTTTTTCCTTTGAATCAAAGGACCGCAAGAGTGTAACATACAGCCTAATAAAGCCGTCACAAAATACCAATGTTGGGGTTAAAAGTTAAAATCTCAATATTGTGGTAACATTAAGCATACAGTTATAGTAGTGGTCTTTTATTCCTGTTGCCATACCTCATATAATGCAGGATAAAGTTGCAGACTGCCAGTGAGCTAGCTGTAGCAGCTGTCTGTGAGATGATTCAGCACTTTGGAAACTGATGCTCATAATTAGAACATTTATCATTTCTCTCTGTTCTGTTCACTGTTTTTATTCATTTCTTATGATCCACCAGACACTGTACACTTCAATATAAAAGCACAGTTTGACCAAACAGGAAACCTGAACGCAAGATTGAAAATATCAAAATAAAGTGTGACGCACAATCAATGAATGTGGAAATGTCTTTACAAGTTTTAGTCACAAGGCTGGTGAAGTGAATAAAGTATAAATATCGGCAACTCCTGGTCTCAACCAAGGATGAGAAAATGGGGATATGATGAAAAATGTCCTGAACAATAAAAGAAGACCTGCTTTGCTAGTGTCTTTAAACTCAGTTATCACAATGGCTTAGGACAGAGGAAGAGCATGGGCCAAAAGGTAAACCTGTTACTGTGAATACTTTTGTGTTGAGTAGACACTTACTTTAAGTACTAGTAAATAATAAAACATGACAAACTGATTACAAATAAGCCAAACAGTCTTATCTAAATCATATATACTACACATCCAAACATCCTGGGATGAAAATGTAAAAATATATTTAAAAACTTCATAAAAGAGAGATAGAGGACGGATATTTCAGGATTACCTGATATGTGTGTTTGTAACCTCTGATGTCTCTCCGTTGACCTGAAACCCACATGAACTCACAGATGTCTTATTTTTGTGTTTTTCAGGTAAAACAGGTCACACTGAAGTGGTGAGAGTTGTCTTCCATCCAGAGAAAATCAGCTTTGCCAACCTGCTCAAAGTTTTCTGGGAGAGCCATGACCCGACTCAAGGTACCATATCAGCCAGAAAAACGCACTCAAACCAAAACCTCGAAGGGAAGAGAGAAAGATGCTCAACAGCAGTTTTTTTTTTTTAACTAGTCTTTAATTCAGGAAAAAAAGAAGTGCCCTCTTTGCTCATTTTTGATAAAATTTTTAAGAACGGATGAAACCAAAACTCTATTTTGGCTCTGAAACAGCCTTGTTGGCTTTGTTATATGCTGTATTTAGAAAGATACATTCTTCGGCTTATTTTAAACAATCATTAACAACCCATAGTTACATGCTCCTGATGGGACTCTGATAAGATAAGATAAAGTTTTGAACATTTTTGCACTGCTTTTGTACTCAAGAGCAGCGCAGCACATTTTGCAAATTGCATTGACTTGTCGAGTTGTAAGTCTTTCTTGTCAAGCCCGTATTGTTCCCAAACTTCAGATTTGAGGCTCACAGGTGGTTGGCACACTGGCTCAGCCTCTGTCTTTTCTCCATGACATTAGTGTACAACCACAGCACAAATGAAGGCAACACGGATCTTATCTTTAAAAGCAAACTGAAAACATACCTTTTCAGTCTTGCTTTTCACTAAATTTTATATCATTCACTTGAAGTGTTTTAGCATTTATCTCTTTCTAGTTTTAATGACAGAATCATCTTTTATTGAGCTATTTTGGTGTTCTTAGTTAAGTATCTTTACTGTTGTTTGCATTTCATTTTATTTATTATTTCTTAAATTTCATTTTATGTTACTTTGTTTTTAGATTTTTTTGTTTTTTTTTGTTTTTAGACCTAAACCTCCAGTGTTTACTTATCTTGAGTTTTAAAATGGCGTTTCCTCAGTGCGCACATTCCTGTTTCCACGAAATCAAGCCCTTTTTAAGTTGCATTTAGATCGTGGGTGAGAATGAGGGGTTTGGCTGGGGTAGATTTGACTTACTGATTGATTGATTGATTGATAATCAAGGGGGGATGAAACAGGAATAAACAGAAAATATCAAATCATTGGATCACTCACATTTCCAAGTAAATGCAGAGGATATATAAATCTAAAATAGATTGTTTTTTTGTTTTTTTTAACCATTGTAGAAATTAAAAAAAAAAACTGATGCCTCTAGAGTTAATCTTTAAAGTGTATCCATGTGCAACATGATGCGTCTGTATGTCTTTGTATCAGCATGAACAAGTTCTTATCTCCAGTGTGCAGATGATATGTTGTACTTTTATACCTGCTTGAATGATAAACAGGTTATATTTTATCATTAGTATCTTCGTGTAGTTAGCTAAGAATCTAAGGTTTCAACCTTGTGTGTTACAGCAGATCAAAAAAGCTCTCCACAGTCATCTGTATTTAGACTCGGGGATAATCATTTCTCAAACAGAAACTTCTTCACTTTTGACTGAAGTCTGGGATTGACAGACTGACTGACACAAGTTGCCATCTTCGGGGCCAAAACACTCGATTGGCTCAAAGCTCAGAGCTCACCAAACATTGTGGTTGACAGGCTGACAAGCTGACACGAAATGATGAAAGGATACATGATGAAATAATCAGCCCGCAGTCAAAAACAGCCTTCAGTTCTGCCAAGACAGACGAGTTTTATTTTTGGAAATGCTGTCAGCTGTTGTGTTCAGATGATCTGATGCTGCCTCTGCCAAAAAAAACGAGGGAGAGGGCTGAAATCATCTGCTGAATTTTTTTTTCTATGCGTGTGTGTGTGTGTGTGTGTGTGTGTGTGTGTGTGTGTGTGTGTGTGTGTGTGTGTGTGTGTGTGTGTGTGTGTGTGTTTACAGGGATGAGGCAGGGGAACGATGTTGGGACGACGTACCGCTCTGCCATCTACACCTACTCAAAGCAGCAGTTGGATGAAGCTGAAGCATCCAAAGATCAATACCAGAAGGTACACGTCATTATTGATAAATCAGTCTTAAATCCCTCATAACTATCAAACAGACCTCTACATACATTATCCTCTACTTTACATCAACTCTGCTGTATCTACTCCCTTCCTCTTGACTCCACTTCCCAGCATGCCCCTCTAGAAATACAAAGGTTTGGCTCAGCCGGTAGAACAGGCACCCGTCATACAGATGCTACAAGTCCTTATTGCACCAGTTGTAAAATAAATTCTCAGATCCAGCATAATTTAGTGCATGCCATTCACATTTCCTCGCCCATTTGCTTTCTCTCAAGCAAAATAAGGGCAAAAAAAAAAGACCTAAAAATGATCAACTAAAAAAGAAATTCTGCCAAATGCGCCATGCTGCAAGATGCCATCAGTCATTAAAGCTTGTAGAGCTTTGTAGTTATTGCCCGGCAGCTCCTGTTGAGTACTGCACTAAAGATTAGACCAAAAACACATAAATTATTGGCGTAACTAACGGGTAAATCTGATGACGACCAGCAAGAGCAACTCCAGCAGATGATAACCTGGACTAAACAGTCTTTGCTAAACTCTGTGAGCTAGATGGCAAATTAAGATTTTTTTTAATGAACACTGAGCTAACAAGCGGCTATAACAGAAAACATGTTAGTTCTACTTACCAAAAATGCTTGATGTCAGATGTTTTGGACAGCAGCAGGATATATGATATGATATGATATGATATGATATGAAAATCTTTATTGTCCCCTAAGGGCAATTCAGTTTGCAACAGAAGTTAAAACACACATTCTTACAATACCTCACATTGCAGAAATGCATACATCCAATACCACACACAAATACAATAAATATATAAATACACAGAGTCAGCACAAACTAATAGTGCATCATTTCCATCACGCCTGCCTACAGCTTGTTTAAAAACCAATGGCTGTTGGGACAAAGGATTCAAGGTACCGATCTGATTTGGCCTTGCAAGTGAAAGTGTACCTTCTCTTAGACGGGAGAAACTCACTGAAACTCAGCATGAAGAGGATGGAGAGGGTTTGCCAGAATGGCCTTTGCCCTCTGAGTGGCTCTGGTTTTAAAAACAGATATCATATCATAAACCACCCAAAAAAAATAAACATTTTTGTACACCTGAAGGGAAAAAAAACAGCATGGTCCTCCTGACACTCACAGCAACAAGGCCCTGTAACGCTGAGGCTCAAAATAATCCAGTTTTTGATCAATATAAAGTTCAGTTGTTACAAATAAGGAAAGAAGCTGCTGCAGAAATAAGTACTCCAATATAGAACCCAATGACATCAGCCTCTAGTGGGCTCTTGAGGAACTGCAGCTTTTAACACTCCCACATCGGCCTCATTTTCAACACTAGAGGTTACCAATCCCTGTCAACATACGAATGCAGACGGTAAATAAATATGTGTGTGTGTGTATGTTACATACGCCATACGTGTCCATATGCTTTAAAAACCTACACAAAACACACACATATAGGAACACACTCTCACAGACACACTCGCACACACAAAGATGCTCACACACTCCCTCTGTTGAACTCTCTCCCGCTGAGACTTCTGCACCACTATCCCACCAACAGGGCTTGTTGCCATGGAAACTGACAAGGAGGAGGTTACTCTATTGTACTCTTTTCTATTCTAGTGAAGTCTGGTCTTCATTCAAGTCCTCTTTCTCTTATTTTTTCCTTCTTCATCGCTCTATCTCTTTTTTTTTATTTAACCAAACCCTTGTTTGTTTAGCAGATTTGTGTCTCTTATAGTGTGTCTGTGTTCATCGCTGCTGAGGTCCAGCCTCTGAACACATCAAACACTGTTGTTTACTGTAATATGCAAAAGAAACACAAGCCGCTCTGTGTTTTAGGTTTCTTGCAGTCGTATGCAGATATCGTGGTTGTGTGGATGGGTTTGAGATACAAAGTACAAACACAACACTAAAGACGGACTATTGCCAAAGTTTCCTTTTTATACTAAAAAAATATTAATTTATGTGTCCATCTGCCAAAGTGATAAAGTGTTGTCATTCAGATTTATTATTTCCTAGAGGAAAAGGACAGACAGATTATTTTATAACATCTGAAGAAGAAGAAAGAAGTTTTATTTTCTTTTGGGTTGACAAATACATCTGTTCATCCATTTTCTAAGTTTTATTGATATCAGGTCCTGAGTACCCATCAAAAGCTCATAATGCTTGTGGATTTTTTTTTGTTTGTTCTTTTGTTTTCAGTTTAGTGCATTAAAATGCCAATAAATGCTAAGTCATTAAATCAGGAATCACAGAAATGAGTCCCAAAGACGTAGTTTCCTGAATTCTGGAGGCTTTTTAAAGATACAGTATGCGGTTTTGGGCAACACTTGACGCCTATCTTTATAATACATAAGTACATGTGTAATGCGTCACAATCACATTATAGCACTGTATAACTATAGTAATAAACACTCATAAATGATCTTATTGCTTTGTAGCGATAATAATAACACATTATAAAGCATTTTATCATGACTTACAAGGTCAGGCTTTATGATGTGTTTTGCTTATTGTTATAAAGCCTTAGGATCATTAATGAGTGTTTATAATGATAGTTATGCAAGTTTATAAACAAATTATAACACCTCATGAATCATATGTATCATATCATATGTATAATGCATTATCTATGTGGGCATTGTCAGTGAGTTGTTAGGAGTTATAACACATTATAATACCTGACCTTGTAAGCCATGATAAAATCCTTTATAATGTGTTATGATTATTGCTATAAAGCCTTAGGATCATATATGAGTGTTTATAACTATAGTTATACAGTGCTATAACGTGATTATAACGTATTATAAATATATTTATAATGTGTTATAGAGATAAACATCAAGTAAAGTGTTACCTGGTTTTGCTTTAGTTTACCAGAATGGACTTTGCAGAAATGGGAATGGCACATTCATAACACTAGTGTAGCTAAAGGAACTTTTGGTTTGCCCCCTTATCTATTTGCAGTGTTTTCCTGTACATATGCCAGTGGATGTTACAGCTGGTTCGCAAACAGTTGTAGCTTCTTCTTCTATTCTCCTGTTTTCTAACATGTGACAAAAAGCAATAAGGACCACCACGATTCACTCATGGTGTTACTAGATGCTTATTTCTAGCGCTAGTCTTTTTAAACATGGTTACCATCAATACTGGTTTATTGTGACAACCTTGTTATGCACCAGACAAGCTTTTTTCTCAAAAGCCACTACTTCACTGACAGGAGAAATGAGCAAAGGAACGTTTTAGTTTTGATCATAGACTGTATATAGAATGGACAGAGTCTGCCTCCTCGCTGGGTGAAGCCACTCCGGGAACAGCACCCTCTGGTGACGGTCTGCAGTACAGGTCATAAATCCCGCCTCTGCCAGCAGTCCCTATGGAGCTGTGGACAAACTTTGGAAATATATGACACAGAATATAAATGTTTCTCCCCCCCTGGTTGCGATGTTGACATGTAGTAATTGCAGGACTGGTTTGTGTTCCAGTCCTCTTTTTTCTCTACAGTTCAATTTTTAAAAGTTATCAGGGGGTTCATGTTTTCTATGATTGACACTTGATACAGCCTATGAGCGTACGAAGATTACTTAGCTCTCCCGGGAGATAGGCTGTTTGAGCCAAGCATCATCACAGCAACTCTTGGTGACTCGTCCACATAATATACAGTCTATGGTTTTGACTCTTCCTGTTCGATATCACTTAATATTCCATTTTTTGTACACTGCCCCTTTAATTTTAGCAACATTCACCCCACTAATCCAGCTAAACATTTTATTTAAAGATATTAAAAGCTAAAAATAAGACCTGAATTATACGTTTCTGTAAATAAAATGTAGGTAAAGTGTTCTTTTGCACAATCCATGCAATTCAGGTCTTATTTTTGGCTCATAGTACTGTAAAATAAGATTTATCTGGACTTGTCAGGAGAATGTGGCTTCGGTCAAGCATAAGGAAATATTTTTACTTGAAATAAGATGAAAACTCTCGCTTAGTATTGAGTTTTTGCAGCACACAAACCACTTCTTATTCTGCCATCACTTTCCGCTGAAGGACGAGTTTTTTTGTCACTGAATTGTTCCCCATGTCAGAGTCAGCAGCGGTCCTTAAGAGTCGAACAGACTGTGATAAAGAACTGGAAGTAAGATGAGAAGTATCCTCCAGGAAAAAAAAAACATGTGAGGACAATCAAATACAAGAGACTCTGAAGTAGTTTAGTTAGAGTTTTCTTTTGAAGCGGGGCAACAAATGTGGACCTGGTGAGTGTTTCAGTGTGGGTCTGGAAGGTAGTGAAGGTGTGAAGCTTTATCTAACAGTCATAACTGGAAAGACTCACGTGTTATTTCTGTTTTTCTGTCCTGTACAGAGAGATTCAGATGATGGATGAACTCTCTCATCTAGGCAGCACATCTCTCCATCAATCTCTCTAGGTTTAGTTTGCTCTCTCAATTTTTTCTCACCAGATTGTCTCCCCCACCCTCTCCCATCTGTGTGTGTGCGTGTTAGTGTGTGTGTGTGTGTGTGTAAGAGAGAGAGAGAGAGAGAGAGAGAGAGAGAGAGAGGGAGAGCAGTTGGCCTATAGCAAACTCGCTGCATGCCAAACCATCTGGGCCTTAAATCTGTCCTCCACAGAAATCGCTTTAGTTGCAAAACTAATGCACGGACACACACGCAAACAGAAGCACACATATATGCACACACTGAAATAATGTTTTGACTCAGTTTTGATAATGTGCGTAAACATATATGTGATTAACATTTGGTTTTCATGCCAAAAATGACATGTACGATCGAACAAATCAGCGTTCCTCTTTCTCTGGTGAGCGTAGGTGCATGTTCTCTTCACCGCACAGACTTTGCATGTGTTTACAGAGCTCCATCCTTTAAATATTGATACATTTGTGCCTCTTAAGTCTTGGGTGGAGTCTCTCTTTGCTTATGGAGCCTTTTTTTTTAGGTGAATTTCTTTAGCTTTACCCCTGCAGCCATGCTCACTCGACCAACAACAACAACAACTACCCACTTCTTCTTAGTCTTCTCAGACATGAGAAAATGTGAAATTCATCACAGATTTGATGTTTTACTAAAGATGAACTAATCAGGTTGTGCCTTTTAATGTCTCCTGTTACGTTTGAAACATGCATGAATAAAAAAATGGAGGGACAAGAGTGTAAAAAAATGATGCACAGATGGAAATAGAGGGATTTTGAGTGCAGAAGCTGCGATATATAGAGAGAGAATCGTCTGGTTAATTTGACTGTCAGGGTGTTGACTGTGTTCGCTATGCCGCCTGGCTTGATTGCATTGTTCACACACCGAGTGATTGGGGAATTTGGTGTGTGCATGTGTGTGTCTCTGTTTATGTGTGTGTGTGTGTGAGAGAGAGGTACAACAGCACTGCAGAAAATTACCTTGCAGGCGGCTGGCGGTTGTCTGCAGCATGAAAGGAGCCTCCCTTTTCTTCTCCAGCCTCCTACCCATCATTAGGGTGTGCACTGCGTCTGAAATGGCAGGTGGAAGTGCTAAATGTGTGTGTGTTTGTGTGTGTGTGTTGCGTGCTTGCTTTATGTAATAATGTGTGCTCGCTTAGTGGGTGCAAGCATGGGTGCTGAAGCAGTGTGTACTCATTGTTCTGGCATCTCTTTCCTCTTGATTCACGTCTCCGGCTACATTTTCTTCCCCTGAACATTCATACGTCTTCTTTTAAATACAAATCATCCGCTTTTCTTCCTCTTCCTCTTCTTTTTTGTCTCTTAAATCCCTCCTTTGCGCGTCAAACGTGCCAACTTTACCTTTTTTTCCTTCCAAATTTTTTCACTCCTCTCTCTGCTTCTCAAGGGTGCTTATCAGTATTGTTCACATTTGCCTGCTTTACCAGTGCAGTCAAGGTATTTGCATTTCAAATGAGAAATCTACTTCTCTGACATGCAAATTAATGGATGTGAATTATGCATATATAGCAGGCTGCAAACACAGCAGCAGAACCAGCACCAAAACAAACACAGAGGATCATAAAAAGAGGCGGACAGGATGCCAAAACATGAGGTTAAGCAAATTTTACCTGCATAGACGGATGACTCTGAAAAGATCAGTTTGAGTTCAGAGCCGTATCCACTGACTAAGAGGTGCGTCTAGGTATGTAGACTCTTTGAGGAATTTCTCAAACCCACTTGTAGCTTGATTATCATGTTGATCTTTATATGATCATGTTTGAATCAAAGGTCACATTTAGGAACAGGACCCTGAACCCAAGCAGAAGGGTGTTGTTTCACCCTGTAAGGACACTGAACACTAATCCATCATGTGTTTGGACTCTGTTCAAGATATCAGTAATAACAGAAATTGGTGGTTGCACATCATTTAACACAGGGCTCGACAGTGCGGCCGTTTCACTCGCATTTGTGACAAAAAATAGATGTCTGCGAATTGTAAAATGTATTTAGAGGAACATGTGCACATCAAAAAAAAAAAAAAAAATCAGCTCAGGCAACAAATGTTTTTTCATGTAAATACTGCGGTGAAGTTAGTTTTAGGTAAGATATTCGACGGACGTTCACTGTGGATCTACCGGTGTCTTCTAACTCTCTGTAACCGAGAATAACAACAGCAGCGCAGCTAAATCTACTCGGCATCCTCGCTGTCAACGTCGGGTGTTGAATAAGAGACCATCAATGAATTACCGTTTGATGTTCTCAAAAAAGGCTGTTTTCCTTCAATAGCTTTCATGTCATGTGTCCAAATATACCTGAAATTGATTTCAAATAATAGTACTTTTGTTGACCGTTAAGACAAACATTATTTGATCAATTTTCATTGTGCCCCTAAAGTCCTTTGTGTGCTCCTTACTTTTTTAACTTTGAAGCTCATGTGCTCCTTATGAAAAACGTTAGTTTCAAGCCCTGCTACATGCAGTTAAAATTGGACAAAGAAAATATATTGAATGTTAAAACTGAGCATTTTCATAGTAATATAAAAATATATACATTTACAAACTGTTGACAATCGCCTCTGTAGTAAAGTGATGTGGTATCGGTGGTACAAGACAGTTTAACACTTTGTCCACCTTTAGATGTTTATAAATGGTGTCCACTTGGCATGGCACTATTCTGTCTTTTTTAAACCTTATTGACAGATGGAGGACAGTGGATAGAGCAGGAAATGGGGGAGATACTGGAAAGGGACCACTTGGGTGGACTTGGGTATGTGGGTCGTGTCCTGACTGTCAGGCCATCTGCACCTCGGTGCAGCAGTTTTAACCTGCATTCGTTCATGCAACAGCAGCAGCAGACTGTGCTCATGGACGATGTTTTTGCAGTGATTTTGTGGCCATGCAGTGGTTTTCACTACAGAGTCATACCAGTTTTTGAGACAGTGCTTCTTACGGCATGAAGCTCACAGTCATCCAAGTCCTGGCTTTTGGCCTTGGTTCCTACAGAGGTTTCTCCAGATTCTCGAATCATTTTATGCTGAGGAAGATATTTCTATCATTCTTGAGCCATTTTCTCACACAGTCCCTCCCTCACAGAGTAGTGAACCTTCTGCGGTCCTCATCTTACTGACCTGTTGTCTGGACTTGTCCTGTTGACCTGTTGAGATGTTTCTCCAGGTGGTTTTTCAGCATTATTCAACTTTTTCAGTGTTTTGTTGTCCCCCTTTTTTTAACCAGCTGCTGCCCTCAAATTTAACAGATATTCAGTCTCAACATTTGATCTATTGTCTTTGCACTATTTTAACCTAATACAAGGTTTAGATTATATAAAATTGTACACAGCACTCCAACTTTTGTGGGATAACAGGCGTTTGTTAGCTAATGTGCCTACTGTATTGGAAACTACATCCCTCCAGTCTGAATCATGCAGTGCATCAGAAGAATCTTATTAAACTTGCTTACGTTACAAATTTTGACTCACTGGTGTCTTCAGTTGTTCTTCTTCAGATGCACCCCAGACCCTCTGGGTTTGTTTTGCTGAGAGCGTCTTTAACGACTTCTGAGCGCTGACGTCAATGAAGTTAAAATGGTTTCCAAACAATTACCTCTCACTAACTATTAGAGGCAGCATGTGTGAAATTACCCAGCACCACTTTAAGACTGAATGTTGTTTTTTAGACTAAAAATAAACGTTTTAGTATTTCCCCAAGGAGCTCTTTCCACTCAATCTGGAAGTTCATTTAAAACACTGTAAGTGTCGGCAAAATGACGCCATTACCACTGCTCACTAACTGCTGTACTTTGACGTCTTCTCTGCACTTAATGAAAAGATACACGGATGAAAACTTGTACCAGTAGATTTTTTCTAGATTTCATAATGCTTCACCACTGACATGGAAATTCCTGCTTATATATTTGTCCAATGAGATGACATAGTAATTATCCACACAAGCAATGATAGAGTCCTCGTCCCAGCAATGAACTCCAACACGTCAGCTGAATGGGAGCTATTTGAAGTGTGGGACACAGACAGGAAAACAGCTATTTGCCATGCTTGTAAAACAGGTTATATAAGGAGGAGTAAAAAAAAAAAAACAGTCATTTAAAACCAGCAGATTAATTGAGCATCTCAAGAACAGTCATCCTAGACACCTCCAAGTGTACCTGAAGAGTAAAAATGACAAGACAACAGCATGTGCGTCAGTGAAAACCTGTCAGCTGCTTCTATTTGAGTCTTTCAACAAAGCTAAGAAAGGTATACATACATTAACACAACTGTGTTTGCTAACCCTGTGCAATATTTCATGCATAAACATGTCTGTTTATGCAAATTATGTGCCATTGGGCTGTGTGCAGTCACTCAGGTCTGGGTTGCAGTTTACATCAGCACCTGTACAATCATGTGTAATACATCAATCTGTAACATTTTTGTATTCTGACTTTTAACCAATTACCTTTACACTCCAAACACCTAATGCACAGCAACACTAATTCTGTTTTTTTTTTGTTTGTCTGTTTGTTTGTTAATTTATTTATTTATTTTGGGAATAGGAACCCTCTTGAATGTTATCTATGTAGCTTTGTAAACTAATGCAGTTTATGTTCTCCGTTCTCTGTCTGTTGTCTGGTTTTATGTACATACTTTTAAGAATTTGTTTACATGCCTAATGCACATGTATATTTGTACCATCAACATAACAGAGCTAACAGTGGGAAAAAAGACAAAAAGACAGTTACATATCGATGTTCATTAATGTCCTTGTCCTTAATAATTAGTTTGTAATTAGGTAAATTAAAAGTAATGTAAGGTTAGTAAAGTAGATGAAGGAAAGTCAGTTCATAGGGTGAGTTATGTAAGTAAGTTAATTATGTAAAGAAAGTAAAGTTAACTAAGTAAGTAAAGATAGTTAAGTAAAGTGAAGAAAGAAGTAAGTAAAGTTAACCAAGCGAAGTAAGTAAGTAAAGAAAGTTAAGTAAAGTAAAGAAAGACAAGTAAGTAAATTAACTTAATGAAGTAAGTAAGTGAAGAAACGTATGTAAGTAGATTAAAGTAATTTAAGTAAGGTGAAATTAGTAAAGTAGTATCGTAAGGAAATTATGTCAAGTAAAATAGGTGTGAAAATAAGAAGTAAAGAAATGAACCAAAGTATGCAAGTAAAGTAAGTGATATTAAGTTAGTGAGTAACTTAAGGTATGTGAAGTAAAGAAAAAAAATGTAAAGTAAAGTAAATTTTAAATAGTAAAGCAAGACATTTAAGTAAGAAAGTACTGTGAAGTACATAAGAAAAGAAGGCTGAGTAAGTAAGGTCAGTCAACTAAAGTGATGAAAGTCAGAGAAAGTAAAGCTAAGTACATTAGTCAAGTGAGTAAGTTAGTTTACTGACCGCCTGAAGGTAAAGGAGCTAAAAACACAAAATCATTGCCTTTTAGCATTGTTACAGGTGCTGGTCCCTGGCTTAAGCAGACAGGTTTTTAGAGAAGTTGCAGAAATAAGGAAAAAAATACTTCTATATTTTTGGAGTTGCCTTGCGGCATTCATTTTGGTTAAATTTCAGAAGATGTTAGAGGTTATTCCTGTGTCAGAAAGTCAGGTAAAATGTAATCTGCTGTACCTAGTAAATTCAGATGAACTTAAGTGGAGTAAGGAGGAAAAATATCTGTTTAGAGTATTACTATTTTATAAAACAAAGATGGTGCTTAATTTCTATTGTCAATCAATCAGTCAATCTCAATCTAATTTGTATTAGATATTTTCAGAAAGAACAAAAAAACAAAAGAAACAAAAAAAAAAACTGTAATCCAAAATTTACAGTAAACCCAATCAAAAATGAATTTTTTCTTTTAGATGACCCACAATAAATGATCAGCTTGGGCTCATTTCCGGAATAATCTCCATTTCCTTTAACTTTTCTTTGATGCACAAAAATCATTTGACATTTACATGATTTCTACTAAAGTAACTCTTTTTTTTTTTTTCTTTCTTGCCTGTTTAAGTCCCTCTAATTTCTATAAATCTGTTTCTAATTCTGCTTTTTCCAGGTACTCACAGAGGAAGGTTTTGGCCCGATTACAACAGAGATAGCTGAAGACAAGACGTTCTATTACGCCGAGGATTACCACCAACAGTACCTGAGCAAAAACCCTGACGGATACTGCGGTTTGGGAGGGACTGGAGTCTCCTGTCCAATAGGACTCAAGTCAAAGGCTTAAACAGCCAACAAGGTCCCAAATCAGTCAGCTTAGTGAGGTCCAAAGATGGAGAGAATTTATGATTTAAACAACTGATGCAAAAAGCTTTGGGTTTTAAATATAGGAACACCCAATTTTAAGATATTTTACGCATTCTTTCAATAAATCAAATGCCTCCATTTCTCTTTCATGCTACTTCAAACTGGCAGGTGTTTAATGGCTGTCAGGCTACTCTTTGCAATGATAAAGGAACATATTGTGTGAAATGGGGGAAAGGAAAACTGTGATAAATAACGGTAAACTTCCAAGCTCAGCACTGATTTTATTCTGGTAAGACATCAATTTTAGTAGGTTAGAGTTCAGGTTTTACTGCAGATTACTGTCTAAGCAAACTTCCTGTTTAGATTTCTCATGCTGAGAACTGTGTGCATGATGACTGCAGGTCATGTTATGATTTCGTCTCTCAAGTAGCTCTTTCAGTAATGATTAGTCAAGAGGTGAAACTCTGACTGTTGCAAAGATTTGATTTTTCAAAGTCATCAGAAGATTTAACATAATAAAACTTAAAAAATGTAAAGACCTCTGGTATTCTTCCTTGCATGAAAATACAATTCACATCTGCCCCAATGTTGTTGTTTTTTTAACAAATTAATCTCTGGGATATAATTTCACAATTGAACTATATTGTTGTAATATGAATAGGACTGTGTGAGACATACGAACTTTGCATAATTAGACACCACAGAAACTCAAATATTGGCAAGTGTTTGTTAAGTTTTTAGTCAAAGCATCTAATCAATTAAAAATCAGCCACATTTACCCGACAAGTCCAGAAATAACAATTATTTCAAGATGATAGAAGCAGAATAAAAACGCAGAGGATGGTAGTAAAAAGGTATGATATTTGTCAGTGCTGCAAGCAAAATTATCTGCTAAACTTTCACAGACAGTGAACTTTCATGGTGTCCATTTTAATACACTGTGCAGTCAATGGTTAGAATCAATCAGAAACCTGAGGTGTGGAGAAATCAAGCTAAGCTGCAGTTCCTCAAGTGTCCACTTGGGGCTGCCTCCGTAAACCAAGAAAAGCCCAACAAAACCAATATTAGAATGCCTATTTTTACTGTGGAGTAATATCCAGCCGCAAAAAAGATGGTATTGGTGTCTATACCTAATTTTTAATTTGTAACAACTATTTGGGGTAACTATGTTTTCAACCAATCTGTTTTTGATGAAATTAAAACTGGTTTTAAACTGGTCGGTTTCTGGATTTGATGAATATCAGTTTGAGCGAGCAATTTTTAGAGCTCGGGTGTCAAAACAATCCTTCAGAAACAGTGGGTGGTCATATGGACTACATCCATTTAGTTCACACATTAGCAACAGAAATGTATCAATATGTGCAAATGATTTTGTACAAGTAGCTTCAAAAGATCTCTTCTCTGTTTTTACCATATGTCATTCAAAGACATGGCTAAAACAAGCTTGAATTATTCAATCCGAACATTAAATTAAAGATTGTCCTATTAAAAAGTCTGCTTCATGTCATGGGTTTGCTTCTGCAGATCAAAGAGTAACTATTTCTGTTTTTGATGAATTTAAAGTAGACAATTTAAAATTTCTATCAGACTCGGTCAAAAGGAGATTTATTTTGATTAAAAATGTATCTCCATGTTAGTGTTTGCTCCTTTTTTTTGGTGTGGTGTGTGTGTGTGTGTGTGTGTGTGTGTGTGTGTGTGTGTGTGTGTGTGTGTGTGTGTGTGTGTGTGTGTGTGTGTGTGTGTGTGTGTTTGTTTGTTGTGTTTCAGGGCAGGATTTAGCATGACCTCTTTCCTCTGATCTTCGCCAGCAGTGATGTTCCAGTCCCTGACTCATCTGTCATCCCAGTTAATCGTACATCCTACATGTGTGTTTGTACAGTGTATGGTGTGTTCTGATGGTACAACGTACAAACACACACACACACACTAGCAGGAGGAGAGCGTGTTTGGTGCCAGGCCCTCCAAAACTTGGCAAAATCACTACAGATTTAAAAAAATACATAAAAAAAAGGAAGAAGCAAGAGAGGGAAGAGATCAGTCTCTTTGGAGATGGCAGAGCGCCATCCTGGATCTCTGCTTGGTTGGATCGTCTCCATAAATCAAGCTGCAGGACCACGACTCAAGCAGGCTAAGGAAAGCAAATTCTGATCACTCTTTTATTTTTTGGAGGGATAAAACTAATTAACCCAAAGATTTTGTGCAAATACTCATTTATTGAGTGTCATCTACCCCTTTAATATTTGTCAAGCTGAGAAAGACCAAGAATTCACACTGAGGTACATTTTTGGTACCAGCCAAAATGCACCCGTTGCACCGAGTGTTTAAAGGCTCACCCTGTGCTTATTTCTCCTTCATTTATAAACTACAGTTCTATCTTGGCAAAACTGTCACATTTATCAAATACTGATTCTTTAAGTAGCCTGCGTCTTTTGTCAAGAAAAAAAATGAGTGTTATTCTGCATCTCTGCAAGTCCTAAAGGAATCACACAAGACATTGCAAAATTGTTATGTATCAAAGAAAATGACAGAAAACTGCAGAAACTCTGCAGAACATCCACTGCAGTGATTGTAAAAATCGATTCAATGTGACAAAGATCGATCTAGAGTATGTGACTGATAAACACAGCTTTACTCAGAACAGCAGTTACACACACACACACACACACACACACACACACAAATCTATTTACTATCCTAAATATTCCACTGTCACTTGTTAAATTTGCCTGTATTTGACACAAGGCCTGTTACTAAATTTGTTCCCAGTAAAAGCAGGTTTATACTGCCACCCTGTGGTGTGTCGGGATATGGCAAAGCCCTCAAAAATAAAGCATCAATTAAGGTTTGAGACTTTCCTTTAAGCCTTGAGAATCATGACTCTCATTTTTCCTGTCTGCGAATCAGTAGAGGTCTTAAGTTTATAATATCAAAACTGTGCTAATCTTAAGCTGGAAAGAGTTCTCAAACGGCATTTAATTTTTTAAAAGCTAATGCAGACAATCTGATCCAAATTGCTCTACTTTAAGAGGACATTTTAACAAACAGTGAAGTTTACAATGGTGCTTTAAGGTATAAAAACTCAGTGGACTACAATGTATGAATATAAGAAATATATATATATATCAGTAAAATAAACTGATTACAAAACTACCTCTATAGATATAGGCTATAAAATAAAATAAAATAAAATAAATACAACAAGAAACTAAATTAGAAAAACTATATAAAAACTGTTTAGAAAACATTCTTTTTTGGTTGTTGGAATATTTGTAGATACACCTAAGTTTAACAAGATATCACACATAACAAATGCTGAAAGGACAGTGCGATGTGAAGTTGCCATAGCAACGGTTAATGGTCTTCAACAGTCACTTACCTCAGCAGTCTCCATGATCGACCGACTTCATGGTCAGAATTTAGCCTATCAAGTCATTGTGGGTAAAACTTTAAGATCTTACTTATTCTTTTGAAGTTTTGGGGTTTAAAGTTTTGGACTTCTTCATGTAACCCCAGCATTTAAATACATCTTCAATAATGGTCGACTTTTAGGTTTGTGTGTAGAATTCAGATCATGGTTGTGCTGGCCCAGATAACCGCTACGGTCACCGGTCATATTGTGGTAAAGTCACGATGAGAGGAAACAAACAAGCAGAACTTGACTCATATAATTACTTGAAGCACAATTGACCTAATTCAGCTGTCAGGATCTGATGATATATTGAAGATAGAAAACATGCTCTGACACAAATCAGATACAGGTTATCAAGCGCAGTGAGGGAATTTAAACTTCCTACTAGGTGGTTAAAAGTTGTAACAATTATATTCCCCCTTAAAAACTGTTTATGCTAGCTGTTTAGGCTTTGACACTCCTGCTGTAACAAGGGGAAGCTAAAATTGACCCAAATCCCACAGGTAAGATATTCCCATGTACAAAAAGGAACTACTAAAAGACAAAATGTGTGTTGATTTAATTTACTGTTTCATTCTAAACCCCCCAAAAAACAGTTATAGACTTGTCATGCTTGCCTTTCAGGGTGACATTGTAATGCACAAAACTTCAGTCCATCTGCGCTCATCATCAAAGACAGATAACGCTGTCGCCACTTGGTGTCCATCCCCTACTCCTGTCAAAGAGACAACATGAAGACTCAGACTCCACAACAAGTAAGTACTAGAGATCTGAATCACACAAAAGATACACACACAAAAAAAATCCATGAAGGGCTCAACTTTTTCCTTCCAGCTAATTTAACTGAGATAGTTTTTAACTTGCTACATAAGAGTTTCTCACAATGGATCTTGGAAATGGTGAAAAATAGAAAAAAGTTTTAATGCTTGGTTTTAATTCCAGTTTTCATGAATCAAACAACAAGTGCGAAGCCCCACTGAACTACAGTGAAATACAGCCACAGCTTGAAATGCAGGTTACTCCAAAGATGAGAGGCTGCAAAAGTGCCAGAGAAAATCTGGTGTTGGTTTTGCTGTGGGCTTGTGTGCAGGGACATGTATCAATGTGTTCTTTCTAATGAAATGCATGTTTAAAAGAAAGAATAGTGAAGTGTTCATGAAGATATTAAATATTAAAACCATTTTAACTTAACTTAACTTGTTAGCATTTGTGTGTTTACAAAATAAGCTCTAAAAATGGGATGGTACGACTCAACTCACAAACTTACTGTACAGTAAAATCGACTTGATTAGTGAGACTGTCAGCTTTCTGGCAATGAACTCAAAAAATAAGATAATCTAATAATTTATTTATAAATTCTTGAGGAAAAGCAATACTTCTTTTTTTGCTGACTATGCTGATAGCTGGCTGCCAACTATCATATGGCCTGTTTTTCTGTCACACGCTGTATCTGATCAGGTGGCTTGTGAAGGCCCAATCAGAGACCAGGTTTCCCTACCTCAGCAGAGAAGTAAAGACAATAAAACTTGCAATGATTTGTATAGTTGACACAGAGAATCTGTATAGACCTACTTTTACTTCTACTTAGCAAATCTACAAGAAATGATGAGGGAATCAAATAAGATTGAAAGAGTTAGAAAAAATGTTGGAAAAGTGCGAACACATTTCTGTTTTTTTTTTTCTTCTGTATGAGAAGAACTAAAAGTCGTTTGCAGGCTCTCTGTCAATCAATATCAAGTGGTTTAGCAGAACTGAATTGAGCTGCAGGGTCAGTGAACCCAACACACCGCTGTATAAATCTGTGTAAGATTGAGCTTCAATCCTTGCCTTTCTAAACATGTTCATTGACACAAAAGTTTTTGTTGCAGATGTGTTCATTAGTTCACAAGTAGCTTAGCCTGTTTGATTTTCTCAGAAATCCCCTTTTGTGGTTATGAAGTATGGTAAGTACAGCTTGTGCAATGAGTTTCTTTTACTTCAATGTAAAGCAGTTAAGAGCTGATTTGTATTACAAGAAGTCAGGATGTGGTTTTTCACTTGTCTTGCACCTCGTCTGATCCCTATTATGCTTAATCAGTGTGTGTATCACACTGAGCTGCAACTAATATTATTTTAGTGTCAATTCATCTGCAGAGTGTTTCCACAATTAAGTTATCACTCTAATAATGTCACAGCATTATCTAAAAATGCCCACAGTTTACCCAGAACTTGAGGTGACATCTTTAAAACTTTCTTAAGGAACAACACTTAAAGATTACAAATATAGAAGAAAACCATAACAATTACTCTATTATCATGCAAGTTATCAAATTATGTTGTTATTTTTTAGAGGCAAGTGCTCTGAAAATGTAAAGGTAGAGTGGGATGTAATTTTTTAATTTGAAATGTTTTATTGAAATCAACTATATAAAAAAGCTTGAGCTGTTTGGCTGACACCTAGCACTTGTGATGGATTGATTCCAGGATTGTTTATTGAATTGAGGGAAAAATAGATTGCAGTGCAATGATGAAATGTCTTTTCTTCTCAGCCCTGATATCTGATGCATCCAAACAAATTAAAACAATTAAAACAAATCTAAATCAAATCAAATAAAAATCAACACCCAGCCCATCCATGTCAGTTTTCTCAAGACTCGAATTAAAGAACAATTTAATCCGTCATGTTCTACAAGCTCTTCTTTATTTTCCCAGCCTCTAAATCAACACTCTTCAATTCTCTTAATGAGTGAAGTTCTGTAAAACTTTCTGTAGTGTTGTAGCTGAGTTACTGAAAAAAGACAGGATATGAAGCCAATCTGATGTAAAGACAAAGAAAACCTGACTGGTTATCAGTGTTTTTCTATGTGAGCTTTGTTTGACTTTGTTTTCATACTTCTATCCTCTGTTGTTGTTGACCTGTGCTGAGGCTGCGCGCCTGAACATGAAACTTATCACCAAATGTCCTGTTGCAATACCCATACAAGCTGCTTACTCAAAGCAAAACCTACACACCACCAAAGTGTTTCACAAATCCCAAGCAAATGAAGAAGACAAGGGTCATCATGAAGTGATTCAGACTTTAATATGAAGTAATATGGAGTTTCAGTCTATTGCAATGAAACTTGATGACTTAATGTTGTGAGACTGGAGTTGTTGCTAAGACAGTGCACATACGCAACCTGAAAAAACTTTAGCACCTGTCTGCAAAAGGAGAAAAAAAAGGAGCTTAAAGAGGCCGAATAAGTTATGTCAATATTTGGACATTGCAATGATGTAGGAGGGAACAGCTGGGCTAAAGAGGCAATGCTTTCTCTACTTAGGGATATAGTTGAACCTGACAAGAAAGAAAGAAAGAAAGAAAGAAAGAAAGAAAGAAAGAAAGAAAAGCTTTACATGTGGGTTCATTGGATTGCTAAATCAGCATATTTTAAGGTTCTCATTTGGCAGAGGAAATAAAGCAACACTCCTCATCGCAGACTCACGGTATCACCCGTGTTTTTGTATATTTACAGCAGCAATACACAAACATCATCCATTCTGTACAAATAATTCAACTTTAATGATCAACATCACAGATCTGTATACAGTGCGAGGGAGGGAAGTTTAACACAGCCTTCCAGGTGTTCGTAGTCCTCTTAGGTTTGACATTTTTCTAGTGGTTGTTGAACATAATTTTCAACTTCCTTCGAACACCAGAACTTTCAACAGGCATGCTTACTCAGAGATGGAAAGATTGACTAGCGTGAATAATCGGTTACACATCACCTGTGTGGGGGAAGAGAGTTCAAAGGAGAACATTGCTGAGTTCACAGATTTGGCATTAAGTCTAAACCCCTTTGAGGACAGGCCCTCAAACTTTTTGAGGTTGAGCCTGACCTGGATGATGAACACAGAGTTTCTTTGAGAGTAAAAAAAGCATGATTTGTTAGGGTAATCAGTCACACAGTCCAGAAACCTTCAACAGGTTTCTCAGTAATACTTTTGGTTTGAATTACAAAGTTAAGGATTATGTAAACTAACCAGCAAGTCACATTCAACTGGTAAACTGGCCAGAATAGTTTAAGTGAAAAATCTTTTATTATGACTGACTCAATCTAGATATTTCCTGTCTTTGTTACTTTTTTATAAGAATTTAAGGTCCTTACACACCGGGACCGACGCAAATATCAGACGAAATATTCAGAGGTGAATTTTGATGCGTCTGACTATAACATTAAACTATAATCCATAAACGTATATATTGAATGGATATGACCAGATCGAAATAAACTTCAAACTTCAAACGTACGGTAACAACCGAGACCTAATGGTGCTGTGACAGCGACGCGATTGAGTTTGAGACAGTGAAAATACATATGGTATGTTGTATCTGAACAGGTTAGCTTACGAGCTAAAGTTACTTAGCACAGATGAAAGTTAAAACAAAGACGTTTAGCAAACTGTTAAAGCACACAAACTATCCTTCAGGTCTTATCTTTGTAATGTTTGTGTCTTTAATCAAAAAGCACTCTGTTCTTCGACACGTAAACAATCAGCCGGTCGGCCATGTTGGATATACCATGTTGTGAATCAGACGTAGCAACAACACGCAATCTGATTGGTCAGAAGTGGACACACAGTATGCAAAACTTTAGAAAAATTGGCCGTGATCTGAAAAAATAAATGGCGCAATATCGCAGGACGGGAAAACGTCGCTGATGTGAACGCTTGTATTGACAGGATACGGGTTCGAAAAAATTATTGACGTCTGAAATAATGGCACGATAAAAATGGTCCTGGTGTGAAAGGACCTTTACACAGTATCTTTGAATTTTAGCAACAACACCCCATTTGACGACAACATTTTGGTTTTTGGGAAACCTGGTGGTCGGTTTGAACCTTTTCTGACATTCATTTGCCTGAGCAAATAATCGATCACTCAGCAAAACAAACATATGAACGTTAAATGAAAATGAGTTTTAGATGCGGCTCAAGTTCAGTAACGTAGGAAAGTTTCATTGCTGGGCTTTTCTACCCTGATACTTGAAGCCTGGTTTGAACAAATACACATAAAATTAACAAAAAAACAAAACAAAACTTTAATACATTCAAGTAAATGATGGCACAAAAATACAAACATACACATCTCATAAACTTTTCTGACGTAAATGTACATCCGGCTTGATGTCGTTTATCATATTACTTTATACATCTTTTATTATAACTGATTTGCAAACAGAATTGTACATCAGTGACCTAAAGGAAGCCAGTATAATCATTTCCTGTCAACCTGCTTTAACGGCCTTTACACCCACACAGGTATCTGGTTCTCTTCCTCTTCTCCGGACTTCTTCTCTGATAATCTCAGTCTTTTTGCGCCTGCTTTTGATAATATGTTTACAGAGGTTTAGTACCAGATAGTGGGGCCCATTAATGGCACTCAGCCCTCACAAGGCCAGTATCACTATCGTCTTTGCTAAACTGATAACATTTATAAGTGCTGACAACTATGGCATAACCCAGTGTCTTTAACTCTTCTATCAATTCTTTTAAAAAAATCCGTCTAAAACATGTTACCAAGGTAACTGCACATCTTAGATTCTGAGGTGGATTTTTAATGTGTATAATATGAGTAGAACGGCTGATTGAAACACAGTTTTCTTTCTTCTTTGTTGACCCCAATCTTAACCTCATTTTTTTCCCTTTCTTGATAATTTCAGATAGCTGGATCAAAAGCTTTAAATCCCTCAGGGCAATATTTTACTTATCCATTTTTATGTTTACATAATATCTATCTAAGAGAATGTTAATCCTTGTTTTTTTCTTATTCATTAGGAATTTATTGGTATTACATACCAATCAGCTTATTGCATTGATCAAGGAAATGAATCATTAGTTATTTTGAACACATCTGCTTTGTTGAAAATAGTCACTACAAGACAGAATCAAAAACAAAGAAAATTAAAAGAAGTCTTTATGAGTCATTGCAACAGACAGTTTTGAAGTTTTACTGAATGTTTCTGCTGCTTTTACCTGAAGTAATAATATTGCTGCACCTTTGTTTGTGCGTTATCTTAAAAATTCTGGATTGCATTTAAAAGAATATTGCAGCTTGTTACTAAAATTCAAGCTTGAACCTTAATTGTGCATCAGAGTATGCATTTGTGCATCTACAGAGTGGAAAAAGTGAGCTCAAACAAAGGAAACTTATCTGCAGATAAAACACAAGCACCCGTTTCATCAAAAAAAAAGAAAAAGTGTACTGCTCAATAAAACACTCAGAGTAAAAGTCTTATCAGCCAAATGCATGCAAACATCTGTGTGGGCGTTACAGTGGTTTTATATCTGTGTGTCTGAGGCATCATGGTTAATGAAACTTGCTCTTCACCTGAAAAAGGTCAGATAACAACCTAAGCAACAAAAAAAAAAAACATCATTTATCAATTATAGGTGAAGAAAGGGTTCTTGTTCCAGATACTGTAGGTGTTGTTGTTGTTCCTAAGTTAAAGTCAGAATTTATAAGTCTCTTCTGAATACTCATTGGACAGAAGGTGGTAATATAAGCGTCTTTAAACCCAGAGTTACAGAAGCAGTAAACCAGCGGGTCCAGCAGGCAGTCGATGTAAGATAAAACCATGAGGCTATCGTAGACCTGCACTGCTATGTCCTCCTCCGCTTGCCGTTTCCACAGCCGAAAACCTAGCAGAACTGCTCGGGCGACAGTGCAGGGCAGGAAGCAGATGGAGAAGACGACAACAACAGACATAACTACCCACACGGCCCTCCGCAGTTTGGCCTTTTCCCCCACCGTCTTCTTCCTTAGCCGGTTCACGATGCGCACAGTGCAGTAAACCAGGATGATGAAGGGAATGATGATCTGGGTGAAGAAGACCACCTGAAGGAAATTGATTTGAATTAGATTAGGAGCAGACCAGCAAAATTTAACAACAAAATATGGCACTCATTTAGAAGTACAAAGTGCTGCCATCTCTGTTTTCAAACTCTTGTTTTTCTGAACTCCTCAGCTGTCACCTTAAGCCGAAACATGTACGTGTGACACAGGCACTAAACTTTAACCTCTTCATTCATGATTTACACAAGGACAGTATTTTTGCAGAACATTAAAGAGGTGGTTGTTGCTCCGTGAAATCTCAAAGTAATTTCTAACCTTGATCTAAACCAAGGAACCTAAATTTAGAGGCAATGTGAGGAATAGAAATGGTTTCACTCATGTACTGATTTCCTTTCACAGGAGTAAATAAGGTTATCAGCAACAAGATTGATTATTGGTTCCATGAGTATAATTTAAAGGGATATTCTGGGGTGAAATTATTTTAGGGTCAAACACACCGTAACACAGAATTAGACACCCCCTCGAGAGATGAATGTTGCAGACCGCTTGCTCTTCGAGTTATACCAACTTTAGTTTCAACCGCAGGATCGCAATACACAGCGGCCTGAGAAGCCAAACACAAACCTCAACCAAAATGCCACACATAATGCTCAGAACAGCACCTAACCAAACATCCAGCAAACATCTTTTTAGCTTTGCCTGATTTCTTTAGCAAAGAGACTAAATACAGCTCACCACTCTCCTCCAGCAGTCGCTTGTTTGTACGGAGACCTTAGACGAGTCTATCACCGACTGCAGCGGGGTGACACAGCTCAAGGAAGAACATTTATGATCATTTCTTCATGGCAATGCAATCAGACCGAGACGCTAAGGCAGAAGAACTACTGCGTCTGTAGTGCAAAATGATTAATATTGGGATTATTACTTCAAGGAAATGATAAAGTAATGATCATAAATGTTCTTCCTTGAGCTGCGTCACCCCACAGCAGTCGGTGATGGACTCGTCTGAGATCTCTGTGCAAACAAGCAGCTGCTAGAAGAGAGTGGGTGAGTTGTGTTTAGTCTCTTTACTAAAGAAATTAGGCAAAGTTAAAAAGATGTTTGGTGGTTAGTGCTGTGGCTAGGACTCTGTGTATATGGTTGATGAAGTTAGGTGTTGTTCTGAGTATTATTTGTGGCTATAGAGTGGCGTTTTGGTTGACTTAAGTTGGTATAGCTAGAGAAGCAAGTGGTCAGCAACATTCATCTCTCGAGGGTGTGTTTAACTCGGTGTTGTGGTGTGTTTGACCCTAAATTAATTTTGTGCCGGAATATCCCTTTAAGCGTGTTTTCAAACCTGAAGAAATTTTAATGAATGCATCAAAATAACTTCAGCAGTACCTCTCTAAAGGTGTCTGTCACATCGTGATAAGGCGTCTCCACTTCCCGCCCATGGCTGTTGCAGCACTCGAATGTCCGGACCATGGTAGGGATGGTGAGGGGCAGCAAGAGAAGCCAGATGATGATGGAGATCTGAGGAGATTTCTTCAGCACTTTGACAAAGTTTCTTCGCCCGAGATGGACCACGTTAAAGTAGCGATCGATGGACAGAGTGATGAGGAAGGCGATGCTGGCCCCTCGGTTAAGAAACAGCATGGAGAGCATCAGCTTGCACACTGAAGTGTCCCTGCTGCGTCTCATACCATGATGGTAATGGTAGGCTTTAGCAGGAAGACAGGCCACCAGCAAGAAATCCGCCACCACAATATTGAAGAGGAAGATACTTTTATTTTTCCAGAACTTGAACCTGAAGAGGAAGCAACCAACAGGACAGTTTATCATCATTGTCAGGAAAGTCATTTAATATAAAGAAGAAACAGAAGTGCAGTAAAGTCAGTGACACAGAATCCACAAACATGTCTGTGTGCCTCCAGTCTTGACAGCTTCATCAATCAAACGGATGAAAAATTCATGCAGTCTTCCCTGCAGTAAGCAAGTCTGATTTTTTATCTTTTCACTATCTCATAACTGCTAATGTTACTTGCAGTGCATACATTACACTGGTGGAAAAATACACTGGTGCCAAAGAAAACAGTGGCTCTCTGCACGCTGGTCAGCGTTTGCCTGCTGGAAGCCCTCTCAGTGCTGTCAGCACGGCTCTTAGTCCACAGCACGGCATGTTCCACATCCAGCATGTTTATGACTTAATCTTGCTCAATCTGCACTTCAGGGAAAGAATTGAATTGAAATAGCTATTAAAGCTCCTGTGAGGAGTTTTCAGCCAACTGTGAAGCAGACTAAAACTTGCTCTACTGTCTTTTACGAGCTACAGAGGCTGATGAGACCATCAACAAGTCTGATAGTTTCTTTGCTGTAATCTTTAAGCCTGAAAACCCAGTACACGGGGGTTGGTGTCATACTAGGCAAGTAATGGCATGCCGATGAAGCAGATTGTTTATCACACTTCCTATACATGTACAGGACAAGATCTGCAAAGAGACAAGTTCCTCACTTTAAGGCTTTAAGTGGTGGCACTTTTTAAAGAAGCAGTGAGGCTTAGCATCTTCACTTTTCCTTTTTGATTTTAAATCGTTCTATGTCTGTCGGATTTTTAAATTGTTTTCATCTCTCCTTTTTAATTTTTTTTAATGTATTTCCTTGCATCTGTAAAGCACTTGGAATTGCCTTTGTATGCTTTCTACAATATCTACTCACACATCTGCACGTACAATCGTGTGCTATTGGTATTGTGCAATATTCATTCAATCTGGCACTTTACATCTTGGGCAGTAGGGTAATGTACCACACAACAGGCACTTTTTTCTTTCTTTTTTCTGCGTAATATTGGGCTATGTGCAATATGATGGGGATCTGAGCTCCCAGGCGGCTAGCACTGTGCACTTTAGCATTTAGCACTTGAGCACAATGGCACTTTAGTTAGCACTCCAGAACTTTATGATTCAGTGTGTGGTCCCCCAACACTCAGCCTGTTATTATTGTTTGGTTTGCATGTCATCTATATTGTTGCTGATATGCTCTGTGTGTTTCACTCCTGTTATTGATGTTTTTTTTGGTTTTATGTATTGACACCAACCTGCTAATGTGACTGGGGATGGAAATTAGCCATTTAGCTATAATCTCATGTATTTACATGTAAATGTTCATTAATGCATATTGTCCCATATATTAAAAATTCCTCAATCCTAAATTTTTCCCTGTATCAAAGATCCCCCTTTGGCACCCAAGACACTTCCTCTAAATCATTTTAAGGACAACTTCAATTCATATATAGTTGCAAGTTATTCAAAGGTTCCTCAAAACCAAAAAAAATGGGAAATGAAAACAGAAAAGAAAATAATCACTTTCATAGCTCAAACTTATAGTGATAAGAGTATGAGCACATCCATGACCATCACTAACTACACTCATACACAGTTTTTGTCAACATCTCCACCAACACGTAAGAATCCAAACAGGATGTAAATACTGTCTGTTTGTCTCGGCTCCCTGGAATAAGCAGGGATCTACAAAGATTTCTCTCTATAAACAGTCATGAAGCTGCAGTGGATGTGAGGAAAGATTTATCCAAACAGATCTTTTTATTGATTCCAGACAAAACCTGATTTGGTCAGAGAGTTGGATGAACACCACGAGCATGAGAACATTTGAATAATTGCAGTTTTTGGCAGAGAAAACAGTCGTCCAGGCTACAGAAGGCTCACCTAACAGTAGGTCAGAAGCATCTGCACTCCTGTGTTACAGTAAGTTGATATGCAGGAGCTGTATTTTAACTTTAGAGTGTTTATTTTAACACTTGGCATTACTGCAGCTTTTTGCAGAGAAGACAGACCATTATCTGAATTGTTAAATCATTTTGAAGGCCTTTAATCCTCATGAGCTGATGGGTCATCTTGAGGTCATTGACCATTTTCAGATGAACAGGATCTGCTAATTTGCTCACCACACCACCTTTCACTTTTGAGGATGTTTAAGAAGGAGAAGGTAGTAATGGATGATGTTTTTTTCATACATAAAACATGTCTTTAACTCAGTGAAGCTACAGCTGAAACTTTATGCAAGATGGCTCTACAGCTCAACTCTACAGAAGTGCCACACACACACACACACACACACACACACAATTGATTCAGACACAATACACAACTTGAAATGGTAACAGTTTGAGATTAACAACCACTTCTTGAGAAATTTCACCAAAAATAAAGCTTTTGTGTTAGAAAATAGTTGGATTCTTGGGAAGTAGATGTAACTGCCGGCCAAAGGGCAACTGGACCTCCAATGAGATCCAGATGTAATCTATTTGATTTTCTTGCAAAATTCAGTTGGGAGCCATTCTTCGAAATGCACAAACCTCAACTAACTAACATGTTGTACACAAGTCAGTCATCGAGTGTAAGGCTAAGGTTAGTGCTCTCCAAGTTGAACGTTTTTCCTTCCCTGAAGGCTTTCCCTAACCTCATTCCAAGCTTACGAGTTTAGATTTTACTCATGAGTACTCTTTGAGAAAGGAGAAAGAGTGACCGCAAAAACAAATTATTAGTTCACTCATAACACAGCTGGGATTGATCACAGGAGGTCAGATATTCCATGACCAGGGATTTTACAACTTCAACACTGGCACAGTTTTAGCTATTATTGCTTCATACAATGTCATTTACCTTCACTTGAAATCAACAGTAACTGTGAAGAGTTCAAGTGAAGAGTCATCCAGAATTCCCCTAAACTGCATTTCATTTTCGAGTACTGTTTAAAATCCAGGGGAAAGGTGATCACAGGATTTGTCATGATACCTGAAACAGTTAACTCATTTTTTTCAGACGAGACTTGATTGATATACTAACCTCCACTCGGTGACCATTTTTACGTCTGCTTAACCACAGCTTCTTTATCAGAAAGCTGTCAATCTTCAAGGTTTAGGTAAGTTCAAGCAGGAGTAGATGAAAGGCAACCTGACTTTTGAACCACCCTTGTGTGATCCCAACTTTTTTTTGCAGAACTGAGTTTGGAATCACTCCCAAAAGCTTCAAATATTTTCCATCTTGTAAACACCTGTTCCCAAGTTCAAGTTACCAAGATAGAAGTAATTCTTACATTCCTTATTTCAAGGCTTTCTGGGAATTTTTGCTGTCCTCCCTTATCTACATGTACTATGAAGTAAAACAAGTAAAGGGATATGCTTGAGAAAATGAGTTTCTTCATACCTGAAGATGAAGACGTAGAGGACCGACAGGTTAAGAGGCAGACCCAGCATGAACTCTCCCATCATCAGCCAGGAGAGTGTCTCATACGTGAGTTGATTGGGCACTCTGCAGTGATCAATTGTTGAATTTGTAGACATGTTTCTTTGGATAGGCATACCACTGATTGGAACAGAGCTGCGTCTGTTTCCACTGCAGTCCGAGAAGTCCCAGTGAAGAAAAAATCTGATTTATTTAACAGTGAAGAAACAAAGGCTGAAAGTGTTTCCAGACCGGCATCACCAAGTTGAATCCTTTGTTGTCCAGCTGTTGCCCAGGGTCTTCTTTCTGTAGAAACTGCTTCCCCTCCTCACCAGGATCCGTCAAATTCAACAGTCCTCTCCCGAGGGCTTTACAGTGACTCTGGAGCGCTGTCAAGACTCGACCAGCTGTGCCAAAACATGCTTAAGAAACATGCTCTGTAAACACTACATACACTGAAATCACAGACTGAGTATGGAGAGCAGAAAACCTCCTGTCTGACACTGTCTGACTTAGTTTCCTCTTTATGTGTGAGGCTGACACCGATGCTTCAGAGAGGAAGAATTTATAGTGAGCTGGAGGTGTGGTTTAGAGAAAAGTGGGCATATCTGACTGAGAAACAGCATGCAGAGATGCTGGTTTCAGCTTTCAAACTCAGAACTACTTCATGCACTCAACTATCATGGCTTTTTTCTTCCCAATCAATAACGAAGTAAAAGAATCTGACCTGCCCTGAGTGGTTTGTGGATTGGACAGAAAGTGGCGAATGGAAACTTGAAGGTGTTTTAGCAGAATGGGGGTAAATGCCTGTGAAATTCCTCAGGTGGTTGTCCATGTAGAGCCATCATGCCTGCACATGTCTGGGTTTATGTTTGGATGTTGGGATGATAGGAGAGAGAAAACATGGTCCTTTAGAGGTATATGACATATTGAGTTTACCCAGAAAAGACCAATCATGTTACACCTATCAGAGGACATACAGTATCACCTGAAATCAGAGCTGCAGCGAGCCTGAAGAACAAAGAGCTGTTCTGAATAGAGGTACTCCCAGAGGCTTAAATCCCTGCAGAGGTGAAGGAAACAGCTTTTTACAGGTTTATTTGTTCCCCAATAACACACAAAAGTAGAGACCCACTGAGCTATAGATGGCTATTAGACGTGTAGTTTTTTTTTAGACTTAATTTCAGCCGTCTCAATTCTGTATGTTTTTTGACAGAATTTAGATGTTGCACTTTAACCCATTATTCAACAACTATTTATTTCAAAAAGCAACTGTGAGTTACATAACTGATCTCCAAGTACTTAAACAAAGTAATTATGAAAGCCTTTAAGCAATATACTGTGTAGCATAGATATAGCCCAGATTTAGATTTAGTCTAAACTTGGTCTAAATTTAGACGTCTAAAAAACTTTCATTTTTAGACCTGTGGTAGCCTGATTTCAGACCAGTTGCTAGGCTAAATTTAGACGTCTATTAGACCTCTTTTAGACCAAAAAATGTTCAGTGAGTACTTTCCTCTTGTTCAGTGTGACTCATAGGGGGAATAAATAAATGGCACAAGCCAGTCTTCTCATGATTTCCAAGAACAAATAAGAACATCTGTGTGAAGTCAAATTGCAGTTTGTGGCAAATAACAAGATAATTGCGCTTAAAAATAGTATTAAAAATAACAGCCAGGGACTAAAATAACAAATTTAATGTAGTATTATGTTAATGTCTATTGATGAGATTAGTAATTTATAAATTGTAATTTTCAATCCCTGAAACTAGTGTAAGGGGGGAGGTTTCACCTGAGGAGCTGACAAAACACTCTGAAAAGGCTGCAATGCCCATAGGGGGCGCCAAAATGGACACAAAACAGAAGTTCCTCACAGAAGCTTTAAGATTCTTTGCTATTTTTATTTTTCTAACCAAGCTTTAATTATATTTATTTTGTTCTTAGCATGAGCTTTTTTGAACTAGTGTGATTTCTGGTGATTCTGCAGCCACTCTCAAGCAGACACCCCAGGAACCACAGTCTTGAGCACTTCTGCATCGACTTTATAGGTTACCACTTGGTTCACCTCAAGCCTGTCGTTCAGTTTGCAAAAGAGAGGGCAACAAATACAGGGCAGTACAATGCCAAAATGCTGTTCACTATCTTTTCCCACACATTCAGTTTGTAGATTTTAACACCTGTGAGGAATTTTTGATTGGTTAGGAAGCAGATTCAAATAAACACTGATGCCTATTTGTGATCTACTAAAAACCAAACTAGGCCAACAGTGTTGATTCTGTATGATGATTCCTGTTGCCTGTTGGACCATGAGGGGGCAGGTGTCAGATGGGTAAATTTATTAGTTATATCAGTTATTCCCTATGATGGGGTTCACTGTTAAAGGAAAGCATGATGAAAACTTCGACTTACTCATGTACTGGACAAAAATAGCGAAGAGATCAAAGGTTTTCAACTTTGCGGGGACCTTCTGTTAACTTGTGTTTTCTCTGTTAATCCTGCAGGGTGGAGAAATTGTGTAATTTTGATGGTATTCCCTGGCTTAAAAAAGACAGTCATGCAACAAACACTGCTCCAAACCTCCCGGGCAACATCATATGATTATTATGACTACTAGTTTGTGGCGATGTTGTTGAAAACAAATACTGACTGAGAACAGAACAAAAATGGAAATCCATCCCATTTTGTTGGCACATTCACCACCTAAACATGGAGCAACAGCAAATGTGGGTAGTATTTGGGGTTTCTGATTCTGCTTTGGTGTTTATATATATGTTTTTAAATGTAGGTGCCCACTTTGAACATTCTGTTCTTTGCATAGGACGACTGAATCCATGCAAAAGAAGAAGGCGAAGGATGAGAGCGAGAAATAACGACATGTTGCACTGATTTTCAGAAAGGCTGTATGAGGTACTGACGCACAGATAGTGACCCAAGATGCTCTGAGCTTTGCACCACTTCCTTTCGAACATAAGTTGGCCTAACATGCTCATACACCCCGAGGAAAAGCGGAACCGGGGTTCACTTGGAAGCAAACCAAGATCTTCATTTTTTAATGGACTGGAGTTTGCTTGTTTGACCCGCACCAGTTTTTTGATTGAGTGTTCACACCACTCCAAACGAACAAGATTTTACGAGGAAACAGACTAGGGTTTGTTGAAACAAAACAAAACAACCCCGGTGTTAATGTGATCTTAGAAGTGGTGATATTGTCCTGGGGCCTCATTTATCAACCCTGTGTAGAAAAAGTTCTGATTACTGTGCTCGTGCATGGTTAGGATCATTTGCATTCAGAAGCGCCTCCAATTGACCATATATGGTATGCTACATATGTGATTCTAAGATTTTTTGTGCATTGACTGAATGAAACCCATCTCTTTTTTCTGTAATAATTATATTTACCCGATTAAATGAATGTAAAAGGACCAAAACGTGTCCATTCTTACAACTGTTGACAATGACAGTCTGAAGTCAGTGTTAGTCTTTGTAATGTGGAGCTACATGAGCTAAAGACACTGAATTATCAACCCAAAGCCATACTTCATGATGTGGATGCTGGTTCTGGACTGGAGAAATTAAATCTGTAACAGGAAACAAGTTCCTGCTTGAGCTGATTTCATATTTTCTGGTTAAACAGCAGAGGGGGAACAGAGCTGCTTTGACTGCATCCTCCAGTTAAGTGGAAGTTTTTATTATACAATAGGATTAAATAAATGTAGGAGTACATCAGTCTTTTCTGTCACATCCTCCTCAAACAGGTTTGATTACAGATTTCAAATATACAGCAAAAAACAAAGAAGTGATGCCTCAAATCTGTGAAGTATCAGATTTATCTCTTTTCCCTTTCACAGATTCACTCATCTATTCCTCCTTTGTGCATAAGATGTGTACACAAAGTGAACGGCTTATTTTATCGGTGGCAGCCTTAAGATTCAAATCTAACTTCCCTCTTACTTTGTACCTTATTATGTTTGCATGCAGTAGCCTGTGACAGGGTTGGATTAGCTTTTAAACTTCTTGTTCCATTGACGTCAAACATTAACCTGACACTTTCTAACTCTGCTGCTGTTTCCCCTCACGAGCAGCAAACAAATGCTTTCAAACTTGTTGGAAGTAAAGTCATAACTGAGGATGAGGAGCATGCTTGCATGTCGAAGTCTCTCTAGTCTGTCGTGGTAAAGGTGTGATGTAATATTGCACATAAAACAAGCCACATTATGCTGCAACAGAACACGTCTGTACATGGCAAGAGCATTAAGACATGCAGTTGACCACAACAGAACACCCTGTAATCCACCAGTCACACACATTATTGTGTAGCACAGAAATAGCAAGAGCAGCATTTCTTTTTAAAATATCAGGATTGATTTTGTATCAGACCTTTCATCCTGGACCCCCTTGGCTGTAATATGTAACAACTCTGCCTTAAAATGTGTAAAACTATGACCTGATCTTAGGTTTTGATATTAGTCATTATCATAAATTTGTCTGGAAAATGTCAAACTAGCATCATTTTGAATTTAAGTGGCTGTTTTTGTTGTTGTTTATTTCCTTTTCTTAGCGCCTGAGGTAAACACAACATTTGTCAGAGAACATGGAAAGAATTTTGTAAGCCGCTCTTGTTGCTAATGTTACTCATGCCTATTTCTTCATATCCTAATTACAAAACTTTGGTTGACTTTATGTAAGGGGTGGTGTAAATAAAACTAAAATATGATATCTGCTGAAGCCTGGCACCAAGATTTGCATTTGCGGTGGTTGTTGCTAAGCAACACGGATCACATCAACCATAATCACCTTTATCAAACTCATCTTTGGTGCATGAGGTCAGCTTTCAGTGAGCAGGCCTCATGCAACAGAAAACACACACCGCACTTTTCAGAAGAAGAGATGTAAAGCAGAAATCTTCAGTTTGCCACAGCTTAAAAATAACACCAGTCTGGTTCATTGGAATGACCTTATATCAGTGTCACAGCCACAAATGGAAGGGCATGTTTTGTGGTTGAACAGGGGATCTGCCCAAATGACTAATTTTCTCTGATGTTTCTAAAGAAATTCAACTCAGCCAACTCACTTTCCTAAACATACTACTGTTTTTATAATACCGTTATGGTTAATGTGACGGTTTGGAGATAAACAAAAACGGAAGGACCCAAACTGCAGAACAAAAATTGATTTATTTAAAAGGAACTTAAAGAAAAGCAACAAAAACTTAATTTAACAGTCCAACTCAAAAATGCCAAGAAAAACAAATGGCAAAATCCAGAGAACTGACAAACCATAGGAAAACACTGGAGACAACAAACACACACTTTCACAATGAACCAACAAAGAAACAGGGGAAGACAAGGACTTTATATACACAGGGAAACGAGCAACGTGAGGCAGGTGAGATACAGATCATCACAGAGGAGGGAAAACTGAGGAAGTCAAACAAGACTAGAAACATAGGGAATTAACTACTACCAAATTAAAACAGGAAACACTGATATAAGGAATAAAACGCTGAAAACGTGAGGGAACCGGGGTCAGACACAAGCTGAAAACTCACAAGACAAGACTACAGGGGAACAGCAACAACAGGGAACAGAAACACTAGGAAGCACACAGAAAGTAAACTCAGATAACCAAACTCAGGGGAAACTAAAAACCTGAACATATCATGACAGTTAAACCTTTCATTAGTCTAGTTTAGTAAATTGGTTGACACTTACGAAAGTAACACAGATTCTCTCGTTTCTTCCATTGCTGTCACAGGATTTGGACAAAGAGTAGCAGAATAAGTAGTTGATCTTTTAGAGTCAAATCAACTTTTATACTATGAGCAGTTTGATTTTGGACTCAAATACTCAGAGAAATAAAAACATGTGTTTTTGTAGATTATTTAAACTATTTTTTGGATGTGGGTGATATCGTGGTGACAGTGTTTGTTGGCTTTAAGAAAGCTTCTGACACCATTTACTGTGACATCCTTCTATCTAAGTTGCCTAAATTAAACAATTTTCCAAGTAGGCGTTTAAAGAGTGTGCTTTTTTATCAACAGTCAATAGAACAATATATGAACACTGACTCAAGAAAGTCAGCTCCTTAACGAAATGAAAGGTATTCTCCAAGGCTCAAAACTAGGTCCACTGATTTTTAGTCTGTATATTAATGATCTGCCTGAAAGATGTCTGGTTGGGGCTGGTTGTCAGCTTTATGCTGATGATACAGTCTTATATGCTTCAGCAAAGACCCTCAATGAAGCAGCTGAGAGATTATCATCATGCATGACTGAGGTGTGTGAGTGGCTTTAATGAACATGAAAATGGCAGTCTTCATAACAAAAACCATTACAACCAGAAAACACAATGTTAATCATTCAAGGACCACTGACTGAAACAAAACTAACACAAGATTAAAAGGTTTTTAACAAAAGGAGACAACAGCAAAAACTGAGATGTGAACACTTTTAACTGTATTTTGATCTTCAACTCATTATTTTCATTTTATGAAACGTCACCTGTCACCTGTGTTTATTTACATCTAGGTAGTAGAGCATTATAGCGTTGTTATTGTAGCCATTGAGTGGAGCTATAGCTCCGACCAGTGGCAGGTGTCTGCATTATGCTCTGAACACAATATATGACCAGTCCTTTAGGTCTGCAGCAGAAATAAATAATAAATAACTGGTTTAATTAGTGCACATCTTTTCTCTTAGCAATAGACAGTTTACAATATTTATAAAACAACTATCAAACATAAAATCTCCTCCAGACTGGCTTTTATAACCTGGTTTCCATTGTATAGCATGTCTGAATCTCCTCGCCTTTCTTTAATATCAGCCCCATTGTTTTACAAAAGTGGCTTCTCCCCACAGCAAGCAAATTTACTGCCTATTGATGAATTACCTAATTTGAATGACCAAAATCAGGTGAATCAAAAATTTGTGTCTTCATTCTGCGAGTTTTGTCTTTTTGCACAGTGAAATTCCTGAACAGAATGTACCAGGTCTGAAAATGAACACTGTTTGCATTCCGGCGGAGCTCTCAGCATACTAATTTGACACTTTGAAGGCATAAAAACACCTTGCATGGAAACTTCTTCACGTTGTTCTTGCAGCATTGCACTCCTGCTTGAGTAAGCTGCATTCTTTCACAAACCGTGTGAAGACAGCTTCATGCATGTAACCATGCATGCAGTATGCTCATGTGCCTTTACAACATAGTTGTTCACGTGGAGTATTGATGCAGTGCTTCATTTCACATCACACTTAAGGCTGTTATTGATCTGTTTTTATAGTGTTTTGCAGTTGTGTTTTATGATTGTCTAGCAGAGCTGTTGTATGCAGGGTTTTCTGTAGTAAAGAAAAAGTGTTTGGCATGATGAACATTCATTACGTGCCCACAAAGCTTTCAGCACCTTATCTCTGTTCAGATAAGATCCCTGAGAACTTGTCTTTTCTCTGGTTTAAAGCAGCTCTTCTCCAAAAACACTCGACTTCCTGTCTAGATTTTTTCATACACCAGGTCTAAGTAGCAAGTTACTAACTTGCTGGTTTTATTACAGCTTGGACATCTTGTTTATTCTGAAGTACTTTCTAAGGGGCAGTAATGATGATGATAGTACACAGACATTCGGTGTTTACTCTCACTGCACTTGGATCAAGGTGCCCTGGAAGGCACGCCTCTTAAATTTATCATCATCTCTGTCCACTCAATGTGCCAAGAAGCATTTCTAAGCGGTGGTGTGGACTCTCTCCTCCCACTCACACACTGGCTCTGAGAAATTGAGCATCTTATTTCACAATCTGATCTCTAACCAACTCTCCTCTTTATCTCTTGTAGGTCCTACATTTCCTGCCTGTGTGCTCTCAGTGAGGATGAGTTGCCCGCTTATGATGGCTATCATGATCTCTGCTAAGGTACTGAAGGTGCTTTGTGTGTGCTAGTGCTCCCTGTGTATGATCAGAGGATGTTTTTAACTCATCATGTGCAGGTTATCAGACTTAATGCATGTTACTAGTAGTTTGCTGTTTTATCACTTTATAAGTCTGGGTAAAAATAAAACAACCTGTATTATTTTTATCACAGCTTTGTTCACATATGCCATACAAGTGTCATATTGCTTTTAAGCTCTTCTATGCAGATGTAAACGAACAAATATGACAGATAGCATCTCATAGCAGGGCACCGTTTGGTAGTACAGGAAATGTATTCAATTCTGAGTTTCTTTACCTTCTCCATCTCAGCGCACTGACATTCTGTCTCTTACTGCACAGTTTTGGAGCACGCAGTACCTTTGAAGTTACTCTCTCTTTATGTTACATTTACAAAATGTCCATTCACTGTCCCCCTACCTCCCCAGCAGTAGAAGGAATACTGAGTCAAAACCTGAGAGTCAAAAATGTTTTCAAGGAATCCAAACAAAAATGCGTTGGTCCATTAATCAGTCAAAGCAGCCCAGAACTGTAACATCGAACTAAAACCAGATGTCTCAGTAAGTCTTTTTAAAATTCATCTATTCAAATTTGTGCTTTTTTTAATCCAGATTCTTTTTAAAGAATTTTCTTTATTCCTACCAACAGACCTGGAAATATTAGAGGGCACTCTGATGAACTTGTCTAACAGAAAATATTTACACCAGAAATAACAACATGTACTATCTCGGGGTAGGAAATGTACTGCCTTGAAATATCTCCCTTGCAGGGCAAAACATTGTGATTTTCCATGATAAGTTTTTTTTAGAGGGGAACAGATTTTTAAAAAGATTTTAAACTTTTTTTAAAACACTGATCAAGATAGAACAACCCAGAGGTTTCCATGTGTTACCTGATCTCTGTTTCCACATGTCAGTCCAGCTGGTGGCAGTAATTCACCTACTCAAACCTAAGCTTCTTGTTTGCAAACTGCCAATAAACACGTTTAAGGAAAAGAAAGGAAAAGAGAACGTAGAAGGAGATCCATATAAGCTTTATTTGATCAGAAAAGAAGCAGTTTGAATAAGTGTGAAAAGTCTATCGCGGTTTGTGGTTTGGTGTTACCTTTCAAGGTTTCCACAGAAGAGAAATACTTTTGAATTGAGTCAGAAAACTGCCCACACATCCCTGGTGGGATTAATGTTGAAAGAGTTGCCATTTATAGTTTCCAAACACAACCCAAATGCAGTTTCTGGCTGTTTGATTCATGATAAGTGAATTAGCTTTCATGATTCTCTGACTTCATCAACACCGGTCCAAATTCCTCTCTTTTCTCTTTGAACTTTTGCTCAAGACTCATCTTATGACTCCTTGTTTTCCTCTTATCCAGTTCTCCAGACTTGTTGATATCATCATGTTAAGACACCGAAACATCATCCTGTCCTCACATGTCCAACCTGGGTAAGAGACGGCTTCTGAGTCCAACGGCATCACTGACACTTTATTCACGCAGACAAAACAGCTGATGATATCTGACCTACATCTCTTTCAATCACATAGAGACCTTTATGAAAGATCTGATAAGATTCACTCACACAAAAGTAAGTTGAAAAAATTGCATCATGTCCCACAGGTTTTATTACAAACCTAAATGCTGACATGTCTTACTTCCAGATGGGCTTTTACAAATATTGTATGTTTATCAACTTCAGTGATTTCTGTATGTTTTTCCCAACTTTTAGATCCAGGTTGATTATCAGATTTAACACATTAAATCTCAGTGGAGTAAATACATTTTCATTAAATGATTTTTTCAAAATGCACAACAAAAGACCAGAGTAAAGTGAGAATCTTGCATCATCTAAAATCAACAGAGTAGGCATTGTTTAACAGATACTTAGCTCAGTAGCAGGACCTCATTACGGGTTTTTTAGAATAATTTGAGATTTTTTTTAAGTCATAAACTTATGATTGAAACTCTAATGTTACAAGATTAAAGTCATAATGTCTTATTCATTCATTCTTGTCAGAAAATGATTTTACTACAACTTGATTCTCTTAAAATGTGACTTAAAAGACATCTTGAAAATCTTTAAAAGATATATTTTTTTAAGAGTGGCTGTGTAATCTGTCTTTAAGACAGGCCACACTCAAATAAACTTAACACTAGATAAATGAAGGGCTAAAGATACGGTGGCCCTGAAGGGTCAACTGCATGAACATTCACGCAACAAACTGAAGTTCACTAAATGCTACAAAATTTTAGGAAAACAGAGATAATTTAATTAAATTCAATAAAGACAAACTTCTTAAAGTCTTAAAGTATTTCTGTTTTTTTTTAAGTCAATTGACTTAGTTCGGATTTTATAGAATATTAATGCAATTTTTAAAACTTGTTTTTATGTTTCAAAAAATTCTTTTGTACGACATATTTTTTTGTAATTCAGTGTTTTTTTTTTTGTTTTTTTTTTAGATGACATTTTTGCAGTTTACCTGCAGGGCCTCAAACTCATTTCAGATAAATATGTGTTAGCAGAGTTAACAGGATTACAGAGCCAAACAAAAAGAAGTTTAAAGAGACATTGTCGACTTAAGCCAGTTCCTACTGCATATCTTTGAGAAAGGGGCTTTTTATCTAACAAGCTTTTTAACTTATTTTTTTCACAACCTTTGTCATGGCCTCTTGTGATCTGTTATTTGTTGTCACCTTACAGGTTTTACACCCAATCAAGTTTGACATTTTTTAAACATTAACTTCACCTGGGGCCACAAACATGAGATCAAACTCAAGTCTGGAGTTTGTTTCTGAAAAGGTTTCCTCTTCTCCTTTTTCAGGAGCCTTCCAGTCATAGCAGTTTGTCTTGACAAACAACTCCCACTCTTTATCCCGGGACAGAAGTTTCAGGATTGCTTAAGTGTACAGTGACTCACATCTGAACTTTCTGGGAATGTTTGTGAGGCAGCAGAGTTCAATCAGGTGAGATAATGCTTTTGGTTTACATTTCTTTCAGCAAAATGGAAAAACAGGAAACTGCTGTTAACACCTTCACATCAGTGTTACTGTGACTTTGGGGTATGATATCTAAAGCATATACTGGGGCATCAATAAAAAAATCAAACAAACCAGGAAATAAAATCTAAAACAGAATTATGACCAAAGTTTTACAAACACAACACAAGTTTTCTGATAAATGCTGTAAGTAAAAGTTCAGATGATGTTTCATTCTCTAACACATCAATAAAAAAGCTCCTTTTAAGCAAATAAGCAAAGGTAAATTTATTATACACGTACTCAATTTAATCCTGTACTCATTTTTGTAATTAAAGCGTCGACAGACAGATATAAAGCACATGTTTGCAGTAAGCGTTGATGCACAAACACTGATGCAGACTTTGATTGGACAGCTCTGCATGAGTCAAATTTATGCAAATGAAATGGTTCCCTTTTGTGCAGCAATTTTCTTTTTTATATTGTTGTTTTACTCCACTTATTCAATAACTGCACCTCTTATTTTGAGCGATCACTATGTCTTTTATCCCCCCTGGCACTGAGGTTGTGAGCGAGCCTCAGGGGGCACACATGCTTTATAAATGAGCCTCCTATCCATTAACTGTGAATGTACATTATGTTGGCGTACAAAAATTCTGCATCCTTTTTTCTTTTTTCTTTTTTAGACATACTTCAATTTAAAAGAAAAGACTCAGATTTGGGTCAGTAAGGTCAGGACCAGTCGCAGTGTTTGTCTTATTTCAGTTCATACTTATTTGTGACCGTTAAGCACGTGTCCCTCCCTTCACTGTTCAAACACTTTTGTGTGTTTTCAGACACTTACACACTGTCAGTTGGCAGATGACATTTGCAGAAACAAACATTGAGTAAAGGTCAAAGCTTGCATTTGTGGAAGTAGCAAATGCCTAATTGAAGCCCCATATTAGGATATGTAGACTTATTTTTGACCCTTAAGTCCACACTTATTGGAATTTTAATCAACGAAAAAGTTAAGCTGGGTATCTTCTGTTTTTAATTCAGCCCTCACAGGAAGTCGCCTATTTCTCTGAGCTAAAAAGAGTTTCAGTTGTTTTTTCACTTGTGGTTAATCATTATCTTTTATGCCTCACGACATAAAAGTTGCATAATTTTCCACAACGAATGTCTCTTTGTATTGTTGCGCCATTTCGAACAACACTGTGACAAACACAAGGCGTTGACTTTCTTTATGATGAGTTTTGGACTCAAAGGTGAGTAAAAGAAATCATGTGACAGTCTGCTGTTTCACCGGGATTTAACCTGTTACAGTAAGACGTCTATTTATAGGCAGACAGTGAGCCATTGTTCTGACTGCTAATGAAGTCATCAAGGTGAGAGGGATGATCATCCTGGTGATTTATGAGAAGAAGTCTGGGAAAAAAGGAGATCAGGCTGCTCACGATCATGACTCATAGTTTATGTTTCACAGGGAGTTCAGGGGAATTCTACATGTTCAAGACTTTGATACAAGACTTTTAATTTGGTATGGGATAATGAGGTTTATCCGATTTTGCAGATGTTTAATCTTTATCAAACAGGCTTAAAAATGGCGTTTGGGCATTTAAGTGAATGTTTTGCTCTGAGATGTTGGGATGCTGCCATAACATAATGTATAGAGTTGACATTTGGGCTTCTAAAAGAATAAATACATTTGCTCTGTGTGACATTTTATTAAGGGCCCATCACTTTAAGGCTTCTGTTCATAGAGTAAGGTAACTGTCCGGATCTTATGCATTGTTTGGATTGTGGTGCCACCTGTGGACAAGGTATGTAGGGTGTAGACTCCCTTAGACTACTGTAAAGCCTGGGTTATATTCAAGTCATAGCATGACCATAGCAGCCTCTGCCTTGTACACATCGCTCTGCAGTACACCATCTAAACTAGGACTTTCAAACTGAACAAGCTTTGACAATAGCCATTGTTTTTTTGTTTTTTTTTTTTTTTTCAAAGGGAATTCTGGTATCTTGCTAAAAATAAACACAGGGTAATAAAGTGTGTTTAGGATGAGGATATGAAGAAGAAGCAGCTGCTAAGAAGCTAGCTGTAGCAAACCTCAATGCAGTTTATTCATCTTATCACCAGTCCCCAGCTCTGCTACGTTCTCTGCTTGTTTGTGTACATGGGCAATGTTGAGCAACAGTTGGTTCAACTGCTGTGCTAATAGCGATGCTGGAAATGTTAGAGGAAATATGATACCGCGTAGCTGACTGATCACAGATTCAATGCCTGAGTATAAATCAGGCTTAAGAGTTTTCAGTGGTATCTTTACAAGATCGAACCAATCCTCTTTTTCTTTGAGAAGTTGGGACATAATCTAACTAGAGAAGCTGATCCTGGATTGCAAATAAGTAAATTATTGTAATCCAGATCATTTTGATCCAGATGGAACCTTGAGGAAAAAATAAGGTCCCTGGTAAAATGATTGTCAGTTTTCGGAAACATGCAACCCCAACCTCAGAGTAAATGTTTCCACTATTACTTTTCTCCTTTTTTCTTCTACCAAATTAAGGTTGGAAAATAACTGCTGTATTTTACTTAAACTATGTGGAAAATTTTCGCACAGGCCGTGGAAAAACATACCAGATTTTGGTGAACGTCCAGATACACCGCACAAAAATGAAATGATAGTGAACTTTGAACCTTGGGAGACATGTGAGCTCTTAAAGTGCTCCTGTACTGACAGATTGAGTTAACAAGAAATAATGCAGGACAGAAAAAGCTCTATAAAATGATCCCTCATCTCTCTTTATTCAGAAAATAAACAGTTATATAATTCAATAATAAATCAACATTAATATTCAGCTTCCTGTATGGGCCTGTAGGATTGAATCTTATGTAATAGGTCCAAATATTTTAAAGGTCAGTTTTTTGTTCTCGTCCTGAAGGAATCTAAGTTGAAGAGAAGTTGTCAGTAGAAGATAATTTTCCTGTCTGGATCTCTCAGTTTTGGATGATAGTTGGTGGTGTGATCTTATCTTTCTCAGCTTTTCACACTTCAAAGTATTTTTCATGGTCCTCACTCATAACTTATGTTTCTGTCAGGGATAAACAGAGAAACAGATGTGCATACTTGAGCTGAGGGCATTCCCCTCAGAAATAAACTCATGTCTCTCGTGATAAAGTTCACCAACGCTGATACTTAGTTACTACTGTGCACTATCTACAACACAACAACCCGTCTATAAAAATTGTAACTGCCCCCTCTATTTATATACAGAATGTACCTCCTTATGAATTCTATTCAACAGTCTATAGAAAACATTTAAATAATCTCAGTTAAAGCACTTTCCTCTTCAGAGCCCCCTTTTTGAAAATATATACAGTTCTGGGGCACTTTGTCCATCACAGTTAGTATCTGTCAGTTCATATCCTCTGTTTTCTGTGAATTTCAAATCATATTGTTGCGTTTTGGATTTGATGTATTTCCTGTTGAGCTGTCAAGAGGCTCTGCACCGTCCCTCACCAAGAACGGGAAGTAACTCGAAAGATAAAGCGCCTTGAACTTGGTGCTACAGAAGCAGTAGATGAGCGGGTCCAGCAGACAGTCCATGTAGGATAGGACCATGAGGCCGTCGAAAGCCACAGCGGCTTTATCCTGGTACGACTCGCTCCATTCCTGCACCCGGGCGATCAGCAGAACCATCCTGGCGATGGTGCAGGGGAGGAAGCACAAGGAGAAGACCACCATGACGGAGGTCACCAGAAACACAGCTCTCTTCAGCTTGGTCTTGTCCCCGACGGTTTTCTTCCTGAGCCGGTTGACGATGTGTACCGTGCAGTAGACCAGGATGACGAAGGGGATGAGGATCTGAGTAAAGAAGACCACCTCTCGTAGGCTGTCCACCACGTCCTTAAAAAGGATACATTAAATCATTATTTGTATTGACAACATATTTTGTTGACCATTGATTTTTTCAAGATACATTCTGGCCACGATAACTTTACTGCTGGTGAAACTGGCTCAAGTCCTTCCAGCGGATTAACCCCCAATTTCCACCGCATCCAGAACGGCTACGAAAAGGCCATACCTGCCATTTGTAGCTGATCGTAACCATTCAAGTCAATGTGTCAATTTCTACCGGCTTCTTTCAGTTCTGCTGCAGATTGCCGGACTCCGCAGCTGATCTTAAGAGTTCGATTTTTTTCTGGACGTCAGAAAAAGCATGCCAGATAAATTCAGCATAGATTAACTCATGCTGGAAAGGAAGTTGGGCATAGACCCAAAAAAAACATCCGGCTTCTTTTCAAAATACAACACTGTGTTGCAGGCGGATTGTATCTACTGCTTGTATGGTTAGCCTCTGTGGCTAAAGACAACTTGTTATTGCGCGATTGCTCGTGAAGCCGCGGATTCTTATGAGTTCTCACAATTCCCGCTGTCTGTAATCTGCCACGAAATTTGCCTCACTTACGGATCTGCTAGGAATTGGCATATGGCGAAAATCACCACCTTTCCAGATGCGGTGGAAATCCCGGGTTTTACTGATGGAGGACCAGTCTTACTTGGTGTTTTAAGTGCTCAACTCATACATCAAGAACCCCCTGTTGTGGGGTTTGCTGGTTGCCTTTGCCGTACGTCACCCCCAGCTTTAAAGTCTTTGTGTTTTCTGTCAGTTGTCTTTTCCAATAGAAGCAAAATACTCCAAAAATAACTTTAAAAAATGACACAAACAAAAAAACGGAGTAACAAGGAGTTACACTGCAAATACATGCAACTGAAACTGCAGGTAAAACTCCTCCACAAACCCGTGAGGCAGCATTGTATGACTATTTTGCTTTGAACAATAACTGAGAAAATAACTTCTCATAGTGAGAATGATGCCTGTTTTCTGGGCTGTGTTGTGAGGGCACAGTCCCCAGGGAAAAGAAGTTTTAGAGCAGGAAGCCCTGAAGCAAACACGTTCTTTTTCTGGTCGGACTTCTATGCTGTCAGTGGGAGCAAAACAACCGGAAAGGATCTTGATTAAAAGTGTATTCTGTTTGCTTAAATAAGCTTCCACATGATGCTTTTGAATTATGTCCGGAAGAACAAACAAATTTAATTTTAACCAAAACAAGACCTGGCTTTGTGAGGAGAATAGAAAGTCCCTGCAGCAGGTTATTGGATTAGAAAGGGTTGATCAAGTGCCAACAGATTTCTGCTAATTTGCTGTAAATACTTTTGAATATTTTGAATGTGATTTATGCATTTCTATAGATTTTTTTATAATTTATTGTAAGATACTGGATATTTTGCCTCTTTTGGCTGCAATCAGTAAACGTAAATGAAACCATCTGTTTATAGGAGGAGCTCAGCGTGTGGTGAAACTGCAGAAAAATTCATAGACTTCCAAAATGCACTGAAGGAATTTGTGTTATTTGTAAGAAACCACAATGTAGAGATTCTAGTGTTTGACATTTGGTAAAGAGAGACTGAATCTGTAGGTTTTGACTACAACTGTCAAACACATAGGAGTAAAAAAGTGCAATATTTCACTGTCAAATACAATGAACAATCATATGAAATCAACACTATTAGCATGAAAACAACAGACATGTTTCTATTTGTGGAAAAAAAATTCACAGTGATAGGGGAAATACACCTCCAGGAGTGTCTTAGGTCTCACCCTAAGGTAGTTTTCTTTTTTCGTGAAGTCCTATTTTAGCTTCACTTTGATGCAAAAACCACCAAAAGACTGTTTGGAAAATATCGGTATTTTGCTTGCAGCATACTATTTCTGTACCAAACTGTGGCTCTGTCATGAGTGGTGCAGTTTGACAAACTCCAGGTTCGACACTTCTTAAATTTAGTGATACTTTGTTCTCTGCCAGGTCAAAAATAGCTCTGTAAACAGTCTTTCGGAGTGGCAGCCTGGGATGTGACAACTTCCAGTGGCTGCTCTGTCCTCGCCACATTCTTCATCTGTCATCATACTTGTCGGGCTCTTTATCGCACACATCGAGCCAGTTAATTTCCACATCTTTGTAATCTCCTTATTACTAAATGCTGAGTAACAAATAAGTTCTTCTTTTTCGTGAGAATTGTGGATTGCGTAAGAGAGAGTGATGCAGCTTTTGATGTCAATAGTGACACTAAAATGTGCAAGCTCAGCAATTTAGTTTCCACATGGTCACAGTTGGAGTGGAGTAAAATTTTCCAGGCTGAATTGTTTGTTGACTGCTTTGTCAAGTCTGATCTCAATCACAGTATGCACAGATTTGAGGAATCCAAGTTATGCATTGTCAAAGTTTGCACAAATCACACATGGAGAAAATTTTACCTTGATCAAAGCGTCGTCTTTGGCGCCATCGTTCTTGTGGCTGTTGCAGCAGTCAAAGTTCTTGAGCATAGTAGGAATGGTGAGGGGCAGTAGAAGCAGCCAGATCAGGATTGAGATCTGTGGGGATTTCTTAAGGGCTCGCAGGAGATTCTTCCTACCCGGGTGCACCACGTTAAAATACCGATCTATCGAGGTCACCGTGAGGAAGGCGATACTGGCTCCGCGGTTCAGAAACAACATGAAGAGCATGGCTTTACACACAGTGTCGTTCCCGCTTCTCCGCTCTCCATGGATGAAGTTGTACGCCTTTATGGGCAAGCAGAAGAGCAGGAGGATGTCAGCCAGCACCAGGTTGAAAAGGAAGACGTTGTTGGTGTTTGATTTCCAGAACTTCAGCTTGAATATGAAGAGATGGAGGACCGATGCATTCAGGGGCAAAGCCAGGATGAAAATCACAATCATGACAGCTGCATAAAACTTATACAGTGCCTTGTGTGTGGCTTCACAGTCCTCAATGAGCTGGTACTGAGTAGAGTTCGCCATTCTGATCATCCCATTCATTTGTGAAAAAAAATCTGTTGATATCACACACAAGAAAAAAATTAAATCTGCCCTACATGCATGGAGCAGAGTTTTCTTTTCTATACTGAGAAGGAAATCACTTCACACATCAAGTCTCACCTTACACACAAACACAAAAATCCTGCCAAACAAGTTTCCTTCAAAGTCTTAACTTGTACTCCTTCTCTTTAGATCTTGAATTCTTCTCTCAGCCCTCGTGCGTGTCTGTGTTTTCAGAGTTACTCAAGCTTTGTCCTCTGTTTGGTGAAAGCTTGAGTTGCAGTTATTCCTCCAGAGAGCAGAGCAAATGGTAGCTGCCTTGCTGTTCAACCTTGTTCTCATATTGTGGCTCCGCCTTATATAGCCCGAGGAGGTGAGTCACCAGCTGCTTCTCCACAAGATCCAGGACCAGCCTATATTATTTAAATGACAAATACTTTGAGCTTTTTTGTCAGAACTGAAACTAAGAGCGGTTAAAGTTCAAACTAAGCATGATTACTGACACTTTTTACAAGGGAATAAGTCTGGAGAGGGAGTGCGCATGAAGCCCTGACAAGCTCAGGCTGATGTGGCTTTTGACTGACAGCCAAACATATGAGAGATTTTATGGAAACATTTCACCTCCCTTCAAAAGCCAGCAGCTGCCTCTTGGTGCAATTTGAGCGTTTTGCTATCAAAAGGTCTCAGAAAATCCCAGAAGCTACTGTACTGGATGGCCTACAGTTTCTCATGAATGACAGCTGCCATGTGTTTGAGCTCTTAGCTCCCAGGCTTACTGTGAAACTGCACGTGTCCTAATGTTAAAATCAGTGAATTTCTCCTTAGAGTACACAGATGTGGATCTCTGGGAATTAATGATATATCTGTTAGTGCTGCTGTCAGTGTTTTATACTATGTAAGGACAAGTAAATGGGGTTGCTTGGAATGTTATGTCCTCAGGGAGGAGGAGAGGGGGTTAACCCAAGGACTCACAGTCAACTCTGCATGCCATGAACTGTGCATGCTTCAAACTCCTTTTCTACCACAGATGCAAGTCCAGACAGCTCTGCAGGTCCAGACTTTCGGCAGGGACATGTTTCAGAGAGGAGGAGAGGATGTGAACTCTCTTCAGGTCTGATTTTATGGTTGAAAACATAAACATTAAATATGAAGACACCTCACACAGTAGTCTGCATAATAAATGAGTATTTATACAGTTTTTAGGAACACTTTAAGTGCCCCTTTAACGGCAGCGAGATTTTAGAGCCACGTGAGCTCTAATCAGGCAGAAGAGTTGATTCACATTGATAAGAATGCACAGATACATAAGCAGAGTTTCAGAACTGATCTGTGTGCGCCCTGTTCGAGATAACAGACTAACAGGAAGTGATTTTGCATTTACAGACCATAACAGCTGACACATAGGGTACATCTGATAATAACAAAGGGTTGTACTGTCGCAAACACAGAAAACAAAAACAAAAACAACAACAAAAAAAGAGCTGAATCATCTGTTTTGTAACCATTATTTACTTTTAATTTTGATTCTTTTTAATTAAAAAAAATCAATTTAACAAAAAATCAAGTATTATTGAGCATTATTGTACTTAACTGAAAGTATCTATGAATGACAGTTATGTAGTGGGGATGATTATGAAGGGACAGAGTAGGTGTTACCAACTGAATCTGATTAATCAAAACTAGACACCAGGCCGAGTTGGGTAGACTTGTATTATCATTATAATTATTAATTTTGTTATCATTATTGTAATTATTATATGTAGTAGTTGTAATAAGTGTAGATGGGTGTTTTTGTCTTTGTTTTTTTATTCATGTTGGGCTGTGCAAAAAATCACAGATTAATTAACATGGCACCATGAGCAGTTGTAACATCTGAATTGCAAAAATTTGTATTTATAGCAATTAGTAAACACCTTAATGAGTGGTATCAGTGTTTTTTTTACTCAGCATCAACATTTTATCCATCAGATAGAGGTTAAGGATTGTGTCCACACTTTACCACCCTTTTAATGCACTCAAACATAAATATAGCCAGCTGTCTGCTGACCTCAAATAAACCTGTGATAATTTGATAATAAAAAACAGATTTTTATTAACTATTCCATGCTTGTCTATTTATTGATTAGCCCCACTCATCTTTGCTATTACAATACTCAACAATGTTATTGCATATTGCATTCTTTTCCCTCATTGAGCAGACGTACCGTCATGTTCGCCAGTCAAAGTTTGGGAGGGAGGATTGATCAATTTTCATAGAACTGTGCATGAATTACATTTCCTGTATTTTCTTTCATTGCGATAGATGTTGTGAAAGAAAGCTTTGCACAATATAACTTTTTTTCCAATATTTCACAGCCCCAGTGTCATGACTGGGAATTGAAAGTAAAACCGGTACAACAGGCACTGGGGCTGTACGTGAGGTGCCAACATGCTCTACTAACAGACGGGACCTGCTGCGTGTTGTAGTACCGCTAAACTGTTTACCTCGGGTCCTGGACTATGTCACTTTATGCTAGTTTTAGAAATCTTGCAAACATTGTGTTTGCTGGTAGTCTGTTGGCATCTACAGTAGCACCACTGCTGTTTACTTTTACATTGACTGGGCCCAATTTGTAATTATCTGAAGTATTTATTTGCATTATATCTGAATTTAATTGGAAGGATACGAGTCAGCAGGAGCGTCTGTTTGTGGGCGGGGCTTTCTGGAGCAGAGAGAGGAGAGGAGGAGCTGAGGGGAAAACTGGTTGGGAGGGGAAGTGTTTACTTCAACATTTCTCCCCAAAACCTGGCTCTTCCTCAGATCCTGCCTACCCCACCTTTCAGTTAAAGAAAATAACACTGTTAGCATAATCAGCTTTGATTTCATCTCCACCCTCAGGGTAGATATCAGACCTGGTTTTCATCACATCAGTATACCCCTACTGTCTGCTGTCTCCTGAATCTATCTTGTCTTGGACTTTGCCTTGCCAGATGAGCTCTTTCTCAGTTTGTTCGCCCCTCGCTCTTACAAACCAACCTTTGACCTCTTCTCCCTCCCCTGTACCGCTCTCCTCAGACAGTAGCGTCATTGTTTGTTGAGTTACTCCTGTCATATGTAAGAGGCTGAGGTGTAATTGATGCTCTGCAGTCAGGTACACCGCTCAAGCATAGAAAGAAAGTAGCTGCCTGGGGGATTAGTTTACGTAACGCAGAGACAGTGGGGCAGTCAACACAAATAAAAGCAGTTACCATTCGCTTATGTATCAAGAGAGTAGAGGTGATTATTATTAGTAGTAGTATTGAATTTCCCTGAGGGAATAAATGAAATTCTTCTTCTTCTTAATATAAGCTTCAGTAAAGTCATGTTTATATTTGATTGAAAGAAGAGATTGTACTGCAGTTATCTCTGTAAATTCACTGTAGGGATGGTGAATGGATGGTCAAAAAAATAAAGTATTTCATGGGATTTTTAAAAGTACCTCATCTTTTTAAGGTCTTTGTATGTGGTTTACAATTGTATTTTACTGAAGACCTGTAGTTTTCATTTATGTTCTTTTGCTATCACTTAAATGTTGAAGTATTTAGTCAACTCATAATTCAAAAAATGACTAGATAAAAGGTTTTTGTCATGTATAATTAATTGTCCACTGATGTTTTTCTAAACTGTACTTAGTATCAACAAACAGCACTAATGTCTGATGTCAGATAAATTTTGTGTTTTAAGCAACAGTAGGGGAAAAAACAGTCCATTTACATCAGCGCTGAGAATAAACATTTTGTCTGTACAAAAAAATGTAAAAAAAAGAATTAATTAATACTACAAGGTAGTATCAGCTTGTTTCTTATGTTTGAATCCAGCCCCCCTTCTGAGGCGTGCAGGTTTTTCATAGGGAGTCTAAAATCTGCAGCCTGTCAGTCAGATTAACAATCAGACGACTGTTCTCAGATTCTACAGCCAACATGAGACTCTACTAACACCTACTTTACAGTTATACATGCTGCTATAACTCACAGTACTGCAGAGACTTCTCACTTTCATCCATACGTCTCACAGGAGGCTGAGATGTTTGGCTCTCGTCATGATACATACCTTTGGCTGAAGCTGAAACTCTCATGCAGCCTCTGTCCTGCAGGTTCTCTGCTTCTTGCTTTATCTCCAATATGGTTTGGGTTTTGAAGAACGACTGTAAATACCAAAATACTAGCATACAGGCTGTAAACAGAGATGTAGACCAGGACTAAGCGAAATCCTACAGATTTGAGAACTAGTGTCTCTGATCTGTCTCTTGATGATACCCCAGAGAGTTTCTACGAGGTTCAGGTTAGACTAGTTGGCTGGTTTATCAAGCACAGTAATATCAAGGTCAGCTGGTAGTTTTGGTGCTTTGGGCAGGGTCCAGGTCCTGCTGAAAAAGGAAATCCATCTCTATAAAGCTTCTCAGCAGATAGAAGCATGAAGGTCTTTAAGGGATATTCCAGCATTAAATTAAGTTAGGTTCAAACACACCGTAACACAGAGTTAGACACCCCGTTGAGAGATGAATGTTGCCAACTGCTTGCTTCTCTAGTCTAGGATATTCTCTAGCCGAAATATCCCTTTAAATTCCCCCGGTAGACTTCAGGCTGTGTTGATTCTGGACTTGATAAAATCATAGACTGTATCTAGAATGGACGCCGTCTGCCTCCCCGCTGGGTGAAGCCACCGCGAGAACAGCACCCTCTGGTGACGGGCTGCAGTACAGGTCATAAATCCAGCCTCCTCAAGCAAAGCTTATGGGGCTGTGGACAAACTTTAGAAATCAATTACACAGAATATAAATATTTCTCCCCCCTGCTTGTGATGTTGACATGTAGTTATTGTGAGACTAGTTTGTACTCAAGTCCTCTTTTTTCTGTGCAGCTCCATTTCAAAAAGTTATTAGGGGGTTCATGTTTTTCATGATTGACACTTGATACAGCCTATGGGTGTACGAAGATTGCGTAGCTCACCCGTGGTATACGCTGTTTGAGCCGAGCGTCATCACAGCAACTCTTGGTGACTCTCCCGCCCAATGCATGCAATGCTACTGGGCAAGTGGTGAAGTGTGTACAACGCTACTGTGCAATGTTGGTTTCAGGAAGTGGAGAAAAATCGCGGAAATACTGAGAGCTTTTTGGTTTCAAATCCTTATACTGGCGGAAGATTGTCAGAACGAAGTTGTCCATAGTATTTACAATCTATAGATAAAACACAGTAGACCAACAGCAGCAGACGACATGACACCCCAAACCGTCACAGACTGTGGAAACTTCACACTGGAGTTAAAAAGCTTCATCACACCCAATTCTTGGTGATTAAGACAGCAGCTTCTCCTCTCGGTGACCCAGA